ACAGACGTAGTGGAACTCGTTCTGAGGGTTAACCTCGATTAGGCGATACTACTAAAGCTATTTTTAAAGATTCGTCGATAGTATTTAGAGTGTTTAACGTGCTAATAAGTGATTTTAATTGCGATAGACTAGAATATAACCTCGAAACCTATCTTAGCGCCCTTCCGAAGAATAGTCGAAATGATCTTAGCAAATATTAGATTCGGGTAATCGTTTAATCATTTAGACTAATCATCAACTATTAACGATCTCTAGTAGGGTAAATCCGAGTTTAATAAATCGTATAGCGCGTACGGGAACTCCTTAGATATACACTATAGCGATTAGGGTATCTGCGAATACTCTAAGAGTTATTCTATCTTAATAAACGATTATCTAATAATAAATAATTAAAGCTACTTATAACTAGGTTTAGGGCCTTAAGACATTTATCTGTTAAATAACTTTACTAATAGATTATATAGATATATAAGTAGAGGTAGCGCTCGCGAAAACAGCTACCTCTATTAAAATTTTATAAATTTTAATTCCTTCGGGGTAACCTTACTAAGGCTAAACGCATCGGATTTAACTACTATTACTGCATAAGTTTTTAGATATAAGAAGGTCTTTATAGCTCTAATCGTCCGCTTCTTAGACCTTAAAATTGTTTTAGTTACCCTGAATACGTATAGTAATAAAGGCGAGGTGATAAGCGAGGATAAAATTAAATTTATAGATGAGAGATAGCCGTAATAGGCGAATAGTATACGTATGTAGGGTTTTATTTAAGTCTTTTTTACGCTAACGTGTGAAGCGACTAACGGCTATCGAGTATATATGAAAGTAGTGTATTATATAGTTATAGCCATTAACGTTTTTATTCTCCTTAGCTAAAATAGTATATATATAGACTAGTTTGCGAAATTTTTGGTCTTAAAATCTCGAGAAGATTTATTTAAAGTACTTGCGTTTATACTTACCTTTTAGCATATAAGAAGGCTTCTTATTTATATAACGAAAGGAGACCCTCTTCTTTCCTTCTAGTCCGATTTAGAGTTAAATAAGTTTGAATCCGATGTATTCGAGTAACGATAACGATAACTGCGGCTATAGCGGCGGTGATAATAGCGTAACTTTAAACCCCGCCTTCGTAAGATGCTTTTTCGCTCTCTTGCCTTAAATAGTGGCTTTATTTTAAGATCCTTTACAGGGTGTTTTTATTCCCTGGTCCGCTCTTCCCGATAACTGTCGTTCGGATATCCTCGGGGGTTTTGGCCTTAATGGCCTTAGAGCCTTTTTGCCTTGGCCTTGTTAACCTTATTACTGCGTTTTTTTTATAACCTTAAGGCGGGGTGCACATTTGGCCGCTTTTTGACCTGTGCGCGGCGAGGGCCATTACGATATATAAGATGGGGTGTGTTTGTGGTTTGGATGTGCTTTGTAGTTAATGGCTATTTGTATGACTCAACTACGAGAGAAAAATATATGCTCTACGAGACGAATCGAATGCCGTTATGGTGAGGTGGCTTTGTCGTACTGACACTGTCCCCCCCCTTGCGGGTCGGGGTACCAGGGCCCCCTGATCACGCCAACGTTGGCCTCATACCCTCCTGTTGCCACCATTCTCACACAATTTCAAGGACTTCAAGTCAACTCAGCCTCATAACTTGTCACGGCAACGCGTCTGCCAAATTTGTTGACGAAACGGCAGAGCCAATCATTTCCTCAAGAGGTGGGTATGGAAAACAGGAATAGTGTGGTACTTCCAAGGCCGCGCTGCACTTGATGTTTCAGCGGCAGGCGAACACTTTGGGCCGACGAAAAGCGGAAACCGGGATCCAAGCGCCTGTTTGTCGTATATGAACTCACTACCTTTCATCTTCGAGAAGTTCTAGATAATGAAACATTTCAGCCACTTCTCGTCACAATGTGCTGCAGAGAGGTTCTTGACAGAGAACAAGCCTTGATTAGCCTATCGTGGAGATACCTTGGTCAGACTGCCTGATTCGAGCTCCGCGCGGCTTGCTGCGTCTGGTATCAAATCCTGTGAAGGCCTCGCTTTGTCTCTCAAAATAGTACCAAGCTTCCCGTTCTCTAGTTGCATACTTTACCGTTGTCAGTCATACGTTCTTTCTCATTCTTGATGTTACGAAAAAAGCTCTAGGTACGAGAGTAGTGAGCGTTCAAGCGGAATCAGAAACCCGAGCGTAGCGAACGGCCCGGACAATACGGTCGTCCGTTGGTATTACGTTGACCACATGGAGGGTCTGCACGTCGAGTCCTGAGTGTCCGCTTACTCCGTAGATTGCTTCGAAATGGCGCCCAAGCTGAAATCAGTTTGGGGCTGTAAGCCCCTATCAGGCCCAATAAAAGCCCCGTAAACTTCAATTTGTGCGTTATCGGAAATCAGTTTCCGCCACAGGGCCAACTTCCGAAAGTAGGGTTAGGGCTGCTACTAGCGTTGTCCTGGACTTTGGGTGCTGACCTCACATGAAGCTGATCCCCAAAGTATCTCAAATCTTACCACGGTTTCTTGGAATGTCTCGCAGGATTGTGGATTAAGTACTGACTACTGCCCATCCCAAACCTCGATCAAAAAGGGTATAACTAGGAAGACCAATGCGTCTTGTGGGACGATTGTGGTACGGCAATTCGAACGCTCGCAACCAACGAAGCTTTCAAGCAAATCAGAGAGCTGTTTTGGCTATGAATGGCTTTGTGATTCGTCGCCCCCAAAATACGCTAACTCTGAGCTGACCCGCTGTGTCCCCCGCAGAGTGTAATGGGTAAGTAGTATGTCCCATGGTTTCCCTTCGATCCTTATGGGCGAGATTAGGGTAGCAAGGTAATGTAGCAAAGGTCCTGCATAGAGAGAAGCTGAAGGTTCCAAATTCGCATAGACAAATGCCCAGAAAAAGTGGCAGTCCTAAGAGCTCCCATCTTTTCGGTCGTGTATTTTGGTGGATATCACCCAAAATAACCCAACTGTTTATGTCGACTCATGAGGACTTAGAATCTTCGCTGGGGAAATCTCCCCCTCTATGCATGACTTTTGCGTGATCAATACTACAACCAGTACCTGGAGAACCATATCGCGCCTTACTAACAACTCCTGATAAAGTGCAGGCCGTTGCTTCATCTGTGCGATGAAGCTTTCCCATGTGGGTGATCCTCTTAGGGTTATACCTTTAGTAAGTATTGGTCCTAGCAATCACGACTAACGAATGCTGAATGTATTTGGCAACCAGGCCGCCCGCGAAAGGGCCTAGGTGTGCTGATCCAGATCCGACGTCTCTACCTGCCTATTGTCGACTTTCTTCTTGGCTACGAAAACAGACTACATGTCCTGTAGTAAATCTCAAACCTCAATCGGAAGAACTGGGTTTACAGCGGAAAGAATGGGGACTTAAACCCACAGTCTATATTGGCGATATCGTGACTTATGGACGCAGTGCCGGCGAGAGTACACCATCGACTGAGAAACCAAGCCCGCAGAATGTTGCAAAGCAAGAGAATGATGCCCTCGCTGCCCTTAACCTCTTCAAGCTTTTGCCCGCTCAAGTGCTCGGATTAAAAAGGCGCTTGCTAGCATGCAACACCGGGTCAAGGATCAACAGGAGAAATTGTATCTAAGGGCGGCATCGTAGGTTCGAGAGCCATTCAACTGCAGAGCTTCGCGAATAATGTGAGTGCAAGTGACATGGGAGATTCGGGGTCCACGAATGCAGCTGCAGTTCATCTTGTGGATGCTTTTCATGGAGGTTCTACCGCTATGGGCCAATATTACACCTTTTAGGGGCAACTACTTTGGAGATGAGCTTTGAAGCTGATGACTCCCCTGAGTGAATTCAGGATCTTTTGTGGGTTTGCTATACAGCTTTGTCATGTCTCACTCCATGGGGCTCTTTAACAGTCAACAGTCTTAACAGTAGTAGATTGAGAAGTGACGCATGAAGGAGTGTTTTTTTCCTCCAGATCTTGGGCCGATAGCTTGCCCTGGTCTACGGCTTTCGTAGGATCAAAACAAAATTGCCAATTCATTCCATTCAAGGCAGTGTTCTCCTGCACACTTCGAAGCCCTCAACCCCGCTAGGCTGGACCCGCGCAAATTAGAACATGTTAAAAATGAGGTGTTGTTGATTTCGAAGATGGCATCTGGAAGGGACTGTGTTGGCAGGGTTGGTACTGCCAGAAAGCAGACTGAGTAAAGAGTACTCCTATCTCAGGGAAAAGTATACGCGGCGTCTAGTTCGGTAGGAAATGCGCGGGGCAGGAAGCGTGAATGATGAATGCCTGAACAATAACAATAAGCAGGTGAAGATGCCGAATTTGGGCCTTGACCGCCCCGGTATCCTACGGTGAATGCGAAGAAATCAACACAACTCTCTTAGCTCCCACTAGCGCTGAATTTTCCACTACATAATAACCTAACATCTCAGACCTTCCCCATTACCACACGCTCCATCTTCTACAGCATTGAAACAGCCACGTCTGTTGGACTTGAAAGCACACACAGCTGCCATCCGGCTTCTACTCTGGCTTGCGTCATCAAGGTGCTCGCGCTCAATAACGACGCACTTACTGACCTCAACCGCTCGTTGCTTTGCTAGGAGCACTGCGGTGCGTACACAATTCCTCTGTGATCGTCTTTTCTGAAAAATTCGTCAACACTTCGATCCCAACACACTTTTCCTTCTAGCACCTCGGGACCGAAACTCCATTCACTATGCATGATTCAAGCACTCTCAACACCGCAGTACTAGCGCCGTCAACTTCTATAAGGTTCCCCTTCTCTTCTACCTTCTTACATCTTCCGCTCTCTCCACCACCCACCATCCGCCATTCACCAGCCAACGTTCTCACATACATGCAACCTTTACGAAACCCAAGGAAGACTCATACACCTTGACAGAAACTGATAGGAACTATCTGCAGGTTCCAAGATTATCTTGCTCTACCATACCTGGATATCTAGGTATCCCAGTTCTTACACACCTTAATACACACATCTGCGAAATATGGATCACCTTGCCGAGATGCACGAGCTACCAGTACCTGCTCAGGATCCGAGCGGTGTAAGTGCAAAAAACCTCACACCACAACACCAAAGCTGATCAACCATAACAGAGATTTCAATACCTCTCAGTAATATTGGTACTCTGCTTCTGGTTCGGTCTCATCGACTGGCAATTATTACTCTTCGGGCTCCTCATCCTCTACATCAATCTTAGCCCTGTGGTGGTCCATTCACCCGAATTCGACATCACAGTTGCCGTGCCAAGCGGTAAATATATACCTAAGGAGGTCACCACTCGTACTGACGCTCCACGAGATATCCGCCAGCGTCCAGTCTTAGCCCTTGAGCAAGGACCGAATAAATCGCTGGCGATGGTACCTTGCCAACGACCTGCTCTACAAGGGCAATCTACAACCCGCAGCAAGGTCCCTGAGCATGCTTCCAGCTCCAAGAAGCAGATGGCGGTGGTACTCCGCCCACGAAATGCAGTCAGCAAGGTACAGGATAGCTACCGGAATACTGCTTCATTGAAGCTCCTTGGAAAGGTGGAAGTCGTTTCCTCTTCTATCATGGGACAAGCGGGCCAAGTGACTGCAGCCACGGATGAAAATCGACTGGAAAACGCGGACGACGATCAGCGTGCTCCAGTCGGTAGCCAGTCTGTCGAGGAGCCTACCGGTGTTCAGAAGCCTATCGAGGCAGAGGAGAAGATAGTCCTTCAACTCGAGCCTGATACTTTTGAAAAGCCCACTGATGGTCACACCGTGCCCGAAGAAGGTGCCGGCAGTGCCCCGACAGAGACCACTGCTAAGCAAATCGGCAGCGCTGGAGTGGTATCTGCAAGCAAAGACCAGTCTACCACGACATCGATCGTGCGCGATTCAGGGAGGGCGCGGAATTCGAGAATCCGGCGTCTGGCGAAGCCCTGTGTCGCGAGGTCTCGTACCCCAGGTCTAGAGAGGTCCGTCCTTGGTAGGGTTCGCTCTCTTCGTCTGAAGATGATGGCCAAGAGGGCCAAAACAGTCCAACGCTTGGCGAACCAACAAGGCGTGGCTGACGGTATCGTCGATGTCGATGGAGGCATGACTGGCTTGGAAGTCGTCGAGCAGGCCGAAGTGCAGATTCGAGGACGGGTTTCTGTGGGGGCTCAGACCAGTCAGCAAACTGGAACTGGCAGCGCTGTCGACCGTCTGGAAGTTGGGGAGTCGATGGAAGTTTCGCCAAGTCAACACGTTGCGGAAGACAGCGTTGTTGACGTGGACCAAGCCATGACCGACCCAGAAGTTGAAGAGAAGGATGAAGACGGCGATGTCAAGCTCGTCGATGCGGATACAGCGGAGAGCCAAGAGGCTGAACAATTCGATGAAGTCATGATCGGCTCTGATGTCGAAGCTGAAATGGAGGTCGACGACGAAGCGGCCGACTCGGTTGGAGAGCCAATGGATCTTGAAGAAGACAACCCGCAACTGGAAGCCAAGGAGGCTGGCATTCCAGACCCTATGCATATCGAGCCTCAGTACAACCTTGGCATGGTCGACAAGGAGAAACTCCAGGACAAGATTAGGCGTGAGAAGGCGGAAATCGCGCTTCGACAAACGTCTACAAACGGGGCCAACAGCGGTGAGATGGGCTCGGCTTCCGGTGGTGCTTTGGCACAGTCGAGTCAACAGCACGCAGCACCGGTCTCAACGCCACCGACTGGGAATGCAGCCACCAGCATATTGCAAGGAGTTGCGCAGAACCTAACATCTACGAACAGTGCCGCAGATCTTAGGAGCGCGCGTCTGGGAAAGCGGCCAGAGTCAAGGCCCATCTCGGAAAGAGTGGCGGGTCCATCTCCCTCACCAGGAAGACTGGTGACGGAAAATCGAGGCAAGAGAGAGTCCACCCAGTCGATCCTGCCTCTAGTGTTGGCTCCTCCGTCAACGTCGTCGTCAGAGAAACAGGTGACAGAAGACGGAGATACTTCAGAGTCGGTCCAATCGATCACGACTCCAGCATCTACTTCTCCCTCGACAGCATCGTCAACGCCGCCCACTTCAAGGAACGTGGCTTCAAGTAAAGGGCCTTCGAAGCCAGCTGGCGTGAAGACTGAAGAAAGTGCGTCCAAGGAGCAAAATTGCAAACGCGGCTGCAACTTTCTGCGTGACTCGAGCAATGACGAGAAATTGGGTGACGAAGCGGAGAAGCCGAAGGCGATCCAGGGTGATCAGAGTATGCCTGGTTCAGCATCCCCGAAGGTTTCCCCACCGAGGAGAATTCTGGCCAAGCCTGTGAGGCGAATGCGAAAGGTGCAGACAGCTGACGCCAAAGTGAGCGAAGCGGAGGACGATCGGAAGATGTCAGCTTCAAGAACGGCACCTGCTCCTCAGCCAACAGAGGATGCTCCGGCGGAGTCCTCCAAGAAAGCTCGAAGTGGGCCTACGGATGACGGGGCGTCTGATCAAGAGGTCGCTCCTCTGAACGACATCCCGGATGATAGGGGCCGTAAGTTTCTATCCCCCAAGCAACCAACTCCTTTCCCATGCTGTTCATAATCTTGGATCGCAGAACCCCAACTCTTCCTCTCTTTGTCTTCCTTGGCTTTATGTCGTGTGATCTTTCAGTCCGAACAGAGAATGCTAACACCGAGAATCGCAGAGCTGGAGTACACGTCGCAGGTCCTCGAAGTGGCCGCAGCCAAGTGGGATGAGGAGGGGCATAGTGACGCCGACGACGACGACGACGATTGAGATGACTCTGATTTGATCTCGTACCGTCAGTGAAGGCAGGGTTGGAAGAATTCGGGGTAGGGGGTATATATCTCGGATATCATGGGAATTCTTTATATCAGCAATGGGAGCGGGATTGTACCAAGGGCACAAAGGGAAAGCAAGAGGTATTGAGGGTTACAATAACCTGGGCGGATTTTTTTTGGGAGGAAGTTTTCCGGTTCAGAAGAACCCAGGGTAGGACTTCGTTCCATGTGTGTACTATACTTAGGGAAGGGTATTTCAATCTTGTCAACAGCTCGGACCGCATCAAGTCTAACCCATCTTCTCTGATCCCTGGCGCATTGATATCAAATTCCCTTCACATACCTTCGCTACTCACTCCATCATAACGGTGAACCCCATCTTTGTATACCGTCCCAAAACCGTCTCTGAACATATATCAAACACCTCCAAGTACCCACCCACTGGAGCGAGCGCGATTCGAAGATTCCCAATTGCAACAGTGCGGTTATTGCTTTAGAGGGAGCTTTCGGGATCGCTGACACATCTGCTCTGCGGTGGCCAGTACCTTTCGCCCCCATTCTCCTTAGAGATCCCTCTCGTGATAGGTTCAGAGTGCTGATAGGCAAGCGAAGCAATGATGGTGTAAGTAAGGCATGTACTTTGACGGACCATCTCGACTGGGCAAGGATGCTGTTTCGAATGAGTGGTTTCGTAGGCGGTATTTTGGACTGAGGTCTGAATGCTGACCGCGTAGGGTACTTGAGTTACCGAGGTGAGGTAAGGGAAAGAGAGAGGATGGATGTAGCAAAGGAGTGCATATATAGAAGGGATTTCCAAATCTTTCTTTCAAATCCTAGGAAGAGGAAGAGAAGAGAAGAGAAGCAAGGTTCTCGTATTCTATATTTCGGTTATCGTTTCTGTGGGTATCGATCAGGATAGAGTGCGGGCATTAGATCGAAAAGGATAGATCCTATTCAAAACAACTCCCTTGTAGAATAACGAACGCATTAGATAAAAGGATTGGTGAACAGGTCAGTTTTTTTCTGGCACCGCACCTGAACAGGGAGACTACTACGATTTCAACAGATCCTTTCGCCCTTTGTGCATGACTCGTGCCACATTCTCTTATGTTTGTTGGATATAAAGTTTCTTTCCACGCATACATACGTACAGAAGCGATTTCTGCACAGCACGGTGGGAGTACAATACGCTGGTGCCATCAAATAACCCCAAGGTGATGTCTTGAGGTGGGGGGCTAATATGGACAGGCACAGTAAACAGAGGCCCCTTAACTACCTACGCGCCCCACAATCCTTTCAAAGACCCTCCGACGCCGCAAACGAACCAACAACGCCTATAGCTCAAGACCTTTCCCGCCAATCAACCATCCACATCAGCCCCGACACTGGCCCTCTCCACCACCGTCCACCCTCCACCGTCCCGCCCCACCTTCACCTCCCCGAGCTCCAAATCCCCACCCAAGCGCGCAAAAGGGTGCTGGCCACCCTCCCCACCTTGGTGTCCGCGATCGTTCAAAGACGGCGGCGTCGCGTCGTTCCCGGCGTCGAGCCATCCGAAGACCTCAACTGCGCCGGATTCGCAAATTCACCGGACCCCGAGCCGCCGGTCGACGAGGATGACGCTTTCGACTGACGGACGGTGGTCCGATGGCGGGAAGCGCAGGCGAATAGCGGCCAAATGGTTGGCAGACAGGCGCAGACGATGTCGATGCAGGTTTCGAGGTCGCTCCAGACGCCGAGGCCGACGCGGGCCCATTGGGGGTCTTTGGCGGTGAAGCTTTGGATGGTCGTGATGCGGATGGAGATGGCGCAGACGAAGGCGCCAGGAAGACGCCGGTGAGGGTGATTTTGCGCTTCGGGCTGATGTTGGTGAGACGCCAGACCTTGGGCATGGGGAGCATGAGGATGAGGACGTCGGTTAAGAGGTTGGCGATGCCGTTGCCGTAGGCGTAGGGGGTCAGGTCGATGCAGTGGGCGCCGGGGATGGTGTGCTCCCAGTGGAAGATGGTTGGCGAGTCAGCGGGTCAGCATTCGAAAGCAGGTGGTGAAGCTGTATGGGATAGATACCGGAACTTGACTGTTGGGTGGTGTTGTGGAGCGACTGAAAAGCTCTTTGGATTGGGAGTAGAGGGCTTGCAAGTAAGCATTGACTCACCGACGCGCGTACCTGAGTGCACTTAAACACACTCGTCAAGAAAATCGCAAAGAACGTCGCCCAGCAGATCACAGCTACGACATACATACTGATCCGAAACCGTTTGTTGACACCGAGGATACGATAGTAGAGTAAGAGCAGTGAAGATTTTATAAAGATCAGCGCGACGTAGTAGACCAATTGAGTCGCTTGAGATGCCTGAGGGTCTGGTGTTAGTGGTCAATACTTTTGATCGAGGATTGATTAACAATGTCAGACGTCCTCACCTTTGAGAACTCCGTCAATTTCCACGGCGTCTTCAGTTACGTTTCGATACGGCGACCGAAGCCGAGGTCTTTGGTTTCCCCTATCCGTATGCCTGTTCCGGCCCAGCCGAAGATCCGGGCGGCGAAGCTATCAGTGACGAGTCGCTCTGGTGCTGGGAATGATAGCAAGGCTCACAAGTGCGACCAAGGCGGCCCAATCATCCCTGATGCGAGCATCAGTTGAAACGACACTTCAAAACGAGCATACAGTGATCATACCACCACGATGGCGAATTGGCCACCGACCTGGAGATGAAACGCAGGGGAACGGCAATAGTTATTAGGACACTACCTGTCATGACTGCAGCATAGATGGCTCCGACCTGGCTTTGAGCCAGAGCATATGCGCCGGGTCAACATGCATCTGTGATGCCATAGTGGTGTCTGGAAAGAGATTGACACAAAGACAGAAAGATATGAGAGCAACGAAGAAGTCGGATGAAAGGACCGAGGAAACGAGGAATGGTAGCTTTCCGATCAGACCTTTACCCAAATTTTAGATACGAGTCTAAACATTCAACAGGTACGGGGCTTTTCCCTTTGACAAAAAAGCCCGAACTTACACACCTTAACATATCTGTATCTCTATACCTCTATATACTCGCGTTGACAATGCAAGAGGGTCGGGGGTGGTACCGCGGGGTTTGCCGAGCTGTTCCGATCCGAGTGGCCATGCGGACTGACTGGACGGGGCGTGGTTTGTGGGATGGCGGTGGGAGAGTGGAGGGTTTGTGCTTGTCCGTGATGGTGGAGGTGGGGGGGTGCTAGCGAGCGAAGACGTCTATCCCTTGGAGACGCTGTACGCTTTCCATATCAGTTGCGCGCAAACAGTAGGCGAGATTCTAAGAGAGAAACATGGCCTAGAGTTGATGTCAAGAGTTATGGATGGAGTATGGTGACTAGCTAGATAGCCTCTATAGTCCAGCCGGGGCTAGAACCGGATGAAGCCAACATCATAGAGGCTTCCAGTATGGCCAACGACATTTCAGCAGCCATGAGTCTTCACACGTCCTTTCAGCTTCAAGCCCAGGCATCGCTTCCTCCAGTTCCCCAGGTATCCCCATCAGCAGCATCACCCGTATCGTCGGCTTCCGTTACTTTCAAGGCACCTAAGGATGCATGGATAGGGTTCTCGTTTTCCTTGTCTTCTTTCGGAGGATCTGCAATGGTGACGGCTACGGCTTGGACACCTTTGCCTGATCGAGCGGTAGCGATGGTGAAGGATACGCTGGTACCAGGCTCGATTCCGCCGTACTCGTCCGGGGTCTCGATCTCCGACATATGGAAGTAGTATTTCTTAGGTGCTCCATAGCTGGTCGTGTTGAGTGGGGTGATGAAACCGTAGCCGCTGTCTGGTTTGGTGTCTGGAGGGTCCAAGTAGCGCTTGTGGATACAAGTCAGCAAATGGAAAGAGAGAGATTGAAGGAAGGTGCTCAGCAGGAGGGAGCTCCCACCTCGACCTTGCCATAATGCACCTTGGCAGTGACTCGTGCGACGCGTGCTGGGTCCTCTTGACGGAGATCTTTTGCTGCGGGTCCTTTTCCACTGTCTTCACAGACAAAAGAGACACACATGTCCTTCTCCAAAGTCAATCCGTTGCACTGCTTCTCGTGAATATGCGCATCATCACCTCCCTTCTTTCTGACGATGAATCCAAACCCTTTCTCCATGTTGAAATTCTATCAAGTCGTCAGGATGGCTTCTTGCTGTTGGCCTCAGTCGAAGATGGAAAGGAAACTTCATACCTTGACAGTACCGAACTCACGACCCTCGTCAGAAAGGATGGGTTCGGGGACGCTGTCCTCCTTGCGAATTTTCTTAGCAGTGTCGCCCTTCTCGGTATTTTCCAGGATGAATGAGACTGGCTGCCCGACGTATGGCTCAACACTGCCAAACTCTCGCTTGTGGCCAAAGACATCGTCGCCACCCGAGCAGCGGCCGATGAACGCGAAGCCTTTCTCCTCATTGTAAGACTTGACCTTGCCAAGCTCACGTTCGCCTTCGTCCTCTTCAACAGCCTCTTCCATCATCATGCTGCCCTCCTCTTCCCGGACGTTCTTGGCTGAAGCACCCTTCGGGCCCTCCTCGAATGCAAAGGAGACAGCTTGGCCTACGACAAAGTCTTTGCCTCCGCACTCTTTCAGGTGCACGAAGGCATCGTCCCCGCCATTAGCACGACCAATGAAACCAAATCCTTTCTCGGCATTCCATCTCTTGATCGTTCCCATCTCACGCACTTCTTCTGTCACGGTACCGCCCTCCTCTTCGCGAACATTCTTAGCCGAAGCGCCCTTTGGGCCTTCCTCAAATACAAACGACACAGCCTGGCCCTCAACAAGATCTTTGCCCCCGCACTCCTTCTTGTGCACAAAGGCGTCGTCTCCGCCGTTAGCACGGCCGATGAAACCGAACCCTTTCTCTGCGTTCCATCTCTTGACCGTTCCCATCTCGCGGGCCGAATCATTCTCCACTACAGCTTCTTCGATCAGAACTTGTTTCGCCTTTCCGCCCTTCTCATCACTCTCGTAGACGAAGGAGACTTTAGATCCGGGTACCAGAGCGGCACGGTTGGGGGTCTCACTGTTGTGGCAGAAGAGGCTGTCGCCGAAGTCAGGGCGCGAGATGAATCCGAAGCCTTTCTCGGTCCAGCGCTGGCGGCGAGTTAGTCGTGAGTTCAAAAGGGGGCTGAGACTTGGAACAGTAAATATGGACTTGTATATGGGTGAGGTGGCGGCTTACCTGGACTACACCATACTGTCGTTCTTCCGCCATAATGGTGTGCTTGACAGATGGATGGGTGCTGAGCTTTGACGAGAAAGAGAGTTGAGACGGATGCCTAGCTAGGTCTATCTTCAAGATCCTGTAGTTTTGGAGGTCGTATGTGGTGGCTGAGTGGGAAATGTTCTGGGAATCTCGAAAAGTGAGTGTTTATAAAAGACTTCAGTTTGGCAAATGATTCCGTCACGCCGCGCCAATCAGAAGCGCGCTTGTTGCATTCACTTCGATCCAGAGGATCAAAGCCAGCATTGCCTGAGCAAGTGGTTTGTTTGCTTCTTTTCCATAGAATAGAGCCAGATAACAGGTTTTTACTTTGAGTGGTGAGCTTTAATCTTGGGGTCCACCAATGCTTCAACACGAGAGATCTGATGACCCGATCATGTAGTGGATTCCCAAACTGCTCACTCCATGAAAAACGCAAACATCTGTCTTGTGTTCCGATCCACTTTTGCTGCTGGCTCACAGGTAAGAGAAGGTAGCAAAAGTCATGTATAGGAGCGATAATTCTGAATGAAGTCCTACAGTCCAGGCGCGGTGCCAGAAGAATGTGACCCTGTTCACGGAGTTTTCTCAAAGTCGATTTCGTCTTAGGGATCATTGAAAGTACTGCCTTTCTGCGCCATCTGCCGTGCAAAGTGCTCGAAAGCTTGAGCGGTCAGCCGCCCAGCTTCACAGTCTAGCTTTCCACCGCGGTTCTTATCACGTCCTTTGATCCCAACCCATCGAGCCCATCGAGGTAATGTCCGGGTCTCATATTGAACTGCTGCCATCGCTTTCTTTCCCCTTTTACCGCTCGTCCGGAAGACTTGTTCTCCCCAAGAGCACCGCCTGATGAGGGACTGTTGGGATTATCGGAGGCTGTGCTAGTTGCGGCGGCGGGCACTGAGACTTTTGGCAAGAACTTCGCTGCATCGGCGTGTACTGCCTGCTTTACACTTATTGGGTTCCATCATCTGGCGTCCACCTTTTCCATGTCTTCGCCTTTCTCGATCTCTCACTATCCGTTTGTTCGAAGACGCCTTCTTTCTCCACCCTCTCCAAAACCTCATCCACCAACTGCGTTGGCCCCTTTCCTGTATCTCTCTCCGTCTCTGTCAAGTTACCACTCACCCCCTTTGACCCCTCTGATTGCTCATCCGGCCCCTCACGCCAGATGCCCAACCCACCACTCCTACCTCCTTTCTTCCCAACCACTCTAACATCATCAATGACACACCCCTTGTCAACACCTTTACACATATCCACAACTGTCAGCGCGGCGCCCATGACTCCGGTAAGCGCTTCCATTTCTACGCCCGTCCTCGCCGTCGTCTCGACCTGCACTGAGATGCGGACGCCTCCGTAAACCCCGATGGGCTCAGAAAGCTGCAATGTTTCCTCGAGCCCCTGTTCTTCCCATATCGAAGTGTAACTTTCGGGTTGTGTGTCAAAGTTGGAAAGACCGACCGGCTCAACACGTACGATGCACCCTTCAACAGGCACGCCGCCATGCGCTAGAGGTATGAAATCGCTGGTTTTCTTGACGGCTTGGACAGCGGCTATGCGGGCGACAGCTAGTACGTCACCCTTTTTGATGGCATTTTGACGGATCAAACCCAAAGGTTTATGATTAGAGAAACGGACGTGGCCGATAGCGACAGCGACGCGGTGGGTGACGGACTTGGCGCTGGTGGATATGAGGTGGATTTCGGACGAGGATGTTAGATGTGGAAGGGACGAAGCGGCCAATTTCGCAGAAGAGGTCGAAGATGACTCCGGAGGTGGTGTCTTAGGAGATGTGGTGGAGATTGCGCGGATGGTGGTCATGGATTGGTACGTGCCAAACCAAAGGTGTAATGGCACAGCGAGGGGTGTAGTCGCTAAACGGAGAGTTGTAGACCTTGGCCTCCTTTCTTTGTTTAGAAAAGGCGCTGGCCATGAACAGAGATGCATTGGAGTAGGCCAAGCGCTGGCAGGTGGATTGTCTGAGCCCACCAAAGTCAGTAAACAGAAACACACTTTCACGATGTCATCTTAGCGCAGAGGGAAAGAGAGCGGCAGAAAATTTCCACATACATCAGTCGTATCGCAAAGTGCAGAAGAGAGATCCAGTCATGATATACATTCGTCTCTTCACATTCGACATTCAATGAACGAGAATCCGCCTACCCACCAATCAGAATCATCGGCCTGTTCTTCATATTCTCTAATTCGCCCATGCCAGCATGCTTCTCCTTCTTCCTCTTCACCGCCATACCAATCAGTCCCAAAAGTTCTCTTTCTCTTTCACCATACCCTAGCGGCTGCACATCTCCCGGCAGCGCCTGCCTTTTATCCATCTCGACTTGCTTGATCGCTTCCATCGCTTCCTCATCGATTGGTTGCCCATTGTTGCCTTCTCGCAACAGGTCCCTGAGGCTAACTTCGGCGTTTCCAAAAAGGCAAACCTTGAGATTCCCATCACTCGTAATCCTTAACCGATTACAGCTCCCACAAAAGTTGTGCGTCATACTCGTGATAAATCCAATCCGCCCCCTAAACCCCGGCACTCTAAACGTCTTACTCGTATCATTCATCTCATCTCTCACCTTCTCCAAGTTCGGGTGCCTCTCTCTAATCATGCCCAGCATCTCCTTATAACTCAACATCTTCCCCTTCGCCCACTTGTTGCCATCGAATGGCATATACTCGATGAATCTAACCTCGATATCTTTATCCCGTCCCATCTCCACAAAGGGAATAATCTCGCGCTCGTTGATACCGCGCATGACGACGCAATTTATTTTCAGCTTGATGCCCGCGCCGAGGCGGTTCATTTCGAGTATTCGGTCAATGCTGCGGATGACGGCGGAGAAGCCCTGCCGGCGAGTCATGATTTGGAATTGGAAGGGGTCGAGGGTATCGAGGGAGAGATTGACGCCTGTGAGGCCTGCTTCTGCCATGGAGTCTAGTTTTCTGTGGAGGGCGATGCCGTTGGTTGTGATGCATAGCTCCTTCAGCCCTTTACTTCGCAGACTCCCGATCTCGTGCATGAGCGGCACTATGTCCTTCCGAATCGTAGGCTCCCCTCCTGTCAACCGTATTTTCGTGACGCCCTGCGAGACGAACAGCGCGGAGAGGTAGGATATCTCAGGCGTGGTGAGGAGGTGTGAAGCCGGGGAGAGCGGCACCCCTTCTTCAGGCATGCAGTATGTGCAACGTAGGTTGCAGCGTTCGGTAATAGAGATCCGTAGGTAGTCATGTTGGCGCGAGAAGTTGTCGGTCAGGAAGTCGGAGAAGGGTCTTGCGTCTCGGAGTGGCTGTTTGCGGGTTGTAGGGGGCGATTCAGTCAGTGGATGTGGTTGTGGTGGAGTGCGGAATGGGAATGGCGGAATATCATCGAAGGGCACCGGTTGCTGTGTAGCTGTTACAGCTGAGGCGATGCCTCGACGTTCTTTGGGCCAGCCTCGAGGCAAAAGGTGGGGTGGCTTTGCGGGCTTCAGCCGGCAAATGGCACGAGGGAGTAAGAACTCCATGACTGGTAACAAAGGAAGACAAGGATCCAAAATCCAGCATGGCTACCACGAAAACTTTGAAATCAAGACAATGGGAATCATTGGGAACCATAAAGATTTCGAAAAAATTGCGGCTTTGGTCATGCCAACGGGTGTCGCCGAGATGTCCGAAGGAACGTCATACCTACGCGGTAAGTTTGAACACAAAGGGAAACAATGGTTACGGACACAGGGAAAGTATCGACGAGGGAAGTCGAAGACTGAGCGGAGGAAAGTGAAGTTTGATATAGATAATTGTTTGGTTGTAGTCTATATAAAGTACAACTAAAAGAGGCCGTTGAGAGATGGCAGAGCTGAGTCCGCCATCAATAACCACCATCAGAATCAGAAAAGAGAGATGATACATCATCTAGCACAAGCAAGGCCGTCACATTCATGATAAACACTATGAGAACCCCCCCCCCCTCACAACCCGAAACACCGATGATAAAGAAATCACAGGTGCGAGGTGATGGCAGCTACCCTTGACGAAGCTGCATCAAGCCTCGAGCACAAACGCTCAAACCTTTCGATGGTCGCTGAACTGACTTCTTGAGGCTCGCCGGGATCTTCTGCAATGACAAGTTCAAGTCGGCCAAAAGCCTTCTCAAGCTCAATCTCGCCAAAGATGCGATCTTCAGGTTTCATCGCAGCTGGCTTCGAAGAGGTACATGGTTGGTCGATGAAGAGAGCAAAAGCAGGGTCAGAGACGTCGATGTCGACCTCTTGCGGGCGGCGTTCGATGACTTCGGGCATTGTGATCTTCTCGGCTGATGCTGGCATAGGCTCGACCTCTGCGGGCTCATCCTTGAAGACATCGCTAGAGTAGGAGCCAACGAAGTTGGATGTCTTGCCGTGGAGCATTGCGAAGCTCATCGAGTCGACAGCTGGACCTTGGGGCAGTTCAATGACAGCGTAGACTTGAGCGTCGTAGAGGCCACGGAAGTCCACATTACTGTCAGTCCAGCCGTTGTTCGCAGACTCGGCACCGTTGTATTGGAAAGGGTTCTCCTCGGGGATCATGGTCATACCAACGTGGGTGTTTGAGTTTTGCGATGGTAATGGACCGGGGGTGGTCTGGTTTGGGTTGACGTCTTTGCGAGGAGTGGCGGATGGAGGTCGAGAAGCTAGAGTTTGCGATTGTGGACGTGGAATCTCTGGCATCGACGCAGGCGCCCCAGTGCCACTCAGGTCGTTCAAAAAAGTGGAGAAAGCTGGCGATGACAAAAGCATGCGTGTCAAGTCGGTCAAGCGAGTGTTCTCTGCCACCAATTCCTCGTTCTTCGCTCGCAATTCGTCGGCCTCGCTTGCTTTGGCGGCGATCTCTCCTTCTAGTTGCCCAATGTATTCTATGTAGATGTCAGAAATTTTCATATTGCGTTGTTTACCAAGAGTCATACCCTTTCGTCTCGAACGGAAAGCCCTCGCGGAGACCTTGTTCCTCAGCTGGCGCCTCTCCTTGCTGCTCAGCTTCTTCCCTTCCTCACTTGCCAGCAGCCTCTCATCCTCATCCATGTCCTCCTCGTCTTTTCTCATGCGAGCACTGTTTGAAAGGGTACCATTTCCTGTTGGCGTGGCAGCATCGTCATCGTTTGACGAAGCAACGCTGCTGTGTCTCATCTGATTGAGCAGGCGAGAGATGCTCTCTTCGACGATTGGATCAGTAGGAGGTTTTGAAGTGCTTCCGTTGCGGCTGGCTTGACGAGAGTGCGTTGAAGGCAAAGGCTTCTGTGTTGCCAAGGTTCGTTGCTGTTGTTGTTGCTGCTGAGCTTCGGCTTGAGCCTTTGCTAAAGCCGCTTGCTGTTGATGCATACCTGGCCAGACGCGACCTGGATGAGCTTGGGTTGTAAGGGATTGCGGCGTGCTTTCCTGTCCACCGATGGCAGCCGGGTCGACGAAGCTGGAGTTCAGCACAGGCAAGTCGTTGGTCGGAGAGTTGTTGAAGTCGATATCCATATCGATAGAGGAGCCCAAGCCAAGAGCAGATCCAAATTGCAAGTAGTCGTCGCCGGTGTTTATGTCCATGCCGAAGTATCCATCTGATGGTTGCATTGTGCCATAGAACTGTTGATTCCGGCCATAGCTGAATTGGTCCACCTGATTGAGAGCAAAAGTGTTGGCCAATGCACCGACCGGCAGACCAGCTTGTTGCTTATATTGCTCATATTGATGGCTTGGACCGGCAAATTGTTGGGTTGATTGGATTGGATATCGCGAAGTCTGATTGTTTGTTGACGACGTGGGAGTGCTGACAGACTTGGAGTGAGCGGATAGAGGTGAGATGGATGGAGTTGGGACAACAGTCTGGTCATAATTGATGAAGCTGTCCGGATCGAAGCAACTGCCTACTGGAGATGACTCCGTTGAAGGTTCCAGTTTGAATGTAGTCATGGTATCGTGTGATGAGTTGCGAAACACGCAATCGTCTATGTCGGCCTTCCGAATGTCGTAGGTAGATGAGGTTGGAGGATGCAGGACCTCAATGATGACCAGTCGTTGGTGTTTTGCTTGTTCACAAACGGTTGCCTGATGGGTCGCTTATGTTGACTCTCTCCTGGCTATTCCGATCTTCCCGACTCTTTCATCCGCAACAACGATGACTATTGCCGTTATCAGCTAAGGAACCATGCGGTGAAACTGCTGTTGATAGTAGAGAAGAGGTTTAGGATAGTGTGAGTATCAAGCAGGAGCGAGAGCATGAATGTGGTGGAACAATGATGAAGTCTCGAGATTGCTGGGGGGGCACGGCAGCAGCATCTAAATTTAGGTGGACGATCTTCCGGGCAGTGCAACGCGGCCTTACCGGTAGCTGCACCACGCAACAGCAGTGAACCACTGTCAACCAATCGCTCCAACGCTCTCGTGCCAAGCCCTCGCACTTGGCGGGTCGGTAAAAGGATCTGGCTCTCTCGGTGTCCCGGTGTCTCGGAAGAGTTTAGCGTATTTGGCGTGGCGCATCGAGACTCTGTCGACAGGTCTCTGGCAAGAGATGTCAAGTACCTACGATACGATACTTTATTATTGGCTCACCACAACGATATTGAATAACAATCAAAATAAGAATAATCCTAATAAGACGAAGAAGAAGAAGAAGGAAAAGAAGAGTGCTTGTTTCAACACAGACAGTTTTGGCCCTGCTGATATATCTACGCGGGGATGAAGATCAAGAATACCTCGTACTCGTACTTCAACGGTCGTTTCACTGTCTCTCCGTTTGCCGGTTGAGACTCTGCTTCTCTGCCTCTCATCAGTCTCTGTCGGCTTCGATCTGAGGACTCGATTAGATACTCGTGATCCGACCGCACCAAGTGCGAGCGGTGATTACAGAGATACGCCTGCTAAAGCTGGGCATATTCCGGTACTTTTACTTCCGGAACTTTTCTGCTTCAGATTTGAACCTCCCTTAAGGATTGCATCCTACGTAGGACGTCATTACTCCCTGCTTCCGTACACGAATTGCTGAGGTTGTGTTGTACCTTGCTCCTCGACGGTTACTTGTCGTGCCGTGACTTGCTTTTCAGTGAAAAGCTCCTCCAGTATGACTTTTACAGATATGCAACAAGCGAGGATCTTGGACATGATTTTCTGGCACGGCTCCTGTAGCTTTCCGTTGGTGAACGGTGAAAATAGGTTCAAGAACAGGGACTGTGCCAATTGCAATAGGATGAACCCCTGAAAACAACGGACAACATTAGACAATATGGCCCCCGGAAAGGCTTCGAAGGCCCAAAAAAGGGCACGTCTTACTCGTCTTTCAGTGAGCGGGGTCTAAGCCTGCTGGAAGTCTTATATTTGTTATCAGTAGCTTCTGCTTCTCCTGTCCATCGAAGATTTCGAGCCCGCTAGGCTTCGTGGGGCGGTCTTTCGTCTCCCATCGGCACAAATGTGCATTCTTCCATCTTTGTCTCCCTTTCATACCTTCTGGTACTGTAAAAGAAGACCTAGAGCGCCGTTTGAATATGCAAATGGTTTCAAGCTGTTGTAATGGAAACATGTGAGCTGATTCGAGTGAAACATCGTTGCCTTTCACTTCAAGGGCAGGCAATCGCTATTCTCAACCTCGAATTTGGCGCTAGGACCAGCATAAGTTTCCAGCTTGAAATGAATCCACCTTCGTGGATTGCAGATTACACAGACGCAGTTGGAATTTTTGGCTCTCGTATGATGCAGCTGAAGAATTTGTCGCTCCTCCGAATGAACACAGGTGTGGAACGAGTTTAGCGGAAACATTTTGAGGCAAACGTCGTTGGCATCGTTGAGAGATAGGATGTACCATGATCTGCCTCATCCACCCACGGATGGAGCTTTCAAGTCAAAAGAACATATCCAACTCGATTGGGGAAAGATGAAACAAACAACTCTGGACACTTTTCGGTCACGACAGCCAGGCTGTTCTGTGCTGGACGATTCAGGCTATGTCACAAGTCATTGTCTTGCGTTCCCTCTGTCCGACTATCCCGTTCCAATTGCCGTTCTCCAAGCCTCTGCTCGCAACGAGCGTACAGTATTGTCTTTGTCCAGATACCTCTGTTAACAATGCGTTGGTCCTTTGTCCTGCTAGAAGGCGGACCTCGAGCTGAACAAAATGCCACTGACAATGCATTGAATCTTGAACAAAGATACTATGCCATTGTCCAGAAAGTTGATGCGAGGAAGCAGTCCTTACATTTGACGCCTCTCTGCTTCCCAATTGCTCTCCAACCATCCGCTGTGTGCAACATCCCTTCTCACTCTCTCACTCACTCATCTCAGTCAGCTCTGCCAGTCAGATCATTCGGTCAGAAAGCTCACCCAAACACGTAAGTCTTCTTCTTTCGAGACTCACTCACATCCTCTTTCCAGCGACCATGGGTCTCGGCAGCACCATCTCCCGCAACCCCTCGGTTGCAGGCTCATCCATGTATGAGCCCTTCCATCGAACCAGCTCAGGATCATCAACCGTGCATTCTGCACTGCGTTCCGCCTCATCCATCTATGAATCGTCTGCCCCCCAATCCAGGTCCTCCTCCACCCTACGTGCGACCTCAAGTAGGGCAAGCACGTCCGCTTCAACCTCCAAACCTTCCACCGTGCGTGCTTCGACCGTCACCTCCGGGACCTCTATGTCCAAACTGATGCGGTCCGCCTCCACCGCGTCCACAAGTCGCGAAAGCTCGTCTCCTTCTTTAAGTTCCACTGTGCGCCCTCCAACCGTCGCCTCTAGAACTTCTAAAAAACCTGCTGTACGTGATTCAACCGCAACCTCCACGTCCAAGCTTATTCGATCCGCTTCTACGGCCTCCACACTGCGTCCACTAACATCAACTCCCGCATCCTCCACCACCAGCCTCCTTCGCTCAACCTCTAAGCGCGCTCCCTCACACTTCTTGACCACCGCAAGCCGCATCCTCTGGGGGCGTCCACCACCCAGCCATTCCACGCTACAGCCGTCCCAAATTGCCGCCCTCACGCACACCCTCTCCCTCCCCGTGGAGACTCCAATGCTTTCCAGTGTCGTAGGCGCCCTAGGTGTGCCGCTAAGTCGAAGCCAATTCTCCCCTACCCCGAGCTGTTTCTGCAACGCTCACTTCTGGTTCGAGCAGAAATACATCGACGAGCTGACCGAAGTCATCACGCACGAGATCGGCCCTCAACTCGACAAGCTGAGGATAGCTCCCCGGGAACTCATCTCAAGAAAGACCGAACGCCTCCTCTCAACCCTCCAGCCCTACCAAGACATCCTCACCAGCACCACCGACACCAGCAGCATCCTCAGCATGGAACCCACCTGCCCGGCCTGCACGCTGAGCCACTTCTTCCAAAACCCCGCCGCGGTCAACGCGCTGACTCTGGCCGTCAAGGGCCGGAAACACCGCGCCCATCCGTGGCCCGCCAGCATGGCCTGGCTCGACCCCTGCCCCGGTAGGGAATGGGAAGCCAAATGGAGATCGGAAGGCAAATCCGTCGCGCACGACCGCGTCCGCGTGCAGCGCTGGCGGAGGGACACCCGCGCGCACGAACGAGTGCCCGACGCGCCCCCGCAAGTGCTGGGCCATCAGCCGGGCGAGGGGTGCGACTTCTGCGACGCCCTGCGCCTGGAGCGGGCGGATGAGGCGGAGTTGGACGCCGCGATCGCGGAGGAGGAAGAGGAAGGCGACGGGAAGCAAACGCGCGCTGGAGGAGAACCGGCAAGGTATAGCGGAGCTGCAGACGAGATCCATGATGATGATGATGACGATGCTTCCGATTCCGAAACCCTCCGATCCGACTCCTCGACAACCCTCCGCGCGATGGAAGAAGAGAGTATCATCAAAGGCTACCTGAGACCACCGACGACAACGACGGACTCCGCATACCGCCCCCGGCCCGACGCCGACGGCAACAAAGCGGCGCAGGAAGCGAGGAGGAGGTCGTCCGTGATGGGGGGCTACCTGGCCCACAGGGGCGGGAGAGTGGAGGGAGAGCGGGCGAAGAGGGCGAGCGATTGGGCGAGGAGTTATCAGTGTTTGGTGGGGCGGAGCCCGGATTCGCAGACGACGTTGCTGTGTGAGCGGTATTCGGAGCCTGGGTTGAGGGCCGTTGAGGGGTGGATCTAGAGGGCGGGTGGGTGGGGTGGGGGTTGGAATTCGGGTGCACTGTAGACAGGATTTGGTTCTTGTTTTCATGATGATGGATAGAGCACACTGGATGTCAGGTGAGAACCCGCATTATCCACACTTTCCGTTGTTACATTTCCCAGCAATGAATGGCTCATACAATTTCACACGTAAGAACCTTTTTTTGTGCTTTAGACGTGGACGATCGAACGCTATGATATCTATTGTATTACGCGATTGTCTGGAGCATATGAAGATATGACAAACTCTAGGCAGATGGCGTAATTGGATTATAAGTGTTTCTCCCCTTCAATGCAGAAGGGGTAGAGCCCTGTAATCGAGCGCCTCATTTGAGAAGACTATACACCATGTCCCGACGATAAGGACCTCCATTCCTTGGAGAATATACAGGAATCGTACACCGGCCCGCATGCAACCTCAAACCCAGAACGAAGGTTGGTTTTGTACAATTAAACATCACTCCATTAGCATACCATTTGAGGTACTAGAACAAGATTGCTACCTGCTCCCATCAACTCCGATGATGCCCCTCGCCCTTCCATGCATACTTGTCGGTACCCGATCCCTCAATCCTTTGAAGCCGTCTTTGGACGATAGCGTACTAGGTGCTCTCTTCCTCGGACTTCGCCTTAGGAAGCCTCTGGCCTCTTTCTCTTCATACGCTTCATCGACTAGGACACCCGGCCCGCCGTCCTTCTTATCATCTAAGATCTGCTGACGAGAGCCTGCTGCTTGGAGCTCTGCTTTTCCGGCTGGAGGCTCAGGCTGGCGGTTTTTGATGGGTATTGATGGTAGGTCGGTAGCGTCTCGCAGATCATTTTCGTAAGGCTTTGGGTCTTGGGTGCCGCTGTCTGCGGGGTTTGAGTGTGTAACTGTGGTCTTTTTGTTATCAGTATCGAAAGCTTTTTGTGCAGCGAGGCGCGAGCGCTCGTAGCGGGCAGATACGTCTCCGCCGGTCCAAACCGTGCCGAGAAGTCGGTCCCAGAAGGTAAAAAATGGTTGTGAGAAGTTCGTCTTGATGCCCCAACTCTGATGGTGCACATCGTGGTAGCCGGCATTGTTTGACGTGATGTGTTGTAGAGGGTCCCAGGGCAAAGCGTATCCACAGTGATCATCGACAGTCTTAATAGTTGAGCCTGCAAAGAAGACCATTCCTTGTCGCGTATTCATCCCAGCGAGTTTGTATGCTATACTTGCGCCAAGCGTGTCCAACAGAAATCCTTCAAATGGGTGATTGTACAGGGCACCGTAGGCATAGGGTACATACAGGCGGTGGTGGCGTGAGTGGAATGTGGCTATTACCACCGGTCAGCAGTTTGCAATTCAAAACAGAGCTTCCAAGAACGTACTGTAGAGCCACTTGTTCATATGCATCGCCCGGTGCAGGAAGTACTGCCATGTATCCACCACCAGAATTGCCAGCCCGAATTGGAGGGCGGGTACCAGAACCCAGTAGATGGCAGAAGCAAGCATGAGCTCCCAGCCAGCAAAGCCTGGCGTACCCACTTTTGAAGCACTGCCAACAGCGCTCAAATTTTCCAGCGACGGGTACTGCCCTCCCTGAAGCGCACCGGCGAGCGTTGGATGCGACGCTCCGAGAGTCTTGGCAATCCCCCTAGCGTCCAGGCCCACAGTAGCCAGCAATCTTGGTATACTCTTCTCCGCAATCCTGATTCGTCTCGCCCACACTGCCACATCATACTGCTCCTTCCCAAAGAAGTCGTCCGGTTCCGTCATGCCAAGCACCCACCCAACAGCCGTCTGAACGACCTGCTGTATCAGCACATCCCGTATGACCTCCCATCTTGAGACCCGATTGCGCTTTGAGACTTCGGCGGGTGTGTGTAATCGGTATTGTGGAAAGTAATCTTTTGTGTCGATCCAGTGGAAGAACATTGAGAGGGCCCAGTAGGCGAAGATTGGTAATAGGAGAGTGAGGAGCTTGTCGGGTATTGGAGGAAGTAAGGACGGAAGCGGAGTGAGATGGTACTCTGGGAGGGGCGGAAGGTTCGAAAAGTCAATCATGGCCGATGCTGTAGCCATCTGGCTTTCACTGAGGTCAATGGATGTACTGCTGACTCGGCACGCGGCGGGTGTTGGGCCTTTGCGGCCTGGAAGTACAAAAGCCCAGTGGGAATCAAGCTCAGAGATGGTAAGATTTATTAGAGGTTTGTATAGTGATATTTCCGACGGTGAGGGCAGCGAAGACAGCGTGAATGAAAAGCAAAGGAGTGTGTAGAGACGGGTAACAATGAAATGCACTTTCGTGCTTTGACTGCGGTTGGTTGGACGTCACCAATTTGCCACCCTTACTCAGCCTCTCCGGGATCCTTGTCTAACTCGATAGAGTAAGCCCTCCTGGCGGCTAATGCCCGGCGTCCGCGATTTTCACCCCACTACGGATTTCAATTGCCCATCTCTGAACAAATTTTTGTCTTCGCTCGAAATTTAATAAAACTCTTTTTGGGCTTCCCTAGGGACTATTCTTCTCGAATTACTTATAGACATCTTTATCCATCCACCGATCTAAAAGCTCTCACCATGATTATCTACAAGGTTTGTATCCTCACCGCATGGAGCCCCGCTTGCCAGCATGGCAGACTGCCCAGAGAGTTCGCAACTTGAGCGCCCAATGACTGATTTCCTGCATCACAGGACATCGTCACGGGTGACGAAATCATCTCCGACACCTACAACCTCAAGAACGTTGACGACGTCGTTTACGAAGTCGACTGCAGAAAGGTCACAAAGGGCGCTGACAACATCGACATTGGCGCAAACCCTTCTGCCGAAGAACAAGAGGAGGCGCTCGAGGAGGGGACCAAACAGGTCATCGATGTGGTCGATGGGTTCAGGTTGAACTACTTGGGAGATGAGTCGAGTGGGCAGAGGGCGTTTCAAACGAAGAAGGATTTCCAGGGACAACTCAAAGGTGCGTTTGGGCTTCCGATCTACCGTAGGAGGGGGTGGTCAGCCCGAGCAAGGGATGCTGATTCAGTGTGCGATGGACAGGGTATTTGAAGAAGGTGGTTGAGAAACTTAAGGAAGCTGGCAAGGATGAGGACTTTATCAAGGGGTTCCAGAAGGGCGTGCAGGGATACTACACCAAGCATATCGTGCCCAATTTCGCCGACTTGGACTTCTACACCGGCGAGTCTATGGATCCCGATGGAATGTATGGGGTCTCCTCCAATCTATTGGACTGCCAACCTCGAATCTATATTAACGTTGCTTCGCAGGGTCGTGTTCCTCAACTACCGCGAGGACGGTGTTACACCGTATGTTATTATCTGGAAGCATGGCTTGTCCGAGATGAAGGTTTAGATGCAGGAATTAGATGTCAAAATGGAGTTTGTGCGATATGCCCAACTCTGCTTTCAAAGTTGGAAGGGTTCTCTGGGCATGACCAAATGGATCACTTGCAAGTTTTGATGTATGAATGCAACGAAGACTGCATGGTCGTAACACACTTTCAGTATCTGGCGAGGATATGCAATGCCATTGTATGCCGTTGCTCTATGCTAAAAATATGCTCCGCAGATCTGGGCCCTTGGCCATAGCACTTCTCCACGGCAACATACCACTCTACTAGCAATCCGACTCTGCAAGGCATACATCTGAAGATCTGAAATTGGGTCCGAAATCATAACATATGCACAACATTTCTTTCGTGGAGCTCAGTGCAAGGCTAATGGAACGTGCTCAGAAGCCACACTGTGTCCGAAGTTCTGGACTCCTATCCTCAACTGGCAAATCCTCCAATGCGTGTTTAAGCAAGCCAATACGGTTCGAAGATGCGCAGATTCGAAGAGTATTCCTTCGCCTCAGTGGCTGTCCCCTGGGCTATTTGAGTTACCAGAGGCTGGCGTTTCCCTCGCAGGTTGACAGGGTAGTCGAGGTGGAAGATTCGAGGGCAAAGGTAAATCTCGGTACGGGTGCAGTATCCCATCGTCTGGCAGGGGGTAAAATTCAGGGGTTCCGACCGAACATAAAAAACCCCATAGCATGTTAGTGTAATTCAATGCGCCTTTTCCAACAAAATCTTAGTGTCGCGATTAATCTTTATAAGCAGATCTGAGATTCTATAATAGAAAATAAGTTTGTGATTTTTTTTTTTTAAAAATTTTTTTTTGTTAAAAATAAGTATTTTTCTGCCAGAATTTTACCCCGCGCCGACGATGGTATAAATCACGTGACCGTCCTTGCCAAATATCTGTCCACGTGGTTGAGCCAAGTCCAAGGGTCTCAAGACATGAGCCATATGATAAGAGCGCGTTGGCAACGTCCATTGCGATCATTGCATGGAATCTTGGGAAGGACGAGGTCTCCGCATCTGCTTTCTGGGTTGGCAAATTGCGGATATTCAAAGTCTTGAGGTATTTAAGCCGACTAAACTGATAAAGATGCTTGCGAATCAATAAGCCTTTGTCTTCTGTTAACAGCGCGATAGTTGACTTACCGCATGGTCTCCACTGGTGAGAGCGTCCACGGCCAACCCAAGCTCTCGTAGATTAGGGCAATTTTCAACGATCTTGTCAAGGGAACTAGACATCATAAATGCAGTAGCTGTATTGGTAGATTCATCAAGCTTTGTCCGAGCACCTTGTCTTTGGTCCCAAACTAACGTCCGCAGAGTTGATCCATGGTTGCCAACGAAGCAATCCGGGGGCAAGAAGGGACCAGAACCTTCGAGCAGGACAGCCAGGTGTACAAGCCCTTTTGAGGCAAGCAGGAAGGCCTTTAAGCCGTCTTGAAATGACGCGTCGGAGCATTCTTGTCTTAGTCTGAAGCTACGAAGCTGAGGTAATAGCGGTGGCGCATCTGGAATTCGCTGAGGAGATAGCGTGGGGAAGCCTTGCCTCAAATTGAAACAAGACTCCAAGCAAAGCGAAGTGAGCTTTTGAATGTCCAACATTGTGGGTGCTCCAATCTTGGGGGTAATGCCACAATCAATCCCAACGAGGTGGAGCGATTGAAGAGTCAAAATCGACGTCCGTAGACTTGATTGTTCGTCAAGCTTGCTGGAACCCTGGGTTGGAAGGCTCTTGCGTATACCATCATCCAGGTCTTGGGTAAAGTCCGATGCTTCGCTCGCGGTCAAGAAATCTTCTTTGCCAAGATATGACTGCGCAAGAAATGTCTCGCAGCCAAGTTTCAAATGAGTCAACGAGTTGTGGCTGCTGGCCACAGACTTTGACGCCCAAGACAATGCAAAGTTCAGATGCATACCTCCAGCATCAAGTGTGGTGAGTGCGGAAAAGTCCGCTTCGAAAGTCCAAGGAAAGATGTTGTAGATTTGAAGGGTTGTGAGGCAATGACCGTGACGTCTAGCGACAAGCTCAAGCGTCTTTCTCGAAACTCTGGTAGCGTGACACCAACTGCGTGTGTAAGAATGAGCGCTATTGTGATCGAAGATTGGGCGGGACGAACGACTCACCGGAAGGTTTGTAGGCACCCGTTCGGGACTTTGCTGATCAGCAGCCGTAGGAGGATGTTCAGCACCTTAGGTTGGTAGTTCCATTGACCACAGTCATCCCCTTGGTCCTCCCATTTACCGCCATCACCGAAGTCCAAGCCGTCATCCTCAGGGTCGTACGATTCACATGGTGCCCCCAATTTATCATTCTGCATAGAGATGATGATACTTCTAGTGAACTGCAACCCTTCAGCACCAGAATCGAGAAGGGCTTCCAAGAACATTGCCGATGACCAAGGACGGGGAAGGACGATAGAAAGCTCTCTATAGAGCCTGGGCTGCATGGCAGAATTGAGCTGTTTGCAGGTTCTACTTAGACTGTTGAGTTGGGAAGGCCGGTAGAGCTGGGACTGCTGTCAGCTGGAGGCCATGTTCTGGAAGGATATATCCATGATTTAACGAACACATGAGGCGATTTTGTCTAATATTTCCACCGGGAGTGCGGTGAGCCTTGAAGCTTTCAAGCGGGCGGACACTTTCAACCCCGCATCTAAATCCATATTGATGGCGGACGAGTATTCGAACTATGAATTGTTGTGACTCCGTATAGTTAATGTAGGCGTTATCAAAATAAGGTACTGAAGAAGGAGTAGGGTGTTGAGGGTGAAAGCATAAAGGCGTGTGAAATTAGAATGAACGGGCAAGAACCATCCCCAAGGCGCGATATATTCTACATAGCCCTGATTCTTTGGTTTCAATGAAGAGTTTCTCACCCAGGACGTGGCTGACTAGCATGACTTGCGTACTTTAGTTGACCATCGTGCCGCTTAGAGACATTGTCACCCGCAGCCAAAGAAGTAAGGACTGTGAGATGCTACGGCATCACTTTGCAGATCACAGTCGCCAGCCCGCGAGAAGCAGGTCCTTCGGTGTCATTCGTCTCAAAGCTAGCTTAATAACTTAAGACAGCCCTGCAATGCTTACTTTAGAGAGGCTGGAGATTACGAGATTTCTTCGGATGTGCATGCCGAACTATCGCCGGGATAACCCCGAATCTTACCCGGAGAGCCGCTATTCCCAGCATTAAAGACTGACGCTAGGCTAAAAGGATGAGGGAAGCGTCGGAGGACTGGTTCTGCAATCGAACGTCGTGCAGACTTGGCAGAACCCTCTTTCAAAAACCGCAATGTCGCGAACCGATGGAGATGCAGAACATGTCAGTGGTTACTTCTACAGGGCAGCTGCGAGCGATTGCTCCGACGGCCATCTCGCGAGGAAACAGTTCAATTGCACTTTGAGCATCTTCCATCAGTAGATCTTGAGTCATCTAAACAGAGGAAGAAGCTATAATCATTGCTGCGGGCCTGTAGCTAAGCAGGGCTAACATACTTGATGTTGGATAGGAACCTTCTAAGCCGGACCATAACTCGAAGGCAAGCAGTAGCTCGGCAGACCACGAGGAAACAACCGCAGTCAATGGATTGAATGGAGGCCTGGAGCCCGGAAACTTACTCCATGTTGACCACAAGCCACGCTTATTGCTGATGGGCTTGAAGAGGTACATGCTGGCTCTGCTTCCAGACATTCGCTCATACACTGACCACTGTCCGTAGGAGTGGGAAGTCGTCGATATCAAACGTTGTTTTTCGTAAGATGGCGCCTCACGAAACGTTATTCCTGGAAACCACCACGACGATCCGCAAAGAGGCCATGCAGTGAGTTGTGCTTCAAGGTGCTTTTGGACGCTGACCAACCACGATTCTCAGCTCGTTCATGGACTTCCAAGTATGGGATCTGCCAGGCCAGATCGACTACTTAGATCCAGAATTCGACGCAGAAAGTATCTTCGGCGGCGTTGGCGCAATGATCTGGGTCCTCGACGCGATAGACAACTACATGGAGCCAGTCAGCCGCCTAACAGAAACGATCTTGCATCTACAGCATTCCTACCCCGACATCAAGTACTCAGTCTTCATTCACAAGGTTGACTCCCTCACCGAAGACTTTCGCGACGACACAATGCGAGATGTACGTCAGCGCATCACGGATGACCTCTACGATGCTGGCCTTGAAAACCCACCCATCACATATTACGGCACTTCGATCTATGATCACAGTATTTTTGAAGCGTTCAGCAAAGTCATGCAAGGACTCGTACCTCAGCTTCCGACGTTTGAGGCTCTGCTCAATACTGTTTCGGCATCGTGCAGATTCGAAAAGGCCTACCTGTTTGATGTCTACAGCAAAGTCTATATTGCTTCAGATACGACCCCTATAGACATGAAAGCTTATGAGCTTTGTGCGGACTTGATCGATATCATCGTGGATATGTCCGAGGTGTATGGCTGGGATCGAGGAAAGGATCAGCAGGAGATCGATCCCTCGAAAGCCGTGGCAGCTCAAAGTGCAGAGTCTTTCGTCAGCAACATTAAAGGCTATCATTTGTATCTCAAGGAGATCAACAGGTGAGCGCTCTAATAGCACGGACTCAGAAGGAGATAAGACTGACCGTTGGCAGAAATCTGTCATTCATCGGCATCTCCAACAATTCCGATTTTGAGTCTGGCAAGGTTCTCGTCGACCAAAACATGCAAGCATTTCAGGATACGTTGCTTAAGGTTTTTCCGCGCGGTTGACAGATCATTCGAGAATCCGGACGGCGCTGGGGGGTGGAGTATCGTCCCCGGAGTTTGAGGGCAAGTACCTTAGAACTTCTATCTTACAAATTTCTGAAGCCGCACTTGCTGCTTGTTGTATGAGGACATATAGCACTATGTCGGGCTTCAACCCGAGCTTCTAATTGGATGTGCGCTCTTACCTCTCCGCTTTATCTTCGTCTAGAGCTGACCTTCAGGCAGAGATTGGGTAACTAGCGGTTTATAGCCTTCGCCAGTGCACCTTCTCAAAAATGCTATTATGTTCTTTTCTCTTGGGTATCATGAGGCTACAGTCCTTGAAAATCTAGCAAACATATCTATGATCGCTCTTTTTTTTTGTCATTCTCTAGGGCTTGTGACTATCATATGTGCAGAAGGACGTGACGAACCGCCATTCTTTGGTGATGAAAAGAAATCAGAATTCGTCGATGCATGGTAATCGTATCCCGAACAACCACTCGTTGGTACTCTTCTAGGCATATACAGAAGCCAAATTGACAGAGAGACGCAGCATTCTGCCAGTTTGTGCGGGAATCTCCAAGTATCCGAAATCTTTGATGGATTGGCAAGTAGACCTCTATAATAAGTACTCTATCTTGTTTCTCCAAGCGCACATTGACATCAAATATGCACAAGGGATTGGAGTCTCTGTCAGGGGGCTGTTGATTGTTGTAGGCACTATCTTTGGACATGTTTTCCATGAAAGAATGAAGAGCTTGAAGTTGTCTCTGTGTATTTTTCTGGCATCAGTCCACCAGGCCAACTAGCATCAAAATCTAGTAACTACTTCCGATCATCTACATGCCATTTCATCAACCACTACCTTCTCCTCCGCCCGAAGAAAAGTCTTCCAGATACCGAGGTTTCGCTAACGCATGTAGCCGAAAATATTGGCCATATGTGGCCCCAGATCGCCTCGGTTCTTCCTCGCCTCATCTCCAGTGACGGTCGTCAAGATAACCGCAAACGTTGTGCCCTTTGAGTTCTCAGCCGCTGACGATTGGTAGTTGCTATTGTGGTTCCCGCAAGGCGAAGATTCGGACTTCGGTCTAGAAGTGGTAGACGATGGAGGTGAACTTCTAGCTAGTACGACGACCCCTCCCATTCTCAAAAAAAAACCACGGCTTCGGAGACTCGGAAAGTGCCGGACATTCTGGCAGCTTCGATGGCTCCCCAGTGTGAATCAGCTGCCCTAAGGGTGCGCGGCAGTTCTTTGGAGCCTGCGCCTGCTTCGAGTCTGTCCAATGTATTTCTCCCAAGGCTCCACCAACGAATTGAAGATGCCACTTACGGTGCCTAGAATGTACCAAAGAGAGACCCATGCGCGGATGACTGAGTTTCTAAGCGCAACGCGACGCCCATATACTCGGAAACCTTTCCTCCTCGAAGGCGTTTGTCTGCGGACACCCCACGCCTCCAGGCATTCAACAATGGGCCATGGAAGATGCCGGTGTGTACTACGAACGACATCGCACATCCTGACGCCTTTGGATCCTGGGAAGCATATGATGAACGGGTACTTCACTCAGCCCACGTCTTTGCTGAGCACGCGCTGAGGCAAGGAAGTCTACACCCAATGAGTTTCAACCCGAGTATACCATTCACTCTCTGGCACGTGTCTCGTGCGCCAAGCCCCTTTCCGACCGAAACGTAAGCAGCCCATCCTGGTGGTCCCGCCTTCCCTGTCACCACACAGCCTGCTCCGTGGATCTATAGCTATGCATTTGCTGCCAATCCCCAGGTTTTTGTCGCCGCAAATGTATCAGAAAGCTAGTCAGGACACTCCGGAAGTTTCTTGATGGAGCACACCCCCGACGGACGAGAGACTCTGGGCATTGATCAGGTAGTAAATGCAGTATCAGGTTATGTAGGAGACAGACCATTGCCTCCGGCCATGGATCATCAATCGACGAAGCCATGCGGAAGTTATTGTGAAGAGAACATGATGATATGGTCAAGCAGCTCAAGTGGAAGCTTTTTCAAGCCGGACACAAGCCATGGTTCGAGACCTTCCTCACCTTCATTGTCATTATCAAACGTCGAATACGTACACTCGAACGTAGTGTGGTGAATCAAATGCCAAGAGAAAAGTGTGAGTGGAAAGACTTGTTCTTAATGTCTAACCTTACTAATGCCGTGGTGTAGACGCTGTGGACTAGTACTCATGGACCATGGTGACAAGCGGTCTGGGCGGTGGTGGTCAGAAGATAGAGGTCGAAGTTCTGCACGAAGTTCGTCTGCTTAGGAGTCACGAACGCGAAGTCAGTGCGCTGTCGATACAGTCTCGGAAACGCCCATGAAAATCGAAACCCGCAAACCCATTTCCATTATGTATCTCGAAGTTTGTGTCGAGCATGTTGAAAGGCATTGAGAGCTTGTAAAACGATCATGTAGTTCATGAATTGAATGTCGCCAGGGTGACCGTCAAGCTCGATGGAAACCTGCTCGGCAACAGTTTGTACCATGTTGAGAGCTTTGATTAGTAGGTCTCATTCAACTCTACGCCGCAGGCCAATGAGTACGCCTCAACAGGACCTCATTGAGATGTCCACACACTATTATTGAGTGCCTTCGCAAGAGCAATGAGAAGGAAGGACTTTCCTCATTTGATGTTTATTCTGAGGCATTTGCGTGAGCGCTGTAGCTAATTAATGGATTGGCTCTCCGAGAGACTCGTTCAGACAATTCCAGCTGTACTGAGACTGGCTTCTAGCCATAGTCGTTGACCCATCATTTGTACGAGAGTGACAGTTGAAGATGTAAACTTAGCTAGCCATCAGCGTACTTGGTAGAAAGATCCTGGCTGTCGCCATCTTGATTGACATGAGGCGGCACTATGTGAAGCATGCCTTTCCGTAAATTGAATACCTTTGACCAATTGTCCCCAACATATCGAGCTGGTTCGGGATCGAGATGGGTGCGTCATTCTGGATGCAGCCCCGACGTCCCTTTTCAAAGTTGAATTGCAGCGGCAAAGGTTTTGGGCTCGTGAACCACAAAAGTTAACAAATTACAGGAAGCCATGTGAACGGGAAGAGGTCAACATGGGCTTCAAGTCCGACAGGCAGGTCAGCGATCACATGTAATGTTGCAGTACTCATAGAGGATGGTGGCAAAGAACCTTGATTTTTCGCCGATGTCAGCTACCTACGACTGACATCAATGGACGATATCTAAGGAATGTTGGCCAGAACATAACACCAAGAAGAGCTTCATATTCTGGCTTAAGAAAGATAGCAAGAGTGTTCGTGTGTGAGATTTAGAAAGGACTGCACCTCTATTGTTTGCCCTCTAGCACAAACTTAGCTTCAAAGATAGAGTACCGTAAACCTCGTCCACAATGACCGCTTTGCGCTCACGCACCAACCTACCACCCAAAGACCGCCATTCTCCTTCCGCTGCTCCTTCCACTGCCGAAGATGGACCTTCCGATTCCACCTCCACCTCCAAGCCCAAACCCTACCTATCAGACCCAGAGGAAGGCCCCAGCCGCCTCTCCCTTCTCGACATCCTCCGCGTCCTTGGCGGGCTTTTCCTCCTCTCCAGCACGCTGTCCTACTTCATAACCGGCGACTCCATACTCTGGGGCTATAGACCTGCAATCACGAGGCCGGCGAGGATAAAAGCCTGGCTGGTGAGGAGACCTTGCCCGTCGTCCTTTCTCTCCGGTTTCCATGGACAGACTCGCAGCTAACACTCCGCCTTTCCTAGCGCGGTCCCTATGATCTGACAGACGCTCAATTATCCATATACAATGGCACCGACCCTACGCTTCCCATCCTCGTTGCTGTCAATGGCACCATCTATGACGTCTCTGCCTCCCCGCACTTCTACGGCCCGGGCGGTAGCTACTCGTTCTTCGCAGGCAGGGATGCGACGAGGTCGTTTGTGACAGGGTGTTTTGATACGGATTTGAACGGAGATTTGAGAGGGGTGGAGGAGATGTTTATGCCTCTTGAGGGGGAGGCGGGAGATGATCCTACAAAGGAAGGGAGAAGGGAGAGGAAGCTACGGAGGGAAAGGGAGAAGAGGACGGCTAGGAAGAAGGTGGAGGAGACTGTGAGGGGTTGGGAGGGAATGTTTGATGGGGGAAAAGATGGGAAGTACTTTAAGGTTGGGAAGGTAGATAGAGGTCCGGGTTCTGGATGGGAAGGATGGGGAGAGGTCAAGGAGTTGTGTCAGAAGGCGAGGGAGGGAAGGCCGCGGAGGACGGCGGAGGAGGTGGGGGGAAGGGGATGAGGGCTGTCTGTATTGTCTGCGGATAACGGCGTCTGTGTGCTACATCATGTAAAAGCTTTGAAATGTCCATGAAGCTCCCCGAGTGAATCTCAGAAGTACTCCATTGATGCTACCGTTGGAAAATGGCCTGGCGTACACAAGTCTCAGCGCTTCCACCACCTACGTTTCCTTCCCTCATCCACATATCCGCATCTACTCAGCAGCAGTCACAGCTCTCGCTATCCAGGTATTAGCCTCCATCTCCCAACTCCCAAACGGCCTGGTCAAAACTCACTGTAGATGCTCAGCTTGCTGTGTCCAACCACCTTTTTGATCTGACCCTTCTCCTCCAAGTCATTCAGCGCCTTCCTTGCGAGACTGCCATTGATCTTCAGTCTGTCCACGAGGGTGGCCACTGTGATGAGACGGTAGGATTGGACGTCTTTGTAGAGTTTGTCGGCGGTGGCTTTGTCGAGGATGACGGCGTGGTTGGCCTTGTCCTTGACTTTTGAGCGACAACAGTATCAGCGAGAGGTCTGAGGCAATGCCTCTGCGCAGGCAGAGATGATGTGGAAGGACTGGAGAACGGAGAGTGTGAGGGACTGAAGGCGCGACGTACCCTTGCCCTTTGACCACTTCTTCTTTTGCTTCTTGCCGGCAGATGCTGCTGCGGGTGCCTAGGTAGGAGGTCAGCTTCTTCGCTTCAACATCCCTTCCAAAAGTCCGCGCTTACCATGATTGCGATTGCTGGAAGATGGTAGTTATCGTCGTTGATGAAGTTCGCTCATGCAAATCGAGTGTGGGGCTTAAGCGACCCTAGTGTGAATTGAGGTTAGTGCGAGGCTCTACTTGTAGGGCTGAGCTGGAGATCCTCTCTCCTGTTGATCTACGAAAAAACGAAAATGCTGGGAACTGCTTGCGAAACCAGAGCCGCAGAGGTCACCCAATGAACATCAAATGCTGATTCTGCCTGGCTCTTGCCTCCTCACTCGTGCACTCATAGGGTATTCTTCACCTTCGGCTACAGGTGGGATCCGTCTCTCGGACACTCCCGAAACGCACCATAATTACCTTACAAATCTCTCATTACCTACATACGTATGTCTTCGCTTCAAAAGTTTGTACATACAAGACTTCTGCGTTGTGTCACCAATGCTGTTCTAGTTGCACAACTTTCTCACAATGAAAGGTACCAGCCGGCCGATGATTACTTGCAGCTTTGGCTCGGAGCATTGCATCTGCTCTGATGTGCAATGATATACTTTGCACTTTGTCACCTCTCAGTGTTTGCTGTTATGGGCGTTCTTGAGATTCCTTCTGGATTGTGTCCACTTCTTCACTGAAAGCCTGCTTACTATATAGATAAATCCTCGGCCTTTGCAAGGCATCCTTCATGTTTGCGATGCTTTGCTTTTGAGCCCAGGAAAGTTCACAGATATGCCCATCCTAACTTCTTTGCACTTGTGCTGCGGAAAAAGATCACTCCAGGGTTGCTGTTGCAGAGGGTGCGTTGACTACGATGATGATGCATTTGTATATGAGAACGCGGAAATCAACTCGTTTTCATGTATTACTTCGCTGGGGATGAACGAGGGGTCGCAACCATCTGGGGGCGAGAGAAATTGCCTTGTGTCACATTGCACACGCTTCATTACCATCTATCAATCTATCTTAACTCACGCTCAGCTTTCAAGCCAAAATCTGCAGACTTCTTCCAAGAGATCACTGATATGGCTGTGGTATGCATGCCTCAAAAAGCTGACAACGGAGGTCTCATGCGACATAGTGCCAGTATGGGCTGAGGAGCTTGCTTCTGCCCCAACTTAGAACGGGGGAATCTAGAGTACGACGTCGAAGCTAATGGCAAACATCATTAGGAGATGCTCTGACAGAGAGTGTCATCAATGTTCGCTGCCCGGTCTTCTGGGGAGATGTTTGCTGGTGATAAGGTAAGCTTTCTGCCATGTGGTCTTTTCGCTGCAGAAGCCTGTCTTGTCTGTATGTCGAGAGGATCTTTGTTCTTCGCCGCTGTTACACGATTCCGCTTCTCCTCCTCATGCTCCGGTGAGTCGAGATTATCCATGGTATATCTTGGAGGTCATGTAATCTATAGCTTCAGTACAATCTGCCTCAGTTGCTAGCATTCCTATTTGAAATTCGAAAATGTTCTCCAGCTTCCAGTCTCTATATCTTAGTCGGTAGGGTGAAAGACTCCTGAATGGCTTGTTCCCAACACTTCACCATGGGACGATGCCTTAGAGACAAGGATTTACATCGTCGAAGAGGATACAAGGCAGATCAGTGGAGCTGCTTGCGAGATCCTAAGTCATCATGCAAGCCAACTTCCACAGTTCAGACATCGCCAATACGAAAGTACAAATCGAATGGTCAAACTTTTTGTGATTGGGCTTTGCGACCAGCTTTTGATCACACTACTGTTCAAGTCAGGGTTTTCCCTTTCCCAAGAGGCCACCACCACTCTTTGATAGTACCTGACTTTGGAGATGGAGTGGGAAGACCTTCGTCTATACATGCATAGATTAGGCACCTTACACGCACAAATTAGGCACCTCCAAATGAGCACGATTTGGTCAACTGCTCAATTAGGTATCAGGCCTTATTCTTTGCTTGGGTTCGCCGCCTCCTTTCTCACCCCAAATCATTCATCAGCACAAGATGGCGCATCAAGAATGATAAACCCCATTGTATACGGACAATAGCATTGCAGTGCAGCTAGCTAACGCTCCCAAGGAAAACCCTATCATTGACGAGCCGCTGCCAAACTTCACATCAGTGAGGAGACCTCGAAGCTCACTTCGAGCTATCAGCAATCAATATTCACGTGAAATCCATAATTTTCATCAGAAGGGACGCCTCGAAAGTTTTCAGTGAACTGCGAGACAAGGAATTGCACGTGCAGCATCTTCGAACCAAACCTCAGAAGTCTCTATGGAGCAAAGCGGGCTGCTACTTGGCGGAAATTCGAACATAACAAGCAATTTTCGATTCGAGACCAATTAACAGATGCTACAAAAAAGGTGTTCTAGTACTTCAGGATATTACCATGCTTCAAAGGTCAGCAAACGATGTCGCCCCTCTGTCGAAAGTTATTGTCGAAGTACGCAAGCAAGTTCAAGATATCATCAAAGCATGATCCAAAGTGCTCCCTCCAATTTTGCACATCAGAAAGCCAAGAATGATTACGACGTAATCATTAATCGATACAACACAGAGATACAGCGATCTACAGAAATGGAGTCTAAGTACAATATGCTCCTCATCATATGGTACGAGCCTCTCTTCAAACAGCACACTGAGCTAGATCGAAAAATGAGAAATGGATGTCAAAGCACACACGCAGGCTGCTGAAGATCTAAAATTTGGACCCGCAGGGCTGGCGATCGCAGAATTCGACCTTGACAGGGGTATCAAGCAATTGAGCCTTAATCTGAAAAGAGCTCGCGAACGGGAAATTCTTGATTGACAGTGTGGGTGTAGCAAAATCAACAAAATGATGTCGCTCAATCTACGCATTGGTCTACAACTGGCTTGGTGACGAAGGCCGGTGACAAGTTCCAGTCTCCACGTACGTACCCTGTGGGCTTTTTAGCCTGTGAAAAGATGAGAGGACTGCAAGCACTTGATACACTTTTGGGCTCTCATAGAAGAGTAAGGTCGAAATATTCCATGATATTAACTGGTCATTGCGCTTTGTGCCACAATCTTGAGCTCTATAGGAAATTTTAAAAACTTGCAACAGAGAAGGCGGGTAGGTCAGATATTGAGCTGGGCGAAGTGAGAATCTCGAATATCGATCTGAACTCGCAGGCAATCATGTAAAAGATCTCGCTAAATAAATCAGTGAATGAGCGTTCGGAAACAACAAAACAGCTCGTCGAGATACAAACGGAGATGACGGAGAAGAAGGATCAAGAATTGCGGACGGCAATAGAAAATCAACTGGAGGTCATGTTGACCAATTCGGAGACTTTCAAGGCTCAAGCCCAAGACATCGCCACTAAGGAACGGTAGAATCTCGAGCTGGGATCAGAAGTCCGAGGAGAAAGGCATAAGGCGGATGAGCTTGACAGACAACTGGTCACTACGTGAGAGGAGAATCTTCAACTGAGATCAGAAGTCCGAGAAGGGAATGAGCAAGTGTCCAGGCTGCAGTCACAAGTCCACTTTACCAAAGAACAGCTCAGAATCAGAGCAGAGTCATCTGAATCACTTCAAAACGAAATCGATGATGCTAAATTTTCGAAAGCTAGTCAAAGAAAAGCCCACTACAGCTTTCGCAAAACCAGATCCTACGAGTCTTCCAGAAGTAGCAAAGAGCCCTCAGCTCAAGCAGACCACGCCTTCTAGTACCAGTCATAATATCGTCCTCGATGATCGACGGACTACAGCTTCTTCCACAGTCTTTCCCGTAGGCCTTCTCCACCTTCTCCGAGCTCGTCTCCGGCATTTCAGACCAGAGACACGCCGCCCTCTCCTCCATTTGGGCAGTTTTCACGGCGACTGAGGGGAAGAAGCCAATGAGGAAGATTATATTGGCACTGGCGTAGCACCGGAGCCTCAACGGTTCTATCGCTAACCATGATTCTTCCGTCTTCCAAATCTGCTCAAAAGTCAGCCTTCGATTTTCTCGAAGTCTAAGCTATCTTTGAGATTGCATTCACAGTCGCTAGATATCCACTCCAGCCATGCTATCCATTTCTCTTCAAGCCTCGATATGCTGTCTCACTGCTCTACAAGCTTAAGAATTCAACACACTTTCAAATTATCGTTGCCAGGTCACTTGTCGCCACTTGTATTTTGATCATCGAGAGTAGACACAACGTTTCAAATCAGCAGTCAGCCGTGTTACTTCAGATCCCTGCTCCGTTCTCTTTTCCTTGGATACAATTGACCTTACCTGCGAGCCTTTACACAGTCTACAAGCATAAGTAGAATCGAGACAACCTCTTCAGCTCTAAATCGTACCTTAATACCGGTTCATGGTACATTTCTTTTAACCTCCAATCAATTGTGGTGATATTTGAACTTGGCTAGATGTCATTGGAGGCTATGTGTTCCTGGGGGGGCAGTGTGAGAGAACTCAATCCGGAAAATTCATTCAACCTGTGAAAGTCAGTTGCCACAAGAGCTTGAGCTCAACGCCTTTGAAATTTTTTGTTGCTGCACGTGAAAGGCTTTCTTGCAGAGACTTCTGTCTGCCCGACAGGATATAAAATAACCAACATAAAACGTGCCAACCTGCGCCACTACTTCTCTTCGGCGCAGAGTCGATAAGAACATAATCTCAAACAGATTCCTCGAGATCTGATGTTCTAATTTGACACATGCACCTCTTTTCAGGCGACGGCCTCATCAACGATACTTCACCTATTCGACAGGAGCATTCCGTCCTACCGTAGGAAGCCTCTCAGATCGACCACGAGAGATCCGACGTTCCTTTCACTCTCTAAGATTTTCGACTCGTCCATAGCTTTCTCGTCCATATTCTCATCGAGCGCAAAATGTCGCTTGACAAATACATGACGTTTGCAAACCGCCCCTGATCAGAGAAAATCCGAAATCCTTATGCAGGACAAATCAAGCGAATCCAAAGTTTACTCATGGCTGTGACTGCTGTCCGCCCCAAAACGCTTCTTGGCTTGGAGCCTGTCGATTTCCAAGATGTCGGGTTCGAGTTGATGAGAACATCTCATTATCAAATTAGAAAAGTCCCATGGTCAAGAAGACAGTGCAAGCAATTGCCGAGGTCACGAACAAAAACCAGTGAAAATATGATCGGATTCAAAAGCACTTGTATTTGGTCTACCCGCTGGAGTCAATGAGCTTGTCAGAAAGTTTTCATACCCTCACAAGGCCATTATGCAGACGTCGGACACACTTCGCTCTCCGCTGCTTGCCCTCCCCATCGAACTCAGATTGCAGATTCTCACCTACCTCCCAAACGATTCCCAACCATCTCTGATGTTGCTCCGTCGAACACCTTCCTCCTTCCGTTAGATAACTCCCCGCCCAAGACTGCATCGGCGTCGATAGTCGAATCAAGCGAATACGGATGTTGGTCGCCGAGCACAGATACCGACTCCTCTTCGCTCCTAATCACTAAGCACGCTACGGTTCTTGTCTCGAAGTCCTGGAAGGCTCGGGGTTTGATAACTACCAATCTGAAAAGTTCAAATTCGCTGCTATCTGTGTGGGGCTTGGGGCAAAAGCACGGCCGCTGGGTGCAACTTGTGCGTTCGGACGCAGATGCGACGGCTGTCGGACTGAAGACTCGAAACTTGGGAAAGAAGAGTAGGCGACATTATCTTGCCTATCAAATATAATGCTGACGGCAGTAGGCTATTGTGGCAAAGGCAACTAGGAGGATGTTGGATGTGAGAGGTTACTGCAACACAGCGCAAAGGAGCTTGTTCCCGAGCGACAAGAAGGTCGGAAAGCTTGGGTCATAATATTCACTAGCAATGGAGACGCGGTCTCGAGGATGGACTTGTGCAGTGGATGCCAATTAGCGTCTGGCTTCGCTTGTGTATACTGGATTACGAATTGTCTCAGTGCCTATTGTGGTAGAACCCCCTTTTCTAGGCTAAGAAGTTGAAGGTTGGGAAGTTCCAATGGGCTATCTGGGCGATTATCTCAGCACCGCAGTGAGGTTCAGTATTCGATATTACGATTTCAGTGGCTGGGTAGTAGCTGATGTTGTCGCTTCAACACCGTCAAGCATTCCTCACCAAGCCAAGCCTATCAACACCACACCTCTCATTATAAGCTTAGTTGCACTCAATCGTCGTACTTCTCGCACTTTTCCAGGGCCGAGCGACCTTGATTAGCCACCGTCATCCGTGAAGAAGCATACAACCCAACATGACAGCTCCTCCGTCGCCATCCTTCGTAGCGCTCCCATGTTTTGCAGAGACTACACGGATGACGTCCGACCAGATGCAAAGAAACCTTTCAAAAATCAGGCCCAATATCCTTAATCTAGGTTTGATGCTTGAATCAGCCTAACAGCTTGAAGCACAAGCCGAAAAAGGCGTCCCGGCAGTTGATCCGTCATCGCCTTCGCCAACTCAGACAGTGTAACATTTTCTTTGGAGAATTGGATACTGATAAAGTCAGCTCTTTGCTTCGCTAGACGTCGACTTCACACTATTCAACAATGTTAAATGGAATGGCAAGTTGAGACTAGATGGCTTCCACGGGATGGTCTAACTGATTTGCACATTGAGAACCACGTCGGTGTACTCAGACTAAAGTCGCTAGTCGAGACTGTGCATACTGGAATTCCATCTGCAGATGCGAGCTTCCAATTTAAGTGAGATAGCAAGTCTTGGCTTACCTTTTCGAAGAAAGCGAGCGCCTATCATTCGTGGTACTGCGCCGTTCCCATCCGGTGCTCGGACGCCAGGGCCCTCCCAAACGCCTCACTTCGATTACGACCCTTGCCATCAGACAATACTAACTCCTATCCGCAGAGCTGAACCACCCGTATATCTTCCATCACGTTCCATGTTGTGCTACACATGCGGGAAGGAGCAGAGGTTCTGAAAGAAATCAGCCTATGTATTTGGATTCGAAAAAGATGTTCCACAAGGCTTTTGGGTCAGCCATTGCGTATGAACGGATATGCAATTATTTTTGGGAAATTGAGGAGCTGGACATCTGTTCCAGTATTGATCAAAGGCTGATGGCTGATGCCCGGCTGACTGTAATGGTTCTTTTATGGCGCTAGCGATAAAGGGTCTGGGACTGTTTGTAGTTGACGGGCGTGGCTCTCGATTGCTAGAGCACCTAGAGCACACCAAGTCTCTGACAGACTGGCAAGGATTTCCCAGTACAGTGGTTGTTGGGATATAGTGGTCAACCAGGAGGATGGCATGCTTGCTTGAACCAGTTTCCACACTCGTGGAAGTGAAGAGCCTGACGACTCGTAAGCAGGAGAGAGTAGACTGCAAAATTTGCTGGCAACACTATCAGAGACTACGACAAAGGTATGGAATCAGGTCATATAGATTCGGACTTAGATCTCACAGTGTCAACTGAAACTTCCGTCAAGTTTCATTAATACTAGAATACATCCGCTCGCGCCCGCCATCGACAGCTTCTTTGAAAAATCCATCACGCGCTCCCTCGTTGTTGGCGCCCCCTCAAGTTCCTTCGAAAGCCTACGTTGGACGCCCGAAAGACTTGAGTGGTGGAAACGTCAAAGTACGCCGCACTTCAACAGCCGGGAGATGACGTGGGCCACCGAAGATATCATGCCAGTCCGCATCCCTGAGTCGTTGTTGTGCGAGATAGAGCTCCGTGTAAAGCGCGTGGATGGTATCCGAACCGACCTTCGTCAACCGCGCAACCTCCGTCAGAGTCTTCGGTGCACCGCGAACATGCGAGGCCATGTAGACGGAAGCTGCGGACAATTCTAGCTCGGAGTAGCGGTGGAGCGGGGTTCCGGGATACTCGGAAGCTGCGATCGTGCGGGCGAGTTCGGCGGTGGATAGGTCGAGGGCGAGTTGGTAGCAGAAGCGGAATGTGAGAGCTGAGAAGTTCTGTCGGTTGGCATTTTCTCGGACCATTCGGGCCAGGTAGTCGGTGTCTTTTTCTGATCTGCCTTGTGATTCGTCGCGGTTTCTCATTCCTAGAAGTTGAGTGAGTTTAGGCATGCTGATGTGAGAAAGCCAGTTGCGGTTAATCGAGTCGTGTAAAGAGATTTCTTTGGTTGTTGTTGAGTAACGGGAATGAAGTGTTCTAAGACTTGACAAGTGAAGAGAAATGAGTGGAGTTCGGGAATATTTGAAGAAGGTAGGCACGTGGTAGGCACGTGGATATATAGACTAAGGAAGGATCCTTTATGGACGGAAAGCCTCTTGTACTTGACTCTTCAACACCTCTCAATACTTTGTTCAGCTCCATTGACTTCTGGCATCATGTATCTTTATGTGTACAGTATTTTCGTGTTGAAAGAAAATTGTGTTCATGTGTATTAAGACTCCTGCCTTTGTTCTAAAGTGGCTTTGTCTTTTCTTGGAAGTTGAGAAGAGCTTATGACATGCACAAAGAACCGTCAGATCTGGGAGTACGCAGATTGAAGAGTATTCGTAATATTAAATTGGTGCCATCGAAAGATGTCAACAGCAAGTTAGGCTCTGTACATCGGCCACATAGTAAATAAAAAAGCTTCTTCAAGAGTCTCAAACTTGCTTAGACGGCATAAGTCGACCTGAATGCCGGTGTTCTGATCGTCGGTAGTCGTTAGTAGATCACGAAATAAGCAGCTCCAGCACGCAGTGTGGGCCATGATGAGATGGCGCAGTAAGCTGGTCTCCGACCGCATTTCAGCTCACCGAGAACGAGTCATCGCCAATCTGCACGCGAGGGAGGTGAGACCCTCCGCTCCAGAACCTATCACTCAGTCCTTATCATTGCTGCATGAAGAGTCGCCGACAGTAGTCAGTATTCCAGCATCGATACTCACATACACTTCTAAACCCGTCGAGGATTAAAACTTGACGTTGAGGGCTGTGTATCAAAACGCTGCCATCATTCAGCTCGTACAGTCTTTGAAGCGGATAACCCACTCGTCTGATATGGTAAAGATGGAGCCCTGCGTATGTCTTAGTGACTCTGTGCCAGCCATGGAGTCTTTCCTCGATGGCATGGGGTCAACAGGGAGACAGACATGACATTGGTACGGCACAGATGCCAAGCGACCCGTTGACAAAGTTCCCGGTGATTCGCATGCCGTGGTTCGTTTTACCCGTGGTTCTAGACGGCCTTTCGTCCCTTGAGTGGTAATGGTGTCTTTACGGCAAACAATCTTGCAGCAGAGAGGTGGGGCTGGATGTTGTACTAGGTAGCATTAGCTTAGTTACGGATGATATCTTGGATTGAAAACACAATATTTGTGGGTAAGGGAAAAAAGTCTGCCAAAGCGGTGAGAAAAATTAGATGAGGGGGTAGGGAGAGAATAGCGTCAATGGACTCAGACAGAAAGCAGCCCGGAAATACGTCTAGGGTGGAACAGACAGCCTCAGGACCCTGGTCATGCCGAGTGTTGATTATAGTTTATCCATCGTTGGCGGGGGAAATTAGGGTCCGACCGATAAAAAGTTGTTTTTTGTTTTTGTAGGTTGTGGTGGCTGAGTGGTTTTAATGTTTTTTTATAGGCCATGATAGGAGAGCTGGTTTTTTTTGTTGGGTGAGAAGTATGTTGAACTTGTTGACCCTAGTAGGAATTTATGGTTGGGGCCAGAAGCTTGGATATGCTTACAAGACAGAGAAATCAGAGGGAATGAGGGTAGAACGCGAGAGGAACATGAACAGCTAGCTCTCTGATGCAGCATCGAGACAAACTCGATGCCGATCTTAAAAAAAAACCCCCCTTCGGATGCGGATATATTTCCCATGATTTGATTTGATTGACCAAAGCCTCTCCTTCAGCAACCCATTAATCTGATCATGCACAGGCTACGTGATTAGCAGCAGACCTCCATCATGGCGCTAGAAACCATACTCTGAGCCAACGTTGGCGAATACTGGTGCCTTCTCAACTATCGAATATGTCTTTGTCGTCCTCGAAGTCTTCGCCTAATAAACAACAGCAGGCTATCGGCTTATCGCAGGGGCGTTTCCAACATGGCGACGACGCGGAGAGATATCGCGCTGGTTTGTGTCTTCGAAATGGACGTAAGCGCTCACTGGCCGCGAGAAAGATCCCTCGTACGACGACTCGTATTATAGTTCGTCTTCGTCTTCGTCTTCATGTTGAGCTTCATGCTAATCGAGGACTTCGTGTCGCTGTCGTTCTCGATTATGAACCGCAAAAGAACTCGGCCGCTGTACAGCCTTTGGCCGTGAACGTGCTGTGCTGAGCCGCTCGCCTCGGGGAATTGCAGCAGCCGTTCGAGCTCCGTAAGTATTAATTGACTTTGTTCCTTTACCCGCAAATGGCTGATCATACTGAAGTTCTTGCCTCTCGGAAGTATTGTAAGTGAAGGTAACGGGAACTCGAACGTGAACCTGCCGATTCCCCCTGGCAGATTCTTGGCCCGCAGAAGCAGCTCGTACTTGCTCTTTGGGTCTAGGTCCACGGATAGGAATTAAATTGAGCACCGGATCTTCCCTCATGTGTATTGGCTGCTATTCTATGTCACGCACTAGCCTTCTGCTTGGGCGGTATTCATTCATCCTTTGGCTCTTCCGAAGGGATATCTCGGCATCGGTGGCTCCTTTGGTCTCAGAAATGTACTTGTCGAACGTATGAGGTCCAAGCGATCTTTTTGAAGTGCCTGGCCTTCAGCTGGGGGTCGGTCGGTACGAATAGCTCGCCCGTCTCCGCGGACCTTGCCTTCGCTTTACTGTTCCGCTCGTACGCCATTTGAGCGGCCCAGGTGGGCTTCTTCCAGCGCTCCTTGCACAGCTCGTCAATAACCATGCCTTCCGCGTCGGTTTTCCAAAGAACAGTGACTATCATGAACTCCAGCGATTCAATAAAACTCGCTCATGGGCTTTGGTTAGCCAATTCGTTAGAGACCTACCAGAAGGCTTCGTCCTCGTATGTGTCGTTGATGGCGTATCTCTATACGAGACTTCGGAGGGGGCAGAAGACCTCCGCTGTATACTAGAGACATTCAACGCCCTTACTCGTGACCCAGCAGTCTGCGCCGTTCTCAAGGTACTGGTTACCAGCGCCTTGGCCAGTCGACAGGCCATCAGATACATGCCACACGAAGATCATTTGATGCTTCCGTCGGACACTGGTGACGGCGCTGGCAGCCCCTTCACTGCAAGACACTTCAAGACACATACGAGACGACCAACGGAGTCTCGTGCTGGAGTCAGAGTCCTGAGTCTCTCCAGTCCATCTTTCCGGTAGCGGTGGATGACGACGACGAAGGGTTTGTGGATGGGATTTTCGACGTTTGATAGTATTCCAAAGGACTGACAGATTCCATCCCAGTTGATAGCGCAGGCCAATGTGCTTGCTCTACTGAAGTGTTTTCCTACGGAACAGTCCATGTGAATTGCCTCCAATCCCAAGTTGCACCACCGGCGCATGTGGATGTGTGCCTCGCATGTCGCCTACTCGCATATTACACGGCGTCTGTCGAAGTGACAGTGGACTTGGTGACTTCTTGATCTTTCCACTTACACAAATTTGTTTCTTCTGTAGAGACACCCCTGGTCCGCCGTCCCATCTATTGCTTCGAAGTACAACCGAGTTGCTCACACGATGGGGGAATTTTCCAAACAGCCCTTTTTTCGGCTCATATGCTTGTTGAGCCTAGCCAGAGCTATTCCAAGCCCCCTCACCTTACCGGCAGACACCCTCCTTGAGGACAGCTTTGGCAACAGCCTTCCTAATTCGACCCTCGCCGCAGTCATCCCCAACGACTTCACAATTAAACCAACTCTCCCGCTTGATGAACCCGTACTCAATCGGCAAAACACTCTCATGCTGACCCTCCACGCCCTCAGTAACCTTGCTCTCGACGATTTTGATGGAGAACAGCAATCTCAGACATGGCGCTCTTTACAGCATGTCTCGATTGACATCCTCGGACCTTCAATGGTCGTTGAATCTGCCCTGGCCATCCGAAAATACGCTGTGTGGGGAATTTACAAAGCTGTCCATTTGATGGTCGCTTCAAATGACTTCCGGTCCCGGAATTATGAGTTGTATTGGCAGGGAACTTTAGTCGGATTTGTTGGGTTCAATAATGGTGCATATGGCGCTCTCAGCATCGGAAATGCCACGATCAATGGGACTGGCCAAGGCGTGCAAGAAGGAAGCTTGTCCGTCTCACTAAACACCTCGTCAAATGCTACGACTACCGATCTAGGCAATAGTCGCACAACTCTCTCCTTTGAGCTCAACGGCCGCACAATCGGCGAATACAACGTCTATATGACGCTCTTCACAGGGATACTCAAAGCAGCTCCGTATTCCAGGGATGAGCGCGTACAAGACCTTTTTTTCGTGAACAGCCGCGCTTTCAATACATACCTCAGCTTCAAGGAAAGAAACGATCCAGGGCCTGATGGGCCCTATTTTGAATATCAGCAGCTGATTCAGCTATTTACGCAACTGCCTTCGTGGGTGATATCGCATGGTAGTCAGTGGACCGAGGCTTATATGCTGGTCTCTGTTGATGGGAGGCCGGTCGGGGCAGGGGTTTTGAATTGGCAAATTCGTCAAAAGACGGATGCTGCGCACGGTGACAGTGTGATGACTTCGTGATTAGGTGGAAGTGGTGAGCAGGGTGTCTCATGGATGACAATGCGAGTCGTTTTGATTTACTGCTGCTAGAAATAATCTGGATCTGAGGGTCTTGATAAAAGTCGATTATGAAGAACGCTCGGGAATCAGGACAGGGACAGATCACCCATGTACCCACAGGGCTGTTAAATGGGTTCGTGCTTGATTGTCAGACGGCAGCTCTGAACGGCCTGATACTGTAGTATTTTCTGACCTGGCGACCATCCGCGAGAATGCCTTCGGCAAAGCATTAAAACTCTCAATGGACCAAAACGATAGCGATACCCACAAACCTTCTTACGAATCCACTCGTTACTACTATTGAATTGCGATTCTATGAAGTCTAGGCGCAACCCCTGAATGTTACACATCGCAGGGATACTCGTAGGGACTATATATTGTTGTCCCATCAGCGCACGAACCCCCCAAAACCAAGAAACCGATCGACACTCGCTTGGATTTTGATCCACGTGCGGTCGGAGGATTCTCGTGGGGACGATGAGCGTGCATTACAACCCCTGGACGCTCAGAGCACATGGCGTCCCTAGAAACCTTGCCGAGACGCGCACCAATCCGTAACCCTGAAAATCTTCCTTTGACGTTACTGCTAAGCTTCTGGCGTGGACCAACGCCGCGCCACATGTCCCCAACACCACACTACCGTCGGCCAGGCTTCCCGCCCACCAACCAATCCCCAAGACAATTCCTCTATTTCCCGAAGACGCCAGTTGAGAATCTGGGGAAATTGGAAAATTGATTCGATCCACAGATATTAGTCGGACTAGAGTCTTTTGAGCTTTCCTACCGAAAGCTTCCTGTCAACTAACTGTCACCGCTATCGCACCGCTCAAGCTCAAAGAAGGGGAAGCAGATTCCCTCATCAAGCACCATGGCGCAAGCTCTTGTGGCAGGCGTTCATGGTTATATAACGAGTTGTCTTACCTTCCCCCCTCGAACTGCATCGAGTGGCTCTCTACACACTTCCTCTTCATGCTCTGACCCTCTTCTCTGTCCAAATCGTCCATACCTTCTTGAACTACTCTTGTCTTCTCTCACGCATCCTCTCCTCCCTTGACCCTACATTCCTCTCACACGAACCATGCCCCCAGGTTCTGCACTCTTCGGCCAACCTCCCAACAACCAAGATGACTGGTTCATAATCCGAGGCTTTGCCCGCTCGCTCGGCATACCGGACGAGGTGCTGAATCCCAGTCACGGCTTCCCATCGCCCCTTCAACGGCCGCCAAACTCTCCCTATGTCTCGCGGGGCCCAAGCATGATTGCTTCCATGGCCGTGGCGATGGCCTTGGTGATATTGATCACCGGTGCTCGCCTCGGCCTGAGGTACTTCCGGAGGGATCTGAAGGTCGGATATGATGATTTTGTCATCGTCCCGGCTGCGTTGGCCACAGTTGCGTACATGGCCGTTGCGATCGGGCAGGTGGTTTATGGGGGGGCTGGGAAGCATGTTTATGATATGACATATCAAGAGCTCAATTGGTTTTACGAGGTTTGTTCTCCTTCTGGATGATGAGGAGGATATCATCATGAGCAGCCGAGGCTGATCGCTTCGTTCTTTTCTAGCTTGGATTGATTGGCATAGTGGTTTTCTGGATGGCGGTTGGCCTGATCAAAGTCTCGATTGTGTTTTTCAATCGCCGCCTGACAGGCCTCACCTCCCACAGATGGATGATCGCCCACTATGTTTTCCTCGCTCTCATTGTTGGTTTCATGATCACCGCCCTGTTCACTGAACTCTTCCAATGCACCGGTCCCGTCGACCTGAAATTCAGCCTCACTGCCTTGGGCCGTCACCCTACGGGTAACAAGTGTCTTAACGGAAATAAGCTAGGATATGGCTTAGCCATCATCCACAGTACCTTTGACTTCGCCCTCTTGACTGTACCACTGATCGTTCTGTACCAGATGAGAATGTCCACCGGGAAGAAGATCAGACTGGGCTTCCTGTTCTCCATCGGCTCGCTTTCTTGCATTGGCAGCGTGATGAGACAGGTAGTTCAGGCTCGCACCTATACCAACTTCGATTTCTCCTGGACGTTTCGACAAGAGCTGGCCTGGATTATCGTCGATATTTTCTTTGGAATTGTAGCCGCTTCTCTACCTGTCTTGAACGCCATCCTCCCGAAGCGCTGGAGGTCTTCGAGCAATCACACCCCTCAGCTACGCCACCTGTCCATCTTCAAGAGTGATCCGAGGCACTCGATCAAATTGGAGAGCAAAGACGCTCTTCCGAGACCGGATGGTACGGTTGTGGAGGGAACCGGGGAGATTGACAAAGACTCGTTTCATACAAAGACAGAGAAACGGTGGGATGATGCATTCGTCAAGGTACAGAGACCAGAGCCGGTGCAAGATTCTGGCACCAGACAGGGCGCGGACTTGTCGGATGATACTTTAGTCTGATAGCTTTTTGACCTGGTATGCGAATTCAGTGGAGTTGAGTCAGTGATATGTTTTGCAAAGCTGTATATACGCCCAACATCTCTGTACAAAGGACCCATACTTCCTTCGTGAAACCTAAAATAGCTGAGGTGAGGTGTATGGAGATCAACTTGGATTTCTGGGAGTTGGCATGACTGCGGTCGACGCTCAAATATAAAACGTTTGTTCAGCTGCCAGAGACAACGAGTAGCGCAGGACTTTCAAGAGATACCCGATCCTCTCAAGACCGAGAGTGTGTTTAGCGCACTTCTAGACTTCGGTCTTTCCCATAGACAGACAGCCTTATGCTGGCGTTGACCTCGACATTTTGATCGTCAACGGACGATCTGAATTTTTCGGGATTGCCCTGCAAAATTATAATCGTGTGAAAGTGAACAAACACGAACGTCAGCAGCGAGTTCAGAACGGAGATAAACGATGAGCCAATGGCAATCAGAGGTGAGGCCAATGGACTATCGGATACCGTGAAACGGTAGTAAAAAATGTCATCCCTTCAATATTTCGGGCTGACCAAGCTGCAATATACTATCCTCACAAATCAGCCCCAAATGCCACCTTCTCATACCTGGCCACCAATTTTCATAGACCTTCTCATGCTTTGTCGATAACGAATCACCCTCACCCTGGCCTACCGCGGTTTCAGCAGCCTTACAACCCTCGTCCGACTGCTTCATGTCTATCCACACCATCTTGGCTCTGCTGGTCTTCAGCTTGGGATGCGACCTTTTCCAATCTTCTGATCCAACGACAACTCCCGAAGGGTCACCCTGAGGTAGAGGCGGCTGAAGTATGTGGGTTGAGATACCGAGGTACGAGAGCCAGGTGCTAGACATTGAAAAGAAGGGGAGGTAGCTTATGGGGTGGATGGTGGCGGAGAAGAAGGGTTGTGTTGAACTGGGGTCCGCCCGAAAGACTTCGACTTTGACTGGGGAGGACGTAGATGGGTCTGAAGGGGTGAAGTTAAAGCGCGCGAGATGCCTGTAGAGGGTAAGATTCGAATTGGGGTTCACCTATCACAGTAAAAGGAATAGACGCGTAGCATACTTTGGAATGTTCCAATTCCTCCTCCCATTCATCAAAGTTGCCTCTTGGCTGACCCAGATTCCTGTTATCCTCGAATCCTTCCTTTTCTTGCCATCAGGCCCAACGGATGAGAAGGAGCCTGGTAGTATGGCCAGCTCGTCATACGTGCCTACAGGACTCTCGCTATATCTGACGATCTGCGCGAAGCCCAGACCGCCGGCATATTTCCCTGTCTCTTTCTCTGAGCTAAATGACGCTGCATGGAGCTCGAGAGGGTCGTAGACAATGTCCAGAGGAAGGGCGGAAGAGGCAAAGTGGTAGAAAGAGAGGACGTAGACTGTCGCTTTGCAGGTCCATGGCGGTGGAGCAAGGGGCAAGGATATCTTGGGTGACGGCGCGGACGTTGACATGGCGGCAACGTCAAAAGCGTGGTGTTATTTGATAATTGATAGGTATGTACCACGGCGCACGAGCGAGTCAAGCCTTTTCATAGAGATCGGAATCTTCGACTGATGACCAACTGGCAGTCAGGCATGACGATAGTGCTTATGGCTTCAATAGCTCGAAAGCGTGCCGTACTGGGCCGGGAGAAAGAAGCCATTTTACTGATCTAAACGACATCGACCGAAGCCTACAAGTGAGTTAGCCTTCTAAGGTCAAGTGGCAGCTCGCTTGCAGGCTATTGGTCTTGATCGTGGTCGACGGGTCGCTGGTGAGGCTCCTCGCCGCCAAGGCTTCGCTTCCTGCCCCTCCTATGCCGACTTTTCACAAGGCTGTGACAGAGTGCTACGTATATGGAAGGCTGCATCTACCATTGCTGCCAATTCACCTCAGCGAATCGATGAATATGCTGGTCCCTTTATAGTTTGTATGGTCCCTTTATAATTTTTTGTATGTCAACCTCTCGCATTTTCAGACATTGCTTGAGCCATCTCTTCTGTAGATATGCCTCATCTTCCGTGGAGGTCGAAGAATTTTAGGGTCGAGGATCAGCAACTCCAAAGTGTCCCCTATGACTCTCTAGAAGGGGAAGATCAGCCTAAAGACCTTTGGGATCGAGCTCACATACTTTTACGTGATGACAAGAGCAACAGACAGTTGCTGGTAGCATACGAAAGGATCTTGCTGTCCGAGCTCAACGAAGTTGCATCACCATCAACATCTGTGAACTGGGGAAGTCGTGATAGGAGAAGGCAGGTGTCAGATTTGATAGTAAAGAAACTCAAAGTCATCGAAGACACTCGATGGAGGCTTCAACTGGGAAAAGAGACAGTGAAGGTCAAAGCCCAAGTGGACAAAGTCGTGAAGACTGTGATTTGGGCTCAAGGTTTCGTATCCTCAGCAATCAGCGCAGATCCGCACGCTGCGCTGGCATGGGCTGGTGTATCGCTTCTACTACCATTGCTGCTCAACCCTACATCGCAAAATAAGGCTCTTGTTGATGGCTTGGACTACATCTCTACGCTGATAGCTCGCTTCACCGTCATCGAGGGGACTTATCAGCAGCATATATCGACGCGTTCTGCAACGTCTGGCTCCAATGATAAAACTGAGCTTGAGCGCTCATTCGAGATGCAAGTCACAAAGCTTTACACGCAAATCTTAGCTTTTCAAGCTCGGGTCGTGTGCCAGCTTCCACGAAATGCTCTAGTGCGATACGGAAGAGATGTCTTGAAAGCGGATGATTGGTCTACGATGCTTGCTGAGATAAAGACAACAGAGTCCAGTTGCAGCGCAATCTCCGATGTCGTCAGCACCGAAAAAATAGATGCCGCCTGGAGAGAGCAAGAACGCCGAATGGACGATCTTTTCCGATCGCAGGAGGAGCACTACTGGAAGTTACAACACACGACCGACCAGATCGCAGCTGATCTAAAACAAGCCATTGAAGAACAAAGAGGCTGGCACAGGACGGATGAAGAGTCTTTGTGCCTTCAGGCGCTCTGCAACTCAACATATGAGGACCGTAAAAACCGAAACCCCGATCGTGTGCCCGGTACCTGCCAATGGTTCTTGAATAACGAAAAGTTCCATAAGTGGGCAGAGAATGACTTATCAGACCTTCTTTGGGTGACCGCAGATCCTGGTTGCGGCAAGTCCGTACTATCGAAGTCGCTCGTCGATAGCGAGCTGGAAAGCACTTTGTCGCTGACCACGGCTTACTTCTTCTTCAAGGATGATAGCCCTGAGCAAAGGAGCGCTACACATGCTGTATGCGCTCTGTTACATCAATTATGCATCCAAAATCGTGCTTTACTACGGATAGCCGTGGGTATCTATCAAAAGAATGGAAGCCAATTAACTTTATCATTTGCCTGGGTGTGGGATTTGCTGCTAGCAGTCACTCAACATCCTGAAGCCGGTGAAGTCGTATGCATTTTCGACGCGCTCGACGAATGTGAAGAAAGGGATAAAGAGAGTTTGATTAGCTCATTGAATGACCTCTACGCCTCCCAAGAAAGTTTCGAAGGCCGGCTCAAGTTCCTGATAACAAGTCGACCCTACTATGACATAGAGGAATCCTTTGACCAGAACACGTTACGACTGGCCGGAGAGGACGAAAGCGACACGATCAAGTACGAGATCGATCTCGTAATCAAGGATAGGGTCTCCAAAATCGCCTCCAGGAAAAGGCTGGACCCCAAAACTCGCGCTGCTTTACAGGACCGCCTTCTACAAACCGAGAATCGGACTTATCTCTGGCTACATCTAACGTTGGACAGGGTCGAAAAGGGGTTCGGTCTAGCTACTCCCAAGAAAATGAGGGCTTTCATTGATGAGCTACCGAGAACAATCAATCAAGCTTATGAAGCCATGTTGGATCGGTCTCCTCAGCCGGAGCAAGCACGGAAACTGCTACACATAGTCTTGGCCGCAGTGCGGCCTCTTGATTTGCGTGAGATGAACATGGCCCTCAATATTGAAGAAGGCCAGGCATCTCGGAAGGAAGTCGATTTTTATCCAGAAGATTCGTTCGGCACTTATGTTAAGAATCTCTGTGGGCTCCTTGTGAGCATCTTCGATGCAAGAATATACCTCCTACATCAAACAGTGAAGGAATTTCTACTTCCCAGGGCTATGACCCCTGGTGCAATCAAGCGTACCGACTCGGTCGGAGTGTGGAAACACTCTATGGAGCCAAGTGAATCCAATCTTGTCCTTGCAAGTACATGTCTGTATTACCTTTCATTTGCTGTATTCGACGAAGACACATCCCGCGATGAATACAACCCAGAGAAGAATTATGATTTTCTCATCTATGCAGCTTTGTATTGGCAGAATCATTTCAAATTCGCTAGAGAAGAAAGGAGAGTGATCGAATTGTGGTACTATGTCTGCGATACTGAGACTAGGCGCTTTAATTCCTGGTACCAGGTGTGGCTGCAGCACGAAAACAAACATGATCTCAAGGTTAAACCAATAGTGAGAAAGACTTCTCCGCTGATGTTAGCCTCAACCTTCGGTCATGATGTGATTGTGAGACAATTAACTGAAGGAAAGGCTGAGAGAGAGTTCGAAGACTGGTGCGGCATGACACCGTTAATGTCCGCTGCAAAGTACGGGCACGAAATTGTCGTGAGTTCTCTGATCAGGGTTGGAGCTCTTCTGGAAGCACAGGATTTCAGATTGTTGACGCCTCTGGCTTATGCTGCGACCTATGGACATGAACATGTAGTCAGGGTCTTGATCAATGAAGGAGCATTCATAGATTCGAATAACTTCAATGGAGAGACGCCTCTATCGCTTGCTGCATATCACGGCAACCATCTGGTCGTCAAATTGCTGATTGATGCCGGAGCTCAAGTGGCTACTCCCGACAAGAATGGCTGGACGCCTCTAATGGCGGCTACAGCCGTTGGACACCCTAAGGTAGTGGAAATGCTGCTGAAGACTGGAAAATGTGTTCCGGCGGACACTCTTAGGTACACCCAAGGCCTGACGCTTCTGCACCAGGCTGCATACATGGCGAATGAGACGGTAGTGAAGATGCTTCTTGGCGCCGGTTGTTCACCGGATTCTACGGATAGTGAAGGTATCACGCCGCTGGGGCTTGCAAAAAGTGGTCTTGGCGCAGAGTCTACCACTCAGCCGAGCAACCACCGCCGCTCGAAGCTGGAAGCAGTTATAAAATTGCTCGAGCCAGTCACATCGAAGTGAGTGCTGGACCTGATGAGACTGTTTGAGCCATGTTGTACGTGTTCATTCACCACAATCACTATGGTTCGCCATAGCTACTACTGCGCCGAGGACGAGTATCATGGCCACCGCAAGCTCGCCGAGTCAAGAGGACGTAGACTTAGATCATTGGGGACAAAGGATATTATCCAAGTCAGCTTGATGCCAATAAAATCGCCATCTTACAAAGCCGGTGTTCTTTCCAGTTGACAGAAAATCGTGCGTTCGTGCGGATGCGGAGGGCGATATCCTTCCTCAGTCGATCAGTTTTTTTAAGCCTGGTGGCAGAATTTCGAAAGAGCTTCTACCGAACAGTGGTAAATCGAGAAGCCATTCTTCTCAGCGGGCTTGCCCATGACCGGCGACGAATACCGTAAGCGTTCAGCGGACTCGCTCGACAATGGCTCTATAGTCACTGCTCTAGGTCTACGTTTCGTCTCTCTGATTCTTGGCGTAGGATAATAGTAAAAGATTTCAGATGACTGGTACTACAACCGTTCTCGAGGAAGCCAGGTCTCAGCAAGTCCAGAGAACAACAATACGACCTTTCTCTTACCATTCAAAAATGCTGAGCAGTGCACTGACCAATCCATCAGTGCCAACCTCTTGGGCTCCGTCGATCAAGTAATCCGTCCATTATTCCACTTCGACTGGCCCCACCGTCCCGCCATCTACTCAAATCCTTATCTCCCAGCCTGCGACACCCTGCTCGTCTCGGCTACTGCCCACATGGAATTACGAACCCAATTGCCACGACGTTCTTACCTATTGATAGAACCTCACTACTTTCTTATCGTGATGGAGCAGACGCTCCTTACGCGCGATCGAGACTGGATCCAAAGGAGTTCATTGAAGCTTAATACTCTATCCAATATAAATTCCTATCGAGTGGGCCTGTTGAGAATGTTTCTGATGGTGGTCTGATCAATTGTAACGATGAACGGGGAAATACTTTCTGGTTCGGAGCCATCATCTACGTGAAGGAGATACTCCAAGAGTTCACGTACATGGCCACCAGCTCTAGCATACTCGCATCGAACCTCAAGATTTGTCTCAGCGTGGTCCTGGCACCCGAAGCCATCCCAACCTCGTCGTCACCTCTCTTACGGCTGCTGGTCGTGGGTGGCGTGACGAGCGTCAAGTACAGTATGGACCGTACACTGTTTGTTGCGTATCTATTGAGGCCGCGACGTGAACTTGGTTTGACGGATGGGAATATGTGGAAGAGACGTTGCTATGGATTGGGAAGTTTCTTGATAAAGCTGGCAAGAGGTTGCTGGAAGAGGTGAGGATTACGAGGATAATGCTTGGTTAATGGAGTGTAGCTTAAATATCTATTGTGGTGCTGCCAGATGGTATAGATACAGCTTGTTATGGGCATCATAATGAAGTCAAAATGTAGCCTTTACCCAATTCCATTGAATATCTAAACATCTGAGAGCCTGTTGTGGAGTGGAGCTTGAAAGGCCGAAGCTTCCTAACATGCTAGTGCTTCAAAGGCCTTTCAGTACAAAGATGCTCTGCTGGAGCTCTTCTTGCCCTGCGAACGGTCTTTTTCGTCAGTAGATAATCGGACCACTGGCAGAAAGGCACTACCGTCTCGAGTCACGTGATTGTACTGTACAAGACACCAACCTGCTGAGTCAGCTTGAGCAAAATGCTTGGCATGATTCCACGACATCTGCGATTGACAATCTTATAACTAAACTGGCACCTTCAACCCAACATGTCCTTCCCGTCCGCATGCCGGCACACCCTCCACCCTCACCTCCTCCGCCACCCCACCATCCGCATCCGCCTCCCCACCACCGCTCGCGCCTACACTTCTCGCCGCGGCGCCGACGAAACCACCCTCGCCTCCGCAAGGCACAACCCCCGTCTCTCGGGCCCCTCGCTCGGCCATCTCATCACAGAGCTCAGCGCCACGACGCCGGACATGCTCAGGGACGGAGTGAGAAGGGAAGGCCACACGATGGGTGAGGAGCAGAGGACCCTGGCGCGCAACGTCGCTATCGGCACTGTGGGGCTGCCGCTTGCTTTTGGGGGTGTGGTTGTAGGTGTGGGGTGGCTTTGGGGCTCTGACGGTGGGGGTTGAGGGGTGCTCTGGTTCGGGTGACGTAGAGGGAGCGGGTTGTTGTGCGTAAGGGAGGTGGAATTGGTATATATTCTATTTTCGACACAATTGGACTGGGTAAGCTCCGTCGTGTCGTCTCTGATGAACGAAATTCGTTGCTGAGGAGACGTGTTGTAGCCGATCTAGTTCTGTCGTCAATGGGTCTGTCTGGACGGTTGTACGAATTGAATGCGTGGATGTTTGGCTACGAATGCTTTTTTTTTGCCGTTTCATTAGCTGGGAAAAAGTGGCTGGTATTGTTTTCAGAGAAAGCGTTCAATTACTCCACCTACTCCATACAAAATGTGCTTGCTTTATTACATTGCCAGACATTAATATCTCGACAGATCAACTCGGAATCCTTCCCCTCCTTCCCCTCCTCCGTGCCGTCGACACGTCCGAGACGGCTTTCCTCTCTCTCCTCTCTCTCAATTAGAGAAAGATCCCGATTCCCTGTTGTTTCGCACATTCGTCATCTTGCTCGTCTTGGTCACTCGCCAGCTCTTCGTGCGTGGCTATTTGACAACATGGACAAGTCTCATACGGCTTGGGTGAGAGCGGGGATAGCCAGTTTAAGACGCATGCAAGATATCCCCACGTGCAGGCAAGATGTTTTCGCCATCGGAGGACGAACCTTGCAGTCCAGAGTGAGAGGACCATCCAAAACACAATGCGCCAGCGCCAGCCCATAAAATCGTTTCTCTGATGGAAGTTCCAGCCGGGCGAATAGAAGGCCCATACGATGTCTCCAATCAGCCAACAGAGCGCAATGACAAGCGCACAGTATCCTATAAAGCTGAGGACAAGATCCTTCAGTAGCTCGAATAGTGACACCATAAGTGCGTGGATAGCTTGCTTTGATGGCTTAACGCAGCTCGCCATGGAGGCTTGAGTGTGGTAGAGAGAAGCGGCAGAGGTATTGGGGTCAAAATAGTATGAGCTTGTGTGTCTAAGTGCCTTGATCGACGATCCTTTCGTAGAGGTATTCCGCTTCTGCGAAAGGCAAAGATGGAAGATTCACCGCAACGCAAGAAAGAGGTTCGTTATATCTCATCGCAAACATGGGCTTTACACTTGATAGAGCAAGTGTTTTTCTTTGTATGTGGGATGTGTTATCAGAGCATGTTGAACAATGAATTTGTGGCTCCTTCCTGTTTGACGGTTGTAATTTCACAGGTTTTCGTCAGGACAAAGGAGCACAGATGACTCTCGCAGGTTGGAGTGAACCACTGCGTTCGATTATCGTCAATGCCACGGTTGCTTTTGTGTCCCAACGGAGTTGGTGAACATTGACGTGAGATGTCAAAAAGCAAAAAATCACATGGAAGGGTAAGTGCGGGATGCCTTTTGCCATCAGTGTGCCGTTGCTTTCTGAGGACGTGCAAACACTTTTGCCACGTACGCTCGAACGCTGTAATCATCTTGCTTCCTCAGGGTTAGTTTCACGCTGGCCGAGAGGTCTTGGAACTTTGCTACCGTGGTCAGTAATACTACTGGGGCCCTGCTTGCACGTTTTGGAATCGAACTACCTTCAATAACATTTCTGCCAAGCCCGCGAGAGACCAAAGATGGTTCTTCCTGTGATAAAGCAGGTCAGCTAATGAATTGAAATATCTCAAGGCCTCCCCTGAATCATTCCCTGATATACAGCCCAGAACCCTTTGATAAGTGATGAACTCTCCCTTAACCTATCAAGACTCCCGCATATCGTCCATGACATCTCCCATCTCGAAGCCTCCTCTCGCTACCAAACCCTTCATCTTTGGACCCTCTACCCGAACCCTCACCGTCCACCCCTCCCACCCGGTTCCCATACCCAACCACTCAAAAAACGACCATCTCATCCACGTCAAGACTACCGCCATATTCGCCGAAAACCCAGAAACTCAACTCACGCCGGGCAACTACCAGAACAAACGGCTCCCCATTCTCTCCTTTCTGCCCCGGCGACCTAATCTACGCTCGCTCCTCGCGCGTCCCGTCTGCAACCTCGTCTGGTCATGCCATCGCGCGGACGGAGGAGATGGCGCAGAAGTCGCAGAAGCTGAGGTGGGTGGAAGCGGCGATAAGGGCTTGGCAGGCTGTGTTCGAGCATGCTGGTGTGGAAAGGCTGGATGTCCCGATTCCGTTCGGGAAGAGGGTTCTGTTTGATGCCACGGCGGCTGGTGTGGGGTGTTTGGCTTGTGCAGTTGGCGAGGATCGTGGGGTTGGAAGTTGTGGCGCAGGTTGGCAGTGCGGAAAACCACAATTTCGATGGAGGTTTAGGTGTGTTGGAGATTGTGAAATATAAAGGTGAGAGCTTGAAGGCATATGCCCGAAGAGAGGGGCTGGTGGATGTCGTGATTGATCCTTTGGGAGGAAAGACGTTGGCGGATGTGTGGTGTTGTGTCGAGGATGGGGGGTACTTTGGTTAGTATATTCGAGCCGCCTGAAGGGAAGAGGCCGGGGGCCTGAAGGATGAGGTTGTGAAGGATGAGTTTTTCATGATGTGATATCGAGAGTGCTGGACGAGGGCCAGTGTAAGGGGGTGGTGGACAGTGTGTGGGATTTCGAGGACTACAAGGGGGCATTTGAAAGGTTGGATGGGGGCCATGCTAATGGTAAGGTGGTGACCAAGGTTACCGAGTTGATATGTCAGGAGTGAATGTCTCGGTTCACGTATGTGTACGTCGATTTAGGATGAGATCCGACACCTCTTCTCCTTACCACAAGCGCTAATTCTGGAAGACTTTTCAATATAACCTAGGACTGTCATGGTAATGATCGTTGCATATGGAAGGGCCTCGTACATGACGTTGCGACCATCCCGCATTGATTGCATTTTCACCTGTAGACGAAGCACCTGCGTCGATGAAGTTACAGAAGGACTGGGTTCCTTCTAGAACAATTCTACAGTTTGCGAAGGAAATTACTTGAGATCGTCTTCTGCCATCAACGCAAGTCCTATACCAAAGGATCAAGACAATCTGCTATCAAGAAAGAACTGGAAGTCCCTTCTCTCAAACAGAAGATGTAGGGTACGTACGCACAGAACCATCCTGGAAAGTTGGCGAACAGACACGCGGTCCGCGGCGCGAGAGCATGAGAGGATAGGGCGAGTCAGGGTAAGAGGTCAGTAAGATAGAGACGGCAAGGAAAAGATTTTGCCTGTACCGAGAATGACCATGTGAAGTCGGCATCAAGCACATAAGGACAACTGGTGAAAGTGGCTTTCAGTTCATTCTTGAAGTATAGTATATAGCTCGTCAATGCGTGGGAATGCGTCTCTGATGAGTATGACATTTCGCAGCTTTGATTTGATCATTGAATGCAAGTGTACATACGGCGCCCGACTGAAATCATAACAACCATTAATACATGAAAGCGCCTTCAAGACCGATCAGGAGCATGTCCTGAGAGCTGGACGCCGGTGTTCAAGAAGGAATTGATCAATCGCGTCTACAATAGTGGAGATATCAAAGGGGTATCAGGTATCATGAAAGAAAACTCTTATAGCATCCTGCCGCTGCCAAGCAATCAGTAATTCTGTCAATTCACTGCTTTGACATGCCTGCGGTAGTGAAACGTATCGTCCAGCATCTCCTCCGTGAAACCAAAGCCGGACCCAAAATGGTCATCTCCATAGCCTGACACTTCGACTGTCGAGTGCGAAATCTTGATAGGCGATAGATCGAGTGAGTTTCCTTCGTCAAACATATCCTCTGCACCAGTGTCGATTGAAAGTGCTGCTGCATCCAGAGGGATGGACTCTGCAATCACCTCACCATCGGGCGATATGCGGACTGTAGTGTATTGATGGGCAGAGCTGATCATTAGATTGAAGGATTCGTCAGTTAAGCTTTTCAGCCAGCTTGCTTCAAGCCTGCCGCCTATCCGTAGGAGAGGTAGCATCAGGATTCGTGGTGCATGCCAGGTGGTCTTCCATAAGTGAATTGCAGGTTCAGGAATCGCACAATGGATTAGGAGGAGGTCAGACTGTGAAGGGTGCCATATGATCTGTTTGACGGGCGAGTGATGGATCAGGACATCAATCGCTGTACCAGTACTCAACGACCATATCCACACTGTGGTTGGTACGACGTCATTTCTTGACGCCACCAAAGATCCATCGCTGTTGAATGCTATCACAGAGATCCCGTACGACGGATTGTTCGATTTGCCCAAGGATAATGAAGTTGGCGGACTTGCGGGCTGCGGTGCGGCGACATAGCTCCTCTCTTTGAGCGCATTCACCTGTTCTTCCCAGACGCCAGCTTTGGGCAATGTTATCGTTGCCGGGTGGTGGAGATTTGCTATAGGCGAGAACTGTTCCCGAGTCAGCAAGCTGTAGACGCCTTGACAGTGGTGGAGAGACTTACATTGTTCTTGCTGAAGATAGTGATACTATCGTTATTATCACCAATTGCCAAAGTTCCAGCGGATGGACTCCACTGCATGCATTTGACTCCTAAGCTTATGTCCACACCATTCAAACTATTCGAAATAGTCTTGTATAAGTGTCCGTCCGCAGTGTAGATCAGCACCTTATAGCCAGTACTTGCTGTATCTCTGGTAGCAAGCCAACTCCCATCAGGGCTCCAAGCCACCTCCTGAGCATCGATTGTAGGCATTTCCACACTTTTTACCAAATCGTGACTCTTAGGCTGAAGCAGCATTAGAACATCCTGCGCAGCAGGCCTCGTCAATATTGCTAGATGTCCCGTCCTCGGCCTGTGATGGAAGCACTTCACCAAGCATTTTGGATGCCTGATCTCGACGCCACGGCTCGTGAGAAGAGACCATATTGTAAGCTTGACACCAAAGTCCGAGACGACCACGATTTCATCCTTTGTGTGTCCGAAAATCACCTCTGCGATTCTCCCCAAATTGCTAGCAGCTTTATCGATCACTGCAAGCCATGCTGGATCGTTGACATTGTATATCCGGACCGCATCGTCGTCTGCAAGTAATATCTGCCCTGTTTGTTCACAGTGCCCATTTCCTTGCTCTTTCGTTGCATCTTTGGCAAGATTATTGGTTCCGCACCACCGAAGGAAACGGCACCTTGAGACGAAGTCCTGAGGCAGAGGAAATTTGCGAATGACCTCGCGGTTGCGTGAAGAGGATATAATCAGGCGGGACTGTTGGAGTGTTGCGATGAGGACACCATTGGGAGACACGACGGAATGCTGGGCTAGTAATCATTAGCAATGTGGGCTCTGAGGACATTGACTACCATAAATTCACATGAGGAACAACGCTGAGTTGCCATTGTTACAGCTTGAACAATGATCATGCAATGAGTACTGGTGTCCGAGAGTAAACAGTGGGGTTGACCGAGGTTTAGCCGACGCGGCCTGCCGACTAACTCGCAGTACGTATGATCTCGCGATCTCAACATCTTATGCTGTGATGTACTCGTATATCTTTCCATACTCAGTATCTAGCTACGATGATTTATTATCTCCAGTCTCTCACTACATGCACCCGTTTCGGTCGTCCTCGCTGTGGCAAGTATGTCAGGTCATGGGCTGATTTGCACACTATAGCAACGAGGAAATTGAATCAGGATATAGTACGTAGTACAGTCAGAAGACAAAGGTTGAAGTTCTCATGCCAGACATCGCGGTATTTGTGGATATTTTATGGAAACGTTGACCTCCTGAAGCGGCAACAATCTCCGTAGACGCTGTCACAGATTCATTAGGAGTAGGACCTGCCGACGTAGCCTCCAGTCGCACACTTCGAAAACCTAGCTAGCCATATCAGATGGGAAAGGAAAATGACCACCTCGCCAATCAATATCGTGATATGAAAAGAAGCTTCAAGAGGGTCAAAATCATTCTGAACGGCCACCGATGCTAGCGAGAAAAGAGCACCGAGGGAGTCGATGGTGCCTAGTGAGCAGGCTTGTCAGGAGATTGGTCTTGGGGGAAGGATGGCTGAGAAAAAGAAAAGAGACCACCCACTGACTCCTACAAGGCGTCCTCGCCGTTTTGACATGTCGATATAAAGAGGTACGAGTCCCTCATCTTGCGGTAAAAGAGCAAGTACCCCCAATGAATATGATGGGCCACGTGATTCACCGTCGATATGCTGGCCGTGAAGACAAGATTAAGTTCTTGTCTTATAATAGATGTTCACGCAGAAAAACTACGCTCAACAAAAATACCAGGGTAACCTCGATCCCGCCCAGCAAAGCGGTCAATCCGACCCCCGCCATTGCTGCTCTCCATGCTGACCACCTCTTCCTGTACACCAGTATCTGTGAGCAAGTCACGGTCGTCTGGATGCACCTTAGGACGGTACCGATTGTGCCTAGGACATTGGCGTCAAAAGGTATGTGATGTTGTGGTGATATCATTGCTGGTAGAGATATTAAACTCGAGATCTCGACAAGGAGATTCTTTATCTTCCCAATCAATCTAAGGCCGAGATGTAAGTTGAGGAATCGAACAACAGATGCGGTAAGTTGCAAATCATCTCTCCATGCAAGCTTTCCTTCTCCATCAAATGCAGGAAGCCGTGGAGTATAGATTGACGAAGTTTCGTTCCTGGATACGCCATGGCGAACGGCTCGATCCGGAAGCTGATGAGTCAAGATTTTTTCAACCAAGGTTTGTTTCCACATGGCGACCGAGGTGCACCGAAAGTATGAAAGATTTCATGCACTGATTCGGGAACAAGTGCTTCCAGTACCTCGGAGGAGTCTCGACTGTTGTCCGCACAATCTCTGCCTGCCCGTGCATTCATCAGTGCTTCGGGTTGGGCTCCAAAAACATGAGCTTGAGATCCTTGTGGAGGTTTTCAATGTCCGTTTGGCGGCTAGTGACCTTGGCTAGTGAATGTCTCTTTGCAACTCACAAGCCAAGGAAAGGGATCTCGTGAACGGGATGGTCTGCAGGGTCAGGGATACACGCACGTACCGTGCAAAACTTGGGTGTCTCGCAATTGCTTTCGTGATAGAATCCTCGACCGCGGCAACATTGTCGTGTCTTCTGGAATACGTGCTCCAGACCTTTGCTTGTAGATGCTATGAAGAAAGATCGGATGAAGCTCTGCCGTCAATTGTACGAAGATGGAGCCGATCCGAGCGGCCACCAGAAAAACAGGGTCTACTATGAAGAATCGTGCTTTTTTCTTGGCACATCCTTCTACAACTTTTCTAGCGTCTGGTTTTCCAATACACACCGCTACTGACATTTCTAATTTGTACTTCGCAGAGTAAGTGAGCGACAGCGCCAGTGATCCGAAAAGAATGTGGAAGTTTTGTTGTCAGTTGGCAGTGGTCCGTCGTTGTCTTTCATCTACAGACGTCTCGTGTGTCATATGCTCCCCTTCGGTCTCATGCTTGATTTCCACAGCCTCTATCTCATGTCTTCGCTGCTCATCGTCCAACTCCGCCTTCTGTTGAAGATATATTTGTATAACTTTACCCTCGTCCTTTCTCACATCTTGCGTTGAAGTGGCAACTTCTTCCTTCCTTAGTCGTCGTCTTCGAATCATGCAAAATGAAAGCAGGTCTATTGCGATATGGATGATCGGAACGACGATTGCAACGACGAGGACAGTGGCGACCTGGTTAGTACTGCGGTCATACCATCATTCATCAATGAGCGCTCTGATTAATGGCGAAAAACAGAGGCCTCAATAAGTATATCCATGGATAGCAGAGTCTCTTGGGAGCCCGCGTTGATGGATAGGGAGAGTTGAGGTTGTTAAAGAATCAAATCTGAAACCTGAGCGGCACAAGAGGGCTCCGCCGTTAATCCCACTTACTATTGGTATTATTCCGAGGATGTAATTAGCTCCTACAGCTCTTAGCGGCATCAGACCACCTCGAGTTTACCATTGGAAAACAACGCTCTTGAGACTCGAGCATTACGCACATTAGTGACACCCACGAAGCTTATGTGATTTATTAGGGACCATGGACATGATAATTATCAATAGCAATCATTAACTATCCAGCGTCTAATTTTCCAGTTAGTATCCACCAGGCTCTATTGATTCTGGAAACGCAGATTTATCTATGTTTGTTATACAAGCTTGCTTCCAATTCTTGGGCGTGAAGCCATCAACAATGGCCTTAAAAGCCTCCTATAGAATGTTAGTAGACGCAGTAGACTCCCCTGTGCAGACGTAAATACCAATGTGCAAAAGCTCTCGTCACCATCAAGGTGCTTTCCAGGAAGCTTGCAACCAGGAACTACGACAGGTCGATCGTTGTACCGTATGCGAACGTAATGGCCTTTCAGCTTCTCCCGCTCAGTAGCACTAAGCTCATCTGTAGTCTTTCGCGCTATGCCCTCAGTAGCTATCTTAGTCTTCCCTCCAGAACCAAAGAAAGTGCTGAGCGCACCCTGCTTCTGCTTGTGTGCGACGGCGGCAGTAGCTGGTCTGTCAAGCCTTTCTCCATCGATGGACTCCCTGTCGAATTCCGACTCTTTGAAAAGCTCCAAAGCCAGATGACTGGTGTATGGCGGCCATTTCTCGCCCTCGAAGCATCCCAAGCTGGCTAGCAGTGCCGCCAAAGAAGTATCGTGGCAGCCGCTCAGGCCGAATTTGATGTCTTTCTCTCCACCTCTGCCGGCGCCCAGGGAGCCATCTTCTCCGCCGATTTCGAGAAGGCCGTCATTGCCGCTTTTTTCGACACTACCTATCATACGTGCTACAATGTCGCCGGCAAGAGCACCGATGCCGACTTGCCGATACTCTTTACTTTCCGAGAAGCCGGAAAACCATTCTTCGACGCCAATCTTTTCGATAATGTCGCGGCCTTTGGGATCGTAAAAGGGGGAAGGCAGGCGTGTTGCAGGGCCATGACCTAATGTCGAATTGATAGTGTCCATGATCCCTGAGAGCCGAGGGTGTGAATCGACTTGTACTCGGGAGTTATCTGGCATCCATTTTCCGATCAGAATGTTGAGATACTCAATTTCTTGCGATTCATTCCATCTATCGGCAGTCCGCTGTGCGAATGCCTTTGATAATTGACTGAACCTGCGACAGCTCGATTCATTCGGAAAAAGCGTCTCATCTTGGGGCGTACGAGTGATTATAGTGGGCGGCGGAAAAGATGATGTCCTTGCCGACAGAGGGTACATGCCCCAAAAGCTTTCCTGGACGCTCTCCAGAGCCCTTGGCAATGGGCTCGCTCTTAAATAGATCATGTCGGCGTCGCTGATGACCTTGGGCATGTACTTTAGCTGATCAACATAGAGATGTCGGAGTCGTTCGCCGAGCGCTAGGGTGGTCTCGCGACCTTTGTCTGTTAGTTCTCCAAGGTTGCTGCGCCATATCAGTGGCCATTCAGACTACTTTGTATTTCGGACATTTCACCAGACAGTATCAATCTCGCCATTGGGCCCAGACGCCACTATTGATGCGTCATTGTCGCCGAAGGTCTCCAGGCGCCTGCGCCATTGAAGCTTGTCCCAGGACGACCAATCCGTCTTTGTCATCGCAACGCTCAATAGTCTTTTGGCAGCATTGCAATAGGGCCAGTCTGGCCGCACCATTAGTCTTCCATCGCCTCAGGTGGAAGGGTCAAGGCATACAAGGAGCCAGCCCTGCCTGGATTGGGCGTCATTGAAAAAACTTTTCAGCTAACAGCAGGGACTCACATTCTGAAACCGTGTTGAGACAGGGCTTCTCTCGCCTGATATTTTCTTTTAGAGTATTCTGACCTGCGGAGAAATGGAAATGCAGGTACCATGTCGGAGAAGCTGTGAAGGAAGGATGGAGTCAGCCGATACAAGTGGTTCAATCTGAGTCTTTTCCTGCACATGACCGGCGATCCCAATACTCGCAGAAGGATGACGGACATACAATTTGCACCAATTGAAGCTTCAAATTTTGAGGGTAGAGTCGGTTCAATTCGTCTTGAGTATAGGACGGGCGGGGGACGAGTGTCGTCATCGCGAGCAGAGGAAGGAGAGAGTACCACGGGTTATAAGTGTATAATGGGCGTTCCTACTGTATGTACAATCATATCTATTGATCGTCGTGGAAATATTCGCCACCCGCCCCTCCTCCAGCTCTCGATTTATCTCCGCCCAGTACTCGTATATCCGAAAATGCCAAGAGATTCTCGGAGCTTCAAAATTCTTTGCATGGCCTCCCGCTTCGGTCAGGTGTTTCCTCCAGGCAATTGCCATCGAATCCGTCGTATTTGTTCATGATCGCGCCTCATGTTTGCCTGCGATGCTCTCGACAGCTCCTCCGCTGGAATTACCAGCGTCGCAGCTTAGGCTTCGTCTCGCTGGGCCAGCTTGTTGGCCGCGACGATGACAACAGGATAACGCCCCAAGAGGTGCCGTTGGCCAATGGCGACCCCGCGGCAGTCGGATTGCCTCATCGAAAGAAGAGATTGACGTTCGCTCAGAAATACCAAGAACAGCGAAAACCAAAGGGCGTCGACAAAGTTCTGGAGACGCTCTTTGCATCCAATCGCGAAAATGAGCAAACAACAGAGAGATCCCGATATTCTCGGACCCCCAAGGTCCACTCCGCCAAGGCTGCGGCAATCGAAATTTCAGCAATCGAAAGGTCTATAGAAGTTCGCCTTCGGCAGTTAGACAACAGGCTGCTTCGAGGAACCGCGCCATTGCAGGAGATCTGGAAAGAATGCGAATGTCTGCTTGGCGAGAGAAAGAAGATTCGCAAGAACACTATGGCAACTGGCGATTATAAATCGTTCTTCAGCTCCACGTCGGTCGATACGCCAGCCAACTTTCGCACCTTCCGAGATGTTCTAGTAGCTATCTGTCAAAAGCAGCGTCTTGTGATAGAACATCAAGACTTTACCCCGGCAGACGCAATTAAAACATACGTGAAATATGGTGCGATGAGACACTGGTGGCATCTGGTATTGTGGCGTCAACTTGGACACGTGCTACAATTGAGATATCAGTCTGCAAACGACACCGTCGGAGCGGAATCAGATAAGAGAACACGTACTCTATTGGGCGAGATTCTCGGAGTATGGAGTGTGTACATCGGGGAGCATTGGTTGTATCCTAGTGTAGTTTCGGTGCCTCTTTCAGGGGACTCTAATAAAGGGTATAATAAGACTTCGACATCGGAGGGTTTCTCAAGCTCCTTCCCCAAGCGACTATCCAAAAACCCAACTGTTGAAATCGAGGTAGCTGCCGCGATGACACTCGAGTGTCTGAAAGCGGCCGGGATGAGAGCCCCATTGCAAATTATGAGTCTACCCAATCGATTCGGCCAAGCCCCGGAACGAGATCGATCAATCACCACCAGGTGCCTGCTTCACGCAGGGGTTTCTTCCCAGATCATCGAAAAGGCTCTAGAAGGGTGGGAGTCTCTTCCCTCGCCAATGCCAACGGAGATACTGGAGCCAACCGAGAATTACAAAAAATCAAGCATTTTCGAAGATCTCGTGGGTCCATCTCAAACGAGGCAGGATGTGGACTGGAGCGAAAAGGGACTGGGTGCAGGCCTTGCAGAGATAGACAAAGCGTCGAAGCAGATTCTGTACTCAAAGCGAACAGATACAGAACGCGCTGTAGAACTATGGCGTCAATTCCAAGCGTATCTCGAAGCAGGTAAGTCGGAAGATAAAGCCGACTCAACCGACCAACTCTATGCCCGGTTCCTTCGCACTTTCTGGGCACTACGTCGTCACGACCACGCAATTGAAGTCTGGAATCACATGATCAACTCGGGCCATCTACCAGGTCAGAGACACTGGTCTGCCATGCTCACAGGCTGCGTTCAAGCCAAAGACGTCGAATCTCTCCAGAATATATGGACCAACATGCTACGGTCAGGCATGCCACCAGACACCCATGCCTGGACAACCTACATCCACGGTCTTATCGACTGCCGTAAATGGAAAGAAGGACTAAATGCACTCGAACATCTGGGCCGAATCTGGAAATCAGCACCGCCCCTCAAATCTTCCGACACCGTAGCCGACAGGACGGTTGGGACCATTACCGCAGACGAAGAGCAAAGCACTGAGAAGCCCAAAGACGACACCATCCTGCGGCCCACCGTCGCTCCCATCAATGCCGCTCTATCCGCTCTAATCCACATCAATATGCCTGTTCTACTCCCTCGCGTCCTCGCCTGGGCCCGATTCCATCAAGTCTCCCTCTCAACCGTCACCTTCAACATCCTGCTCCGGCCCATCGTCCGCGACGGCTCTCAAGCCTCCCTCCAAGCCCACCTCCAGCAAATGGCCGATGCAAATTGCATCCCCGACGTCGCAACCTTCAGTATGATCCTAAACGGACTGGTGTCAAACCCAACATCCACATTCCACACCCTGCCCCCCGAGGCGCAGGAAAGTACCATCACGTCCATCCTCGCAGATATGGGCAGGCAGGGCATCGAGCCAGACAAGTTTACCTACGGCACCCTCCTCGACGGCTTGCTCACCCCAGAGAATAAAACGCTATCTTACAACTTCACCCCCAATGTCCCAGCCGCGCGCACCATTCTCGCTCACATGGCCGCCCGCAACATCCACCCTTCCTCCCCCATCTACACGATACTAATAACACATTACTTCACCCGTCGCCCTCTCCCCGACCTCCCCGCCATCTCCTCCCTTTGGTCGTCCATTGTTCACTCGGGCCAGATGAAATATTTAGACAACATTTTCTTTGACCGTCTCATCGAAGGCTACGCTGATAATGACAAGATTGAAGAATCGTTGAAGTTTCTAAGAATGATGCCAGAGCAGGGCAAGAGTCCCGGGTGGAGGGCATTGGCTAGGTTGCTGAGGGCATTGGTGAGGGCAAGGGAGTGGGGACTGTGTAGGGAGTTGGTGGAGGATGTGGAGTGGGAGGGGGGTTTGTTGAGGTTTGGGCAGGGGAGGATGCGGGCGAGGCACAGGGTGGAGTTCTGGGAATTGGTGGATATTTTGAGGGAGAGGGGGCTTGTAAAGATGGGGGATGAAGAAAGATGAATTGAGGCGCCGGAGAGAATTGGAGATATGCATGGATCTAAAGGTCGAGTAAGTCGTTACTGCTCCTCCGTGTGATCATCAAAGCCATCTTGCGGGAATCTGCACAAGCGTGAAATACAAGTCCACTGAGACTACCAATATGAACAAACGGAGACAGCGTCCTCTCCAGGTATCTTCCAAGTTCCACGAAATCAACCAGCAAGCCCTGCAAGAAATGATCGAAGGCCACATGATCTGTTTTAGACTGATCGTCGAAATCCCAAGCGCCGCCAATACAGGGAAAGGCAAAACCATCAATGCCATCCCCACGTGAACCGCCATATGCATGACTCCACCGTACCCGCCATAAGACTCCTTATAACATAGTCGCTATCCAGTTTCAAATCTTCAAATGAACCCTCCTCCCATATCGCATCTTCGTCCTCGCACTTGATCTCGATTTCCTTCACTGCATCCCACCCATCCCACCACCATTCATATGCGAGTGCATGCTCCCATTGACATTCTGCACGCCATGACCACTCATATGTGGCATCTGTGTAATCTGCATCATCGCCTGCCTCTGCTGCTCACTCATCTGCTGCCCACCAATGTGCGCGCCTATCCCATTCATTTGCCCGGTCACCCCCGGCGGCATTTGCCCCATCGCTTGCATATTTGCAATCTGCTGTTGCTGCTGCTGCCGCACTAGCGCTTGTTGCTGCTTGAAATGCTGTTGTCCCCTTGAAATAGCGGTTTGCCTTGCCTGTGCTTGCTCTTGTGGGGTTATCGCGGCGAGGTTGTTGTTGTGACGTGCGGCGAGGCTTTGCAAAGTCTTGTTGTAGAAGGTTTGGATGTAATTCTGCATCTGCTGTGATTGCTGTGTTTGCGGCGCGTTCATGGCGCGTTGCTGGGGTTGAGGCTGCTGATTGGAATTCTGCGGTGGAGGTCGAGGTTGTTGAAGAAGTTGAGCTGGAGAGGCTCCATTGGGCATGCCATGAGGGACGTTGCCATTGTGCATTTGAAGTTGTTGTTGCCTCTGTAGCGATACCATGTAATCGTTGCGAACCTGCTGTTGGTTTTGATGAGCAAGGTGTTGGAGGTTCTGCATGGGTGGCCTCCCATCTGGAGACATCTGCGGGTTGGGAGAGCCATTCTGCATGTTTCGTTGGTATTGGGCGTTGACTTCGGCTTGCCTCCGTTGATTATGATGCTGGCGTAACATGATCTCATTCAATTGCTGAGATGTGTACTGTGGATGTCCATTCAAGCCTTGGTTTGGCATGCCGTTCATTACAGGATTTGTTGCCATTGGTGGACTTCCTTGATTCACGCGAGGGGTTGCATGGCCTACTACAGGTGTAGCATGCGGCATGGCCGGCGTACCATTCATGAGTGGCGTGGTTGTGCGACTGGGTGGCTGTCGGCTTCTTTGATTGCCCATAGCGACACCTCCAGAACCAGGGTGTCCATGCTGCATAGCCGAAGGAGGCCGTGCTGGACTGCCGGCATTCCCTTGAGCGGAGGAAGTAAGGTTCATGGATACATGACCAACCAGCGGCGACGAATGCAGATTGGGCGTCAAGTTGCGCACTACCGGCGATGAGTGCTGAGCTTGGGAGACTGCATGTGGCATGGGATGAGCGTGGTTCAATTGAGTCTGGCCGGTAGCCAAAGCCTGTCTTTGTGATTCTCTCATCTGGTTCTCTTGCATCCGGTGAACTGTGGCTGCGTCTCTCATTTGTTTTTCTTTGAGGTGGTGATTTTGCCGCTGGATTTCCAGTGCTTGCTGCTGTTCAGCTTCTTTACCTCTTCGTATGGCATCTTCCCTGTGTTCTCGCGCCTGTTGTTCATTCCGTGCTTTCTGGATCGCTAACTGGGCCTCACGCTGTGCCTTGGCCTCAGCTTCTCGCTCAGCTCGCTCCTTGTGCTCGACCCTGATGTTCTTGATAGCTTGCCATGTCTCAAAGCGTGGCTCAAACGTTGCGGTGCCCGCTTCTCCATCAGTCGTCCCTGCCTTAGCAGCCGGGCCTGACACATTGTGTCTCTCGTCCATAATGAGCATAAAAGCTTGCTCTTGTGCTGCTATGGCCTCATCGGCGGCCAGTTCAGCAACAGTGCGCTTCCTTGTCTTAGGAGCAGGGTGGCTTTGCTGATGGCGAGGATCAGTCAAATTGCCGAGTAGTGTATGGGCGTCTTCAATGTTGTCGACGGGATCTAGGAAAAGAGGTGGAGCGGTTGTCGTTATCGCCCTGCTCTCAAATTCATGGATCTCCTGCCCGCTGATCATCATCTTTTGTTTCTTATTGGGAGGGCCGTTAACAGACGGTGTGGGAGGAACGGCGGACATCGGTGTTGGTGGTATAGTTGCAGAAGCTGGCGTGCGGGGTACTTGAACGGACTGTTTACGGTTGTTGCGAAGGTCTGGGGTATTGGCTTGGATATAGACTTCTTCCTGCAGGGAGAGCGGAGTTGGGAAGAGAACGACAGTAAAAGTCTTGGGACCTTTGCTAGCTTGCTTGTCTTTTGAGACTGATGCCTCTGCACTTGGTGCTACAGGTGCGTTGCCGTTGGCTTTGGGTTCCTCCTCTATCTGCGGGTAAGGAACGTAGGGTGAGGGTGTAAGGTGTTGGTTGTAGTTGTGAATCGAGAAAGGTACGTTGGTGTCAGTTTTGGTGGTAGCTGTGGATGTGGACGAGTCGCTTGAAGAGGAGGTGCTTCTGTGGTCCTGAACCTGCACTATGAGACAGCTTTCGTAAAATCTAACGCCAGCAGCCTGAAGCTCCTCTACCATATCGTGAGGCACGGTCTGCGACTTTAGATGCTCCAGAATAAACTTCATTGGCGAGCCGTACGAGAAGCTACCATCTTGCTGGTCGAACCTGAAATGCGTTGGGTGTAGGTGTATGATGAGCGACGGCGGTTTGCTCCGATACTTCTTTAGGATATATGGCTGTGTTTTGACGTAGGGCGCAGGTATCGTCTTTGGCACCCTTTGCCCATCGAGTCCCTTCCCACTCCGGTTTGATCTTGAGTCTCCCGGCTTCTGTGTTTCTCTCCTCCGATTGCTCAAGCGCGACGCAAATGCGTTGACATTACCATTGACACCATTGGCAATCGGCGCGGGAGGAGGTTGTTTGAAACTGGAGCCAGAGGGTGGTCTTTTCGTGCTCATAGAGGGTGAAAGGGATGATTGGTGAGATTGGACTCCATTGGTTTGGACAGCGGGGAGAGGTGGACGCTTCATTTTCTGGTGGGGCGCCGAGGGTTTGCTTGCGACGGCAGTAGCCATGATGGTGACCGTCGTTGAAATCAGAGATGTAGAGAGACTGCGCAGAGTCAAGCTCTCGCAAGCTACCTAAGTAGCCAAGCCCTGTGAGCTTGCCCCCAAGTCCTGTCGCATTGAGAGGCGTGGGGGGGGCTGGTGGTAAAATTCTGATGTCTGCAAAATCGCTGCTGCACAGACTCTCCCGGACTGAGACAAAGTGTCCTGAAGTTAGCGAAGCTATTAATGCTATCGGACTAGAAGTACAAGTTGTGAGTGGTTTGATGGACTGGGGGATGTGTTACACTGACGTTCGTCGTCAGGAACCGTTATGCTAGCGTCCTTTTGCGGAACAATGCACCTGATATGAGAATAACCATAGATGATAGATGATGGCAATACATATCATGGACTGGGATGAAGTCTGAATGATATGATCCACAGTATGAACGGAATATTGGTTATGAAGGTCTAAGTATGCTGTGAAGCCCAGAAATGTAGAAGGTGCCAAGCCACGCTAGGCCTATTTGGAAAGCATGTGTTGTAGGCGGCCTGGCTCGCTGGAACTATCGTGTATGACAATACAAGCTCATCTCTCCAACATTGTGGCTATCATTATTCACTCTACTGTACAATCAAATCGATATCCGTCAGAGGTCACTCCAAGTACTACAATCATCAAAGGAATATCGTCCCAAGTCGTCCAATCCCTGGCGTCGAGGCCTGTTCTCAAATCATAAAAGCCAATGTACAACAATCCCATACTGACGCTCATCTAATCGTGTCCTCCGATTCTACGCCTCCAATCTTCGCCTACGCGAAGTCCGTCCACTATCTCCACGCCTTTCCCAAGCCCAATTTGGGGGTCATTGTGCCACCATTTCTCTTTCTCCTCGTGCTCATCCTCGCTGTCAACTAATCCCCCGTGTCCGCTCTCGCCGACAACAATTACAATATCATGTCCAACCCAGTCTTTGATTTGGGCGATAGCATCCCCGCTCTCAGAAAGCGTTTCCTGGAGGTAAACAGTCTCAGGCGCAAGATGCTTCAGAATTTGGATGTAGCCGGTAGGCGTGGTAAATGGCATTATCTCCGTCTCTTTATTCACGAGCGCTCGGGCTTGCGTGTGTAGCGTATTGAACATATGGGACCTTCCACCAGCAGATTCGGGATCGAGTGACTTCTCGCCTTGACTTTGTGCATCTTCTTGGCCGATGTTGGAGTAGGATGAGGCGAGTGAGACGTCTGGTTGTCCCGATTGTCGGTTTGCGAGAGGATGCTGTTTGAGGTCTGGGGCGTAGATGAGCACAAAGATGCGGGAATCGGGGTCGACATGCTCGGGTAAATGTGAGAGTATTGACTGTCCATTGTCAGCATAACATTGACCTCATTCCGATCAGCATATACTCACAGCATGCTCCTGGTGATACTCAGCATCTTCGCTGTACTCATATTCGGTCTCAGCAGATACAACGATTGCAACGGTTTTCCGCTTCCCACTAGCTTTGATCGTGGATAGCATAGTCTGTCTAGAAGACGTTGACCCTTCCAGATCCCGTAGCTCCGGTCCTTTTCGCGAAGGTTCTCCATGCTGAGAATCTGCTTCCTCAGACCACCTCGAATGATCTTCGTATCCCCCCTTACCCTCCTCTGTAATTGATGAAAGTGCGCCGCCAACTGCAGCTCCAGCGGCCGTCACACCAGCAACTACGTTTCGGCGCGCGCCATCGAATATCTGCTGAGGGCTTGGTGTCCGACGGAGTGCTCCTGACATCCGCGCGGCGATACTGGATTCTTCCGCTCCTCTTCCATCAGAGCCGGGCGCGAAAGGAGTCTGCGCGGCAGGTGGGCCTTCAAAGCCAGGAGGCGGACCTTGAAACCCCGGTGAAGGGCCGTTGCCGTAGTCGGATGGTGGAGGACCGTAGCCAGACGGAGGGGGAGCGTTGGTATAGTTAGGGCCTGAGGGAGGTGGACCAGCTTGGCCTGGTGGACGGTATGCCAAGTCATCGTCATCGTCGTCTCTTCTCTCGTTCCATACCCATGCTACGAGGCCTGCCGTTGCGACTGTGACAGTCACCGCAAGTGGAAGCCAGTAGCCCCAAGCTGTTCTTCGCGTCGAGGCCCCATAAGTCTGACGCCGTTGTCGCTCGTATGAGTACGACATGATAGCTATGACTTGTAAAGAGAACTGCGACAGAGGGATGACCACGGGGTGGCCATACGATAATGCCAGGCAATCAACGAAAACGCTTGCTTGCTCGGGTGTCTGTTGACGAGCTGGGATCTGGGATCTGGGTCCCGATGCTTGGCAAAGCGGGAGGGGCTGAAGATTCCTCCTGTCGCCCAGGAAGACCGATGTGCAATATCCAAAAATATTTTGTACCAACCCCCATCAGAGTCATAAATAGTTTGTTCACTCCAATGGACTGGTAATAAAATGCTTTCGCTCTGGTAATGACCCTTATTTATTTACTTCAATGAAAAGAAGATCATATGACAAATCGACAAGATCCTTTTTCCAGATCAAAGTTTTTGACCGACTGCCTCGACATACCATTTAAGCAAAACCACAATTTAATAGAGGGAGGATGCCTCACGCTTTAGGCATGCCATCGCCAGGCTTCCAAGCTATAGTTTTGTGTGGCCCCGGGGTGTCGCTGACCACATTCACCGCCAGCCCGGAAGACTTTCCCAAAGCCCTCGTTCCCATAGCCAATCGGCCCATGGTATGGTACCCGTTGGATTGGTGCTATCGCATGGGAATTACGAGTAAGCGCACGTTTCTCACTTCTGGTTGTCTGTACATATGTTTGCTTCCAATTTCCACTGCCTGTCTTGCTCCAAATCTCTACCAAGAGAAGCTCTTTGTGCTTTATCTTTTGCCGATATTTCCACCACTATGAAAAGAAAGAAAATGTCAAAACTACAACAAGTCTAAGCGTTTTATTTGTGTGCACAACCTCCATGATCCAAAAGTTAACGAGGACCAAAAGACATCAAACTCATCACCCCGCCTTCTTCAGCCGCGGCCATCACCACAGCCCTTGCCCAAAACCCGCACCTCACATCCCTTCCCCTCCCCAAGCCGGACCTCCTCGCCCCCTCCTCACTCTCCCAAAACACGCCGACCGCTGAAATCCTCCGCCATCCCGAAATCCAAGCAGCGATCAACGGCGACTTCATCGTCCTACCCTGCGACCTCGTCTGTGGATTACCCGGCGAATCATTGCTCGAAGCATGGATGATCCACCAAGGTGGGCTGGGCGGAGCGAGCCTGGAATCTGAGGGGTATCGGGGGGCGAAAATGGGGCTAGGTGGGGAGGGTGGTGGAAGGAGAGGAGGGTTAGGGGTATGGTTCGAAACCAAAGGTGAGGACAGCGTCAAAGGTGCCGAGACGGACTTTGTGATCACGACATCCTTACAGCAACCCGCGGTGCCTCCACCAGAAGGCTCCCTGAGACCACACATCTCGAAGCTGCTTTACGCCACGACGACGGATACACTCCGCGATATTACCGAAGAGAAGAAAGGATTTCCTATCCGCCATGGCCTGATTGGCAAGCATGGCCGGGTCAAAATGCTCACCACCCACCGCGATGCACACATCTACTTATTTCCTTACTGGGTCCTTGACATGATCAAGCGGAACGAACACTTCGACAGTATCAGCGAAGATGTCGTCGGCTGGTGGGCTAAAGCGGGCTGGCAAGAGGGTTTAGCCGAGAAGCTTCGTCTGCGCGAAGTCTTCGACCCGACACACTCCTCTGGGGAAGGCAGAGATGGTGAAAATGGCATCCATGCGAGTGGGAACATCGAAGACGAAATCGACCTGGCGAGCATGAGCAGTACGAATGTCAGCGCGCTCAAAGAGAGAGAGTCAGCAAAAGCACCCCTCTCAGTGCCACCATTCCTATCTTACGTGCACCCCACAACTACAGCCACCACCTCTTCACCCCTAATTCGCCGCGTTGACACGCCTCACCTCCTCCTGCACACCTCCCTCCACCTCGCTACCCTCCCACCGTCAACAAACCCCCCACCAAACACATATGCCACAGGACCCAGCCCGCTGTCCCACTCCCAGAAGATCTCCACCGACCCATCGCTAATCGCACCGCACACCAATATTCATGCCCCAACAACCCTCATCGCCCCAAACACAACAGTCGCCACCCATTCTGTCATAAAGTCCTCTGTCATCGGCGCCAATTGTGTGATCGAAGAGGGGGTGAGGTTGACAGGATGTTTGCTGATGGACGGTGTTACCGTAGGGGAGAAAGCCGTACTGCAGGGTTGTATTCTAGGAAGAAGATCTGTAGTAGGCAAGGCAAGTAATCTGAAGGAGTGCGAGGTTCAGGAAGGTTATCAGGTGGAAGAGGAGACGGAAGCCAAAGGGGAGAAGATGATGGTTTTTGAGGGACTGGAGGAAGGACTGGGAGAGGAGGAAGATGAGGCGGGTGGAGAGGGTATCCTTCTTGGGGATGAGTGATGTATCTTTGCGGAATACCACTGTGAGCGGTATTGATATCGAACCGACTGGTCCCCTCGGCATCGGGGCCGTCCCCTCGAAAGTAAACGCCATACAATCTGGCATGGGACGTAGAGCAGGCTCGCCACCAGAGAAAGCGGTAATTGTAGCGGCACAAGTCCGCTGAAGTTTGGCGATATCGGCACAAGAAACATATCATGGTGTTTGCCAACCACTCTATTCGAATCGCTCCTACCGATCAATTGCCCAAACTCCCCACGGTTGTGCAAATCTTCGAACAGTTTAGCACCCAAGACTGCCACACGTTTAACGCCTACCTGAGAGATATATATGGACTGCCACCAACCCGTCAACTCCTCGTCATACTCGTATACGCCTGAAGACACGAATGAGAACCGTAGGCGATCCACATACCAAGGCTCTAGCGCCAGCATACCCGTATTCCTCCTCCTCCTATCGGACAGAGAACCAGCCGTGTCATATGTTCGAGCCCTGCGTGATGGCAGACTTGGTCCCGATTCCGACTTCGAAGCTCAGAGATCTATACAAAAACCCCCAGGATCATTACGCAGATCAGGTACCTACTGAGCAAAATGAGTGATCGCAGCCAGCTTCGTCCAAAGAAGCGGGGCCGGTCAGCATTCACGGATAACACATTCGCGCCTGATCAGATATACGATCCAGAAGACGGCCGAAGCCGGGACATCTGGCTTTCACCAGATCTTCCCTGTGCGACTGATCAGAGGGACTGTCGGCGCGCCTTTGAGCGATCTGAGGCTGTCCATTATCGGCGCTATCATCGAAAACTGTTGGGCCATCGTAAGGCATTCAGCCAGCCATCCAACACCAAGAAGGCCATAAGCGACAGTGCAATAACCTTCCGCCTCGAATGCCGGAGCCTACACGCCGCCTCGACTCAATTTCTGAGAAAGAGGCGATGGCGTGATCGCAGCAGACAGAGCAGAGCTTGTGCGATCACAAGACACGTAGTACACAGGCCACAGCCAAAAACCTCCGTCAGCCCAGCCATCGGAGAATTACGGATCCAGGTGTTGCCCCGCAGGCAACAGCTCCCGTGTCTCATTGGCCCCAAAGCCGGCCAAAACGCATCTCGGAACCTAGGACCGCCTCTCTCCCCAGAAAGACGCACGTTCAGGGCGGCTACCGTCAACGGCCGTCCGATCCGGAGGTTCCGGAAAGAGTGGGTTTCCCCCAGAAATCGAAGAATGCGCAGAGCTTGGAAAAGTCAGCTGAAAAGGCGTCGCTGCGGGGTCGATGCAGGCGCGATGCAGGCGGTAGATCTCTTAGCTCGGGGGGGGGCTCGAAAAAAAGCCTCTGCTCTGAATTGCATGTTAAAGCTGTCAGAAATCCGTGACCTCCTGATGCCATTCGTGAAAGAATTGAGACCCTCGAGCAAAGTCGGCAACATTGGCCGAGCTCTTGCAGGGAGCTTATGCCAGGCTCTGCGGAATGATTTTCGTCGTATATTGCCCGTGAGTGGTCGGTCTTGTTTTCCGAGCCCCACATTCCTGAGAGTGAAATGTTTCGCAATCTGTGGGGAAAGACCCTGCATGTATGCGGCTAGCAAGATCTGGTATATCAGATCATTGGCTCGAGCGCAGCACCTCCCTGCAGGAGAGCTCTTTGGGAATATCAGATCAAATAGATGCAATTTCTTGAGGAATTCAGATCATCCGGCAATGGGCTGGATTGCACTGCCATAGTATCCTGATATGCAGTAGCACAAGTCGTTGGCAACAGTGGAGCTGATGTAGTAGACCAGCTCATAATGTATCGCCTCGACGGCCGATAGTAGGCTCAGATTAGTCGGTTATTGCGATCACTCGAATATCTTCACTCTACTGCCGTCCCACGAAATGTAAGTAATCACCCCATGCATCAGATAGTACGTACCAGTTCTTGCGATGAGTAAGGTCCCTCACGAAGGTCCTGCTTAGCCACTGTCCATCAGGGTCTAGCGTATAGTTGCTCACTGAAACATTGGCCCTCTGGGGCAGCATTCCAGCTGCCTTGCTCGCGCCTCTCAAATATCTCGGGACCCTTGAAGCCTATAAGGATCGCGAAGGTCCATCCTTGTGTACCAGTATCCTTCTGCGCTCTAGACAAGTTGGTGTTTTTGAACAGATTCTGAGTCCACTTTCGGAGACTACCTCTGGTAAGTTGACGAAGCTTCTGTACGTGCGTTGACCCGCTGACCCCGTTTACAGATCCAATGTCTTTCCTGGAGCGTCCCCTCCCCTGCGATGATGACTTTAGTCTCCGTGGCAGCAAGAGGACATCCGGCAGCCCGGCCGACGTAGCGCAATTTGTCAACCCTCAGTATACGCAGCTCGGATTCTTGACTCCGGAAGCATCGCCAACAGATGCTACACCTCGCCGTACATCATTTGCCTTGTCCGAGAATAGGAGTACCTACTTCTCGGGTTCATCAGCAGCGTCCTCTTTCGCGTCCCAATCAGGATGCGGGACACCGTCTTCATCAACCCCGGGCTCGTCAGCATCAAATTCACGCCGTCAATCGCTACTACCAGAGAGTCAGTATTACCTATCTGCCATTTCTTCAAGCCCGTCAAACCGTCCCCAAAAGCCGGAGAGGGCTGCAGTCACTGATCAGTTGCCCTTGCAAGAATCTTCGCTCTGGTCATATATCACAAGCACAGATACAGCATCGTTGATCACCGACGGTGCGGCAGCTTGTATGCCAGGAGGCGACTTTACTATTGTAGCTCAAACTGATTCTCCGTGGTTATATGGGAGGGCAGTACAACCTGCGCAGATTGACGAATCGACAATTTTGAGCCGTGATCTCGAAGCAGAGTTCAACAATCCGATCGCTGCTGGAGCTTCTCACACCTTCGAACTCAATCAACCCCTTTTCAATTACGGACAGCCCACGATTTTCGAAAGTCCGCCCCCGCAGCCAGACACAGAAATGTACGACGCAGCGGGCGACTCCAGCCCCAATGCCCCTTCGCTAGCACCACCATTTGAAGGATGGCAGGGAAAATACGACACTGACAGCTTGGTGTCAAATGCTGCGACAGCGGACCTCATTAGGCAAACTCTCAATGGCTCATCGCACAATTCGAAAAGATTCCCGAGTGCTTATATTCAACCTCTTCAGTCCGATGATGATTCGGAACGCGACCATGCAGCCTCTCAGATTGTCAACAAACGCAACAAGAGGCAGAAACAGGGCCAGGATATGTTCAATCGCGAGTCGTGGCCTGGGCCTAGTCACAAACCGCACAAGTGTCGGCACTGCAAGTATGCGTGCAACCGCCAGGAGCATCTGCGAAGACATGAGATGTCTGTACACGATCCGAAAGAGATGCTCCCGTGCGCATTTGACGGGTGCATAGACCGCAGGACTGGCGGGCCTCGGGAGATCATATGTCGTTGGGACAACCTGAAGGCACATTATACCAAGACACACTTCAAGTATGGCAGCAGTGAAAAGGGTGGTAAGAACTATAGAAAGTCCATGAAAGCGGCACACGAAGAGGGTCTCAGTGTGTACGATCCTAGATGGACATTGTTGCTTGACAGAAAGATGAATGTCAATCACGAAATCAAGGACCACCTGCATGTTTGGAAAATGCTGGGCTACTCAATTCTCGAGACTAGGGACACAAAGGTCCAAGACGTAGTACCGGATTGGCAAGGACTAGGTGATAAAACACTCCAGAAGGCTGATCCACTCCAGAAGGCTGATCCAAGGTGGAGGGCATTGTGGGATGGAACCCTCACCTTCGACAAAGCCATGGAGAGGGGACAAGATATGAAGGAATCAGAAGCGCAAGGGCTGCTAGGGGTCACCATGTTGGAGACAGAGGCCATGGGAATTAAGCACCTTGATCCTCGATGGACAGAAATACTCAGCGGCCGCATGAGTGTGGAGCAGTCAGAGAAGCTTGGAGTAAAGCACAGGAATCCTGTGTGGAAAGAGGTTGCCAGGCACAGGACTCGATTATGAGTCGGAAAGTTCTGATGATTATGACTGTTGGCATGAAACGATGTTAATGACTTGGGTGTGGTAATGGGTGATGATTTACTCACTTCTTGTATACGTATTGTTTCCTTTTCGTCTCGGCATGTTACCGTATATTGCGAGCATGTGATGGGAATTTAGTCACGAGCTGAGGACTGCATCCAGTAATGAAAAGCTTTTGTTAAGATACTGAGGTACTCGGACCAAGCAGCACTTAGAACACTCGGCATAGGCATGAGTCACCAGAATAAGAATGGTTTTAGACTAGAGTGGAGTATTTGACCTCTTGTAGCGACACAAGATCGGCGTCGCTGCTACCAGCGCCATTATCCCCGTGCTGGCACCAAGCGTCAGTGGAAACTTGCCATTTCTCAAGAAGACTTAGTGGAAATACCGTCTTTAGAGGCGGCTTTCTCAATGTTGTGTCCCTGGTTCTCTTTTCCCTTACCAAATACTGACTTGAGCTTGTTCCCAACGGCCTGTAGGACGCCCTTGCTATCCGACATGGGAAGGGCTCCTTTGTCGTCCAGAAGGTTGATCTTAAGAGTAGGCACCTCAGAGCCACCGCGAGTCGAGCGGGAAGAGTCCAAGCTAAAGCGCTGGCCACAGTCGTTGCACTGCACGACTTCAAGCCCTTCGGCATCGTGAGCCTGATCACAGACAACACAAGCAGGATTGTTTTCCATTGCGACAGAAAGATTCAGGCGAATTTCCAAAGGAACGAAACGAGGTATTTTAGTGTAGCCAGGACGTGGGCGGTTCGTGGGACCGCCGAGGAACAAACCCTGACGCGGTGAGGATTGTGTAGGAGGCTGATTTTCGAGAATTCGTGGTAGAGAAGCCGATCTACGTTGGGTTGGTGGTGGATGGCGGCCTAGAAAATTGTTTCTACGTTGCCTTTCATACTCGGTTGTGCGAATTCGCGGGACGCTTGACTGCAAGGTTCGAACGGATTCGAATGAGCTTGATCGTAGCGAGCTGGCTATGCCTGGAATGCGCTGTGGATATTAGCATGTAGTGCAGATTGCGCCCATTTTAAAGAAGTCCTTACCTGGTTTGGCACAGGCGTTGAATGAGGTCTTGTGGTACTCAAGTCTGTAGGTTGTACGGCCGGAATCTCAGCTTTGCTCGTTCATCAGCTTTCTCTTATCAAGGCAGGTAGAAGGGTAGCTTTACCTGGTAATGTCGAGGACCCTAAGGACTCCTGAGACTGCACAGGGGCGAAGACGATAGCTCCGGAAGGTGCAATTCTGAGCTTAGCCTTTGATAGTTTCGAGGTACGAGGGTGGATGAGCTTCAAAACCTGATCAAGGCCAGACGGCTTGATTGGCAAAGCAAGATCGCCAGCTGAGGATCTGTGCGATAGAGTCTTCGTTCCTCTAATGGCAGATTTGATGAGGATGGTTGGATGAGGGAGAAAAGTCGGAGTGTTTGGGAGATCGTCCTTCTTTCCCGAGCCACCCCCAGTTCTGCCTAGTCCATGGGGAACCATATCTCAAACGCCTCGTAATGCAGACACCATGCATTCAACATGCAGTCAGGCAATCTTGAAAGAGACGGATTCTTTCCACCTAGCTTACAACAATATGGTTCGACGCAGTGTCGGAGGCAAAGAACCGCACTGAGATGTCCTAACACCTTGCTAAAGCTAGCTGATGTGCTTGCAGCTATTACAGGCACCAAGCGCCTCCTTCTGATGTCCTGGACGACTCGAACATGGACAATGCAAGTTGACAGCACTGACAATAGTTGAAGAGAAAAATACTGCTGAAGCTTGCGGCTTGGTCGCTAAAAGTCTTGTGACTCGTCCCAACCTCCGAGCAAGCTGCTATCCCACATGGACAAGAAACGACTTTACTTCTCAATTTGAGAGGTTTATCCTGAGCCAAGGGGGCCGATAGTGGTGACAAGATACAGAGAACTTGCTATCAGCTCAACCTTCTGTCCTCGATCTCGGAGTCGGATTGCAAGAAGCTGCTCAACGATCTCCAGGTGTTCAAGACTCTACCTCAAGCCTGAAACAGCGTCGAGCTGCAACCACCGCTGATGGAATGGAAGGGTAGCTTCCCCCCACTTGACTCAACAAGAACGCTCTCGGCAAGTCGCTTTCGTTGCTGGGGCTGGACGTCAATGTTGTGCAGCGAATGGCAGCTTGACCAGTCTCGCGTCTGGGGTTCTATTAGCATCAATACAGTCAGCAACTGCTTCGCCCCAATAAGACTATGGGCCACTTGCTAATTTTGGCAGTCCGTATCGTCCACCTAAAGATGACAGGCCCTCTGATCCGGCTTGCTGCTCTACAACAGCGTCAATACTCTCGAAGGCGACTCCTGCCTGACCTGCGGAACGAAAGACTGTTGGAGTAACGAGTGCACTAGGCAAGAATATGCCAACGGAAAAGTGATACCTGAGGAAGAAAGCGTATGTTGAAAGCAGAAATAACAGAGAAGAGGTGGTTGGCTCAATGCTCCTGCCTGATGAATCCATAGAGCATACTGACGAGGAAGGCAGGGACGACAAATGCGGACAGCACAGGAGGAAGGATCGGCTGGCCCGCTCCGAGTAAGACTTGATGAAAGGTCTTCGCAGACAGTGCTAGGAACCTGGAAGGATCCATACCATGTTGAAGTATACAGAGCAAGAACGCTAGCTCCCTGCACACGAGAGCCTTCCCGGAGGTTAATGAAAACAGATATCTGTTCTAGCTCCATGAAGACATGAAAGGCTAAGCCATAGAAAAGCCAGCCTCCCATCTCGCCAATCCTTACAGACTCACTCGAAAGACAACTCCGGGGGCCGGGGTGGGAGAAGCAGCTGCCAGAGATGCTGTGCCCTCCCCGGGTGTCCAGTAGAAGCCAAGGGGGGGCTCCATTTGGGCCGCGAGCTGGCGGGCTCAGATGGTCCCATCTCATGCCGAGAGCATCAGGCCCAGTTGATTGAGCGATGTGGCCCTCACCTCACTTCTACACTCTTCATGCACACTCACGCGTCCGATGCTGGCCCTGGCCAACCTTTCCCTGAAAATGTTGGTGGGAATGACTCTCTCTCGGTGTTCTGGCATGACGACTGGCAACGAACAATGTCAACGCGTGATCATAATGTCAACAGCTGTGTGTCTGATATGTCCTTATCGGTGCTTTCCGAAACACTAACCCGTTTCGTGTAAGCGTATTGTGGCTTCCAGACAACTGACTGGAAGAACCTAAAGCATACGACAAGAAGAGCATCTCAGACTGCTTGTATTCTACACCTTATTTCATTTCCTCTGTATCTGAGACTGCATTAATTTGGAAGGTTTGGCTGTTTTAATCCCATCCTGGCCAGCTACCGCTCCATCTTCTTGCTCAGTCAATTCCACTTCAGCCCTTCATCCCTGTTGACTCAGAAGATGTATCATATCCACTGCTGGTGTAGCAGATTGTCATTAGGAGCTTGTCTCCAATCATTGGGGTATCAAATGCAGCACCTCACAGACAGAGACTCTCGCTCATATAGATCCATACGCAAGCTGTTCATATGCCCTTGATCCCTAGCCCGAATCTCACCCAGCGATCCCCATCTCCTTCAACCTGGCCTTCTTCGCCTCCTCCTCCCTCAGTTGATCCCCCCTCCCCAGAAACTCCATCCTACCCAAATAGCTTCCCCCACTCTTCTCCGCCTTCTCCAACTCCTCCCGTAGCCCTTGCCTCTCAACCTCTGCCTCCCAATCCAACTTTGACTTCTCGACCGTGTTCAGCTTCACCTCTTTCTTCTTCCCGAGCTCCCACACTTTAGCCTTCGTAGCGGTGTTCAGATGCTTCGTGCCTTGTCCGCCGATGCTGGTGGGCAGGTCCGAGCGGAGAGGACGGGTAACGCCCTTGATCAGGCCCTGCGGATTGGGATCCAGCAGCCCCTTTCGTGCTAGAGGACGGCGTAGAGCTGGACCGGCGATCGCGATGGAGAGTTTATCTTTGGAAGCTAGATACGCTTGGGCCTCTTTGGACGCGGCGGGGACGATTTTGGTCGAAGTGTGGGTTTGGCCGGCGAATGTGTAGGTGTGCGGTATGGTGATTGTGGGCTCGGGACTTGAGACTTGGAGAGATGGGGGGAGTGTGTCTTTCGAGAGGGTATCTGAGGATGGTGGAATGTTCTCTGCGTTGGCGTTGACGTCTGGAGGCTTCTGATCATCGGTCAGTGGTCGAGAGGCTTGAGGATTGTTCAGGCGTGCCCAGACGGAGTCGAGGTCGATGGTTGCGCCTGAGGATTTGGAGACGGGTTTCTTGGTTTCATCACCTCTGCCAGACACATGTCAGGGCCAGGTTCGGTTCTCAACAATTGTAGCAAATTCAGTATCGTAAAGGGCAGTATACCCTCCCCTCCCACTCCTCAGTCTGACCCTAATACCCACTCCCCTCTGTCCGTTCTCATCCTCGTCCTCATCCAATACATCCTCATGGCCATCCTCAGCTTTCTCTTTACCGTTCCCTTTTCCCTTCCGCCGCCTCTTCTTGCGCTCCTGTGCCACAATCCCCTCATCCCCACTCGCCATGTCCACGTCTCCATCCGCATCTGTTTTCCGTTTTTTGTCTTTCTGAGCTGTAGTCGTAAATGCATCGCTAGCCTCGCTTTCGTCGCCTGAGGATGGGGAGAGTGAGGCATCGAAGTCGGAGTCGGAGGCGGAGTTGTAGGCGTCTTCTTCGGGGGTTGGCAGGGCTGGTGGCATGGTGGCTGTGGAAAGGGTAGGCGGGAATTTTATGAATTGCAAATTAAATAAGAATGCTTGGCAAAGCTGATTCAGCTCCGCCTCCGACTTTTTGTTAGCGCCATTCATAGAAAATTGTAGAGAACGTACTTGCCACTCTTGTATCAGCCCACTTTATATTTTTGAAGCTTCTGTATAGCCTAAACACGAATACGGTAATGTTGCAATGCCTCGAAATATCGTCAATTCTCGTCAGACGGCCAAGATGGAGAGAGATTTATTAGTATGCTTATGCTCTGGAACGATTAGGTTAGAGAGAAGGTTATAGAGAAGATGAAGGATTTTGATTGATATTACGTAGTATTTCATTGTAATTACTCTATTATCTCCATAGTCAAATACTCCAAATCTCGTTTAAATGCCTCAATTTCGCCGTAGCCTGCAGTGCTCTACTTGAAATGCTCCACCGCAAATCTATCACAGCTACTAACATCGATTACATGCTTTCGCTCTTATCGATACGCTGTCGATACACTGGAACAGGCATCCGCAGCTACGGCTTCAGGTCGCCAATGGGATTCGAGCAAGAGTTGGGTACGCTGGCGTACAGAGGGATCCTTTCTAAATGGTGGCATCGCGTCCGGAGTAATCTTAAGGGCTGGCGATGTGGCTATTACACGCCTAAGTTAGAGGTAAAACACCAGAAAAAGCGTGTATACCCACTAGCTTCGATATCACGAATGTCTAACTGAGGTAGCAGACGACAGTAGCTATTGCAAGAGTGGCAAGTACGTTCTCTACAATCTTTTATGAATGACGCTAACAAAAAGTCGGAGGCGGAGCTGAATCAGCTTTGCCAAGCATTCTTATTTAATTTGCAATTCATAATTCTGCTTGAAGACGAATTGAGAGGTGTGGTCTTCCAGCCGGTACTCGTGGCGTAGGATGACAAGCTAGTGTTGAGAGATGGCGAGCCGTTCCGTAAATGTGGAAGGTAGAGGCTGGTCAACCTTTGGAAAAGTGATTGGGTGCGTACGGAGCATGCCAATGAATAGTGGGGTACGGCAGGGCTTATTAGGGCTAGGTTTGGGCAGTAGATTTTATTCTTGCTCTATGGTCGATCGAACTGTAGAGAAAAGCCATGGGCTGGAGCCTAAACACCTCCAGTAGCTCCTCGATGTTGAAGGGAGAGATGACTGTATTTCATGACCTTGTTCCAATACATTTGCTATCCATATCTGCGTACCCCAGGCATCCAGTATATACAGGAAGGCCGTTGAACCCTCATACCCGCGTCCCAAACTCCACTAAAGTCACCACAGCCCACCCAAGCAGCTTCGATGTGCACATGCCTCTCGCTGCTCGCCCCACCAATAGAAAATCGCCTGACCGGCGATTGTTCACACCAGCTCAACCTCGCTCTTGGCTGCCCCCACGCCTCCTTTCTTCAGTTTCATCTCCACCCACCATCCCCAAGCCGTAGCTCCCACAGCCAGTACCTCAACAATGACCAAGACTATGACCAAGTCCAACGCCGCCATCCCGTCGTTACAGATTTTCGTGAAATTTGAAGGCGCAACGTTATCAAAGCCATGCCATCTGCAAGTCCACGAATTGAGCGTTCCGGAATAAGTGTTGTAGGCTAAGTTGTTGGTGACGACCGAAGCGAATACGATGGTAAAGAGGGCGGCGCAGAGACAGAGGAAAGAGAGAACGGTTGAGACGAGGTTTGTATTGTGGAGTCTCTGTCGCTATACGATAGTTGTCAGTATGTTGAACAACGGTGATGGCAACGGTGCGACGTACCATGGGAATGAAAGCAACAGCGAGATATGCAAGACTCAAAAGCGCAACAGCGATGCCGCATCCTAAGACTGCATGGCTGGGCCGCAAATCGACATTCAAAGGCCAGAGCGGTAGTATCCATTCAGGCTCAAGCCGAGAGTTCGAGAAAGCCCGTAAGGAAGCACCGGCACAGGCAATTATGGCGACCGAAACAACCAAAGTGATTGCTGCGATAGCGACTCGCATGAGATGAACCCATCTGGAAAAGTTCTCGTATCTTGCTGCAAGAAGGTCATCTGTGGTGTAGGCTGGGGGACCGATGCTTGGGCTACGGCCCAGAGTAGAGAAGGTTGGGGATGTATTAGTAGTCATCTGGGGCTTTCGGTCTGCAAAAGATTTCACGGCTCCAAAAGCCATGGCAAATATTTGGGAGAAGTGTTGATGTTGAAAGGCCAGCAACAAGGTCAACAAGAAGAATCACGAGAAGGCGAAGGGAGATTTGAAACTTGTTCTGAAGAATCGGCAAAGGTCATATAGATTAAAGGGGAGGTCGTCCACGGTGGGGGGTCTAATAATATCGAGTCTCCATGCAGGGCGACATCTATCCCTCTCTCCGCAAATGATGCACAAGTGATAACGCAGCAAAACGACAACTAGACGCCCAACCTAGTTGACGACCTTTTGACTAAAGTATGCATCATTTACGATGTCTCATTGAAGCTCGCGCGTAATCTGAATGATTGGTGGAGCTCTTTCGTGCCCCTGGGCTAAGACACATCAACGACTGCAGCAAGATCCTAAGCAAGGTGGCCATTGGACAGTCTCATGACCAGCCGGAGGCCTCAAAATTCAAAAGCCACTCAGCGCTTAGAGAGATTGATATCTGATGCAATACTGAAAGGTGAGTGGAGGAGCTCGGGGACGGGGATGTGTTGAAAACAGGGTTGCGGGCAGATCCTCTAGCTGCCGATCTCTTAGCGTCTTGGTGGGGTCGGCGTTTAAATGTGATGCTATTTTGGGCTGTTGAACACTTCAAGTACCGTACTGTGCGCAGTCACAGTATGGGCATAGGTTGACAATAGAAAAGAGCTTCTCTGATTGTCCGTGACTCAACGGCTAGACATATTATACAGATGCAGCTTTAGACCCAGGAAATGATCCATTCCATGCAATTCCTCCGTTCCCTAGCGTTTTTCACAATCATTAAACTTGCGCTCGCAGCCTTAGTAGGGATAGACCGAATGCATGACTCCATGCTCAATGCTGCTGTTCATAGCCGCATCTGCAGTAATGATGAGGAGCCTCTGAGAAGACCCTAGCTTTCGGGGTGAGAACAATGCCACATCCCAACCAGCTACATGTAGCCAATGACGCGACATCAGGGTAGCGAAGCAATTAGAACCTTGAATGCTTTCAAAAGGCGTAAGCCACCCTGAGACACTTTATGCCCCAGTCCGTTGAACAGTATTGAATTCTCGATGATGAGGTAGAAAGCTGGCTCGAAGCTTTCCACAGTAGAGTAAATTCCTTTGCCGAGGTTCTCTCTTAACGTGCGCAGATCCATGGGTCGTTTGATCACTGCGTAGTAAGTCGGAACTTCCTCTGCAACGGCGTCAACAGGCTCGGCAAAGGGTTCTGAATCCTCGTCGCTCTCTCTCAACAAGCGGTCAATTAGGCGGCGCAGAAAGATCTTTCGGGTGCGGGTCATATCTGACAATGAGATTTCCGACTCCCTATCATTCGAATCTTGAAGCTTGATCCTTTCTCTCCGCTTGGATCTCCGCTTCCTGGGTGGAGCGATGTCGGACTCTAACGGGTCCGAACCGCTATCATCTGTAGTGGCGACCTTGGGTCTCAGTCTAGGTCTCCGCTTTCTGCCTAGAGGAATATCTGATCCCGAAGGCTCTGCATCGCTGTCTTCTGAGAATTGGAATATTCTATTGGGTTTCCGCTTAGATGTTCTCTCCAATCTCTGTACTGGAGAGGACCAAGGAGAATGGTCCCTGGTACTGTTGGATCGCGACAGACTGGACTCGAGATAAGTCACTTTGCGTCCATTCCCTGAACGTAGTCGACCAGGTCCTAAGCAAAGTCAGTAAGCCTTGTATAAGAAATGAGAATGGTAACACACCATCTGGGTTTTCTGCCATGGCGTCTGCGTCCGAAGAAGCAGTCTGGCTATTATTGAGCTCATTCAAAGCTCCACTAGAGCGCAAATTTGGTGGTGTCCCAGCTGCCCGATAGGATGGTGGAGCTGAAATGCATGGAGGGTGCTTTTGCCTTTCATGGTTGTAGGTAGGCTCACTTCTGGGCTGTTGGTGTTCTGCCGACGGCGGCTGCGCGATTGCATGTGATCTCCAGCGGTACAGCGTCTTTCCTGATTCATCGGAGATAGTGAGATTCCCGTTGAGATCTGCCGTATTGTAGGTAACAGGGAGCTGGGGGATAGTGTATTCAACGCTTCCGAGGAGCGTGGTCACTCGAAGCACGTCTGTGATTATTGGTATGCTGTGGTCGGCTCCAGAAACCGTGATGGTAAGTCCTTCCAGGCCAACACAGTGGATGACGAGCTCAGTGGCCATCTAAGAGCGGCTCCGTCAGAGCATGACCACACACGTTGAGGGCAAACTTACCTTGTGCTGGGACGTTTAGAACACGATGACCAGGGAGGTCGACCGCGAGGTCAGGGCAAGTGAGGCTGATAATTTAGCGCAGAAAAGACAATTAATGTCTTCGATGGCTGTTCCCAGCTCAATCTTAGGCTTCGTGTAGCTAGTTGCGTCCAGGAGATGATATGAGAAGGAGGTAAGGTTCGCCGAACCGAGAAGTTGTGGCAGCCCAAGCAGGATTATGAAAGCAATTAGACTTGACGACTTGGTATGCCTTTTTTGGTTGCCTCCCCAATTTTCGGAGTGAGGTCTAATTGCTGTGACTGTGACCGGTTCAAATTCGACCTCTGGAGGAAAAGCAATTTTTGGACTCCAAGATGAGGGGCTAGAGAGTTTAGAACTTCTGACCAATTTACTGTCCCTATAAGTAGTCGATTCAAGAACGTTGAGATTCATGCGTGACTGAAGTGATAATGTTTGTATAGTGCCTTTGGAACTGAACATACTCCATAGCCATGACTCGTTCGATACCAGCAGGCGACTGTGAAAGACCGGAAGAGAGATCTCAGACTAGACTTATCCATTATTTGCTGCGGCCTGCCACATAGTCACAGGTTTTCTCACCTATGGGGTAGACGTTGTTTGGCAAGCCGCTCAGCTATAGAGCTGGTGGCTCCGCAAGGGCTGGCCGAGAGCCATCTCTTCGACTTGTCCATCTCATGCCCATGGCTCCTAAGTTTTATTCAGTTCCTCCCACTATTCTAGCATCGCAGCCCTCCCCTTCTTGATGACCTTTGTGAGACTTACTCGTGGCACTGAGAGCCCTCAGAAGTCCAGCAACAATTGCGGCGCCAGTTTCTCCAAATCCTCAACCTGCCCATCTCTCAAGTTAGCACGCATCCCCTAGCACGACATGAATCTACTGACCTCCAGAAAGTCGTCTCCAATACCCTTCCCACCCGCCTCGCTCCTCTCGAATGCTGCCCGAGCAATCGCTTCCCTTACAAACGTTTCCATGTACTTCCCCACCACTCCATTCGCCTCTTTCCCTATCCTGACCTTGTCATCTTGGAAGTGGTAATGTAGGAGCTTTGTGAGTAGGGCGGGAGGCATTGTTGGTGGGGCGTCTTGCGTGCCTACGCGTGTGGTTGTGGGAAAAGCGTCTGGTTCTTCTGATGCGGATGCATTGCGGGAGTGAGAGGAGACGAGCTCAGCGTCGTCATCGTCATCATCTTCATCTTCGTCGTCTTCTGCGGCGGACTCTATGAAGCTGTGTTTGGCGGGAGCGGATTTGCGGCGGGGTGTGGTTGTCTTGGTCTTGGTGGCTTTGGTGGTAGGGCGGGGAGGTCTGAACGCAGGGCGGCCGCGTTTGGCTACTGGGTTGGAGGTTGGTGGCATGGTTGTTGAGGGATTCGAGACTTGGAGCCTAGGGGTGTGTTTGGAAAAGGAGCAACGTTTGAGAAGTCGTGTCGCGGAGGGGGGGGGGGAATGCCGTGGGGAAGTGTTTACACACGTGCAGCTTATGGCAAATCGCCCTCCGTAAATGACTGTTCCAGTGAAGATTATTAGAGCGTGTTCACAATTAATGCTTGTTACATTTCACGTTCAAGGCATCAATAATTTTGGAGCGATGATCTCATTGTAACATTCTGCTTATGCCTCTCACAAGAGGACTCTTCTCGGTACAGGTACAGGCACGCTTTCCCATCCGAATTCATCGATGCAACGCCTGTCCTCAGTCTCCGTTGTGCATGTTCTACTTCTTGTTTGCCAGATTCTCCTGCACCATACCACCAATCTTTCCGTCGGCATTAAAGTGCTGGCCGATGGATCCTTCCTTATCAAGCGGGCCACCAACTTTCTGTGCGGTGCCACCAATTGCTCCATCCGCTGTATCCGGTGTCAGCGTATTCTAGGAATCATCTGGTAGTTGGCGGAGGGGATTTCGTGCCGTTGAACATAGATCCTAGCGCCCCATCCTTGGAGAACATCGAGGTTCCAGTTCCTGTGGTCTTATCACCTGCGGAGGGCTGCATCCCATCAAACATTAGTCCCTCAGTTGATGCAAAAGAGGATTCGGAGCCACTCACAATCTGCTTGACCGATTCATGAATGCCAGTGCTCATCTCATTTTCTTTCAGGGCCGAGTTGGCGCCCTGCTCAAAGGACTTTGCTGTGTGGTCACCGTCCATGTTTTTCTAAGAGTATGAAAGAGAATTGCAAAGGGTGATGGTAATGTGCCGGTCAAAGTACCCCTCCTTAGTGTGATAGCTGTAGAGAATGATGTATGTTTTTGAAGAAGATATCAAAGTTATTTGTGGAGGCGAGAGTAATCGTCATACATCAGGGTCTAGGCGCGCTTTTACGTCAAGGCGGTCAATGACGCATATAGAAGCTTTGCATTTGCGGAGGAAACATTCCATATTGCACCTATAGCTAAAGCTACAGCTATATTGTCGCCTACTCACAATCATTCCTGTCGCACTGCCGCCGGCAAAGCAGTCGTGCCACTGCACTGGGTTGGCAGGAAGTTAGCCCATTACTGGCTGATTCCGCCTAGCAGCTCCCAGTCGTCTCGCATCGATAATGTACTTATTTATTAGACTCTCAACATCCGAGCTGGACCGGGAAATCAAAGCATCCGAGTCGATGATTCAAAACCCAGATCAGATCATTCAAAGTTTCACTTTGTCTGATACAGATCCGCATGTCCTGTCCTGAGTGTAGGTTCCTGATCTCGGCAGTCAAGAGACTGGTGAACCGGCCGTCTTGTCTCAGGATTGCGGAGATTTTTACGCTTTATGTCATGGTTGAAGCTTGTGACGTCGATCTCGTATATTTCTCTCCTAGCTCGACGTTGAAAGTTGGAAGTCAAGAGTTGAAGAGATAGGTGAAGAAGATCAATAAGCCGTTGAAAGCTTGAAACATAGCGTTGCTCTTGTCGAAGATGTCTTGAACTAAAAGTGTGCTGTGCGAAAGAGGGAGAGTCGGTTTGGTGCCGGCATTAATTGGCTGAGCTAGTCTGATTGGAGCGCCACTACCTGAAGCCTCTGAGCAAACTTGCGCTTTCTTCTACCTAAAGTACCACCACTACTGTATGAACCCCCAAACAACCTTCATGCAGGGCAGACAGTATAGGTAATTATGCCGATTCCCAGATGATAGATGATAGCGTATCTTCCTCATCAGGAGCCATCACACCCAAAGAGTAAAGAGTATCATCCAAAAAGCAAGACGATCTTACTATTCCGGCTTGCTGTTTCCCTATTTCCTTCCTCTTTCCCTCACTGCTCTAATAAACTAAAGGTAGATAATACCTACGCCACTACTGACCGCGTTGATCTCAGAGATCCAGCCTGACGACCCCTCTCTTTCTTTCTTTCTTCTCCTCTATATCTAACTTAATCATTCGCCCACAGCCTTCCAACATTTTGACCTGGTCCAAATCTCGGGAGTCCGCAGTGTGAAATGCTCGTGCGCTGCAGCCGAAACACATCCATGTCCTAAGAGACTCTTTCATTAGACGCCCTCTTGGCCCTGCATCGCGTCTCTCTTTCTTGCAATCATTACTCATCTCCCCTCAAACCTACCCGAACTTCCCCCTCACTGTGTCGTGCAGCTGCACCATGCCTTCCTCCACAAGGTCAAGATCAATCTCACCCGAGTCGCCTCGAGTACCCACACCAACAGCCAACGACTTTCCCACCCCCGCCGGCCAGATATTCACAGTGACCAAGCGTGACCAGGGTCTGGTGTCACCTGCCGAATCTGCCTTTTCCTTCTTCGATGAGGGTTCGCCGCACGCTATGTCAACCTCAGACTTGATGGAGGAGAAGACAATAGCCAGACCCATAGATCGGGGGACGCCGGGAGAAAGTACTTATGCATCGATCATTACTGGCCACCAGCAACAAAATGAACTTCGAAGAAACAAGAGCCAGTACTACACAGAAGTCTTTTCCTACCGGGAACCGAACTTATCCCCAAGAGATCGGATCAGCAAAGACTCGGTGATCACTGCCGAGATCAAGACGAACGTCATCGTACGCACACCCACTTGCTTCCCACCCTGCTGATGCTGACCAATCTCTGCGTATTCTAGATCACCGACGAAATTCACTTCTTGCAAGATTTCTCCCAGCATATGTCCCAACGATACCAAAGACCTATCTCCTCTATATTCATAACCCTCAAACATTCCGAATGCCTCCTCTATGCCGGTACTTTCGACCAAGCCTACATTCTCACAGTTAGCGCCCTACCTTCGCAACTCCTTCCCACAACAAATAAACGCAATGCCGCCTTGATACAAGCCTTTATGGCCGACTCGCTCGGGGTGGCGGCTACAAGAGGGGTCGTGCGATTTGTCGCCATACCAGAAGAGAATTTTGCCTTCAACGGTACAACCGTCTTTGGGCAGATCGAGAACTTGCAGAAGTCTCCAAACAAAGAGAATTTCTCGGACGCTGCATCAATCAGTGGCATGAGGTCCGCGTTGCACAGTCGGGCAGCATCGCGAGCGCAGAGTCGGAGACCCTCAGTATCGAAGCCGCCATCGAGGGACGGATACTCGTTCTACCCGACGACGAGGCCGCCGAGTCCACACCTAAGGGGACCACCTATACCAACATTACCTAACGGCAACGATGCGATGGATAGAAGAGCGGAGAAGGCACAGAAGGTGGGTAAAAGGAGGAGCTTTTTTGGTTTCTTTGGGCGATGACACATCGCATTTACAATACCATCGGCAGTTCGGGTCAACTTGGGTGGGCTGGGTGTATGGGACTTGAATGTTAGATAAGACTTCCGCTGCTTGGATAGGCAGCAACGCGGTTTGGTCTGGCTTGATCACAACAAGCTCTATCAATACGTGATGAATACAAAAGAGTTGAAACTAGGGGCATGTTCGCACGGCTTCTCGGACTTCCTTTGGAATGCTTGCTTGTTTGCAGCTGGCTGTGCTGGTTCGGGGGTAGGGATATGATGCTGATGTTGAGTGCAAAGGCCACATCGGCATCTCGTGCCGATGACAGGATTCCCTCTTCGAGCTTGGACACTTCCGTGGTGATCTTCCATCCCAAACCAACATCCATTCTACCCCAAACGAACAAACTTATCACATCCACCTATCATGGCGGCACAGCAGCCCGCGCACGTTTCAGAAGATCCTAGTCCCGGCTCCTTCCATCGGCATCCGCGCTTTCAGACCCGGTCCAGGGACATGTACTATTTACCGTATGCCCTTTTCACCATCTCGCCGCCACGTCCTCTGACGCGATCATTCAACTCCGCAAGAGCTCGTCGAGCGCCTCAAGGTTCGTGAAGAATAGCTTACTCGACTGTGGTCGGGCATGGAGACATCATCGTCCCGTTCGACCTAGTGCTGTGCTCGTGTCGCCATCAAACATGAGGCTCGGACGTGCGCTTATACCATCGAGCCCTGGGGTTGGTTGAAGGTCCTACTGTCCACAGGTGTTTCGATATCGTAGGTAAGGCCAAGCTCGGGAGGTCATCCTAGAAGATGGGTAGCGGACCAAAAGCACCCGATTGCTCTTCCGATGTGGACGTTGTTTTCAAAGCTTCCGGGAACTCTGCACGTGATACCACTGTTGGGTGAATAGCCTCTAAGATCGCAGTACTGTAGATCGGAGGTTTTGCTTGATGGCATCATTCGCGTCTATGATGCGACCCTAGAGCTGCTTGAATAGGCATTTGGCATTTTGGGTGGTCCCGTTATCCGGTGTCTGTTGGCCTTTCGAGACATCTGCCCTCCATCCTCCAAGTATTAAAATTATCATGAAGACGGATTATGACCTCAGTGAGTCCTGCGTTCGCCGCGGCTCTAAAACGGCTATGTCCACTATTGGTGGGCGAGCGGCTTCAGCCCTTCGAGCTACGTCACACATGTCTTGGCCGATTCAGTCAGTACTACGACCTCATGTTGGCAGGATCCATGACGATGCTGCGGTTGCGGAGCCATGCTCGCCAAACACGATGAAAAAGCGTTTGGATTGGAATGGATCTTTATGATGGATGGATCCATTACCCACGCTCGTCTCGAGAGGAAACATGTAGTACGTCAGCATCTGCTTCATTTGAACAGGTTGCTACACCTCCTTATTGGTTGCGCCTGACAGCCTTTCCGTGTAAGATCGGAGGGCTGCAGAAACATCGCCCCTTCAGGCAGGCGTCAAAGCAGCTCACATGCACTCGACCCCGTAGATCGATTTGTCTCATCGCTCTTTACACATTGCGGCGGCCTTTTTCCCGTCATCTTTTACTAGCTGAATGGTAGGAAAATTCAAAAGCAGTGTCGGAGCGTTTCAACAAACGCATTGGTCACTAATGGGTCTCGAGAGGAGAGTGCATTAAGGGTTGCGCAAGACGATACTGGCAACGAACAGTCACCCGAGGAGGTTCCTACGCCAGGCATCAACATCTATCCACCGAGACGGCTACCTCTTCCGCACTTTCAACTTTCCAGCATGCGAGTTGACTACCCACCCCAGGCCCCAACGATGCCTCTCGCATGCCACCGAGTCCCAACAGCAGCATCCTAATGCAGCAACCATTCACGGGATGACATTAGGTTGGAGCAGGTGCAACACTTGTCGTCGTAGACTGACACTGAACAACCCGATCCCAAGGCGTCAAATGGCGCGGATGACAATGGCCATCTGCTAATAGTACCGAGCGGGTCCAAGAGTGTGTTCAGTGAACGATATGGAAAAATGGAGGATGAAAACGAATTTTTACCTCCGTCAGGCGAATATGGGGAGGACATAATGCATCGACATTGCGAGACAAAAGGGCATGAGACTTTTTAAGTCGCTTTGCAGGCATTCGATTCTGGATATCGATTTGGCTCAAAAGGAAAAGATGTTCTATGAAGCAGATACGAAGCATCGTTCAAAGATCGCTGTCAATCCTCTGCCAGCACTCCAGGAAGATTACAGTCATATCTTTGAATGCTTCGACATCGAAGACGATGACATCCTCGATTCAACGCCTCGCGATCATAGAATGAATAAGCTCGAGGCCGATGAGACGAGTCAACATCAAGTCAGTATTACATCCACGTGATCTTTTTGAGGAAGCTAACATCATGCTGGGAAGCTGTGACCACGGTCCGAACGGCCGCATAGACCCTGACTTGGCGGCTTGGCCACGCAAGAAAAAAAACGTGCGTACTCGTATGAAGGGGCGTACAAAGAAGTCGAAGTGAAGAAAGACAGATGGAAGAGAGGACGAGAGGCAGGAGTCATCATCTGGATCGTGATATCAAAGAGAATGCGATGTGATCCCCACCAAGGAACTATTCGACGCTCGTCCCACAGGCGCAGCTCCCTCGGGGTATGACTCTACGGCTGAACTACTTGCCGGGGTGGAGGCCGCTCTATCAAAGCTGGGTCAGGCAGCTGTCAAAGCTGAGGGGGGAGGGCACCATTGAGGTGGAACACGCTTTTGTGATTGTCCAGATGGTGCTGCATCAGTTCCTGGATATCACAAGATCAACCTTGACCACGACCCATCAAGGCTTGCTCTGCCGTCTTGTCATAAGACACTCCTGGCCCGTATTGGGGTGCTCATTCTATATCCCAGGAGGGCGTCCGGCGGATCAAATAAGAGAAGGTCCGTCTTCACATTCGGCGAAATCCGCTCATCCTCGACGACCTAGAGCTGGTATTCAGTACAGGTGCCCGAGTCACTCATGAGACGAGACCAAATATCTCGTAAAATCGGGGCCTTCTCGCCGCGGGTGAATCGTGTATCATCACGGCTTCACGAAACACGTCAGAGAGATGGATTTCTGGACTCGGAGGCGACGCAATGAGATCAGGGCACTTGTCGTCTGGATGCGGTTGTTCGTCACATACTGTTGTACTGTACTGATTCATGGTATGTCTATATATGAACATTCTCATTCTATCCGGTTTAACCATCTAAGCCTCCTTGAACCCCAAAATGCCAAAGAACGTCCCCCCAAAGCTCCCGCGCTGGTGCAATAGTTTTTTTTTGTGAATAGCTTCCATATACATGAACATGAACATGAACATTCTATCCGTTTTAACAAACCTAAGCCTCCTTGAATCTAAAGTTGTCAAAGGAAGTCCCTCAAAAAGCTCGCAAGCTGGCGTAACTGTTGTTGGTTTTTTGCGATTAGCTTCCCTTCATGTCGAGATATTCGAGAGAGGTGAAGAATACTTACATGTTTTCCGTCCTTCATCAAAGAAAAGTGATTCCCGTCCACACTCTCCATCTCCATTGCGTCCCGGCCCAGCAGCGCATCCCATCCGTTGGTTCCAAAGTCCGTCCGGTTCTCGAGGAGCCATTTCATGCTCTTCGGATCGTCGTCCCACGTCTCCGGTCGCGGATCGCCAGGGTTACCGCACACCCCCCGGCGGGCCCAGATGGCCAGCGTCCTCGGCGCCAGCGTCTTGTCTCCGATGGGGACGGGCTTGTAGTCCGCGAGGGCCTGGATGGTCGCCTCGAAGTGGGGGAGGAGCCACTCCGGCGGCTCCATGCCTTCCCCGCCCAGCAGCCCCACGTCCGCCAGGAAGGCGTGCAGGCGCGACGGCAGGGCCTCCAGTTTTATGGGGCAGGGGGAGTCGAAAAACACCATGCTCTCGACGCGCTCGCCGTCCGCCAGCAGTTGCTGTACGACTTCGTACGCGATGATGCCGCCGGCGGACCATCCGCCCAGGTGGTAAGGCCCGTGGGGTTGGCGGCGGCGGACCTCGGCGAGGAACATGGACGCGATGCCGACGATGCCGTTGGTGAAGTCGGCGGGGCTGGTCATGAAGGGGCTGTTGAGTCCGTAGACGGCGACGCGCGGACCGATGGCGGGGATGCTGGCGTACGAGGTCGCCGAACCGGAACCGTCGGGGAAGAGGAAGAGCGTCTTTTCGGCCGTTTTCGGTTTGCCTTGCATGAGGATCGAGACGGCCCGGGGGGAGAGGATGGCCGGGAGTGGCGACGTCGCGGTGGCCGCCGCGTGCTTCTGGCGCTTCGAGGGTTTGGCCGCGACCGGGGCTTCGGGCTCCTTGAAGCCGAGGAATGCTTCGATGTCGTCAATGGAAGGGTGGTCGATGAACAGATCGGACGGTAACTCGAGATCCGTCTCTTCCCGCATGATACCGAGAATGCAGATACTCATCAGAGAATCGATGCCGAGGGACAGCAGATCGTTGGAACCTACAACTTCTTCCAGGGCGATGCCCATCTGTTCGGCGATCGTGGTGCGGAAAAGCAGCATGGTCTCTTTGCGACTGCTCCTTTCAGTGCTGATCGATTTCTGCGGTGCGCCGCTCTTGGAGCTCTTTGACCTTGTCGAAGGGGCCGTAGACGCCGAGCCATCGGAATCGTGATCCTCCTCCTCCTCCTCATCATCATCCGACAAACAAGTGGACGGAGTCGCGATCGAGCCTTCACCTTCTTCTTCAAATCTTTGCAGGTAGGTTCGGAGCTCCCCTACGGTTTCGCACTCGACGAACACCGAACTCTGAATGTCGATGTCGAGCGTTTCCCGGATCTTGCCGCAGATTTGGAGGGACAGTAAGGAGTCGATCCCAAGGTCGCCAAAGACACACTCATCGAGTAGCTCCGACATTGGCAATTCTGACTCCTCGGAAATGATACCCAGGACCTGCGACACTATCGTTCCACTTGATGGAGAGGCGGTCGGAGCGGGTGATGGTGCCAAAGTCGAGATCGGCTTCGCTTGTTTGGGCTTCTCCTGCGAGGCAACCTTGGGCGACCTGGTCGGGACATCCTTCACGGCCTTGGTTGGCGTGGCACTATGCTCAAGAGGCTGGTTCGATTTCTTAGGCTGGGAGGATGCCGATGATGCGGGAGGTAGGAAGGTGTTGAGTATTGGGCGCGGAATTCGCTGGAATTTAAGCCCCCCGACCACCCCGATGATGGTATTCCCTTCGAAGATATAAACGTCCCCGGACATGACATTGTTCGGCGAAGCTTGCATCTTGACGTAGGAATTGTAGGTTTTCGTTCGGCTCAGAGGACGAGCGATCCGGAAAGACTTCCACCCATGGGAAATATAGACGAAATTCTTCGAGTCGACGGCATCGCTTCCGTTCAGTATGAACCCGGAGAGATGGCAAAGGCTGTCGATCCAGAAGGGACTCAGGAAGAAAGTGCCGTCTTTTTCTTGAGTCTGGAATCTGACCCGTGAGGTAGCTTCGAAGTTTTTACTGTCAAGGATAACCTCCTCCATTCCTTGGTACTTCTCATCATACTGTACGAGGGCAGAGAACAGTTTGTAGGCAAGGCCTCGAGAGATCTGATCGGCTTTGTTGCTGGCCAGTCGATCCCTTAGGGTCTCAATGCGACCTTCGATCAGGTAGCGTTTGGAATCCCATCCAGCCACCCACTCTGCTCCATCTTCGTAAGTGATTCTGCTGGTCGCATGGGTGACAGTCTCTACGCCTTGTGCGTTGACGGTGGCGTAGCGAAGATTCGCCAGATTTTTGCTGAGGTTCGCAGTTATTGTGACCTGCAGGATTTGCGACTTGATGGGCCCATCCTTAACAATCAACGGCTTGATGACTTCCACATTGCCGCAGTTCATATTGAAGTCCGTTGCGTCGGGCCTCAATCCTTTGTAAATGTAATCGCCAAGAGTGAATGCAATATCAGCATAGATGGTCTACAACAAGATTCATTGGTCAGTATATTTCAAGAGATAGTTTCTGAAGGAGTGAAATTACCGATGGGCAAAGCCCTGCTCCATTCACGAGATGACCCAATATAGCAGCTCGTAAGGCTGGTTCAGAAAGTTCGGACTGGATTACGACTTTTCCTACATCCCCATCAAACTCCTGAGATACTACTCGATGAACAGAAGATGTGGATAGTTTCGAGATCTCCTTCAACGGTTCCGGAATCGTGGGGGTGGCATCGCGAGACTCGGTTTTGTGCAAGCACCAGTCGTTAACGTAGTCGATCCAATAGTTCTTATTGTCAAACTTGTAAACCGGAAGGTTTAGAAGTTCGTGGCAGGCTTCGAAGTCTCCATGGAATTCGCGCCAATCAATCTCAAGGCCTGTACAATGAAGGGAGCAGAGACTTTTGGAAAGCGTCATCCATGGGCTCTCCGCCTTGTGTAGGGAAGCTACCGTCAAGGGGTTGTTGTCCAAGGAAGCTTTGACCATGTTGGAACAGATAGGATGGGGCCCTATCTCGACGAAAACGGTCTTCGGGTTGAGAGTCCCGCTGTCAGTAGCCGATCGAACAGCTTCTGCGAAGTCAACGGGTTCTCTGGCCTGGCGACAGAGATAAGCAGGGTTGAAGACTCCTTCCGTCTCGACGACCTCTCCTAGCAGTGTAGAGATGACTGGAATCCTTGGCTTGCTGAACGTCGCGCCACCGGCAACGGATTCAAAATCCTCTAAGACCGGCTCGATTTGTGCAGAGTGGAAAGCGTATGGGAGATCCATCACGAGACATTTGTGGCCTGCGCGGTTCAGTACCTGAGAGATGCTGTTGATCTCGTCGACACTCGCGCAGAGGACGGTATCATTTGGAGCATTGAGGCAGGCAATCTCAAAGGGTAGACCGTTGGTGGCGGTCCTGATCTTGGCCACTGAAGCCTTGACTGCTAGCATGCAATGAGTGCCAGCGGTGCATTTTTCTTGTAGAAGCTTGGCTCGGTGTCCAACGAGGTGTATTACATCGTGTTTCGATAACACCCCAGCGGCGTACAGGGCGGAATACTCGCCAAGACTATGACCGAGAACAACGGACGGCTTGATCCCCCATGATTGCCAAAGCCTGACAAGCGCAATTTGAACACTGACTAAAGCAAGCTGGATGACTAGGTTTGATAGCTGATGTTCTTGGTCGACACTGCCCTCGATTGCGGGCAGAAAAGAGGGAAATTCTTGTGTCATCGCCAGCTCGTTCAGGTGCATGATCTCAGAGCGGAACACAGTCGACAGTTCAAATAGGTCTCTTCCGAGACTGGCGTAGAAAGCTCCCTGTCCAGTGAACACAAATGCGACGGGTGGAGCCTTTGATGAGATAGGAGTGAAGTTACCCTTCGTGGCTTCTTTATTGAGGGAATTTCTGAGGGTTTCGAGATCCGAAGCAGCAACACCGACACGGTAATTGTGATGTATCCGACGAGAGGTGAGAGTATAGGACAGACTAGCTAGAGATTCTTCGGAGGCCCCTTGCGTGTATGAGATCAACTGCTGGATGTTACTTTGCAGTGACGATATAGATTTCGATGAAACCACGAAAGGGAGCATTGACCGAGGATCCACTTGCGAAGACAAGACTCGCTGTGGAGGGTCCGAAAGGACCATCGCAGTGTTTCCTCCGGCCGCACTGAAGTTATTCAAGAAGGCAATTCTCGGTTTCTCGCCGATGCGCCGCCATGGGGTTTTCTGGAACGGTATCCGAACGTTACGCGACTCAAGGTTTGGAAATGCTGGGTTCAAAGTGTTTTTGATACCGACATGAGGAGGAATGGCGTTTTTCTGCAACATCATGAGGACTTTGATGAGTGCGGTGATCCCTGCAGCTGCTTCGCCGTGGCCGACGTTGGATTTGACAGCGCCAATATGCAGTGCTTGGTCTCGATCTCGACCGCGACTGCCGTTGTCCGGCGCAAAGACGTCGGTCACGGATTTAATCTCGGTATTGTCACCCGCTTGAGTACCGGTGCCATGCATCTCGACGTAGCTGACATCAAGAGGGTCGATGCCTGCTGTATGAAGCACGCTTTCGTAAAGGTAGGACTGATTCCCAGCGTGTGGGTGGGTGATAGAAATAGCATCTGCAGAATGATTGGTAGCAGTGGCGAGAATAACCCCCAAGATGTTATCTTTATCGTTGATTGCGTCTTCTTCTCTTTTGAGAATGACGGAGCCCACGCCATCGGCACGGCAGTAGCCATCCGCCTTGCTGTCCCAAGTCTTGCAAGAACCAGTTGGGGAAAGAAATTGTCCCCTGCTCAACCCGGCGAAAATATCTGGTGCCGTCAAGATGTTGACGCCGCCGGCAATCGCAGTATCGCACTCTGCTGTTCTGAGAGAAGTGCAGGCAATTTGGATCGCAGCGAGACTGGAGGAACAAGCAGTATCGACACTGTAGCTAGGTCCCCGGAAGCCAAAGTAGTAGCTGATACGGCCAGGAGCAAATGCGCGGACGCCACCGGGGATGAAATACGTCGCAATCTTTTGTGCCGCATTCACCTCGCGCCAGTCGTCACTGGTCTGCCCGTAAAACGTTCCAACGCGATCTTGCTGGGTAGAAGGCGTTGAATTGAGAACAAACCCACTTTGCTCCAGAGCTTCGTAGGCTGTCACAAGGGCTAAGCGATGCATCGGGTCGGTTTCGGTGGCCTCACGGGGAGACATGTTGAAAAAGCGTGGGTCAAAGAGGCCAGGCTCCTCGATGAAACAGCCGTAAGGGGTGTGACTAGTATTGACCTTCTTGCCGGTAGGGTCAACGTGCGTTTCAGCATCAAATCGGTCTTTGGGAACTCTTTTGTGCATATCCCGGCCCTGCTCAAGTAGCTTCCACAACATTTCGTGGTCTGTCGCTCCGGGAAACCGGCCAGACATGCCTACGATGGCAATATTGGAATTGATCGCGCGTCCTTGTGGCTTGGGATTGGCCTCGGGAGAGCACCAACTGGATAAATCCCGTCCTTCTACGGTCTTCTTGGTCTCTGCCTGTAGTGTAGAGCAAATCGAGTTGACGTCAGGCTTGATTTCGTAGCTTACTACTGAATCAACAGCAGCCGATTTACTACTGATGTGTTTGGCTATAGTCTGCTGGAGAGTATTCCACCGTACTGGCCGTCTGAGGATGTCGTCGACTGCTCGAGTAAACTGAAGCCCGCTGCTCGAATCCTGAATCAGTTCACCAGTTGAAGGTGACAAAACCGCTCGACAAGGCGGCGCAACCTCAGCGAGAGCACTCAAGCGGGGTTCCAATATCTCGGACACTTGGTCTTTCCCGTACACGTGAGGCGCATGCCAGAAGCCAGCAACCGAAAGCTCTTGAGAAGAAGCCTTCTCAAGTAACTTTGAGTGTTGCTGGAGTTGTCGAAGCCGTGATGGCGGACCGCTGATATTGCAACTATTCTTGTCGACCATACTGATATACGCTCTAGCTGATTTTGGTATGTTCTGTAGCTGGTCAGCTATTGTACTAGACTTATGGCATGGTGTTGTTGCATCAATGTGCCAGCCCAGGAGATCGTAGTAGCCATTGAGAAGTAGGATTGTTAGCCCGAATACTTTTACCTTCGTTATGACCTGAACCTGGGCTGACAGCATAATGGAAGAAATAGTTCGGCCATACCATTTGGTCCTGTAAGACTTGTAGTTCTTCCTCGATTTCCTCGGCAGCGCCATCGACAACCATGCTCCAGTGTCCTTCAGCAAAGTCTGTTTGTTGAGAATTGGATGAAAATCTCCCTACTGCAGCTCCTGTCTGGAACGCCAAACGGACTGCCTCCACTGCCGGACCGACTAAATCCACGATTGTCTTCGAGCACGAGACTGCTGCTGCCGACAATTGGCCCAGGCCAATGCCGACTATGAGATCGTCATCCCCTGGGACAGGATACTGATCCGGATGTTGCTCGAAATATCTGTAGACAATCGATAAGCGAAGAAGTCCTCGGCAAGATGGATAGATCAAGTTTACCCAAAGAAGTGTGCCAATTGACTTATGCATAGAAGCGCACTAGAGATCTCACGTCTCTGGACTTTTGCATTATGATGCCGTTCGCTCAAATCAAACACGCTATTGAACACCGGAATTTGGCTTCGAGCCTCGCGAGGAAGGGTGCATGCGTCTTGTCGGAGCGCGTCATAGGCCTTCTCCAAGAACGATTCGACAAGAACAGTGGATTTCCTGCTTCGGTGAATATCGCGTAGATGGCCACGCACGTCGGCCACCTGATGTGAGAACAGTACAATTGGCATGGTGAAGCTATTGACCGTTTCACAGAAGTTGAAGACACAAATGACAGACGAGGGGAACAGACATAGGTTTAGTTTTGAAGCATGAGATATGGTCTTTGAGAAGCTGACATCGAATGACTATATAAAACAATCCGAATTTTTGAACGGCCCAGTGCAGTCACAGGTACAGCATATCGCACGATCAGGGACTACATGGATAGTTTCACAGCTACACCGCCATCTCACGACCACACCGTCATTTCACAGCCAACACCGAGCTTGACCGTACAGGATGACGTTTGATGGCCCTCGGTTGCAAGGAGTAATCATCAATAAGCACCAAAACTCCACAATCTTGCTGATAGTTTGAGAGGATTCATGACTGCTCCCAGCGGTTGGATAAGACTTATCGCGATATCTCAAGGCTTCCTACAGCGGTGTTGTTTCGCCACGGAATGATTATTCTCGTGACGTTGCCCAGACCACCGCTGATATAATCTTGAAGCTACAAAGGTTGCAAAACGATGAACAGCTTACGCGGCGAGCTTGCTTCTGGTTGCGGTATGGACCTACCGAATAGTGCTCAGATCATTGCCGATACAATCTTGAAGCTGCAAAGGCTGCACAGGTAAGGACGGCTTACACAGCGAGCTTTCTTCCGATTGCGGCATGGACCTACCGGATACGTGAAAGTACCATCGGGGTCCGTGGGGTGCACAAATCAAATCATTTGTCAGTGTGATGTGGCAATGAGGCTCGTGGTGATTTGAACCACTGTCCCAGACTCTGGGTGTCCGATGCATGTTTTCTGTCGGGGTTCTAACATTTTGCTTCCCGGCCCATGGCTTACTGTTCTATGGCTTACTGTTCTTGAAGTCACTTGATAGGCCCGGTTTTCGTTTCCCGAAAGGATCTAGACTGCCGAAAGCCGGTGCAGGACGGGGAGAACCGGTCGCAAAAAGCGAATCAGGAAAGATAAGACAATCAACATGATATAGTATGGCATGTTCGTCATATTCAGCTCTATCGGATCTGGAAGTGTGTTTCCAGTTTACAGACCCTAGCCGATCCATGGCCCATGCTACAATCTGCTTCGTCAGAAAATGAGTAAACGAGAAGATGAGGTCTCACAGGGCCATACAAGCCCAGACGCTCTTGCTAGTCTCTTGCGAGAGTTGAAGGAAGCTCTCGAGTACTCAATAATTTTGACTCCTGATTCAGAAGGTTATTTGGACAGTATCAAAAGGTGGAGTGATGAGGTTGAGAAGAGAGCGGTAAGAGCTGTCTACAATGACAGAAAGAAACCTGAAGTGTATCCGGGCTGATGCCAAGACACAGGGAGTCGTCGTGTATGTTGGTTCGGCGCAGGATATTGCTAGTACAATCCTACTAAGTCGGAAACACTCAATTTCGTTCGTGGTGGCTGGAGGAAAGCATTCATCAAGCGGGGCAGCTTCAACGGATGGAGGCTTGGTAATCGATTTGGCAAAGATGAGGAAAGTGGAAATTGATACATCAAAAAAGATCGCGAAGGTGCAAGGCGGCTGTATTTGGCAAGATGTCGATGAAGCAGCAGCAAATCATGGCCTTGCAATGGTCGGTGGCACGGTCAACCATACGGGAGTTGGAGGACTCACTCTTGGAGGAGGATATGGATGGCTCTCTGGTCGGTATGGCCTGACAATCGACAGCCTCTTACAGGTACAGATCGTGCTTGGTGACGGCAGCATCAACACGGCTTCCGAGAACGAGAACCCTGATTTATTCTGGGCAGTCCGAGGAGCAGGCCACGGCTTTGGAGTAGTCTCCGAGTTTGTTTTCGAGACACACGAACAAAAGAACAACATTTGGTCCGGTCAAATGATATGGCCAGCAAGCACCAAGCTCGGTGGAGTTATAGACTTCGCTAATGATCTTTTGACAAAGTCAGATCCGGACTCAGCCATGGTCTTGGGCGTTACAGCACCTCCATTCATGACGGAGCCAGCAGTCGTGGCGACGGTCTTTCACAATGGCTCCCAAGGCGCCGCGGAACGTATCTTCAAGCCATTGCTCAATTTGCAGCCGCTCAAAAACTCAGCCCAAGAGCGTCCATATCGCGAGATGAATGGTATGATGAACCACGCGGTCCCTTATGGCGGGCGCAAGCTGTCCAAAGGTGCCTGCTTCGTTCCCCCGCTGTCAGCAGACTATGTCCGCAGTCTCATCGTGGATATGCAAAAATTGCACCAAACCGTGCCCGGGTCCCGTAGATCGATTGTACTGTTCGAATATCTCCATCCTGAAGCGTGGTGCAAGATACCCAACGATGCCACGGCTTTCGCGAACCGGGGGCGTCACCAGAACGTGATGATTGGACCATTCTGGGACAATGCCGAGGATGACCAGAAAATCCGGCTATGGGCCACGGAAATTGCGAAGAAGGCCGAGATGGAACTCGAACGTGTAAAGGAGGAAGCCGGAAGTCCAGCGTGGATGGAACACATTGGGGAATATGGCAATTATGATGGTTAGTACTAGTGACTCCTAAGTGCGCGCGATATGCGCTAATCGTTCCATCTGAAGGCCTACTCACCAATGCTCGCCGAATCTTCGGCAGCAACTTTGACAAATTGCGCTCGCTAAAGATCCGCTATGATCCTGACAACGTCTTCGACAAATCTCACTCCTTGTTATCGGCGAGGGAAGAGTAAAGGGTTCGTGAAAGCACTTTCAAAAGCATCCTCGTATTTTCTTAGGCGACAACATTTCCAACGACCCTCTTTCTTACGCCACGAATACAACGAAGATTTCCCATTCAATCTTAGCAAGAACTCGAGCAACAAATCAACACTGCATCGAGACAAGTGCTGTCCACAGACCCAACACGCAGCATAACAAGCTACTCCAAGCTTCTAGATCAGACTCAATATAACTTTCTATGATATCGAAAATTCAGTGCAACCTTAGATGAACAGCTCCTTTCCATGAGGGTGTTCCGCTTTTGTCTTCACTGGATCTGTGCCGAGCGCAATTCAGCTCCTCATGACTCTGATGGACTCAACAAGATTGAAGGGGGCCAGCTGCCCCGAATCCGGCCTGATGTTCTGATAGCTCCATGCTGGCGTCGTCCATATGAGCCAAGCCACGATCGGAAGGTATCCGCCCGCTCTCTACCAGGCTATTGGGCTCTCCCCGCCCCTTCCACGGTCTGCTTCGTTGTCCTGCCCCTGCTGCGGCCGTTCCAATTCCGTTGTGCAACACGTCCCTTCTATGAAACCCTCCAAGGTGATTTCAACAGTCTGCATGATGAACAGTGTCATGGCTGAGCTCTCGGATGTGGTAATCTCAGCTGTACCATCAACGAGGGCGTTTAAAGTTCCGGACGAAGCAGATGTAACGAAGACACACACAGATCGTGCCTTTGGTCAATCATAGAACACCATCGGCCGCAAATTTCACCGTGCAGAGCATTTCCTTTCCGGAGACCGCTGTAGACTCTGAAAATTCAAATACAGGGACATGAAAGGATCGTTGGGAGCAATTGCGATGACTCCATCAGGCAGGAAATTTGGTGCTGTAGCATGATAAGAGACCGCTCCCAGCGTGACGAGCGGAACCTGAGCTAGCCATATGGAGGACTGAGGCTGTGTATAGATGAAGCGGAGTACAGACAGCGCGAATGTACCAAGCATTAGTTCCCATGGGTGGTCTAGGTAGAATACTGTAAGAGAGTCTAAGTAGGAGACCGCAGAGCGAGCCATGGGAGAAAGGATCGAGGCAGCGAGGATACTTTCCGACACTCACCCAGCAAGCGATTTCTCTGCGTGACACGGGTGGCGCAGGATTAAACAACGAGAAAAAAAAGGCAGTCATTAAATCATGCAGTCTGTTCTCACAAGAAACCCTCCAAACCCCTTACAATAACTCGCCCTTGGGCGGTTCCCGTGGGTTCAACTGCGCAATGTGCCTGAACGATGAATCCCGGTGTCAATCCCGGCGTCCGTGGTCAATGTAAGAAGTCTGGACATGGCCCGTAAAGTACTTTTTAGAGTACTCTTAGCGTGTGCACGCGCCACCTGCAGCAAACGCCTCAGCCGCGCCTCATGCGATGCCAAGTGGCAAGGACCGAGCCCGAAGAGCGAAAGCCCGGATATATTTCCAGAATAACACCGAGAATTATTAAGTAATTATTGAGGGTACCCACCATACATATCAAAGTTGAGCCTCACTATCGCTAACCTGACGCATTTCCAGTTCATCTCTGGATTCTCGACTTACGATCCATATCTTAACGAGTAGCAATCGAAATTCTGAAGCTTGAACGGACTAGAATCGCAATAACAAGAGGATTGACTTTCATATACATTCGTAATGTTCACCAATTTGGCTTTTGGAGGTACGGCTTCTGTACATTTTAATGCCAAGAACTCGAAATCTTTTTGTTCGCGTAAAATGCGTCCCTGCCTGCCTAGCGCTTGCTTGAGCCTAGCTGAGCTCGCTGAGCCCAAGGTACCTCAGAAGTTCTTGCTTTCCATCAATTTCATCGCAAATCGTAATACAAAGGCTTCCCACTTCCAATACCTAGCAGTCTCTACGCACAACCATTCCCCTTCCAGGCTTTTTACAGCTTCTCATATTTATGGAAATCCTGGATACCGCGAAATGTGTACAGCATGATTCAGCATTCCAGACCCTCCACCAGCACAGCCACGGCCAAATAGACCATCGTCGTTTTCGGTGCCACAGGCAGAAAAGGCGGCTCCTTTAATGTTTTGTGAGGACTGAAGTGAGATCCAGTGTCCAAGGGTGTACTACCTGCAGTGTATCACTTCGACAACCAAAGCAAATCTCGACGGATAAATCAGCTGCCGCGGCATCTCCGCCTCATTTTACCTCGCAGGTTTCTACATGTCCAACCTCCTCGGGATGCACTCGGGGGATGCCAGACGGCAAACGTGGCCTTGCCCTTTCCCTGCCCGACGACTCGCCGATTCATCTGTTCGACGCCGAAGACGACATTGGCAAACTGTCAAGGCTATGTTCCTCAGCGAGCAAAAAGTCATAGGCAAGCGTGTTTATGGTGCGACTGCATAATACAACCCCACCGAATTCGTGCACGCAGAGCTTCACCCGTCTGTTGAGAAGAAATCTGCGTACACTCGGCTACCAGGTGAAGGTTTTAAAAGTACCATGGCCTCGTGCGGCGCTCCAGCGGTGATCCAGGAGGCAAGGTTGCGGAACATGCGTCTGATGCCAGAGTTCGGGTCCTTTGATATGATAGCCTTGATCCCAGCCTCGGAATAAGTCTTTTTGCAGGACAAGACATCTTTCTCAAAAAGCCGACCCGGCGGAATCAAGCTTTGGTCGGGCAAACATAGAACCAGGAAGGACTACGCGAAAACCAGCCCTGCTTTCGCCAGTCTGGGATGAGAGAGAGGGATGGGAGACCCGGCCTTGACGGTGGGTTGAAAGAGACTGCGGTCTACCTAGGGCATTAGCAGGAGGCGATTGCATGTCCGATAAGAGTATAGGCGTATTAGAAAGAAGTATTTTAGCAACCAAGAGTCAAAGCTACGTCCGAACCATTTTCCGACCGTCAGATTCCCGTTGCATTTGACCCTGTCACCAAGGCAGCCAGCCGCTATTGTAAATGGTACAAAATGAACCTCGTATCACTTGCATCATTGGATACTCGGCTGTACCATACCAGAGTACCCCTTTAGGCAGACACAATGATACATTGTTAGCGCACTAGTAATTGTACTGATCCAGTTCTACGTACATCACCCTCATCCCAACATTACTCTAACAGTGCAGCGCACTATTCCCAGGCTTGCAAGTTGCCATACCCCTTCCCATCACCTACCTCCTCCAGTTCCGCGCAAGCTTCCACCGGGCGATGCAGGATCTAATCACTAACCAACCTCTCTCTTTGTGCGTCTCGTTTTCCCTGCTCATTCGATCCATCTATTCCCGTTCGCCTTCACCGATCCAGTCTCCGAGAAATCAATCAGCGGCCGGTGTACTTACACTGCATGTACTTGTATATATACATCAGCTCAATCACAGGTTCGGTCTTCTCTCTCTCTCCCCCCATGCAAAAGACATCTCACGCTCTCAAACGGGCCTGAATCCTCACCGATGTCTCCCTCCAGCCCGCCCCGAACAGTCTTCCGCACCACCTCTTTCGGCACAAGTACCTCACAGGCCAAATCCAACTCACTGGAAACCCCCCTCCCGCTCGTACCGAATCACCGACCTCGACACGGCCCACGTCTACCCCGTCGGCTCCCCCAGTACGTCCGAAACCCCCCTCGGCGCGCTCTCCGTACACACATAAGCGGACATCTCAACCAAAGTCACATCATGGATCCCCGGCGCCCACAGCGTGGCTGACGGCATTGGGCGTCGACAAAGTCGACATCGGGTATTAGTACCTGCACGCGCCGGATCGGGGCACGCCGTTCGAGGAGACGAGCGAGGCTGTGGACGCCGACTGGGAGGAGGGGAAAGTTTGCACGGGTTGGCAGTAGCGACTATGGAGCTGATGGAGTGGAGACGATTGTGGGGATCTGCGAACGGGGGGGGGCTGGTGAAGCCGAGTGTGTAGCATGGGCGGTACGACGAGTATGCGGTGATGTTGTTCCCCGTGTTGGGGAAGTATGGAATCGCACTCTATGTGTACACGTCAGTTACTGCCCGTGAACGATGTCCTTCTTCCCCGTCAAGGAACGGCACAGCGTAAATCCTACATTTCTATGCCCGACGTGGCTCCGACCCATGACTCCTGTCCTCCCTCCTCAGTCCCGCAGCGATCGGCCCCTTCTCCGGAAAAGTTACCCCCCTGAATACGTCAACATATCCGGTTCCCGCTGGGACTCAAATGTACCTCCTCCTCCTCCTCCTAATTTCCCCCACGCAAATCCCTAGCTCAAACAACCGCACACCCGCCTCGGCGTCGCTTACAAGGAGACTCATCTCAAGCCCGCTCTCCTCTCCTCAGCCGCTTACGTCTCCTCAGCGGCCCAGGCCGCGAATCTGGACGGGCATGCTGGCGCCCTGCGCTGGACTATCTACCACTCTATTCTAGATGGCGGGAACGGGGACGCTGTGGTGCTAGGGATGTCGGGCGTAGACCGGCTGGAGAGGAACTTGGATGCAATTGAAGATGGTCCGTTGGGCAAGGAGATGGTGGAGTTGGTTAAAGGGTGTGTGGGAGCGCGTAAGGGGCAGTCAGGCGTGGTGTTACTTGTAGGGACTTTGGGAGCTGTTTGAAGGCTCAAGACGATCCGAACTAGTGGTCCAAAGGCCTGAACGGGTCCAAATTGAAGCTCTTGACGTGGTCTACCGTATGGACTGGTCCGGACTACGTGGTTCAAGGCCCGTTGGTTTTTGTAATACGCTCATTATCCTCAAATGTATGACCGCCTTTTTCGCTTCAGATGGTCAAACTACCTGATATGTCACTCAAAAAGGGTCACCAGATTTTTGATCTGTCAAGAGGTTGATTAAGGTGCCCCTATCTTCGACCATAAAATGATTCTAGACTCAAATTGACAAAATGAGAATTGAATGTCGAGAACACTTCGATATGGCCCGGACCAATAGTCCATGACACTGGTCCGAGTCAGAGGTTCAGAAATTGAGGGTGGATCATTGGGAGCCATATCCTGACACAATGGGTTCTTGTTCTCTTGACACAGAAAATCAGATTTTGCAATGCGACACACAACTTTCCAAAACCACAAACGAATCCTACAACAAGATTCTCGACTACAAACTCCCGGCTACATTAACAGAGCACAACTACGCCATCAGAACATCCTTCGCAGCTTCACTCCTCGTCGACGTACACTGAGTTGACGAACGCGGGGACTTCGAGCCCGTCTCCGGGCCCTTGTGCCCCCGGAAACCCGCCCCCCAGGTTCCGGGTACCCATCCCCCGAAATCGGGTAAGCGACCGCCCAAAGGGTGCCTAACAACCAGCTCCATCCCTTTCAAACCCTAAGCCCGTCGTTATCCGCCCACCACCTACTCCCTTTCCCTCCCTACCCCCACCCACCGGTAGTAAAGTAAAAACCCCCCGCCTCCCCCCCACCAAACCCCGATAAACCCCCACATACCCAAGCTAAAACAACAAACGCGGCTTACCCGAATCCCCGCCGCGACGCTAAGTGAGTAGGTAAGCAACGCCCGTTCGTTCGTGCGTCCGTCCGTTCGCGGGTAACACTAAGCCACCTACCTTACCTAACGCACGGCCGGTGACTCCTGCTCCGGTTCGGTTCCGCACTTTACTTTACTCTACTCTACTTTACTTTACTTACGTGAGCACCTTCGTTCCGTCGGGCGGACTTTGGCCGGAGAGCGAACGAGCGAGCGCGGCCGGCCGGGCGGGCGGCTTTTGGCTGAGTGCGAGGGACCGAGGTGGTGGGATGGGATGGGATGGGATGGGATGGGATGGGATGGGATGATTAGTAGAAACGGAGAGAGAGAGAAGTGGGGGGGGGGTGAGCGTGCTGATGCTGTGTGACGTATTTGCCACGATTGATCGCTTCGCTGTTGGGGTCGATGGAATATCGGTATGGAAGAAATTGTGTGTGGGCGCATGGGTGGTTGGTGTCGAGGGGTAGGGTTGAGTTGCTCCTGCTTTGGATTTGGGGTGACGCACGCGCTGGTGGGTTGGTGGGGATGCGGTGCGGTGCGGTGGAAGGTAGTGGTTTGGTGAAAGGGATGGATGGATGGGTGGGTGTATTTGCCTTGGGGGAGGGGAGAATGGGCTGATTGGTTCGTTTGATGCTTGCGGGTTTGGATGAGGTGTAATGCAATGCTTTTGTTTTTTTATCTTTCGGTTTCGTCCCCCTCCAAACACGGAAGTTGAATTTTTGCTATGAGAATCATTGAGAGGATATGCACGAGGTGATATCGACGCAGCGATCGCATTTGATTGACTGATTGATTGATTGATTGATTGAGAAACGGACATGCCATGCTTTCTATGTGCAGCATCCAGAGACGCGATGAAGGATCAGAGGTACACGTTTGAGCACCTGTATATCAAAAAACATGCTTGCATTCTATGCTACGCGTACGGTATAATACAGTCCCAACCCTGAGAAACAAATACACGAGTGGCGCCTGCACCGGAAAATCACCAACTCCGATCTAATCCAGTCCTGCCCCTGAGAAACAAATACATGATAGGTGCCTGCACCGGAAAAGCACCAACTCCATGTCGACTTATCTTTGCTTGCCTCTAGCTCTAAACGTTCTTGTGTCTATGAAGCGTCGGCGCACTCAACAACTGACGCCTTTGGGCGTCGTCGGCGGGATGGAGAAGGGATTCGAGAAGAAGTTCGTGGGGTCGTATTGCTTCTTGACCGACGAAAGCCTGCAAACGTTGTCGCCCCAGTAGGCTTCGTACGGGTTGGAATTGATGTGGGCGTCCATGTAGCCTGCGTAGCTGGCGGTGCTAGAAGTCCGTTAGCAGCTGGAAAAGAAAGAAAAAGGGGGCAGAGAAGCGCTCGGCGTACCCAATCCTCGGGACAAGGTAGGCCTCCAGATCATCCATGAAGTTCTGCCCGATGGCTTCGAGGGTCGCGTTCGACGACCTCGTGACCTCGAACCGGAAGAGGTATTCGGCTTCTGCTTGCCATGCGAACGCACTCGTTGCCGGGGTCGAAATGTTCCAACTCGTCATCTCGGTCCAGAAGCCGAGCTCCGCGGGCAGGGCGCCCGACTTTTCGACGATGTACTGGATCGTCTCTGACGTGAGTGGCTTCGATTTGGTCACGAACAAGGTCTTGTTGATGATGGCAACGCGCGGCCATGGTGTAGCCTTGGTCTCGTTGGGCAAGACGGGGACGTCGTCGAAGCCAAACTGCGCTGGCGCACCCGGGACGGCGGAAAAGTCGTCAGGCACCACATTGTACTGGGTATTGAAGACCTCATGGGCGGTGGCATCGTCTGTGCATTCGATTTGGGTGTTTTCCCAGAAATTGCGTGAATTCTGGGTGCTACAGTTGGCTGAGATCCTATAAAAGACATCAGGGACGTCCAACAGACCGGAGGCTTTGACGATAGTAGTCAGTTCCTGAGCCGTCTTGCCAATGTACCAGCCTGAGATCTGGGCGTGGTCGCCGTAGAGGTTGAGCTGGGAGGTGAAGTAAGGATCTTGCTTGGCCGCCCAATCGAGATACTTTTGAGTAGCTTCGGGGCGTGTAGGTGCGGTGAAGTTCATCCAGACCATGGCGGATCTCGGGATTTCGATTGTGTTGATTGTGGCTTCTACCGCGAATCCATACATGCCGCCCCCTCGCATGGCCCAAAAAAGATCCGGGTTCTCTGTCGCAGACGCTGTGACCAGGGAGCCATCGGCCAGGACCGCTTTGATTGATTGGACATGATCGACGGCCATTCCATGCAGCCTCATCTGCATGCTGTAGCCACCGACTCCTAAGTATCCTCCCAGGGCGACTGTAGGACAGATACCGCCGTTCACAGTATGGCCAGTCGGGTCCATTGTCTCATAAATTTGTCCAAGTTTCGCTCCAGCGGCCACTGTAACTGTTGAATAATCCTCGGATGGTTTGACGTAGTTGATGTGTGATGTGTCAACCACAAGTGTTCCATTCAAAGCAGACCAATTCTCAAAGCTAAGGCTTGTCAGTCATCTAGACCTTCTAACAATTTTAAAAGAGTCCATCGAGATTTCGCAAAAGCGGTACATGGTCTGCCACTTACTGATGGCCGCCAGAGCGGGGTGTGACTTTGAAGCCAGTAGAAGTTCCGCATTGGACGAGAGGGCTAATCTCATCAATGGACGTAGCGTATGCGATGACAGCAGGATACTCCGCGAAACTAGGTACTGGTCAGACTCGGGTTTCTTGCAATTGTAACAGTCTGACGTACAGAACGTCACCTGAAGAGGCAGCTGTGTAGGTATCGTTCGATGGGGTGACGATTCTGCTCTCAACGTTTTCGCCAATCAGGGCGCGCTTGACGCAAGCAACTAGTGCTGCGCTTTTCTGTGCCGGAGCTGCTGCTATTAAGTGGGCAAAGCATGGCAAAAGAATGCCTGCAGCGAAAGTTGAGTACAGCTTCATTGTAAAAAGGTGACTTTGAAAGATGGAAATTAGACAAAGGAGAGATGATACACAAAGGAGAGATGATACACAAAGGAGAAATGATACTGGAGAGAAAATATTCGCATCACCACTGTACGGACTGACCTTTTATATCACCTTCTATCTACCATAAGCCGGAGCTCTGACCAAAGCGCCCTCTAAGCACAACAGCCTCCTGTGTCTGCCTAGACAGTAGATTCGCCCATAGGCCTAACCGTGTGGTCTAGAATAACAGAACCCTTGTAGTCTTGATAATGAGTAAGAGACCGATGGCTGTATCTGACCTGAGACTCAGGGTGTGATTCGGAATCTGCAATAGAACTGAGGTATGGTGGTATGTGGCACAGCACAGCGTCAGCGCAGCCGTAGGAGGCATTCCTGAGTGGGATCTTCGGCTGTGTTTCAATCTATTTTCTTCCACCTTGTGTACGACCTGGTGTCAGCATTCTCTCCTAAGTCGTGCGCACCGTGATGAGCTCAGAGCAAATTATCACGAAACCTTTCCATGATTTTTGCCCCAACTGGCCAAATGACTCAACGAGCCGTAAAGGATGCGTGCCTTCTTCTACTACCCTGATACTTTCCGGAGGGAGGCTTGCTGACATGAAATCTTACCTCATGAGCTCAGACTTTTCAAAAACATCAGAGAAGAATACTGTTCACTTGAATTTTGCGTGTAATATTGAAGAGGGAGAAGGAAAGAACAATAGTGATGATTCAAAGATTTTTCAAAGAGTCACGCATACTCAACTTTCCTGCAGCGTAGTCGCACGAGGCATGGCGAGGGATTGTAGGATCTCGCTCGTGAGTCAAGGTTCATCCGGGTCAGCCACAATGCTTACGTGACCATATTCAGCTACTTCATATAGGGATCCGTAATCCGTTTGTAGAAACTTGCTGAGACGGATTCCAGGTGGTTCGACGCCGCAACAGTCACAGAGAAGGGTAGAATATAAATTGGAATCGGCACGATTGGTAAAACAGTGAGAGCGCAGCAGTATCAATTTGAATCTGATAGGAGAAAATCCGAGCCGAGGATTCGGTGAAGTGCTGCAGCCCAGACGGCCGCGCCGCTCCCTTGGTGGCGCCCGGTTGCTCGGATTCGAACCTTTCCGCAGACTCCGTGAATTCCTTCTCGAACTCGTGTTCGCTCCATCGCACCTTGGTCTCGATCCTAGCCTGTTTCAGCTCGTCGCTTATCTTGTAGAATGTTGCAACAACGACGTGGCCGTGGCTTTTTACGGCAACCGTTCGTCTATCTTCCGTCATTGTAGCGCATGTGGGCTACTCTGGGCTGATGATGGCTGACGATCTCCGTATCCGAAATCTTCTCGCGTTCCGAAACACCGAGCATATGCTGTGAATCGATGTTGGCATCTCCCGACAACAGCTGGTGTCCAATCACGGTGATGAAGTAATTGGCTGGCGAGTCAACATGCTGGGCATTGGTTTTCGACGCATAGTGGATCTTGGAACAACAGTAAAACATAAGTACGATCTGGGCAAATAGCAAGGGAGAGTTACCGACAATTTTGGATCATGACTGGCTCGAAGTCGGGCCCAATCCTGGTGCATAATACCAGTCTTGCCAGCCTCATCCCACTACCCCAGACCGACCTTGTCGTCTTAGCTCTCTGCCCTTTCAAACACAGTATTGCCGACGATAAGTCATTCTATTATACCATGAGGATGATAAGCCCATTGCCGTAGATTGAAAAGCATACAATGCATCCATACAGACCCTCGAGCGTGGGTTCTTTTGGGGGACTGATGGCTTGGAGTCGAAATCTTCGGACACGAAGGTCTTGTACGATGCGAATTGTCTGAGAGAAGGAGAGACGGGCCCCACAAAATAGCCATGCTCGAAAAAGCTCCACTTCGACTGATGCAGAATTAGTCTGATCATGAGGCCATGTACGTAAGCAGACTGCAGCTCGGCGATATAAAGACCGATTGAACCGCAACGCAGCCAGGAGTTACGGGATTTGAATGCCGGTAAATGGCTCGTGCGTTAGACTGTGCATAAAACTAGGGATTTTGGTATCTACGCTGTATAAATATGGAATCATTCTGAGCACAATTCTTCCCGCAAAGCACATCTCCCTTCCTCGAGACACGCCTTTGCCCATTATGAACGGACACGTATCTAGTGCGCGCCTTGACGGCAAAATTGCAATTGTGACTGGTGCTGGTAGAGGGATAGGGGCAGGCATTGCGCGGGAACTGGGGGCCAGAGGGGCCAGCGTGGTTGTCAACTACCGCAGCAGCGCTGAGATCGCCCAATCACTGGCAAACGAAATCAAGGCCGGTGGCAGCGACTCCATCGCCATCCAAGGAGATGTTTCCAAGATCGAGGACATCAAGAGTCTGTTCCAACAGACCAAGGCGCACTTCAACCGGGTGGACATTGTCGTTTCTAACTCTGGCGTCGAGCATTTTGGCCCTATCGACCAGGTCACACCGGACGCTTTCGACAAGGTTTTCAACGTCAACACACGCGGCCAGTTCTTCGTTGGCCAAGCCGCCTATGAGCATCTGGCGGACAATGGGCGTCTGATCCTCACGTCCTCCATTTCGGCGCACAGCCCTATCAAGCAGCACGCCCTCTACGCCGGGAGCAAGTGCGCGGTCGAAGCTTTCGCTCGATGCTTTGCGCCCGATTTTGGCCCCCGAGGGATCACGGTCAACTCGATCGCGCCCGGGGGGGTCAAGACGGACATGGCCGCTGATGTGGGATTCAAGTACATTCCCACGGCCGACGCGTCATGGACGGTGGACGATGTTGAGAAGTTCATTGCATCGAGGACACCAATGGGGCGGATGGCGTATCCTGTGGACATTGCTCGCGTGGTGGGATTCCTTGCAAGTGAGGATGCGGGATGGATAAGCGGTGAGTCGTGCTGTCTTCTTCTTCTTCTTCTTCGTCTTCTTCTGCCCTTGCTTAATCTCCCTTTCTTTCCGGCCCTTGGGTGTAAGCTGAGCTGGGCACAGGACAAAACTTGACCATCTCTGGAGGAGTATCGTGAAGCCTTGCATTAGCGTAGGAGCTGCATGCGATGGGAATGAGGAGAAAGGGGCAACAGGGAAGAATTAGGGCCAAAGCGTTCGGGCTTTCGGGCTTTCGGCTTTCGGCTTCTTTCGGCATTCGTCTGACGTGCAGCAAGAGCGGACATTAAAGTACCTCAGTACCTTACCATGTAATGTACTCATTGATAATCCCGTGATTCCCTCCGATCGGGTCCACAGGCAGTAGCTCCCGCCACTAAAGATTAGTCTCTACCTTATCGCTTAGTGCATGTACCTAACCTTACCTAAGCTCGCGGGTAGCAAAAAAGCCCGAACACCCTAAATTATTCGACAGGGTCGCAAGTTATCAGTCACGATGGTAACGAAAAAACCTTTGCGGTCCAAAGAGTAGAAAGGAAAATCTAAAGAGTTCTCATACCCGAACTATCAACAAAAACCAAATTCGTTGCGAAGTTATCAAGACCTTCGTAGTTTAGACTCGTACGGGCTTTTTTGCTACCCGCGAGCTAAGGTACGGTACCTAGGTCCCTTAATATGTGCTGGGGCGCGGGCTTCCCAGTAGTGAAAAGCTTGCCGAGTACTGGTTTTTGACTGTTTAATTCTCAGGGAGACCCCCTAAAACCCCTCGGACCCTTCGGGGGCTCTTTAAGGGCTCTCCGAGAGCTTCTGTCGAGGGGCTGTCAAAGCAAGCTCGAAATTTGATTATTTTAATGATATTTGATTGATTTCGAGCTTGCTTTGACAGCCCCTCGACAGAAGCTCTCGGAGAGCCCTTAAAGAGCTCCGAAGGGTTTAAGGGATTTTAAGGGATCTAACCCTGAGAATCGAGAGAGACGTTGTGATTTATTTGATATACTTAGGGGGAGACCCCCTAAAACCCCCCTGACCCTCCGAGGGCTCTCCGAGGGCTCTCCGAGGGCTCCTGCCGGAGAGGCTCTTCTCGCAAGCTCGATAGAAGAATACTTTATCAAATTTCGTCTACGCTACGTTATTTGAAAGCGTATAAATAATTCTATAACTCTACGTACTTAGTTTATTATCATATTTTTGATAAAATAAAAGGAATCAAAAAAGGTAGATTTGAGGATTTTGAAGTTCTTTTCCAGCTTCCTCTTTTGGACGTACCCGTGTGCACCCGCGTTTAGATCGAAAATGAAGAAATAAGGTGTGTTTTAGACTGAAAATGGTGAAATCCGATGATCTGATTGGTCACTAGCCTCTTAGCGTAGCACCCATTCTCGTTTTCAAGTCTTGAGCATTGAGAAAGCAAGCTTTCCAATAATACTTTACTTTAGGGAGCTAGGTCAAAGGATGCCCGTCTTAAGTTTCCCTGGCCAATGTCGGCGCTACTACTGGAGTTGCATTGGTAGGGTTTACAGCTTCTAAACCGGCATTGGCGCTGCAACAGCCAAATTGATATCACTTCAGTACCTGATCTTTTCATCATCAGCGCTTTTGAGAAGAGAGTATCTGGAACACGATTGCAAACAACATCACGAAATCGAAGTTTACTACCAAATGATTCTTCGATAGAGCTCTTCTTGTGGAGCGGTGTCGAAGGACCGTGATTTCCACGCCGCCGGGTACTAGATACTATCCCATTAGTAAAGTAAGTCATGAAGGGAATTTCTACATGTCGCCTGCTTCGGGTTTCGTCGATCCTGATCCCATTTGTCATCAGCAATGTCTGTGAATTCATCTATAATCCTTTAAAAAGTCCTTCCCATGCCTACCTCGACTCCATCACCACAGCCCAAAAAGCCGTCTATGCCTAGAAGACTCCACGACACATGCAAGCGGTGCTGGCGTCATGGCAAATCAAGCTGCCTGGATCCCCGCTGTAGAAGCAGACTTGGTGCTGCAAGACGGCACTGAAATTCCTACGCCTGGCCACGGCGAGCTCCTGGTCAAGGTCAAATGCATAGCTTTCAGTCCAATCGAGGCCAAGATTCAGAAGTACGTGACTCGCTCTCTTAAAATTAGTACTATGTTCAAGTAGTTAACAGAGTCATATTCTTTCCTATCCATTGTGCACTTTTCCGTTGGCTCTCTTCAATTGGACTTGCACAACTCCACCTTCGTAATTCACGGGCTGTCTTTGTCTGAATTGCTACCCCTCTGCCTTCCCAAAAACCCCAAAAAGCTTTGATACAACTGACACACCTTCCAGATTCGGCACTCACCCTATCCCTTACCCATCAATCCTCGGTACTTCCTTCGCCGGCATCATCGAATCTGTGCCCCCTTCCACCACGGTCTTCAAACCGGGCGACAACATTGCCGTCATCCGTACCGGCGCCCACCAAGGCGACCCCCGCTTCGGCGCTTTCCAGAAATTCGCCCTCGCCGATAGTTCCTCCGTCTCCAAACTCCATCCGTCAACCCCCCTCCCCGCTGCCGCGGCTTCAATCCTGAACCTCGCCGCCGTCGTCTCCGCCCTGAGCATCCACCTCGGCCTCTCACGCCCTCCCCTCTCCGGTCCTCCCCCTCCAGCCAACACCAATAAGAAGGTCCTCATCTACGGCGGCTCGAGCTCCTGCGGCGGCCTTGCCGTCAAATACGCCGTCACGGCCGGGTACACCGTCGTCACTACCTCTTCTCCCGCAAACCATGCCTTCGTGGCTTCCCTCGCCCCAGCCCACATCATCGACCACACCCTGCCGGCGACGGAAATCGTGTCCGCCATCCGCGCCCGAGGCCCATACGCCGCAATCTTCGACACCATCGGTCTTCCCCCCTGCACCGACATCCTCGTCGACTACCTCTCCTCCGTGGGCGGCGGGGCATACAACACTCTGATCCCGCTCGAGGGCCCGGAGAAGCCCATCCCGGAGAACGTAGAGAGGAAGTTTGCGGCGTACAGTTGGGCGTTGGACGAGCCGAAGCATGCCGAGATCAGGGAATGGTTCTACGATGAGTATCTGCCCAAGGGATTGGAGAGCGGGTTGGTGGTGCCGACGAGGCAGCATGCGGTGGAGGGGGGTTTGGGCGAGGCGCAGGGGGTTTTGGATTTGATCATGAAGGGGGGTGTGAGTGGGCATAAGTTGGTGATGGATCCGTGGGCGTGAGCGAAGGGAGAGCTTTGGGGAGATTGAAGCAAGAACGACGTCCTACCCTCGACAAAGGGTTTTTGTCATGGTGTGATTGGTGGTGCACGGTAGTAGTGGTAAACATGTGCTAGATCTATCTGCTCCCCATGAGAATATCAAAACCCCTTCTGAAGTACATGAAAAAAACAAGAGAACAAATCCCCACCGCGGAGCTGGGCTTTGCTCAATCTCATAACACAACAACACCCGCTCATCTCACACAGGTGATCACGGTCGGAGGAGAAACGTGTCCACTACGAGCACGCTATCGAACAAGCCCCCTCATGCACAAACTCCAAACCAAACTCCGAATGATCCCCACCCCACCTCCTCAACCACCCCGACCGTGGCAGCACGCCCCCATCCACCAGCGCTCTTGCCCCAGGTTCTGGTATCAGGAACTCGACGACGTATCGATCAAACCAATTAAAGCGGTCGGAGCGGAACATGAACAGCGCGCGCCATGCACGGGTTACGGTTTGATCATGTCATGGGCTTGAGAGGAGATCGGCTCGGCGAGATTGGGGGGGGAGGGGAGGGGTCTGTCGCGGTGCGGTGGCCCTGCGGGGGGTGGTCCTGGATCGTGGATTGTGGATATGGGGCGGCGCGGGCGATGGCGGGGGGGGAGATGTGGCCGTCGGGGATGCTGATTGGTTGGAGTGGGGGTTGAGTGGTGAGGTTGGAGGGAAAAGCGACGAAATGGAATGTATGGATTGGGTCGGGTCGATGGGCGAAGGGGGAAAAAATGCAAGATTTACATCGACGACGGTTTTTATCCCTTAGACCTTCCCGGTCGATCAAATGCTTGGGTGATGTCGGGTGATGTCTTTACCGAAGTCCCCCGTGGCGCTGAGCTCTTTCCGACCGTGGGGCCATGGAGACGGAATTCAGTCGGGCCATCGAAGGCAGCCCGTCTCTGTGGCTTCCACGGTACTTGTTCAATGCATCAATGGCTTTCACTGCGGTCGGAGTTCGTTCTTCCAAGGTCACTCTGAGACAGTCAGGGACGCTTTTGCTTGAATGCAGCGACGCAGACGAGTTGGTGTGTGAGACATGGCCGGGCGTGTGATAGCGTGCAAGATGTTGTTATGGTCGTTATTTTACTGCTGTATGTCAGCCTTCGAGTGTTTTTAGTTAGAAGCTGGGGAGCAGAGGTACTAGTACAGCTGCCGAAGGAGTAGAGAATGAGAAGGCGGACAGCATATACTCCACGCGCGCCGTCTGAATGTCTCGATCGGGCCTAATGCTATTGTTGCCCGGTCCTGCGCTGCTCTCGTCTAGTGTCATCCGTGCGCTTTGTGACCCCCTCGTCCTCCAGCGGAACCGGGGTAGCTGGAGGTCTATTGACATCGAAAGAGGGATCTGGGAGATGGGTTTTCCTGATATAGGCCGCTTTCCTTGGTTATGGTCGAAGCCATAGCATTTTGGGAGGCCATTCTGGCCGTCGTAGAATATTAGACCATGCCTGGGAAGAAGACAAGACATCCAAGAAGCGAGACGAAGGCCGATGTATGAGATAGACTACGCAGCAATAGAAGCGCGGATTGGGAAGACAAGCCAGCATGCTAGTCCTTTCTGCATGGGAAGGACCGACAAAGAGCACGAGATGACATGGGTCCGCTGATGTCGTTGGCCGCCTGGGGAACAGGAATAGTGTTCAGAACTGGCAGATACGAGAGTGAGGCGTGCCCCTCTGCGGCTAGGATTCCAATCTGGCCCTGTCGAGAGTACATTGAGGTATGCAAGTCCGAAAGCTAGCGCTCAAGCAGATTGGTAACTTACCTCAGCATTCCCGGATGGGGTCGATCCAAGAGCTACGGATCGCTTCTTCGGGCGGCCTAGGGACTGTGGTAAGATACCTACCTTACCTACCATGGGTTAGGCTACAGCGTTGAATCCTACGGTAGTCACGAGTTCGTGTGTTTATGTTACGTGGCGGAATCGGTACCTATTCGGTCTGTGATGAATGTTTTGGGAAAAGACGCTATAAGCTACCTCCCTGTTAAACCCCCCCCGCCCCAGGCCGTCGTTCTCATACCCTCAACTCAAATCCCTCTGACTCCCCCGTCTCCCTTTCCATCTCCATCTCAGTTAAAAACGCCTGAGTGAAGACCCAACCAGCCAGCACCACCACCACCACCCACCCAAGACGTAAAAACAACAACACCGCTCCCCGCAAGAGCAAACGTGGCTGAATCTCCCTCCCTACTTCTACCAAGAATCATCGAGACGAGCCCGTGCGTGCAGATTCGAAGATCTCAAACCCACACGCCCTCTTTCCTCTGGATCTCAATCTCCCACGCTCGAAACTCGGCTGGAAGGATGGCTCCAATCGTTCCTTCCAGCGTGGAAAATGGCCCTTGCTGATTCCGGTTACGACGCACCATTTCGTGCGGGCGAGGGGTCGCTTTTCTGGGTATGTGAGAGCGATGGAGTTGCTTTCTAGATTTAGAGTTGATTTTATTTATTTTTTCATTTTTTTATTTTTTTCTTTTACCTTTTTTCGATTTGTCATTTTGGGCGAAGCGGGTTATTGTGATGATGTCGATGAGGGGGAGGGTGTGATTACTGCGAATCGATTGATTGACTTGGAAGTATTTGCATACTCCTTGCTTCGCTTATGGTCCATTCGAAGAGGCTAAGGAGAAAGAGTTACTTTATTGATAGTTGATGTTTGAAAACGAAAAAGAGGGGGCGGCGGAAAGGGGGGGGAAGCGCATGAGGATGAGGATGGGATTTTTTCTACTCTAGTCTTTCCTTTTCTTCTTCTTTCTTTTCTCTTGTTCTTTGAAATCGAGACCGAGAAGATGAAGACGGCTGTAACTTGATTCTATAGTATGGTTCTAATTTGATGAGGTGGTCTGGGAAGGACAGAATGCGACCACCAACGCCTAGCTGAGCCGTTGGACTGGAAAAACAATGAAGCCCTGCCCTCTCTCGCTCGCTCGATGCCGCAGATCTTCAACGCTATCAGCTTCCGAAGATATCCCCAAATGGATCTTTCTAATCTTCGTTTCCGAAACTGACCCTCACGATCTCAGTGCCTCGTGGTTCACCCTCAGCCTTTTTCTCAGATACGTGACCAATTCGCCAAAAGGCTTCGGCTCGCCGCGGCCGCCTTGACCATTGCCGCTGCCCCAATCGTGGGGAGAGCAGAATCGCCTCTCAAACAGCTCGATCAGGGTGCCAATTTTACCAAGCTCGATGCGCAGCAAACTGGCCTTCAAGATTTGCTCGTCGCGCTGGTCGAGCTGGTAGGAGCCTAGGCTCAGACGGACGCGCTGTGGCGGGGGTAGCAGTTGCGACTGGAGCTCGCGGTTGGCGCTCGATGGGTTGCTAGGGGTGGAGGCCGCGCTGAGGGAGTCTGTGGGGGAGTCGTCGGAGCCGGGGACATTTTTGCCATAGCTGTTGGGGAGAGGGATGTCGTAGATGGTGATCATTTGGTTGATGAGGGCAATGATTGTAAGCATGAGGATGGTGTCGTCCGTGTGAGATCGGTTGGGGCAGTTCAGCGTCGATGTGCAAAGCGCAATGATGTTTTTGTTCTCGGAGAGGGATTTATCGAAGGGGTTGTGGGAGTCGCGGCTCGAGAGCCAGCACTCGGACAATTTAGCGAGGATTCTTTGGTGACAGGAGCACATCTGGCCGGATGGCGGTGAGTTATAGTTGGATTGATGGGTGTAGGTTGAGTCGAGACCTGTAGGACGGTTCTTATAGCGCTGGTCTGGGAAAAGCTGGTCTCCATGGCCTGGACTGATGCCGTTCTCTGCGTAAACGTGGGACAGAATCATCATTGGGTCATCAGCTTCACCAGTGTCAGCGAAGTTGGGCTGATCGCCGACGTCGGAAAAGTTTGTGGCCCATCCGTCAATGATGGAGGCGTCGAAGGCTGTTTCGGGCAGAGGCGGCATCATGGGATGGGGCACGATTGAGGTCGGAAACATCATTGGGGTAGGGGGCACGGTGGGTTGAGAGCCATCGCTGCGATCTTCATTGAAGTTGCTGCTCCCCACGTTCCTGGAACTCTCCGCTCTTCCCTTTGCGGAGCGTAAGGAAACGCTGTATACACAGTCTCCGTTGCGGGCCTCGCAGCGCGCACATCTGGGTCTTGTCTTGGAGCACTTGACCTTGGCGATGTTGCAGGCGTCGCAGGAATGTCTGAGCTGCGCCGTTGGGGAGCGATGTCGACGGTGTTGGGGCTGGATTTGGTAGCTCATGGTCCTGGTCTCCCACTAACCAGGTCTAAAGCTATGGGGGCCATCTTTGGGTAGTCGGGCGGGAGGTCTCTACGCACCCTTTGCCAAGGTACTTTTCCATACTTCCCGGAAGCATTAAATTCTGACACGCATATTAGAATAATCAAGCAATTAACGCGGCTTCGATACATACTTTTTCGCTACGATGGTGGAGGTGAAGGTAACCTCTCCTTGTGCTCCGAAGACAGGAGCACACACCACCACCAAGATTTGTAACAGCCTCAGCAAGCTAAAAGGTGAGGGTTATGACTGCAGGGAAAGTATTTGTCGGCACACCGCCCTGCACCACATCGCTTTTGCAAACCCTTTATATCCACTCATGATCTCATCGAGATCTCGCGCTGGAATGATGACTGCAGGCGATGAACGCGCATCCGGGCGAGAACGGATCGTCGCGCGGGGAGGATTATCTGACATGTAATCAGTTGAGTGAGCCGGGCATTATAAGAGTCCGACGAGTCCGACTACTTTGAAAGAGTTCTGCAGAATGTGATTTGCTTAATGTACCGTACTTCAACAATTGAACAATCATAGGTGTGACTCGTGAGATCTGCAGAATAAAGTACGCGTACAACTGCCAAGCTTGTCATGCATAGCCGAGTAGTGGCGGGATATGACGATATGCTTATATAAGCGGTTGAGCGCAAATCGTGCCATTTGCTCGCAGCGGTGAGCAAACTTTAATGCATACAACACAAACAGAAATTGCCCAGGAGAAGAACGCCCCTCAGGTGCTATCTTGCGCTGCCGTTGGTGACAATAGAGCACGAGATGCTGCGATTTAATTTCGTCCGTCTGACTGCACGTATGTTATAAGCTTACTGTTGAAATGAAGCTATTTGCCTCGCTTCATTTCACAGATTCGCGAATCGTCCCGTTGGATCCATCAGCTTTGTATGGCAGCGCTGTAAATGCGGAGGGGCGGATCTGAAATAAAAATACCAGCCATTGGCGTTGACGGAGACTAATACGGTAAGACAGTATTGTTGCACGAACAGTAGGTCAGGGCTGGATATGCAGTAGTCGCTGAGCTGAGGGCCGTGTTTAAAGCAGACTCAGTATCCTAAGAGGTCAAACGAGATTCTAATATCAAAAAAATTCACGATGACAATCCTGGTCCCTTGCGAAAGGCCCACTGCGTGAGGGATACCTGAGTGATTGCATCATCTTCTCTCCAGATATTTGATCTCTAGAAATTCGATTCAGCATCTCGTGGGCAGAATCAACCATGTTGTGCGCAATTCATTGGATTGATTCCATGTCAGCCAAGTCTCATCAAAACGTCGTGCAGGCCGCTCGCAATCTGATTATTACCATTCATAACTCTCATGAAACAGCTTTCAACCTTACCATGTCTTCGTGTGCACAAGCTGCCGCCCAGGCCGCGGCACGCATGTGTACCTACTCTTAATACATACGACGAGATCGACGCGCCTACCATGACAGCTCCGCAGCTTGCGGAGAGCACTGGCTCGACTGCGTAGCCGATCATCCGCGTCATGAGAGTACTGCTGGTCAACGGTGTCTTCTCGGAGCCTACGGCTGGATGCTACACTCGGACAATGCTAAGTCATGCTTCGTGAGGCCTCCACTCAGCACATTTAGGTGAGTGACAACCTCGCGGAAGTTTCGAGGATATGAAGGTCTTGCCAGACTTTCTCGCAAGCCTCAACCTTCGTGACCCTGCCGGGCGAAGGTCAGACCCTTTGCTCTCGCAATACCGGAAAAACGCTACGCTCGATTACTGGGAACGGCTAGAGAAGGACCCGGGCATAAGAGCTCCGTCAGAAGATCGTCTTGTTGGATGTGGCTTTTTGCAGCCACAATCTATCAAAGGAGCTCTGTGTTACGTATTCCGACAGGATCAACTGCAGTTGTTGGTCGAGGGGGCGCCGCGAGTGCGGGTCGAAGGAGACGGGGGTGGGAGGTGGTGGAGGGGGCGGATGGTACGTTGTTGATGGTGGCATTGTAGTTTGGGAAGGACAAATGGAGATAAGGAGGTAAAGTCATAATGTTTTCTTATACAAATAGTGATTCGAATTATACGATCACACTCGAAGAGTTGTGGTCAGATATCTCAACTTCAGATCCTTCTGTTCTGTGCCCCCAATATTTGGACCTTCTTCGATGACCATCTCGGTCAAATGTTAACTGAATAGCAACGCCTATCTACGCATAGATCGTGCATGAGTTTAGAGACCATCGATCAGCATGACAGTAAAGAGAATGCGGTCTTTAAGTCTGCTTTGTATCGCAGGATGTATGGAAATTACCACTGCAAAGTGCTTGGCCTGGAGCTGTGATATCTACCCACCATACGCATCTTGACGGGCATGTATGTTGAATTGAGCCTTGCTTGATACATTCTACCAACTAGTTTCTTCACCTTTTCTTCTTCTTCTACAGGTTTCTCGAAGGAAAGTGCGCTCAGTAGTCTGGACAATGCGACCTATCACCAGATGAAGAGAAGCCTAAACCCTCAATTTACAGCTTCGATAGATGACCCACGGTTCGCTGGAACTCCCTAGCCTAAACCAGGCGTCCTGAAACCCTGCTTTGAATCCGCCTCGGACTCCCATGACCACTTCTTGACTAGTACATGTTCGAGCTTGCCGGAGATCGAGTCAATGACGAATTTCAACAAGGAGAGGCAAGAACTTCCATCCATGTAGGGAACCTCCTGGCGCAGAGTGAAGGTTGTTGGATTTGGGATGAGGGCAGATGAAGAATTCGCCATTCGTGCTCTGTTCCAGCCTGCAGATTCGTAAATTTGGTGCACTTCCAACTTACATCAGTGATCTTAATATACCTAGCAAAACTTTATTCGCGTAAAGGGATGGGTAATGAATTGTGGTCGAAACTCCCTCATCTCTTCGCTCCATGTCCGCCGAGAGTGTTTAGCTTGGATCCCCTACTTTAGTGAGCGGAGATGAAGCCTGGTAGGTCTTGTTGAAATCCTCGGGGTTTTTGAGCGTAGTAGTGTCGCGGAGACCGGTCGTTCTTTCCCATTTAGAAATGGAGATGGAGCCGTCGCCTGAAGGGACGAAGACACTTGTTCACGAGAGGTCTAAAAGCTCAGGTTGCAAAGACCAGACATGGCGACTAATAGTAGGTTGGATACCTTCAGGAACTTGGACGAATAGCAGAAGCTTAAGTTCACAAACAACAACTACGAGGAGCCCCAGCGAGTCCTGCAAGCAATGGCCAAGCAGAAAGGGAAGCCCGCCACCATGAAACACTTCAAAGTGAGCCTCGACTACTACCTTCTCTGTCAGACTCTAATGTGTCGTTGAAGATGGAAGTCCGACGGCTATTCTACCTCTATGCCACGCTTCTCCGCTTACCCTCATGCCATTGCTACCTGGGTAACCTCCCGCCCGAGCTGCGCTGGCAGCATTGCCGTTGTCCAATCCCCTCATTTGCGAAAACTCGGCCTTTGTGACAGATGCTAGGGAAACCTGGCGTATGCCATCATCTCACTTATCGTCCAGAAGGATCGAGGCTAAGTACGTGTCTAGGATGACTCGGTCTTTCATCGACGTAGTCCTCCAGCCAATGGGTGTTCAACACAATTAAAGCCCACTTGGACGAGCCAACGTCCCTAGAAGTGCCCATCAGCTTCGATGCTAGTGCATGTGAGCTGGAATGGGGAACAACTCAATGGCATACATCATCTGATACAAGGGATGTGCCATCCGTGGATTATGCTCTCTGTCTCACCGGTACGGTAAAATTTCACGTGTGTGACTTATTCCACCTATTTGACGAGGCCGAACTTATGAGCAAGCTCTATGAGTGCTAGAAAGAGCCGTTTGAGAAGCTAAAAATCTAAAAGGTGTGATACATACAGTTCCTCCTCATTCTCGCTTTTGGAAAGGCTTTTCTTGAACGGCCCACGAACACATCAAGGATCTAGCCTTTTCACTCAAGCTATGAACCTGCTTCCCAATACCGAGGCCTTGTATTATGAGCCTATCTCGGCTATTGAGATCCTATGTAGGGTGTCACAATATCTTCAGTCCGTGGATATCAGGCTCGCCCTGCTCACAGCCATGTAAGAATCTGACCAATGTCTTCCTTTCTGGCATACTGATCACTACTGATTGAACACACCATGAAAGATCGGACAGGCATTAGGAATCGCATTGACCGTGGGCCTGCACAGTGAAATATCAGTAGACAATTCCCGTCCGAAGGATCTAGAAAGGGGTCGGAATTCATGGTGGACGGTCTATATTCTTGACCGGAAGTTTTCGTCATTGATAGGCGATCCGCCATCAATTGACCAAGATGAAACAGTTCAACTTCCTTCCCAAAGAGCCTGTGATCATACAGCAGCTCTTTTGAGTATTCACGTGGAGCTGTCTCGACCGATTGCGCAGGTCATTCACAGTGAGCCTTCCTAGGGATCGAACTCTTGAAGCATTTTTTGCTGGTGTTACCCATAGCCGTATACGCTGCAGATGGTGGCATGGACACTACCATCTTGCGAATTACCCCACTGTTACTAATGAGCATGGCTGGCATAGCCGAAAAGCTTCAAGATACGTCTCGAATTAGACTCAATTGGCCTAATCAGAATACTTGTTACCCAGCTCCGATGGACTCTTTCGCTCAGGCACTGGGACCTTAAAATAGCAGAGGAGGCAAGGATGATATCTCCATCGACCAGTGGCCATGGAATGATACGGGGTTAGGAATGAGCACCTGATCCGTCTGTCATACGATATGGCGTGATGGGCAGCACGATCTTCAGCTATGCTGCTCACACGCTGTGGGTCTCCTCGTGTGGTAGACCACGTAGATCAACGTTTTGCGGCGTTTGACTTTGCAGAGTGGGCATGTACACGTCACTGCTGCGCTGCTTTAAAGTGACGTAACTGCTTCTGTGGCTGTAAGCTTCATCTGCATGACAATCTTCCACTTCTCTGGCTCTATACAGCGTGGCATAGATGATCTCACCCAGAGACGGGTACTCTGGACATCATCAGTCTTGTTCGCTGCATTATTGAATTCGGTTATGTTTGTTTGCGAAATGGTTGACTTGTCTATATGGGAAGGGTTGAGCTGGGTTTAAAACTTGCTTGTTTTTTTTGTGTTGAATGGGGGCGTCGTTCTTGTCCTCTTTGTCTATTCTTTTTTTTTTTTTTTTTGAATGAGAACGAGGGAAGATGTTCGGAAGATTTTAGGGAAGCTAGCAATTCGGGCTAGCGCCTGTCTCCGGCCTCGGCAGTAAACAAGCATCACGTCTCCCAGCTTGCGCCGTGTAGCATCTCTTAATTACCACCAACATGACAGACCCAAATAGACAAGCTGACGCGCTGCTCACCGAGCACTTTCAATACACACCTCTGGTGCACCTTCGCTCCCTTACTGCCCAGTTGACGCCCGCTAATCCGACTTCCAGTCTCTCATCGACGACATAATCAACGCCGTAAACACCATCATCTACCAAGCAATCGAAGCCTTAGAGAACGGCCTCCTCTCGATACCCCCGAAGCAGCTGGGCTTTGCGCGCCATCAGAGCCCCTCCACCATATCGATACCTGACACTGATGGCGACGGCAATGTCGAATACCCTGAAGCGACAACCGAGCTCGAGAATGGCGTACATCAGCTTGAGACGCTACTGGAATCTACAGTCGACAAGTCGTTTGATAAGTTTGAGATTTACACCTTGAGGAACATCCTGACTATTCCCGATGATTTGTCGCCGTGGATGCGGTTGGCGCATTATGAAGTATGCCAATCGCTTTTCGAGCCCTACCCTACCAGGTGTTGCAGAATCATGTGGCTAACACTCACTTTTCCAAGGACATCCAGCTTCCGATCTCGTCTTCCGCCCCAACGCCGGAATCCATCCTCCTCCTTCGGCGCAAACTCCAGGAGACCCGCAAGTTGAACCTCGCGCTCCGCTCTACACACGCCCGGAACGCAACGCTCATTTCCCAACTCAATACCTTGCTCTCCCCTCCCACCGCCGCAGATGGTCCCTCACTCGCGTTCCTCACATCCCACACCAACCCCGCGGCTCAGTCTCTCAATCTCTCGTTCTCGCCCTCGTCTAAAGACACGACGCCCCTTACGACAAATGCGCAGTTCGCTACATCTCAATTGCCTGCGCTGAAGAAACTAGTGGCGGAACTGCGGCCCAAGATGCAGGAAGTCAGAGAGGGGCCAGGTGGTAAAGTGGATTGGGATGGGGAGAGAGAAAAGAGGAGGGCGTATATTGAAAGTGGGGTCAGGAGGCATGTAGGGGTTGGGAGAGAGAATGGGGAAGCTGTGGGAGGTGAAATAAGGGCGAGGGACGAGGTAGAGGGGTTGGAGGCTGTGGTCGGAGCTCTGGGGCAAGGGTCGAGGATGGAAGAATAGGAAGGCTCGTCGGCTTCTTGTTGGCTATTGGGGATGGGAGATACCCTTGTGAATGCAACAAATGATGGAGTCCTGGCATCTGCACTAGTGGCTTGATCGTTACAACATGGGTATCATGACAGCAACACTCAATTCTCGACATGAGTAACTACCCGTCCGAACCAAGCCTCTTCCTCCGCTTTGCAATGTTCGATTGTAGTGGTGCGGTCTGTTTCCCCGTCATATTCTCGCGACCACTGTTGTCATCCCCGTCAACATCAGCTGGAATCTTCCGCTTCACCACACCCATCTGCTTAGCGAAAGGCCTCTCAGCCTTCGGTCTAGCTGCCTTGGAAGGCTTGGTACCCTTTGCTCCACCGTTCCTCATGGGAGGCTGCTCAAGCTTTTCGCATGCTGTAGTACCTGCCCCAATCGCGTTCTCCTCTCCCTCCGGTCTGACAATCGTGATATCCAACTCTCCAGCCTCCAACACTGCCTTTGTTTTTTGCCATTCGACACCGAACCGTCCACTGTTGATCCGCACAGCATAGCAACTTCCCACTTCTTGCCTCCCGTCTTCATCCGATCCTCTTATTTCTGCGATTTGATTTGCTAGGTCAGCGAGGGCTTTTTGCGTGTTTTCTAGTATTTCCTTAGCTGGCGAGACCTTTTTCCCGTAGTCCAGCGAGGTAAAGAGGCAGGCAATATAGTGAGGCGTCTTGGACGCTTGCTGCTCTTCGGTGGCGGTGGGAGGGGGGACAAGAAGGGTAGTGCCGACGAGATTGGCTTGGTGTTGTTTGACGGAGAGTTTGGAGCCCGTAGGTGGCGAGAGGCAGTGTGCGTTATATTTGCGGAAGGCATAAGGGTACTTTTGTTTGAAGGCGACGGCCACACCGGAGCCCCAGGCACCATGGGCGTTGCAAGCGTCTGTGAATGGTTGTCAGGGAGGCCCATATCTGGTGGGGGTTATTGTAACCTACGGATGAGTATGCTCCTAGGGGGCGCTGAGAAAACATTGCCGACTTCTTCGGTGATGATGGCCATAGGATTGACACCGAGCAGTGGTACGATAGCCATTAGAAGGTGTGGATTATGGTGGATTGGTAGTCTTGATGGTTGTTTTTGGGTGAAGAATGCCCAGGGCCGAGATTGACGCCAAGGCCGAATGCCCACGGCGACTGCAGGACTTCAATCATTTTCGTTTCCACTGCAGGCTTTGTCTCTTCAGTAGCCAACTTTTGGGGGCTTTCAGCGAGCATCCTGCTAAATCTTACGGTTCATAGCCTCTATGATGGCAATGATGAAGACCACGTTCGAAGAGAGTTTGAGATGCTACGAGTCCACGGCTACGGCGCGTTTTAGCGTATTCAAAAACGTCTGGAATGCTTGGCACCGGAGATCTTTTCACACCACACACCCAAATTCGTACTGTAGCATAGAAATCTCTCCGCAAAATCATTCAAATCAAGTAGCCACATCGCAAATAGTCGCATTTAATCAATTTTGAAGCTATATAACCTCAGCTATACCTCCCAAACGCACCAATAACGCAGCAGCCACCGAACCGCCGCCGTCGCCGCCCTCAGTCGCCGTCGCAGCAGGAACTCCTCCCCACAACTACTGAAATAGCCTCTGCTCAAGAGGCTCAGAAACAGATAATTGAGGGGCTGAGGAATATGCTAAGTCTTCAGTATAGCTTCATTTTTCATTTGACCCGGACCTATACTAACGATAGCAGTGTTATTGAATAATTTTGCGGAGAGATTTCTATGCTGTACAGTACGAATTTGGGTGTGTGGTGTGAAAGATCTCCGGTGCCAAGCATTCAGACGTTTTTGAATACGCTAGTTCCCGCTAAAGCTTTCCCCGCGGGCCTCTCGTTCTGTGTTGCCTTTTTCGCTCAAGTCTCTCTTCCATTTCTCGTCGTTGACTGGCCAATGCTACTGTTACTCTGTCATCCGGCATGGAGGTGCATGTATGCCGTCATGAAGCGCCGGAGATACCTCTGGATGCATTCCAACAGACCGTTGTTTCCCAACGATTAAATTTCTCCTTCCCACGCCCTTTCTCATTTCTACCAGGTCTTGTAACCACTGTAGCTTACGGAGATGGCTACCTCTGACACCAAGGGTTACGGCGACGACAATGACAACAAGCTCGCCCAACATGTGTCTGATGCCTCGCTCGTAGATGTCCCAACAATCACAGGGACCAGGAGAGAGCCTCCAGAGCTCGTCAAGAACCTGTCACTGGAAGAGCGACAGCATCTGGAGACAGCATTGGTCCGAAAGATCGACTTGAGACTCCTACCAATGCTCATTCTCATGTACATCATGAATTACCTTGACCGGAACAACATCGCATCAGCCCGTTTGGCAGGCTTGCAAGATCCACACTCTAAGGGAGGATTGGATCTTACGAGCACGCAGTATCTGACAGCGCTCAGTATTCTCTTCGTGGGGTATTTGCTCATGCAAATTCCCTCAAATTTGTTCCTAAACAAGATTGGAAAGCCTGCGTTATACCTACCAACGGTCATGATTATCTGGGGTGTCATATCCGCTGCTACAGCAGGAGCTCAAAGCTACGGTGGCTTGATCGCCATCAGGTTCTTCCTTGGATTCGTGGAGGCTGCCTATTTCCCTGGATGCCTGTTCTTCTTGTCCTCCTGGTACACAAGAAAAGAGCTAGGGTTTCGGACAGCTATGCTATACTCTGGGGCTCTGCTTTCTGGAGCATTTTCTGGCTTGATAGCTGCAGGTATTAAGAATGGCTTGGATGGAGCACGAGGTCTCCGTGCTTGGCGCTGGCTATTCATCATTGAGGGTGTTATTACCATCTTTTTTGCGTTTTGCTCATACTTTGCGCTGCCGAACTTTCCCCGAACGACGAGCTGGCTAACTGAGGAAGAGCGTCAATTGGCCATCTGGCGTCTGGAGGAGGACATTGGGGAAGATGACTGGATTGACTCGAGTCAACAGACATTCTTCCACGGGATGAATCTCGCATTTCAGGATATCAAAACGTGGATTCTGGTGAGCTTACCCAGGCAGTGTTTTTCTGTTACACTAACACCTTCCCAGATGGTTTTACTTTTTGGTTTTGTTGCCTCAGGGACTGTTACAAACCTCTTCCCTACAGTGGTTGCGACCCTGGGCTACTCAGATGTCGACTCCTTGCTCCTCACGGTTCCTCCCTACATACTGGCTGTCGTTACATCCTTCTGCAACGCCTGGCATGCCGACAAGACGGGGGAGAGATACTTCCACATCACGTTGCCGCTGTATTTCGCCGTCATCGCATTTATCATTGCTGCGACCACTACAACAATTGGGCCAAGATACTTTGCTATGATGCTCATGCCTGCTGGGGTGTATACGGGCTACGGGGTGGCTTTAGGGTGGATCTCTAATACACTGCCCCGTCCTCCTGCGAAGGTTGTCTACATTTCCTGCCCTCGGAAAAGCCATACTGACACTTGCCCCAGCGTGCCGCTGCTCTCGCAGCCATCAATGCTGTCTCCAACTGCTCCTCAATCTACGCTTCCTACATGTATCCAGAGTCAGCGGGACCGCGCTACAGTACGTTTCTCACAATTTCAAGGAAAGACCGGGTACTAATACGAACCAGTCGTTGCTATGAGCGTCAATTGCGTGATGGCTTTGATGGCCATCTGCATGGCTACCCTGCTCCGTTTTATTCTCGTGGGGCTGAACAAGAAGCTAGACCGAGGTGAGCCTGTCGAAGGCGCTGTCGCTGTTGGAGAAGGGGTACCAGGAGAGGCCAGTCGGAGGGGCTTTCGGTTTGTTCTTTAGTAGACATTGCATCACGGACTTCATGGTAATGCTTCTCGCGTATACGGTACCACTTCTATGTAGGCATCGGATCTGCTACTCGATATTCTCATTCTTACAGATGCGCACCACTCTTAGGGCGAATGACTGACACTCGGGTTCCTCCTTAATATGTCTCCCTTGGAGCTTCGAGTGCCATGCATGCTATTGAGTGAAGCATGGAGCCCGTAACTGCACCCCTGTCCAGCATGATTGCTTTCTTGGCGTTGACAAGAACAAACGAAACACCTGCCAACTCTACAACTTCACAATTTGGAATTGAAGTGCTCTCTCAGCCAGCTCCGCACGTGAATACTCTAGAAATACTCGATCAGACAATTTTCTATCACAGAGATCCTCTTTAGTCAGAACTATCAATAGAGCCGCTACCAATACTTGAAGGACCCAGGGGAAGTGGGCTATTCTGTCACCCGGAAGGCATTCCAGGCGTCTGTTTCGTATTCCGCAAGGTCAGCTATCAATACGTACACTCAACTGTGATGGCGATTTTGAAATCCACTTCCCGACAGTGCACTCTCAGAATCCTTAAGCCGATGAAGGAAGATAATCCGGGATCAATGTCAAGAGAGTTTGATCCTGGCTGCCCGTTGGATCCGTAGAAACCAATGGTTTTATCCTTGCCTCACGTCGGAATTTCTATCCTTTGGATTTGACAACGAGGGAAGGCATTCGATGGAGCAACCATACTGCGTGCACTGAAGCCTCCTGCTGATAGCAGAATGAGAGGCAGCACCGGGGTGCTAGTTACTTTCTAAGACAATGAGCGCCTGCACCAGATAGAGTGTTATTGCTAACAGAATAGAAGGCTGTTTCAACCCACGATTTCCTACTCAGCTCGCTTGACCAAGCATACTAGTACCTTTCCCTTTTATCTTCAGACACATCAGGACTCCTTCACCAGGGGGCCCTCCAGCAGCCTGGCCGTCATCAATGGCTGATTCCACACTGTAGTCCTTGAAAAGGGCCGCGCTCACCGCGCAGAATTGAGCCTTTGCGAAACGCTTGCCCATACAAGCTCGGGGGCCACCGGAGAAGGCTACGTGTGAGCCGGGCGTGGGGCTGAAGGTGGTGGTGCCTTTGCCCTTGCTCAGTCAATGGGAGCGATCGAAGGATGGCACGGGATATGGTGGCCCGTCGCCAGCAGTGGGCACAGCAGCGGGCCAGTATTTCGGATTCCGGTGTGTTGCACTGGTGTTCATCAGGATCAGGGTGTCGGCAGGAATGGTGTAACCGCTGCTGTTGATGGGGAAAGAGTGTGGTATCTCTCTTGTGGTTTTGGGGAAAATTGGTAGAAGGGTGTAGAGGCGCAGAGTCTCGTTCATGGTGGCCTCCACGTATCCATCAAGAACCTGTGATAGATCTGCGCCAAAGGACCAGTGGCTGAACAAACGGTCACCGAGGATTTTGTCTTGCCGAGATCGGCTCGCAACGCCTTTTGGATATCGGGACGGCAGGCGAGAAGAGTTACGACATCCTTGAGAGTGTTGGCGCTTGTTTGGTACCTAGCCTTGATGAAGACGAAGATGTTTCCGAACACTGCACCTGGAGAGGTTTGTGGACTTTTGATTCCGTGGACGCGGCCTGACCAGCTTGAACGAAGGATTCAGCCAAGACGATCAGTGGTAAAAACATGAGCTTCAAACTAACCAGTACTCACCGCGGATGGATCCTTTGCTCCTTTGAGCCATGTTGTTGGAGGCTATGCGAAGTCTCGTCCCGCATTTCCTTCATGGATTTTAACCACTCGCTATATGACGCTTTGGCGTCTTTGTGTGCGTCTAGAAGAGATATTTATATCTATCTTGTTGGCAGAGAACGCGCCTTGCATTTTTATCATTCTTACTGAGAACAGATGGCGGCACGATGAAGAGAGTTGGGGTGTTGTCGATCATTAAGCTAATAACTTCTCATACGGTGTCCCTCAGGCGGATTGTGTCGAGATCCAACAGCTTCTGTCCATCCCCTTTGCCGATCAAAGCACACGAAGCCTATCACCTGTAGGGCCAACCTTGTCACTTCTTCGTTTGGCTGCAGGATAGGAGCTTGCATACTGTCCCATCGCTTGAGCAGCGCTGCCGCTTGCCCCAGAGCTTCGGTCCAGGTGGAGCCGTGAGTTCGATCGTTAAAGGTTGGCGCCGCGATCTGCCTGAATCGGTGGGACTCGTCTCCTTCGATAACGGGTTTTACAAAGTCATGACTCCGTCTAGAAAGTTTGAAGAATCGTCTCGGAATCGCAGGCCCACAGGATGTTCCCACTAGCAGACACCATGATGAACGTGTCGCTGCCTTGCCGAGCAAACGGCCCATAACCTTCGTGCCATACGCGGCCGAAGAGTGACAATCTACGGACTGTGATCAGTTGGGGCAGCTCTGAAAAAGTACGAAGGTAGCGTTACGGCACCCAGCTGACGGTCCACAGGCTCTATTTCAGGAAGTTCCAAAGCAACGAAGAAATGACTGGACTCGCGCTTTTCTGGCCATTCTAGCTAAACGCTGTTCTTCACGAAGGTCTACGCCTATGCCCTACGATTCAAAATGGCATGAGACGAGAGGTGCCAAAAGGGAAGGGCAGTAGTTGCAGGACACTCCTTGCCTTAAGAAACCGTGGTGTCGATCCCGCAATGGTCATCATTCCAAGCCACAGACAACTCTCATTCGCCTACATTTATTTGCTCCTGAACGTTGGCTGAAGGACCCGCTGGCTCCCAAAAAAGCAAAGATCGAAAGCACGTTTTTCAGCCCTTCTCTCTCGGCCGCACAACTGTCCTGGCAGGAGTCTCGCCTACCTAGAGATACGTCTGATCTTGGCAAAGGGTTTTTTTTAAGCACACACATCTTTCCCAACCTACACCGATTGGCTTCTGATGGTGACTCAGCGATGGGAACTTAGGCGTTGGCGATCCCACCCGTTGCTACGTTGGACGCATGCGATCATCGCAGGTCTCAGAGTCCAAAGATGAGGTCCGCTTGCCTTGGATTTGTAAGGCTGCTTCTCGTGGCTGTGGGGAATTGCTGCAGGCGGCGCTTCCACGCTCCCAGCTGGTGGTTCTAAACACCGGCGAAAGGTTGCGAGTTGGTGGAGAGGATGGTTTGACCCAACGTGAGGAGCTACCCTTCTTACTTGCTAATTCACGAGAGGGGGAACCGTGCTAGTAAGATTTCCACTGAACCGGAACATTGGTCGTGGTAATGGCGTCCACTGCTCGGTAGATCACGATGCTATGGAAGGACGAGTAGGGCATGTAACACATTTCAATTTTTTTCCCCCAAGCAAAGAGTACAGAAGCCTTGGTTTCTCGGCTTTATCTCGTTATCAAAAAACACACGCTCGCTACCACGAAGAGACATCAGTCCTCGCTCCCTGTATCCTTCTCTTACTCTCTCGAAAAGCTCCCATCAGCCAACTCCCTCCACCCTCGGTCCTACGAGCAATATTCAATCACATCCACAAATCCCCCATTATTCGTATTACAAATCTCATACACCCCATACTCGGAGTCAGGCCCGCTGGTCGCGCTCGGTGGGTTCGTAGCGGGCACACATTTCAGCGCCCGCGTACCACCGTCGCTCACGCCCGTCGGCAGCGACCCCGGGTAGCCGGTGTAGGGCTCGCAGCCCGTGAATGTGATGTCCGGGTGGCCCGAGATGGTGAGGTTCTGGTTGCAGTTGTTGAAGCCTTGGGGGAGGAAGCCGAAGCGGGTGCCATCGTTGCAAGGGTCGCTGTCGGAGAAGAAGGCGATGTATGTGCCTCTGGGGTGGTCATCTGGTGGTCAGTATTGCGTCTGCGAGGTTGTATGTTGACTCTGCGGAGACACGTTTTGAGAGTATGGGAGTGGGGAGATGATGGTTGTTTGGAAGGAAATGACGCGGAAGACGTACTGTTGGCCGGAGGAGGAATCGGTGGCGAGGTAGATTGTTTGTAGGGCAATTGTAAGGGGCAGGAGGGAGAGGAGGGAGAAGGAAAAAAAGTGCATCTTGATTGAAGGCCTGCGGTAGTATTTCGGGGGAGTATGACACAGAGACTTTCCGCTTTAAGATATCTTATCGTTCAAACTGGATCTTGGAAAAGGCCAACCCTGGGTACTTATGCTTGTCTCGTTTCATTTGTCCTCATTCGTCACTGCCTCAATTTTCCGCCAAATATTGTCTTGGCAGCTTCGCGCTCCCGAAACGAGAATTTGTGGCGTCTTAGATGCAAGTAGCGTGGGGGCCGGAAAGTTGCAGCCAATCTTGCAACGCGGCCGCCGCAAGTAGCGTACACTACAGGATTCGTGACATCGTGAAACATCTGATAGACGATTGCTGTATATCACCTCCCCGACAATGCGTATATCGAATGAGAATTTCAGATTTCGCTCATAGCTTCGACGTTTATTCTCGGTAGACTTGCAAGACGATTCAGCCAAGAGGCGCAAGAAACCACGAGGTGGTTCCAGCAAAGAGACCCTTCGTGTAAACAGCAACCAAGTATTCTGCGCCTCAGGTACACGACATCTTTCAACAAACATGAAAACAGAATCTCTACTTCCACAACCCTGCTCCAAAGCCATCGCAGGGCTGCTATCACCATTAGTCACAGTCGAGACAACTCCATGCACATCTTTACAATTCCCTTCGCCATTAGGCTCCAGCCTGTTCACGTCAAAAGTCGCCCGGTAGCATGTATTATTCGAACTCTGAAAGCGCTTGGAACTTGAACACGATGCAGTCCTCGAACAGGTAGGCAAAGACGCCAAGGCTATCGTAATCACGTAGAGCGGTGTTGCGAAGCTTGTTGAATTCGATTTTATTTTGGGTTGAGACGTAGACTGAAGAGAATTTTGTGGAATCGCTAGTGGGCAAGGGAATCATTACGTGGGCCGTGAAGCAAGAAGTATTAAAGCGTGGAGGAATGGGAAAGGATGGAGATTGAATTACCGTCCCGGTACTATTGAGATGGTCAGCTGTACAAGCTCTGTCAAAATACTCGAATTAGGTTCCGGACTTGTCTCCTTTCTTCACAGCCAAGGACCCTCCTGCGGCGGCTGCTACAACTGCGAGCATCGCAACGGAAGCGAGTGCGACGCTCAGAACAATGGCTGTAGAGCGACGCCCGCGTACACGCCTGATTTGCGAGGAGGGCGGCCTTGGGGCGCGTGATGTCTGCGAAGTGTCTAGTTGATGCTCCGAGTACCTATACTTGTAGTTTTCCAAGTCGTATAGTGGATGGTCCGGGTAGTTATGCTCTTCTTCTTCTTCTTCTTCTTCTTCTTCTTCTTCTTCTTGGGGGTAAGGAACTGGCAGATGTAAGCGTTTGTCGAGCTCCAGGCCACTCATAGCTGTATCGAAAGCAGTCCACGTATTTGGCGAGTAGTAAACGACAACAACGCCGAGATGAAGGAAAGAGGCACATTTTCATCATAGAGGAAGCAGTATTTGCGAGACGAAGGATTAAAGGATTGCAGGAAGTCACTGTCGATCTCCGTGGTGACATCAAGAAAGTATGCATTACGGAGCTGAGAAGCAGCTCCAAGGCGGCGCAGAAAGGATCAGCCGCGTTCGCTACGGTCGTTTCAGTTGGACAGCGGTGCGAACGATTTGTTTCACTTGCAAGAGTAACATGGGATATTTTAGAGCACGTGAGAAATCCCAGCGATTTTTGTGTAAAAACTGTCGGCATACAGGCTTGCTTCCTCAATGGCTTAGGCTCTCAGCCTCACTACCACATTCCAACAAATTTGTTAAGGAAATGAACCCTGGGTAAGACCTCGCTGAGGTATGTTGAGCTCGCAGACAACATGAAGAAGCAAATCGGCGGGTTGCACCTAGCCTCAAGCTCGAACTTAACATGTAGCCGCTCTTCACGGGCAGCAAGCACGAAAATGGCAATAACTTGAAACAAGTCCTGGGTGCCTTTTCCGCCATCCCACAAACTCAGTGTTGTGTATGGAATGGAGAGCTCGGCCCCGGACGTAAGCGGTGAGCATGAATAGAGAATACCAATCCATTTCGCCAAGCTTCAGGGCCATCCACTGAAGCCCGTTTTGGATGACCAGCCCTCCCCCATAATGAGATGGAGATATGGGAAGTCGGATCATAGAAAACCCATGAGAATAAGGCTGAAACGCCATCGGACCAGCTGATGACCGGGCGTGTGTGTGTGTTGGCGAGCGACCGAGTGAGTGCCAAGAACAGGTGTCTGTCTTAGATCCTCGATATCGAGATAGCCGCCGGGAGATGGGCGATCGGGACGGGCACAGATGGATCTGTGCGTAAGGTAACTTGCCATAGCGACGTACCTATAAGAGACAACCAGCCTGGAATTGATAATGAGCCAGAGCGCTAGTATCAGTCGAGATGATTCATTGGATAAGTATTATAATTACAGTATCCGGAGAGTTGATGCAGCGCAGGAACGTATCATGTTCCGTCATCACAACCATTCAGCTGGTCCAGACCATTGCAGTTGCCTGGTGCGCTTTCCCAACACGTGACGGCGACACAGAGGCATTGTGGATACCTTACATCAGTGGACGGACCTTGGGAGTTTCGAGTCTAAACCACAATGACAATGACAATACCGAGTGATTAAAGTAAAGTACTTTACTGTAGCGTTCGGGTGGCGCCAGCGCTTATAAGCTTTCTACCGGGAGAGGGTCCACGCAACCCCAGAGCAAGCATCCCCAGGAGCCGGGATGAGAAATCGAGACCCACCAAAACTCCGACCTCTTATAGGGTATCATGGACCCACACGGAGGTCTACCTGGCCCTCTAAACCGGCTTCCTACAAAACCTTTGCCCAGCATCGTGCTTTGAGCGCTTAGGTCGTAAACTTCGAACATGGACTTCGCTATGTTGTATGAGACCAGCGAGCTAACGTCGATCGCAACCACGGTACTGATAGCTGTTTGAAGGCGCACAAGCTAAATGTATTGATATGGATGGGGTCTTCGGCAATGCCTCGATGTCTTCGGTATGACAAGCTCCGACCGCGAAGTAGCGGAAATGAGGTCGCCCCTTCCGAGTGCGCTATCTGATACTCTTCACCTTCCGTTGTTCGGGAGGAACCTCGTGATATAGATTCCCGAGGCGGAAAACAAAATAAGCCGCTATAGCGATGATGGTTGGTAGCAAGGCACCGACGCCAGTGTTGTAGCCGATAAATTATTAGTCGATAAATGTAGAGACATTGTGTTAAAGGAGGTCGGGATTCAACGAGGTCACAGATAGCGGAAGATACGGAAATGATACAAGAAGCGTAGAATAGCTCAAAAGTTATGTAGACAGGCATTATATACAATTATGATCCCCGACTGCCATGAGCGGTTCGCCAATTGAGATCAAACAAGATAGGAGAATATGGCCGCCAGCAATAAAAGCGCAAGACTGACCATACCATTTTCGCCAATCCTGGCAGTACCAGCACCGTTATCGTTAGTACTCGTCACAGTCTTGACCTGCGCTCCCAGCATCGCAGAGTAGTCCGGCCCCATCTTATAACCCGGCCCCCGCGTATCGTTCCCCAAAATGTCTGCTGCGATCTTCTCTGCTAGCGCATATATCGTACTTTGTGGATGGCCCGGCGGCAAAAATGGAAAAGAACTCGCATCGACCACTCTTAGATTCTGCGTTCCGTAGACTCTCGCTTGGCTGTCGAGGACAGCCATCGAATCGTTTCGCGCGCCCATCTTGCATGTGGCAGCCGCGTGGTATACTTGGATGATGCTCTTCTGGATGTATGCCAAGATATCAGCGTCCGAAGTGACGTTGGCGCCTGGAAGAGCTTCCACGCCGTTCGTCAGGCCTTGACTGGTGAGATAGGACCATATTTCGCGTTGGCGATGCACAGACTGGATGGCTAATTCTATGTCGGTGGGGTCCGTGAGCCAATTGGGGTTGATGAGGGGTGGGTCGAGCATTGATGCGCTTTGCAGACTAACATTCCCTCGCGAGAGAGGCGAGACGATGGCGGTGTTGATGGTGGCGTAGTTGGAGCCATCTCGGGGATCGGCGGTTTGCCGGTCTTCTTGGTAGCCTAGGTATGCGCTTACGGGGAGCCATTCTAGCTCCGGCCAATCTGAAGGGAAGTTTGCTGCGAGGGCGGAAAGGGACGCGTTACTTAATTTCGAGCGGTACGGCTGGGGTAGATCCTCGAAGCCATAGTAGCTGGCACCGAAAATGGAAAGGGGGCCTGTTGCCTTTTGTTGGAAGAGTTTGACTCCAGCAGCAGCGAGGGTTGCATTGTTTAATGCGGCGGAAGCGGTGTTCACATTGACGCGATAGTCTGTGCCGAACAGGGTGTGATCCCACATGTTTTGGCCTACACCCGGTAGATCTTTGAGGACTGGTATGCCGAATTGTGAAAGAGTAGCCTTGGGGCCGATGCCGGACACCATGAGAAGCTGCGGCGATTGGAAGACACCGCCAGACACTATTACTTCCTTCCGTGCGCTTAGAGTGTAATTGACCGCAGGTATGCCATACGGTCCAGCTGTAGTAATCAAGACTCCGGTGGCCGTGTTGTTAGAGCTGAATAGGATGCGCTGCGCGAAGCTGTTTTTGTATACGGTGGGCGAGGTCCCGTTCTGCAACGCTGCTTGCAAGAAACTGGACTCGGACGAGGAACGGTATGCATTTCGTGGGTCAATCGTCAACGTTGCGTAGGCGGAACCCATCAAAGATCCACTGTTTAAGCCATTTAACGCCTTCATTCCAACAGCCTCGAACCCTTTTTGAGCCCACGTGCCAAAGGGGTCGATTGGGCGCCGTGTAATTGCAAGACTTCATGTAGTAAGGGAGGAAGTTATCCCAGGTGTAGCTTTGATCGCCGACCTCATCGGCCCATTTTTGCAGTGAACCGACGGTAGGTCTGATTGTTCAATGTCAGAGATGCCTGGCAAGGTCCATGAATACCATTGGTATTGACTGACCTGTGGTAAAGCAAGTAGTTTCGAGCAGAAGAACCACCTAGAGTCTTTCCACGCGCATAATGGATGTTGCGATTGGCTGCTCCCTGCGAAAGAGCATCAGTCATCACCTTTCTCTTCCTCATTGCAGTCAACCCACCGCTTGTGGTACTGTATGAAAACCCCAATCGACCAATGGCTGATAATTTGTCGGGGCAGCTCCAGTATAAAAATTGGCATATCCAGGCGTAACGCTGAGGTTTCCATTGTCTATCTCGTAGAAGCCTCCAGCCTCAATTACAGCGACGCTGACGCTAGAATCTTCCGCCAATCGTGTGGCTATTGCCAATCCACCTGTGCCACCCCCAACTACAACGTAGTCGAAGGTCGCATTCGCGCCAGGAAGGCCAAAGGAGCTTCCTAGAAGAAAGCCAAGCTGTCCATCGGAGAACAGATTGTCGTATCCTAGGGCCGCTGGAAGGAGGAAGAGGAGGATAGAGAGGTTGTGCCGGAGATGCATTGTCGTGACCTGCAACGGCGGCCGGAGGGAGGATGTTTCGAGGAGGGGGAGGATGACGGATAGGATTCTGAGGCTGAGATGGCGATGAAGATAGACATTGTTGCCGATCGCGACAGCCGGGGGTTAGTGCCTCAGGAACGACCCTCTTCAGGATTCAGGCCCTATCCTAAGCCTGAACTCTAGTAGCAACCAGCTGTAGAGTACATCAACAGTAGCGTGCATCAAATGTTGGAATGAAGTTTGCCGTTGGTGAGGATCACGTGCATGCCGCGCATTGCAGCCGAGCTGCGGCTAGTTGAAATCGACTAGGGTCTCGCGGGTGCCAGAAATATCCGCACACGCCAAGAAGTCTCTCCACCTTGTCAGCTGAGAGAACTCGATGATTATTCTCTTCAAGGATAAACTTTTGCGGAGCGATCTATTTGTATTGATGAGGTCCTTCAATTATCTCGCAAGAACCTTCAGCTAGGGCTCTTAATTGTGAAATTATCATCGACTTTTCAATTTTTAGATGTGCGGTATTTTGACCCGCGGGGGTGTGCTTGCCGATGTTTTGGATATCTTTTCGTTGGGTGAGGTACCAACTTGGAAACAAACGCTCTTGTTATTGACGCCATTAAAGGATTCTGAGAGTAAGGCCAGCCGCTAGGAAGTAAGCATGATTGTGTTGTACATATTGCTAAAACCTCCGACCTCGCGACCCCCCATTGAGGCTTTCCCATAGTAAAGCTGGACACAGAGCCCCTGATTGTTGGGCCTTTCCTTTTTTATATAAGGCTGCCCTTGGATCTCCAGGCGAGATCAATCATCATCCATCGGCGCATCGCAGGTCCCAGCTCCCGAGTAAGCCTCATTAGCGTGCATGGATATATGCTTTGCCTAAGCCATATGGAAATCTCATTATACTGGGTGATTATTGTTATTCAGGTATGCAAGCTTCTTTCAAATACATGTCACACACTTATGGACGCTGGAGCTAGGGGACGAGGTAATTGCATGGCACGATTACTTAGAATACAGACGAGAATCTGGCAACTCCAGCCTGGCAGGGCAGATTATGCGGACTGGGAGCTAAAAACAAGAAACGTGCAAACTCGGTTCGTTGATATTGAGCTTGGCTTATTTCAGGTCTGAACGAAGTCAACGTACTCTAGTGTGTTCGTCTAGTTTCCCAAGAGAAGAAAACTTGGGGCAGACACGACATCGCCTCTGGACACTTGTTATACATAATATTCTGTCGCCACGTCTACTATAACGCTCCTTGGCAACCATTTCATTGCAAGCAGAAACTGCTTCCCATTTCGTCCCAGATCCAGCCCAGACGACCAGTCCTGGACAAATAACACGTTCCATTCTTTCAATAATGGTGTTCGGACCCAGTTGAATCTATATAGATTTCGCGGACCTCTTTCCGGATCTCTAGCGGGCGTTTTAAGTGTGAGAAAGGGTCGTGTTCTGAAATCTCCTATCGATCTCCCAGCCATAGGGTTCGAGGAGAGCCGCCGCGGCCTCTTGACTTATGTCTTACCCAACCTCTTTCATTAGATCATGGTTGAAATTTTGAGAAGTTCGTATGTCTCAAACTCAAATGGCATTGGAGAATGGAGCATGCGATGACACGAGTGTGTCAAAATTGCCAACATTTCCCGCCATTTCGCAAGACTTGTGACAGTGACGCAAGTGTGAATTGAGTATGATCTCCCTGCGATAGTGTTATGGCATGAGCCGCCTGGCGGACCTCACCACGTGCAACGTGCAGATCGAAAGACGTGACTTTCAACTACACTTTGATGGGTGAAAGCATGCTGATATCATTTCGGACTTGCATGCTAGAAGATGATGGCTCTCCAGATGTAGCAATGTTGCAAAGATAGACAGGTACCCATACATCAAGCTTTGAAGAGGACGATTGCTGCTCCTAAAACGGCATGACATTGGCTCGCAGGATCAAAGGTTGTGAGAAAACACTCGAGGGAATGTCCCCGGGAAAGCTGTACGAAGGTAAGCAACACCTCATGATAGCCATAGCAATCTGCATCATTAATCATGATGAGATCATTCGCGGAAAGTCGTATCAGCGGGCAATCACGATGTTGCGCGAAATGGACTTCGAAGCAATGATCAATTCTGTCCAAGGTACAGGCGTTGGATGCCTACGAATCGACGGGATCACAGGTTTTTGATCATTTGCACCTTTGCAGTCGCAGTGTACCATTCTGGGCTGAGGGAAGAAGGCACGTGTAACTAGAGGTTTTGCAACTGTTATCTGGGCGCTGCGATTCCATGTTTCATCATTGCTAGTAATGTTGTACGAGTGAACGTCGTTGTTCATCATTCTTCGCATCAGCAAGCTTAGCACCGCCAGAGCCTAAGAAAAGATCTCTAGCACTTGAGACAGCTATTTCTGAGAGACAAGAGAGAAATCTCTGATCGTTATTCAATGGAAGCGCCTTCGATTGACAGAGGGATCGTTGTTGTCACGTCCTTGATCTTCCTGTCTTCCGTCAGCTTAGTGGGACTAATGCGAATTGGGATAGTGCAGCAGGGCTCACCGGGCTCGTCCCCACGACACTAAGGCTAGTGGAGACTAGCCATCGCAATCCGTTGCGGTTTCATCCATAACAGTCTGCGGACTCGATACATAGTACAGCTTTCACAGCCTATCTCTGACTATGATTCGACAGCTACTCGCAGAGTTCAATCGATCTGCGTTCACCGTGATGGCGAAATTTTCCATCCAAGTATCTCAGTGGAAAGATATGTATGTCTTTCTGGAAGCGCACGCAAATCTCCATCTTGGGTACGGCACTGAAATTTTTGCTACTAATAAAGTGACCACTTTGTCTTGGGGTGAGGCTCTACGCAAAAAAGTCTCACGCTACCTACACCAACCACCTGATCATCACCCCGGTCGATTCCATTTGTTGTTGCCAGTTGGCAAACTCTGGCGTTACAGCCTCGCTGCAGTAGGGGCCGTGTTTCATCTCAGAGATCCAACTTGCGGCTTAGCGCAGGATGCATCCGCAGCAACGAGAACTTCTTGCGAAAAGCCTCAGAATGTTGCGTTTTGAGAGTTTCAAAGAAACAGTTACAAAAGGCTGTTTGTTCTAGAAATAGCGAATCGGGTTTGTATATGAGGTTGGCTTTGTCGCCCTTTGTCATGGCCATACCATTTTCTTTGAATTCTGAATACCTTCAATTTGGACAATCTCCACGTCGCGGCGCGTGTAATTTCCCCTGCATATATAACCGTCGCAGATTTTGTCGCATAGCTGTCTTCTAGAACGGCCTAGCTTCAGTTGCACGATAGCGAAACTCCGTAAATTTAACGCGTCCTCCCCCAGTTTTCCTTCTCCAACAATCGCCATGTTCCTGTCGTCGCTCTTGGCAGCCTCCTCAGTCCTCCTCGCCACTGCTCTCGCAGACTCCTCGCCCTACTCCAAGTTCATCGACGACGCCAACTCTCTCCTCGCGGCCGCGACCGGCAATTATGCGGCGCAACTCAATGCCCTATACGGCTGGCAAGCAACACAAACCGCCGTTCCCAGCGGCGACGTTGATTCCCAATATCAAGAATACCTCAATGCCTTTATGACTACTACATCGGCACCTTTACCGGCATGGGTGACGGCCGTTCCTTCGTCGCTCCAGCCGATCGCGACAAGCTTTCTGCAGGCGGAGGCGAGTCTCGTGATCCAGGATATTGCGCCGATCGTCAGCCAGAATAACGCCGCCGGGTCTGTAAATTCTGCTGGTCAGGCAGCGCCTGCAACCACTTCGTTGAAGACCACGGTGGTACCAACACCTGCGACGAGCGCGACGGCTAGCTCAGGCTTCGTGTCAGGTCCCGCGAACACAACTTCGTCGCAAATGTCGGGCAATGGCACAGCGCCAAGTCTGTCAGCGAAGACTACCGCAACCGCGCCGATCACTTCTATCACGACTGCATCGGGGTCGCCGACGAAGTCTGTGACACCGCTCGTGACGACATTTAATAAGACCAGTGAGGCGGAGAAGCCGGCCGGTGTGGCCGCAGCAGCCGCCGTGGTTGGGATTCTGGGTATTGTGGTATTGCTGTAATGAGATAGCCGCGGACTTGCCATTTTGGTTGCCAATTTTTGTAGCGGGTTTGAGCGGGCGCTGAGTGGTCACTTTTGCTACAACATTGCAGGCGTTTTCAGAGAATTTGATACCCAATTTATATAATATCTTTCACATCACGAAGCTCTCCAAAGTCTGTCTGTGGACTCCTTTCGGATTCTTGGCCTCGCAAACCGGGCGCTTCTGAGTCGTTTTCGACATCACGGTCCGGCATATAGAGTAAGCTAATTTCAAAGAAAGACGCTCGTACTCCTTACAAAGGCAGACCGAGTATTCTCTCCGACGCGCTTAACTCCTAAGCCACACACGGTGGCGCCCCTCTCGCCTCTGCTGGGACTTGCCGCAGCTCTCGCTCCGATTTGGTATACGCAGGACTAGGACACAGTAGCCAGAATCGCTTCGAGTACCAATTGGGATGCGAAGAGGAAGGGCTCGCTTCGGGACGCAGCATCTCATACGGATCCCGCCCCGTGATACGCGCGGGCACGTACCGGCTGAATGTTTTCAATCCCGGTACGCAGGCAGCGATGTTTCCGATGTTGACCACGAAGATTCTCGTCATGGCATTAAATACCCCAACCCAAGACAAGTCTTCGGACTTGATCTGCCAAGCGGTAACTGTCCTAGCGATAGCGATGCCTCCGGTGATGATCCCGAGCCCCATTAAACAGCACAGAGCGATCTTGCTCTGCTTCTTGATCTTGAGGTTCCGCAGTAGGACGATTGGGGAGGCGGCGCAGATGAAGTCTGTGATGAAGAAGAAGACGCATTGAGCGATGAGTATGTTCATGACCATCTGCTCTGAGAAACATTTTCCTGGATCTGCCGGGTTCCAAACTTTGTCCACAGGGCTGCATTGGAAGACGGTCAGGAAGAAGAGGGTGAGATGGGTGACCACGAGGAAGCTGATTAGGCCTTAGAGAATGTGCTTCAGTCTGTTGAAATGGGAGAGGCGTAGCAGGGATAAGCAGATGGATATCTTGCACGTCGCGAGCGCGATAAAGAACTGAGCAGTATCGAGATTGTAGTATTTAAGGAAGTTTTGTACTGTTCAACGGAGAGATCGATTCGGTGTTGACCGCGGCCATAGCTGGCTTCAGTGACTACAAAGCCTTTACCTACGGCAGTGATCATCTATCCTCAACTGATAAGCGCCACATTGGTGACAAAGCGAGTAAGGCATGATTACCTGAGTAAGGGCTATGGCGGTATCGTCCAGCCAAAAACTGCGCGTTATGAACACCCGGGTGTAGAGGCGCAGGGCAACGATCATGGTTGACAGAGAAAAGACTGCCCAATCAATGCCGAAAAATACAGGGCCGAGATTCCCACCACTGGCTGTAGTATGCAATGGGTTGCTGCTCATTGCAAAGGTGGAGTGGCGCGCAGCGTCGACAGTGGAAACTACATCGGTCAAAGGGATCTCGCCAGCGCACCCGGCGTTTTGTAAGCTCCATCAATGAAATCAGGATCGTGGTGGTGGTGGGGACAGCCGAGTCGTCACCCAATCTTGAGAATGGCACTCCGGGGAGACTACCGTGCCGCGATCTACTGGATGTCTTGATGTGCACCAACCACAGCCAGAATTTCAGCAACGTTCCCACTCCTGGCAGACACATCCACGGGACACGATGCAGCACCGTGGTGTGTGCGCACAACAGAGGGGACGGGGTAGCGCTGATCTGGTGTGTGGGTGGTAGGGGCCCGCCCTTAGGGTGCGGTGATTTCCCTGGCCTAAGCCGTCGACGCCTTGGAAGGCGATATGTATCGTGAACCGGTTTATTTATATTATTCAGCCTTTTACGATTTTACCTATATCCTAAGTTTTTTTCCGGGCCGGCTCTATTTTTTTATGCCCCGTTTCCATTTATATCGTACGTAAGAGAATAGTGATATTTATAACCGAAGTCGGAGCTCGCTTCGATTCCCGTAGGGTTAAGCCTATGGGCCTTGTTGTATGTGACTAATTGTCTTTTACTCGCTAACTCCGCTTTGGGATTTTTCATATATTAATTTAGTCTCTTTCTGTTTTTATAAACCTCTTATAATTTTATAACGGTTTTCTATAGCCGAAGTTAATACTTATAATATTTAGAAAAGTTATATTGCGGAAAGGTATTATTTAATAGAGGATGGTGCGTTTATCGATAATATGATTTTAAACGCTTACCCTATCTAGCTTTTATTTTTAATTTTGCTTATACGTGTTACCGTTTTATGTCATTTACTTATATAAATATACGCTTTTTAATCTTTTCTTATATATCATTGTATTTACGCCTTGTACGTCATTATTCGCGGGCTAGTAACTCAATGTAGTGTAGCGCTGATCTGGTAGTGTAGAGTACTAAGCCCATAGGTGCATTGGCAATGGCACTGTAGCTCCTCTTCTGGAAGGACGGTAGAAGGTGGTTCCAATCTCGGTAGCAGAAGTCAGGCCAGACATAGGATTGTGGTGAAGAACTCCGTTGTACACTCGATCTAGGATACAGATATGTGCAAAAGAAACGGCGACACAGTGCCAACCAATGCTCGCCCAAACTCGCCACCAATGCTCAAAACGCCCAAATGCTTCTTGTTATGCAATTCCCGGGTATCATGTCGACGGAGGATAAATATATGAGACTAGGCGGCCTTTGCGGCCTTCGGCGGTGCAAGCTCGGTGCCAAAGACTGTGTCCCAAAAACGACTCGTGACGCCGAAGCCGTTCTCGTAGTCTGCGTAGTGGTGCTGAAGATGATACTTCTTGAGCTGTTTGTAGTAGGATGGAAGGCTGCAACGGCGATTAGCGTTCGCTACAGGGCACAAAGAAGGCATGAAACTTACGTCTTGTGATGTAGGAAGTAGTGGGTCAAATCATAACATATGTAGCCGAATATCCCTCCGCAGAACACAGCTACTGCAGCGTACCAATCGTAGAAGAACACTGTATGTGCGAGCTTGTAGAAAGGTGTTGCAAGGGCGACGAAGAGGGTAGGAGGCATAACGAGGCGGTACTTGTCCATCGGAAGGTAGTGATGGATTCCGTGAAGGAGGAAATGGGCTGTGATACCAACGCGATTGTCCGGTAGATATCTACGCAACGTTAGTAGACTGCTAGTACTCTTAGGGGAGCCAACAGCGCACTTATCAACATGGAACAATCCTCGGTGTAGCCCGTACTCCACCAACGTCCATAACCCGAGGCCAATGAGCCAGTAAGCTGCGGTCTGGAAGAACGATGGTAGACCTTGGTAGGCAAGAAAAGAGCCATAGGCAACAGGTGGCAGCCACACGATAGGTATGACATACCACGCCGTCTTGCTCAGCGGTTCCAGGAAGTTTCCAAATAGAGGAGCCGAGTCGCCTCCGACGTAGTAACGAGGCCGATGGACTTGCTCTAGGTAAAATTCTTTCGAGAAGCCACCATTCCACACCTGCATCAGTAAAGGCCTGTTGAGGTCTAGGAACTTGTGTGTCTTGAAGTCCGCATTCAAATCGGTTTCCTTCGTCAGGTCCTCTACGCCTGAGAGGCCTGTGGCTGCGAAGATTGGCTTGCTCTGATCGACCTCTCCGATAGCGCCATTGGCTTTCATTGCCTCCATTCCTGCTTTATTTGGTAGCATAGGCACAATGTCCTCTGGCCGGTCGTGCTCCACGACTGCTTTGATGGTGGCCTCATTGGCCACGAAGCCAATCAAGCTCTCCTTGAGGATTTCGTAGGCAGCTTCGGAGTGTGCATGTGATGATTCGTCGCCCATTATCTCTGAGACATCTTTCCCTCCGTATTTCAGTATCAGGTCTCCTCCACCTGGATGGTCGGAGAGAAAGGATGTGACATCGTAGACATTGGCGCCAACGGTTACATAGCAGGACCTCTCGCTGTTGCGGGAGGCAACGTCGTGCGTCGGAATCGTAGGGAGTCGTACGCCAGGCATAATGAGAGCAGTGATGGGGAGAGAATAAGAGAGGAGAAGAATCAGGTTGAGGATGATGAAGAATAAGGCATCAATGGAGGCTGTGAGGAGAGCTGAAGGGGCGTGGCAAACCAAAATCTGAAATTGTCATCATCCGAATTATCTCCGGGGCTAACGGAGAGCATCCCTTTCAGCCCTATAACAGTATCAATCCTCCGACTACACCTCATCATCATTCACTTCTCGGTATGGTCTTGTTTCTCACCCTGTCGCGAGTTTCAACACAAACCAAACCAGGTAGCACTTTGAGACGTCTATGAATTATCACCAATCGCTAGAATTGGTGAGGTATCCTGTTCGTGCTGCCCATATGCTCACACTACCACTGCACAGTGACCTTTTTTTTTATGGCGAAGGCTAGTTGCCTCTTACGTGTGCCTTGCCTTAAATTGTGCCAGCTTCGCAACGATGAACGTAGCAGTACCTTGTCCGCTGTGCTCGTAATCGTCCATTGCGCTGCCCTTTCACATTGTGTGAAGCTTCGCACACTGTGTCATGATCCGGCTACGGTGCGCATCGCCTGCCCATGATGTCGGAAAGCGTACTTGTCTGCTACTGTCTAACCATTGATTGCTACCAACAGTGCTACCATTTTTAAAAGGTGTTATACAGGTCTGTGGTGTCGCAGATTGAATTATCTTGCTTTATTATTCATCTTAGGGTAATTTCCATCGTCCTGGGCCTTTGGCCGGCCCAGGCCAATACTCGGCAGTTTAAGTCTGCTCAATTGATGATCTGTGGTTCGATTCCACTAGTCATCTTGGTCACTGAGGGAATTTTATCTTGGCACAGAGGGTAACATTGGCGCAAGAGGTAGTTCGAGTCTACACATTCGGGGTAGTGGTCTGTGGTTCGATCCCACTAGCCATTATAAAATACCTGTCATACCACTTTAATTTACATTTGCTTATTGTAACCCCGTCCTGAAAATGGCTGGGCACGTTGCCTTAGGTGGTCTGGAATTTCCCATGGGGTTATCCTACTTCACTTATGTGTTGTCCGGAACATCACCAAGTTGGCTATATGATAATGAAAACCTCGAAAGAGAGGCTTTCGTAGGATATTGTTCCGAGCTTTTTGCCTTTTCCATACTGTGCCTACGGCGGGTTGTCTTACTCTTCAGACCTTCTACCAGACATCTAGAGAAATACCCTCCATACATTATCGTTCGAGATCTCCAAGATAACGGGCATTTACCGTCTCAAACAGTTGCCTTTTGGATCGAACCAAGAAGAAACTACGAGTTCCTTGGAGTTTGCTGTCTCATATCGGACAAGGCCAAGCGTTCAACACAAATGCGCGAGAAGGTGTATGCGTAAAATGATGGCGAATGCTCCCCTTCCCCAAACATGCATGCATGATCAGATTCAAGCCAGACCTAAGCCTTTTACCTTCCTCACGGAAGCTTCCCATTGACCTCCTAGCCTCTGCATCTAAGTTCAAAATCGCGTGACTTAGCAATCCTTGTCTCTCTTTGACCCAAATTGCCCGGTCTTCGCGTCATTGCAGTGAGCACGCTAGCCCACTTCTTTCCGTTGTGGATTTGACAACACAAGTCGGTCCTCGAAATCACAACGTCCCATCAAAGCTACTCATGTCATCAACCACCGCTTCATCAATCCCTATCGTAAAACTGAATCATCAAATCCAATACATCAATCAGTACTAAACATCCCTAACATGCCTTCCACGATGCAGCTCAGCAGACAGCGTCGCGTTCATACACCTAGCTCTGAAACAATCTGCACAGGCACTCGTGCAGCAGTCAAGAGATTCGGACAAGCTGCCCTCGAACAGCAGAAAGAATTGGTAAAGGACGCCGCGCTAAAACGTCTTGAAGGCAAGTCAATCCTTAAGCAGCAGGATCGATGAAAGAAAGATTGACTCCTATTAGAGGGCGGCTGGGTTTTCCTCCAAAAGAACCCCTCGTCAGATATCAGCCATAAGACACACATTCCTCAGGCGACATGCGCCTGTCCGTCCTGTCCGGCTTTCAACCAACCCTTTCAAGCGGACGAGCACCGTATCAGCATCGAGCCGCTAGCGAACATCCTCCTGAAGCATGTCCCGAACGATGCGCTGGCAGGTCTGACCACAATGCGTGCCTCGCCGATCAACGGGGAAGCCAACCTTCGTGGGAAAAGGGAAAAGAGTTGTTTATGGATGCATGTCACTTGTGCAGATTGCCTGGGTATTGACCAACTCGGTTACACAGATCGCATCCGTATAGAGCAACGTTTATCTAGCCTTGCTGGGTTGCATTACATGCTGGACCCCCCGAACAGTATTCAGTACTCAAATGGATAGCGGTGATCAAGGGAGACAAGGCCCTAGCTGGGGTGGAAGGGAGGGACTTCTGGCGCAAAGACGACGGGCTAGCCGTTTATCTGTCCCGTCAACATTTCAACCTTGCTGGATGGTGGAAGGGTGTGCGCATTGAGGTCGCAGCAACAGATGTCAGAAATCGGCTCCTGAGCACAGTGCTTACGTATACGAGTGTTCTGAAAGAGCGAGCCTGGAAGCTGATGGCCAATGCAGACAGGATAGCGAGGCTTACACAAGCTGCAAACGCTATTGGACAGAGAGCAGTGGATAGGCTAGCAGAACCGGAGGGAGAGAAGGGGACGATAGAGGGAGAAGAGGTAAATAACACACTGTCACATACAGGTCCGTGTTAACACTGACCAGGACAAGGGTTATGAGGCTGACTTCGATGAATTCGGGTTTCTATCGGCTGATCAAGCTATGCTCAGACACAGCCATTTGGCAAAAAGGGAAAAAAAGTCAGTCAGAAAGAGGGCCATGAGATGGCATTTCTGTCGACCGAATCGCAATGGGTGGGACGACTACTTAATTGGACAGCGCAACGCCGCTCTCCGCGCCACTGAGCCCGAAGTGGACTTGGCCGAAGCCTCGATATCAGAGATGGAAGTCTCATCTTCGGAGTCTGGAAATAGCTCCGCGGAATCCTTACATTTGGTGACTCCGATGGTGCGATTTCTTGTGTCAGATGCTGAGGATGCCTCGTCTCGATCTCCGGATTCGCCGATGCAAGAAGCCCCCTTGGAGACCGCCGACGATCCGCCTTTGGAAGAAGACGAGTCCTTAGACTCTTGGTCTGACCCGGACGAGACTCTCGCGACCATTGGTGATAGCGTTGGCCTTGCCGTGAGGCTATTCTAGAATTCCTGCCGCTGTTCTGCGGTGAGAGCGACAACAGTGGGCAATGAAGAGAGGGACTATGAGTTGTATTTATTCTTCGATTGTTGACCTTGATGGTCTTAGCATTTTGAGATGCTATTTTGGTTGAGCAACGTATTGTAGGAGATACCCCATTACCGTTACTATCTTCGATACTTGGCCTTGTGTGATTGGTCGTCGTTATCGGAAAGTTGCGTCCGTCTCATTCAATTCGTGTGGCATGCTATCAGAAACGAGGCTTCACCTTAAGCAAATGTCATATCACATCACATGGCCGCAACTATCCTGAACCACTGACTGGCTCACTTTCCAAGCTGCTCATGCAAAGATCACTGTGAAGTCAGCAGTCACTGTTCCGCTTACATCACAACAAGAATGTTGGTGAATCATCTAGCAGAGTCACTCACCAATCCCATTCATTCTCCTCCTCCTTCATTTTCTGCCATGACACTCAGCAAGGGATTTCCTTCATTCGTCTCCAAATTCACGCTCGGCGAGGAATGTCCCATGAGCATCCTCTTCCATTTAAACCCCCGAATTTCCAGCCTCTTCCTCTTCCCACCACACAGACTGACTACCAATTGGGGTAAGTATCTTCTACATCTTACACCTTGCCTGTAGTGGCAAATCGAATCATGCTACCCTATCTTCTGCCATCAGCAATACCGAGCCTCACTATATGCTCTAGCATCTAGCATGTTGAGAATAGTCTTTAGTGTTGACATGTTTCCCTCAACACTACCTTATTCTCCCCATTCCTTCACAGCCATAACTCTGTCAAGGCCACGAGCTGGTTTATCTTTAACAGTTTCAAAGCAGGTGTAGACACCATCATGCTTTTTATATATAAAAATAATTACCAGCGAGGCCAGTATTCTCTTGCCCACACTGCGGCTTTCCTCGCAAAGGCGCCTCCAACCTTGCCACTGCAGTCAAAAATGCCCTGACTTCCTTTGCCCTTCGTGTGCACGTTAAGAAGTGAGGTCACGTGACTGGCGTCAACAAGCTCGAGCTCAACGCATGGTCGATTTCGATCATCAGCCAGTGGCAAACGGGCAAAGATGGAACGCTGCGAACTACCTTACTCGCCATTTCGATGGCCGCAAGACAGGGACTTGACCCTGATCTTTTGGAACAGGGTGCCCTGGCGCCTTGGGCCTCCAAATGGTCAGGTATGGGTGAGGTTCCCCGCTCGGGTAGTACGGTTATCCGCCACGGTGCCCGACGATGCCTCTACTTTGGCATCAGACATCAGTCCTGAGGTAGGGATCTGGCCCATGGACGAGGCCCGATCCCCAGCGTCTCCGCCCAAGTCGGAACATGAGCTACCGCATTGGGAAAAGTCACTGGTAGATATGGGCAGATTCCGCCTCACCCGATCTGAGTCTGAAATCGACCAGGAAGAGAAATTGTTGTCAGCGGACTTCGTGATGGAAGACACACCATCGGAATTAGACAGCATTCGGTCAGAAGATGACGCCATGTCCGAAGCCAATGGCACCTCATCAGAGGCCGACGGTAGCATGTAGAGGCCAGTGGCACCTTATCAGAAGCCTACTTTAGCATGCCAGAAGTCGATGCCACCTCTCCAGAATCTCATAATGTCTCCTCACCAGAAGTCGATGGCGATGCGTCAGAAGCCGATGGCGCGTCTTCAGATTCGAAAAGCACTTGGTCGGAAGCCTCATGACGTCGGAAATCTGTACAACATGCTGCGCTATCTGGGTGCGTGAATGCGCCTAGTCTTGCCATTTCATCTCTCGGAGATTTGCGGTATTTAGCGACTGATCAACATCACTCACACAATAGTTTACGCAACCAAAAACATCTGAACCTCAAATTCATCCCGCGGATCTTAAACCCCCAGCTTTTGATAGCTCTTCCTCTCCCACACTATCATCTTACTTTCTGGATCCTACCTCCCAACATTAGAATTACATATACATCTACGGGTCGAAAGATCAGGAAGAGCCAGGCCGAAGCTACGATGTGACTGAACACCGAGGACTGGATGTGGCAAAATATCTGGAAGAAGCTGGCACACCGGAGGAATCGTTATCAGCGGAAGTTCCGAAGAGTCACAAGGACCAGTTCAAGAAGAGATCGAGGTCGCCGTCGGTGTTAGAGAAGCAATTATAGGAGAGCTTCTCGAAACGATAGAGGAAGAGAACGGAATGTCTAAGAAGACTGAGGGAAAGGTAACTGACACTCTTTCAGATATATTTTCATACTGACATTGGCCAGGACAAGGGACACCCAACGGTCAAATTTGGCGCCCTCAACAATGACTACTTGATGACACAAGACAACAAAAACCTTGGAGAAAGAGGAATACGGTGGCGCCTGAGCCACCCAAACCTTTACTGGCGTCGGCGATATTTCAGCGAAGACAAGGAATCCTCCACTGAGAGCGCGTCACTGGAGGAACCCACACAAGGAAATTTGGAAACCAAAGGCTCTTCTTCTGAAGCATCTTCCTTCTACAACACGCATCAGGCGCCATTTTGGGGCGACTGATTGGCGATGGTGCGATTTCTTGTGTCAGATTCTGAGGATACCTCGTCTCGATCTCGGGATTCGCCGATGCAAGAAGTCCCCTTGGAAACGGATGGAGACTAAGAATCCTGCACAAATTTTGGGGGACTTGGTTGATACCGCTCTCGGAGCGGCGTCTTCCCGGAGATACTAATGAGAAGATATTTCCAGGTGGAGGTCACACCACAGGTATTGAAAAAGCAATCACGCTTCGTTAAAATTGGTGCTCCTGCTCTGTCGATGAGTCAGATCCCTATCACGAAGTGCGAGAACAGCCTGCAAGAAAGCACTCGTTCATCTCCCATACAATACAACAACATACAAAATGGTTTTTACCGGAACGTGTGATTACTTTCGCTGGTCTTCCCTTATCCCATTATCCTATGACCCTTTGAACTTGATCTTACATAAAAGATCCTTGGATGACTTCAGAAAGAACTCTTCTCCGCAGTCCTCTTAGCTTTCCAGAGTGGGCAAGAGAGACGGGCTATCACAACTGGTTTGCTCGAGGAACGGCCGAAAACCTTGGTGCTATTGGAGCCTTTGTGTCATGGGAACAGACCGTTGGGGCGGCAGAGACTGACATCAAAGCAAGCGAAACCGCCGAGGCTAGGAAATACCGGGAAAATGGGCTTGTGTACCCGCGGCTATTAGGGGAGGGTAAGCCGGAGTGGACCTCCATTGTCTCCACGAAAACAAAGAAGGATATCGATATCTCCGCCGAGAAGACAAAGCCTGACGGTTTGATTCTGGTAAAGGCTCTCCTTACCTACATCATTCCTTTTGACAAGAGCAACCTCAGATTTACGGAAACAGAAAAAGCAACATGGAAGGCCAGGTACTCCGTTCAAAAATGGTGGGTTCATTGGAGTACAGACGCCGAAGGTGGAGTCTTATGAGTGTTGCCTTTTGACCACTCGAAGGAAGGATGAATGGATCTTCATTTACGAAAGCAGAGCGGCAAGAACTCTGAGGGACCGCCCCTCATTATTACGAAAGAGGCGGGCGTCCCACCCTGGATTTCAGAGCTTCTGAGACATGCTAAGCCCGAGTATCGGCTCAAAATATTGGTCCTGGAGAGACCGGTCAGTAGCTAGACGCTGAAGGATGACTCTAGAAGATGACTCTGTCGTTATGCGAATGTGGGTGATAGATGAGCGCCTTCGAGGTAGAGGGCCACGACATTGTGACCATCCACTACGAAAATGTACAAAAGTCAGTCTGCAGCCAAGGGCAAGGCTCTCCAGGCCAAGATAAGAGGCCGGTGCGGAAAGAGACCAGGTATCGTGGGGCAGCTTCAGGGTCTACAATGGGGTTGATGCTGATGGTAGCGTTTCATTGCTGGGAAGCCTGGAGAAGGACATAGCGCATCCTGTTGGTGGCTGGCTTGCTGGGCTCTTCACGATGCACTGCGTTGAAAATTGCTAGAGAGGAGTGTTGGACGATCGCTGGACTGTATGATAGAAAGCCGAGATTACTGATTCTATGAGGTCAAGAAGTGCGCTTCAAGCGCGGCTTGGCGAAAACTCTCGGGGGGGCCTCAAATTCGACCTCATATTTTCTTCGTTGCACCATTTTGACAATGGAACCCCTTGGGTAGTCTTTTACAAGCCAAGCGGAAAGTCTGGTGGCCTAATAGCGCTCTAAGGCTTTCCAAGTGGTACTTTCTCTTTCCCTTTACACTCAGCATCATTGCCCACTGAGAAGTCGAAGCAGTATGCTTTTAGCCTAGGTCTTGTATTACAGTCTAAATCCTGTTGGTCGACCTATGTAACAATTGCGTACAGTCACTCCTTCATCTTGTTTTGTTTACTGCTGCTGTGTGATGATGCTACGCCTAGGACTTGCAATCGCTCCATCCACCAGGCTGCTTGCCCCTACAAAACATCGATCGTGCATACGTAAGGTCATAGTGCACATGATGTGAGAAGTTAGAGTCAAATGCTTTCGTAGCCGACATTCGCATTTTTTCAGCATACGCAAGTGTAAGTCATCGTTGCTTTTCAATTATGATGCTTAGCAGAAAGCATATCCTATATAAATAATTTAGCGAATCACCATTTCATTCAGTGGCATTAGTGGTGCACCATTCCTCGGGATTACCGGATTTTCAATTGTAAATTGCTGAACCCTTGCTAAATAGCCCGCAAGTTCGATCCTTGCAGTTGTCGTTGTTTCTTTTGCTTTTTGTTCTTTTTTTTCTCTTAATTTTTCTTGCTACCTTTTTGCTATGATCTTTTCTACGCTTAATAGCACCCTACTTTAGCCTAATGGCAACAAGGCAGACAGTCCCACATGTATTTCAAGCTCTGGGCAGGGCGAGTTGACGACCCGGCATTCGACTAATCGGCCAATCACCGGAAGTTCCCTCCTTTGTTTTCCTCATCCACGCCCAAAGGTTCCTCCGGCAGTATTCGGCCTTAACACTTCTAGCATCTGCGCTTCCCTTCCGATTAAGATATAACCCCATGATTTGACGGTAGCAGATCAAGTCATCCCGCTTTATCATGGCTCATCTACTGGCAATCGCCTTCACCTGAAAGGGTCTCAAACCCTTCCGATCAACGCAAGCGGCGTGCAGTCTCCTTGAGGGCAGCGCAGTCTTCATGCCGCGTGGTCGTGCTCGTCACCAAATTTGGGCTAGCGACCAGCTTAGAGTCCTAGAAAAGCTCTACGAAGGTCACGATAACTCACCGTTACTGGAGATGAGCAGTTGGACTGACAGACAACAGAAAGCTATCGATTCGTCATCCAGAAAGTACCCTCCTCCTACAATCGTCCTCGAGGACTGAAAGATACCACCTGCCGCCACTCTGATTGTCCGAACAAGGTCACGCCTCCTGGCTCATACCGTGCGAGCTTCGAAAAGGTTGGAGACTGTGATCCAGCGAGCAACGTCATTGGCTATGAGGCCATCGATTCTCTCAAAAATGTCAGGAAAGCCGAGAAAGGCTCTCAAGGCAGACGTGGACTCGGTGCTAGCGGACAAGAATGGTGGTGTTTGAAGTGCCTGGAGGCTCTCTTTGTTGATCTTCGCCAGCACGTTTGGAAGCACAAGCCAGATGGCTCAACACTCTACGTTCATCCCCTTGCCTCTGTCCAGTACTGGATCATACCTGAAAGGCGGACAATACCACAGTACGGCGGTATTTACTACACTCTCCAATCCTCACAAATGCACCTCCTCGCAAAGTGGCAAGGAGTGAAGACCTTTGACGAACTCTATGACCGCCCAGCCGAAGGCCATTCGATCTTCCAGAAGACCCGGCAGACGGACCATTTACCCTGTATTTGGGCCGTGATGAAGAATCTTTCTATCTTGATATAGTTACTAGGGACATGAGAGGAGTCTTAGCAGAAAACAAAGTCTGCGAAATTAACGCTTGCGACGTCCGAGGTTGCTCGCTGAGCGAGGCTTTCCGGAGGCTGGATAAGAAGGAGGATCGCATGGTCGAAGAGAAGTGGATGCCTACAATGGCTGAAAGAAAGAGGAAGGCAGACGCAGGAGCAGAAGAGGAAGCTCAATGTGCTGAAGAGCAATTGGCTGGAAGGAGTGGGGAGCTGGCAGAGGAAGCGGTGTCAGAGAAGCCAGAGAAGCCGACCGACTCCGTGCATGCTCTTTTCGAAGGATACAGGCGTGCTGTACCTGTCGTCTATGTAGGTAACGACCTACCGGTTAACAGCGGAAAAAGGAAGAAGTGCGATCTAGATCAGAGTCAAGAGCCCGCCAGGCCCAATACCTCCGTACCACAGGCGTCGGGTAGTGTGCTCGCGCATATCACGGGAAGAACAAATAAGACGGCTCAAGCCTGCTCAGCGTCTCCCGACCTCACACGATCACCCTTTGATTCTGCTCATTCTTCCGGAACACAAGGCGGCTGTCAGGCTGTCTCACGTCCCAACTCTATCGCTAGAACGACACAGGATGCGGGTCTATCCAGCTCACCAGCTTTCGATCGCCAACTACCAGCCCCCACTTCTGCCCGTTTCCTGGAGGTTGCGAATGGAAGGGAAGACCCTCTATCTTTGGTCTCCCAAGCTGGCTTAGGCCCTTATGCCACCGCCGCAGTGCAGCCATCTCCACCTCCGAAATTTGCTCCAAATCCAGCATCGATGCTTTGCCACAGAAAGCCAAGGGTAAACAGCGGAGCGCCAACCGTGGAGCAATAGAAGGTAGCAGTCAAGCGATTGAGTGAGCCACGAGGTAGGCAAGGGAGACAGCAGTCCGTGGAATGTGCGAGCTGTGAAGCTGGCGAGGGAGGAAGGGTGAAGAAGAATAGTGATTGGTCTGAAATATTTACCGTTTGTCTTCATTGGGGGTATAGGGTATAGCAACAAGGGTCCTTTACGTCAATTATGACTGAGCGATTGATGAGCAACGAGTCATACACACCCCGGGATACAAACATCAATGAAGGCAGAGATTACTGTCTACGGGAATTATAAGCAATTTCTGGCGTCACAAAAGTACGTGTAATGATCCAACTCACATCTCATCTCACTGCCATGCACCACGTGAAGGAAGTAGCCTCCTGATGATAAATTCCACTCCCCTCAACACATTCATTTCTATCTAAACGAAGGTTTGAAAGTGATCATCGATGTCACTTACCTATTTGAATTGATTCCCTTTGGCATCCTAGGGTATCTAGACCCTCAAACTCGCGGCCCTTCTCTTCTTTCATACACAAACATCTATACGTAATATGTCTTTCAGTATTGTTGAACAAACTTCCAGTACCAGTACTCCGTTAACTAATTTCATTTATGTTCTCTTTTGAGATAGCCGCAGCACGCTTCTCCTCTGATTCGACTAGCAGCCGAAGCAACACATATATGAAAAAAATATCCTGTCTTGACACACCGTCAGCCTCTTTCTCCATACATTCACCTACATCGTCGAGTCGCTCTACCGGGAGACCCGATCGGTTCCGTCCCCTCCTGGCGTGCTTTCTCTGAGCTTGCCACATTCTTCGATGACATACTTTCAGAAGGCGCCTAGCTACTTTTGGCGTCGTATCAGAGCTTAATTGACTGTTACATATGCTGGTCGCCCAGAAGACGGCCGGCGTCGTTAACGCGGCACTACCCCAAATAACCTGTCATTATGACCACTCTCATGGGTCAGGGCAAAGGAGGGGAGATTTAAACATGTCTAAAGGGACTTGAAGGAGGAAGAGGTGAAGGACGACGCTGACTTCAACGAGGACAACAACGGTAAGCTTTTGTAGGCTTCTCACTCATGCTTGCCCGCGCTAACAGACACTTTCCAAGACTCCGAGGTTGGAAGTGAGGCAGCGACCCGTGCCTCAGGACGTAGTACAGCTCGGAAAAGGCAGAAAAAGAGCATCAAGCTTGACAAGCTTGCCTAAAAAAGAGCCACCCCCAAAAAGAGCATGCCCGCCGCAGAGTCCCCAACGCCGGTGCACAACCCTCCTGTTTGACTTCTCAGCCCACGCCAGGGGTCACTTTCAAGCTAAAATTCAAACCGAAAGCTCCTCTTCCACGTGCTCATAAGAATCTCTCCGGAGCGAAACCGGCATCAGAAGCCACAAAAGCAAGTCCAGAAAGCCATGACAAAGAGATGGGGAAGGGCGGCAACGACGCTTGTTTGGGTTTCAAACCCGCCACGAAGACGAGGGAGCATGACAACTTGCCGGCCCCTCCCGTTAGAATGACGGCCAACGCATCTCGAACCCCTTCCTCGACGACACCTGAAGCTGCCTGAGTTCATAGAAGAGGTCGCCAAGATGCTCGAGTCTTCGCAACAAAGCTCCAAACCTGGAAAGTGAGAGCGAGGAGAGGCGGAGGAAGCGGGCAAAGTTCGCGTAGGTCGGTTGTCCCTGGAGGCCTCATTGCTCTACATAAGCGATCTGTACGGGGGAGAAATGCTTCATTAGCAATACAAAGAGACTACATAAAATGTGTTGATATCGTTGGTGATGGCAAGATGCCGACAAACCAGAGCGGTGTCGTTCGGGATAAGCTACATTTCACCATGGACATCACGGAGTCGCAGGTACCATCTTTCATGTACCCCAACCGCATAGTCAATCATTTCCTCTGACCGACTCTGTCGCCAGAAAGCTACTCGATGAAGGAGGCAATTTTTCGAACAGTGTTTCCGAGTGAGCTTTTTCCTGATGACAGCAGTCAAATGCTTTACCGCGATGCCGAAAGCCGGGATCCCATCGGTTTTTCATCCAACGACAAGGCTGCAGAGGTCATACGGGACCAAGTGTCGTGCAATCTTCGATCACGCCAAAAGACTGCGTTCAAATCTTCAAGGCATTAGACAATCGGTGTATGCTGGCTCAAGGAAGGCGGTAGGGAAGCCAGAGCGGATGGTATGACACTTCGGGAAAGCGGGACGAAGCAGCACCGATGGGTGGGTTATGCAGAGAGCGGGAAGATTGCTGAGAGTATATATGGAGTTCAATTAGCGACCGGGTACTTTCGGATTGTAACGTGGGCGTGAATGGCCGTAAGTCATCGAAAAAAGTAGATAGCACACAGCGCGAGCCCGAAATTCAACGGTTTTATTAATTCCAATTGTTGCAAGTTCCTTGGTCGGGCGAATTACATATTAATACCCCAAATCATAAAATTCTTACAAACTCATACTCTACCTTATATGTTTATATCTTTTAAGGCAGCTGCTACGCGTACAGCCCCTGTCTACTAGGCGTACAGCCCCCCCTTTATATCAGGTACACGCAGTCTTAAGAGCTTCAAAGTTGATAATCTTGCTATCTATAGAGCGGTCACGAGTGAACAGGATCCTCCCTCCCTTCGGGGGGCCCCTCCTATACACACTCGCTCCTTCGCTCTTGCGGTGCGCTGGAATTTAAACAGACTAGCCCTGCCGGGGGCTAACGGCTAAATCCCGGAGACATAATTTGGGCGTGAAAGGTATGTACGCCTATTGATCAGGGGCTGTACGCGTAGCAGCGACCTATTTTCAGGCAGGTCTGAATAATTTGTATTTACGGTATAAACACTTCGGACAATCATGCATCAGATCTCATACAATGTAGGTACATAGTAGAGTAGATCTTGTTCATTGCGCGACATGCGCTTCTGTTTCCAATTTACCGTAACTAATGTTCGCGATTATTCTACTTTGGAGATTGCACAAAGGAAGGCTGAGGATAGCGTAGTTCGTATTTTGTCGGCTAGAATTGCCATTACTCATACTTGTATTCACTAAGATTTACAATCTTTAAAATCTATGATTTTTGAATTGATAAAGTTATAAAATCGCATTCTATAGTCTTTTAGGGGGGTTTTTTGGAGTTTTTTATTACAATGTTGTGGAACGATGAGTTGTAAAGATTGACATTTAGAGATTGTAAATCCTAGTGAATACGAGTACTCGTATTCTGCCCCGTGTCCATCAGATGAATTCGATGTTGGTGGCAGGGTCTTCACATCAACCCTTAAACCACAATGTCACCACCCTTCTTGAGTTATTTTTCTTTTCCTGTATTCACCTTCGTGGGTAATCCTTCAAAGCGGTCATGCTCGGGTTGACGACTGGTAGGAATCGCAACATCTGTGTCACTCTCTCAGCAGGTCTGCTGGTCTTCCTACTATTAATATCCTATTCAGGATTAGGAACTAGAGAGAGCGAAGCCGGCGCGGACAGCCAAGCGCACTATGGGAAAAAGTTCCTCCCGCAATTCGCGAATCCTTTCCGGGGTTACCTCTTTGCCAGCTGGGAATTCGATGCAGTACGAGATGGCGACGACTACGGACTCTCAGACCGGCAATGCTCTGCAGCCTTCCCAAAACTCTACGCCGATATCGATGAGATGGTATCTCGCAGGGAACTCAACCACGTCGCAAAGGCAGACTTTGACTCTGTAGAAGGGGACCATGTCGGAAGCTCAATAAGAGCGATGATACACAGAGGGGAACTGTACATAATATCTGAAGACGGACTCGCGGATTATCAGTCGCGAGGGTTTGCGACACTGCATGCGATAAACCGCGCACTGATGGCCTATACCGACCGAGCTCAACTTCCGAATTGTGAGTTCAGAATTTACGTTGGCGACATGGCTCAGGGAGACGATACCCTTTGGGTATATACAAAACCCGTTGAGTCGGATACGGAGAACTTGTGGTTGATGCCGGATTTTGGGATGTATGATTGGCCGGAGGCAATGATAGGATCCTACATCAAATCACGACGCGATATGAGGGTCATAGAGGAAGAAGTGCCGTGGGAAAAAAAGACACAGAAATTCCTCTGGCGGGGCATAATCTTGCCACCATACCAGAGCCGCCATGATCTATTACGCGTTGCGCAAGACAAACCCTGGGCAGACGTTGCCACAGAGGTCATCAATACTCCTGACAGCCACATCATCCCCATGGCTGATTTCTGTCGATGGATGTTTGTGGGTGATGTAAAGGGAGCGTCCTGGAGCGGTGGAGCCAAGTATAAGCACAACTGTCACTCGGTATTCGTGTCTCACAGATTGGCATGGCGGGAGATATACACAGGTGCAATGGTGGATTCAGGGCCAGCGCAGAATTGGGTCTCCGTGCTCGACGATTGGTCAAATCTTGAAGAGACGTTGCAAGATCTAATCGCTAATCCAGCCAAAGCCAAGATGATTGCAGACAACAGTGTCAGAACGTTACGGGACCGATACTTGACGCCTGCGGCGGAGGCATGCTACTGGCGCCAGTTGATTCAAGGGTATGCTTCGGTCAGCTTCGAGCCGGATTTCTTCGAAAGCGATAATAAAACTTGGCGAGGAACGCCCTTTTCTTCCGTGGCTCTGATGGGGATGGTGAAGTGGGATTCCGATCAGGATAGCTTAATTACTGCTGCTAGAGTTAGACATACATGAATGAGGCTTGAAAGAGTCTGATGTCATATCTGGGCGTCTCATGAAGCATTGAAGACCACCAGAGTTTCTCAGAGGTAATGAACTACAATCCCTAAGCTATGCCATGTTACAAGTAGTCATGGTAAGTAGTCTAGCCGATGAATCTTTCCGAGCTTTCTGTATTAGTGCTAATTTTTCAGCCCATTTACTTGAACGGTGGCACCAGGTGGGAAATATTTCAGTTGGGCCCTATTGTGTCTGTACAGCGTAGAGACCAGAGATTCTCGTCCTCGATATCTTTCGCTATTAGCACCCAAGTAATTCTACTATTGTCAAGGACGAGCGTCTGGACGTGCTCCCCTCGCTTCCTGGGTGGGTGGCTGATCCAGCTGAGCTTGGGGGCAGTATTTTTCGCCGCCAAGGCTGTGCAAGTCTTGGCGAGATGCAATGCAAGTATCTTAGGCTGAATGTCCCTCATCAGGCTTCTAAGTTCCCTCTTCTATTCAACCTGCCTAGACAGCCATTGTAAGAGTATCGGCGTATTAGTTGGTCGTCTCAAGATTCTTTGCTCATAGTTATGTCGCTGCCTTCGAGGCGAAACAGTGATTGTCGCCCACGGTTCCTTCAAAAACGATGCGCCATCCCAGCAAGCATGTCATTTGGCTTCAGCATTGGCGACTTCGTTGCCGTAGGCGGTCTGATTGTGAAGACAATTGAGACTCTCCGGAATACTCAGTCCGAGTACCAGGAGCTTATTCGCGAGCTTGAGAGGTACGTCCAGTCATTACCCCTGCACATCAGCTCGGCGCTATTCTCTGCCTAGGGGCGAGCTCACTTCATCTACAGTCTCAAACGAGCTCTGAGCCAGCACCAGGTGTCGACAGAAGTCTGAACACCGAGGTTTACCCGGCTACTGGAGGCTTTCCCACCACTAAAACAATTAAATATTCTTCTTAATTGTCCACACCACACAATGAATACACCTCACACGCCTCCGCGTAATCCTCCCCTAGCCAATCATGAAGCTACTATGCGTCGCAAGGCTAAATTCTTTGAGGCTATAGACTCCATGGTGATGTAATGAAGGAATATGTATATTAGATTCTCAGCTTTCTCTAGGTAGCCGGGTAAACCTCGGTGTTCAGACTTCTGTCGACACCTGGTGCAGATGGACAAGCTCAAGGGCCGTGGAAGAGACCTAGTAATCGTAGTCCGACTATTCGCCCGCTCATAGTAGTCCTCAATTCAAAAACGCACTAGTCTCAAAGACGCGAAAATCTATTATTCCTTTCTAATTCTATATAAATCTCGACCTATAACTCGAATCTTAATAAATACATCTTAATGTGTATACACTAGCTTTTATAAATTATAATTCAGCTTTCGAATATAAGCCTTAATAATCTTATCGGCCTTTTTTATTAAATTTCCTCAGCCTAAGTAGCTCGCTTTAGAGCCTTCTCCGTCTTTTCTATAACTGTTTCTTTTACTATAATTAGAGATTTACGTATTTAATCTACTGATATCTATTCTCCCTTCTAGATAATTATCTCTAAAAGTATCTTATATATTCGCTTAATTATAGCCTCTTTATAAATAGCCTTAATATCTCGCTTAATAATTTATCTTAAGTAGTTATTAGTAATAGATCCTTTTATAAATCGAATTAATAATTATTATATACTTTTTAAAATAATAAAAATCTAAATAGTAAGTAGTTTTTTAAATTATTAATTATATTTAATAATATCTTCGACTTTATAAGAGGTTCTAGTAAGTATAAAAGATATAAATTTATCTAGAGTTATAGCGCGAGGTATTAGATTTCTAATTTTTTTAAATATTACTTTAGAGTTATAGAATACGAAATTAATCTTTTAAAAGGCTAAATATATAATATTAAGTATAAAAATTTAAGTTCTTATTTAATTAAATACTACGAGAAAGTCGAGTCTATTAAAGTCGTTACTTCTAAGATATATAGCTAAATCTATAGTCTTCGTATAGTAGTATTTAAATAGTTAAAAGTATCTTATATCTAATAGCTATATAATATATATAAAATATAAGAGAAGTATAAATAAGTCGATCTTCAATTATTAGATAAATATATAAAATTCGTAGATATAATAAGATCCGAAGCCGTCTAGAATTAAGATTCTCTATTCTCTTACTTAATAATAATAAGAAAATATATTAAAATATAGTAGCTAGTTATATATTAGTCGATTATTTAAATATCTAATAGATAAAATAGTTAATATAATATTCGAAGATAAGTCGTTTTTTATCTTATTTATATAGAATATAAGTACTTTTTAGAATTACGAATAAAAGTATACTTTAATCTACGGCGCTAATATATTCTACGAATATAATATAATTATAATTATCTAAATCTACGAACTATAGAGACTTACTTTTTTCTAAAGTAATAATATAATAGATAATTTTATAGCTAATTCGAAAGTTAATCTTATTTATATTTTAAATATCTTAATATTATATACTCTTCTCTTTATAGCTCTATCGAAATTTCTTATATATTATACGTATACTCTTAATATTATATATATTCTTACGCTCGACACTAAGAGATTTTTACTTCTATTTATAATATTTAAGATATTATTTTATAAATCGTATAGCTTAATCTTTATCGAGTGATTTAAGAGAATAATACGAATTTAAAGCGATTTTTAAAATATACTTAGTAGTACTCTAAATATAATTTAATCGAAATAAATACTTAATATTATTTAGACGATTAATATAGTTATATAATAACTATTTTTAAGCCGTAATAAGACGTATATAAATAGATATTTGAGTACTTCTAGAAGCTTATCCCTAAAGCTATCTTTATACTTATCGCGATTTAAGATTATAATACTCTACGACCGTTATAGCGCTATAAAAATAATTATTCTTATACTTATTAATAGCCTTCTAGATAAGTTTCTCTTATTTAAAATAAGATAAAGATATAGTATAATAGAATAATAGTAGATTATAATATAGAGTGTTAAATCGCGAAAAACGCGTCTTTAAGACTAGTGCGTCTTTGAGTTACGAACTACTATAAGCGAAGCGAATAGTCGAACTACGATTATTCGATAAACGCCGACGTCGAGATAATAAATTTAATCGAGATTCTTCCCCCACATTCAATAGCTTTCTTATATTAATTATTAAATAAATTCTACTATTAATAATCTAATATATCTTAAATTACTACTCTATTAACTTCTAATAAAAACGAATTAAATTAAGTCTTAAAGTAGTAAAAAAAAGCTACGAAAACTAGTAAGAGATAGATATTTCTTAAAAAACGTAATAATCTTCTTTAGCGTATTTAACTATTTCTAGAGTATTAATTCGTAAATTTTTAGAAAATCTAAAGAAATAGAATTTATTAATAAGATCTTATAAAATTAGTTTATAAGATTTATTTTAATTAAATTAGATTTAACGTTATAATATAGATTTGAATATATTAACTATAGAAATTCTACGCGGGTGCGGATTAATTAAGCGAAAAGTCTGTTGTATGGCGTAGATGGGGGCAGATACGATTAACCAAGCGAGGCTGAGATCTGCACCAGGATCAGCAGACCTCAAATTCATCTTCATCTCGTCTCCCGAGTCTCTCAATCACCCATCTGGCCTCGTTATGCTTATAGAGTCTCGCAGCAGGTTGTAGGCCCAACAATATGAGGGTTTGCTTATAGCTGGTCATACTGACCACCGGTTGCCTCCGCGACTCAGCACTCATCGAGCCAGCTTTCGCTGCCATTAGCTACACCTGTATCCACCTTGGTACTGCGTGCAGTCCAGAGATATTGTGAGAAATTGATGGAGGCTATATACTTGCCAAGCTCATCATGCATGTTCAGTCGGGAAGTTCCCTCTTTCTGCCCTTTGTCGTGCATTGTATTAGTAGTTCTTGCCATTTCCGTTACATACAGTGCTGGAAGGGGCACAATCGCATATTGTGGGGAAGTCACACCTCTATGTGACCAAAAAGTACTTGGAGCCATGCGATGACTGAACACAGGGCATAATCTAGAGGTCTCAAGGCCTCTGAATGATTATGAATCTGTAGTTGAATTGCATTGGTATTTAAACACTTTAGCAGGTAATAATTTTAACTTTAGGAACTCTAGCTTGGGAAGTTTCGTGGAGTAATGGTGTGTGGAATCTCCTCCAGTCCTTCGGGATAGGTAGGCCCGCGTTCTTCAGAGCTCTTCGGTTCGACTCAGGTCTGGGTATCCTAACTTTTTTTCCTTTTCTTTTCTTCATCTTTTTTTTCTTCTTCCCCTACTTGCATCTTGATCATTCCTCTTTTTCCTTTTGACAGTCAAAGCCAAGATAATGGAAGTCTTGTAATACCCTGGTAAGCCCGTGATACTTAGAGGTCACTTTGTGCTAGCTACGAAGACCAGTCCCGCCGATTGGTTGCCAAAGGCCGCGCTAGTTGTGCATCTACCGCTTGTTCCGGACATTTCTTGAAGCAGTCGTTTCTGTCTCTTGCCTCGCGCCCGTGCACATTTCAAACCACAAATACCAAAGTCTTCCTCTATACTGGCATACACAGTTCTGTCGTCTTATGCATAGCTCCTCTATATTTACCTCGGCTTTGGCGCCTTCACCTTGCTCCGCTCATCTTACAGGCACACCTAAACCAAGATGATTCGACGCGACATGTCAAGTTGACCCAAGCTCTTGAGGTCTTCTGGATCAAAGCTCCTGCGCGAGTCCTCCTACCGCAAGAAAGACAAGCACCATGGCACCGCACGGTCAACAGGCACGCGATGACGAGGGAGAAATGCAGTGCCAGCACTTCCTCGCGAAGCTCCTTCATGGTCTCCAACCCTCTCAATCGCTCGGTTTGAAGCGGCATCACTGACATAGAGTAGAATTTTTCGTGCTTTTGCTTCAAGAGGTACCGGCGACTTCCGGAAGCATACACCCTTCTACCTGCCGTTACATGAATTGTCCTCACCCTGACTCGGTCATACCGCCTGGCACACATTGTGTCAACCTCGAAAGTCGCCAGTGCTCCGACCCAAAGCACTTTCATCTACATTACGAGCCTGCGGCCAATCTCCGAAAAACCAAGCAAACTCCAAAGGGTCGTGGTGGTCTCTACGGGCTTGGAAAGCACGGGGAGGAAAGGTACTGCGTAGGGTGCCTCGAGAAAATGCTTGAAGAGCATCGTCGACGCCTGCAACGCAAAGACCCCCAGGCCGTATTTCTACCGGGTCATCCAATCTTTGAGATCGCCTACTGGATCATTGGCGACCAGCGTGTCATCCCGAGTCGCGGTGGAAGATTCACATTGAGATCGTTCAAGATCTACGGCCTCGAGCTTTGGAAAGCGCGGTGGCTATGGAATTGTTGTGACGCCAATCCCGACTACGTCTTGACACAGACCCCTGGTCGGACAGTTATGATCCAACACTTGCCTGGGCGGTACCCTAAAGCCATCTACCTTCAGCCAGAAGACAAAGATTACAGGGGTTTGTTCGATGACAATACCGTTGGCGAGATCTCGAGCGATGAGGTGGATCATTGCAGCCTTACTGAGGTGCTGGGCAAGCTGGATGCTTGTGCAGTGGCCCATGAGAGGCTAAAAGCCCAACTAAGCGCTGCCCGAAAGCTCGCGGAAAAGTCTGCGGCGGATGCAAGAAGAGCCGAGTGTCATCGCAAGATAAATGAGAGAGCAGACAGGCAAAGGCAGTGGGAAGAGATCGAGAAAGCGAGCATCATCTACAAGCCTCGACCTAGAACGGTGCCAGTCGTGCGGTGCTCGACGCCTACACCCGCGCCAAAGAGCCCAAGGAAGGCTCCAGTCGTTGGGGACGATATCATACGAAAGTCCTCCCTCGTGGCTTCAGACGCCCTCCTCTTTAGCCAGAACTGTGAGATTGGGGCCACATTATCGGCAAAAAGCGCTACAGCAATCCCAAGCACTGGCCAGAGGCGTCATGATATCCAACGCATCGAGATGGCTACAGACGTTCCAGCCACGAACGAGCATCTTGCAAGGGGCACTGCAGATGGCAACAGGCCCCTCAGTATCATGACAGCCGGGCTTACTATTCACGGAACTGTACGCCCTCCAATTTCAAAATCCGCCCGAACAAGCCCGAAAGGCAATCAAAAAGGCGATTTGGTCACTGATGGCGTGGATGATGTTGTTCTTGAAGGCCGAGGAAAGCCTGGAAGCAAAGCAATCGACCCTTTCGAAGAGGCAGACATGGGAGACAGTGTCGATATACGGCCCAGAGAACAGTCCGAAGGGAGTGGTGAATACTCTGAAGATGACAAGAAGCCATTCGATACCGCCACAGCTTGTTCTACTAGCCTCGAAAAACTGCTTCCTGCAACGCTCGAAAACGCCTGAACAAACCTTGAAGGTAGCAGTCATAATAGCTTCATGGCAAATCGCGGTGTTGGCGGCGAGCAATGAGTTGGAAATATGGCTTGGCGAATATAGGAAAAGTCGAAGGACTGCCGCAAATGCCTGGGGTCGAACCACTCGCTACCTGATGATAAGGGTAGTAGTCTTGGTACAAGAGCAAATGAAGGAGCCAGATGCGCGACGTTTTGACTTACACGACATTACCGAGGGTGCACGGGAGCTGTGCAGTTGCGCATTTAGCATGACTGCGTTGTGTACGATGGGTATCGAAGAAGTAAAGCATCCTGCGCTTTGAAAGGAATCAATGAATCGCTTTTTATCTTCTGTCGCGACTTCAGAAGTGTTGAAAAGATGGTTGGGTGCGACTCAGTCGCTTACTGGTCACAGCTACCTCACCGTACAGTCTGAATGAAGGAGTCGAGAGTTCAATCACTCAAGGCCACATTCATTGCTCTTTATGTGAAGGATTGAATTGAATCATTCATCATTCGCTTTCGTCAAAGTGTGAATGTCCCCTCGGCATCGTTGGGTATTTAGATCCCCAACCTCTGAACCTTCCCTTCTTTCACAAACTAATCTACCCTATAATCCTCCTTCTCCGGTGTGTTGGAAAACTCTTTGTACGTCCCGCATTCTTCATCTTCATCCTCTGTCTGCGAGTTCCCATTCCCCTGCTTATACTTACGCTTCATGTGGTGACCAGGCTTTTTACATATATAAAGATACGTTCTCAGTTCCCAATGCCCAACCATCAACGTCGTTTTACCCGTGGACGCTCGGAGCCTTTTTGACTCCTACTCGGGCGAGATCCAAAGTCCCTCTACATCAACACCGACGCTAGCGAGTACCAGGGGAAGTTTAAAGATGCTATGGTTGCGGAGATACCGGGTGATGAAGTCGAGGACGCCGTCTTTCAAGCAGGCGACTTCATTTTGAGCCTCGAGAAACCCGAGCGCTGCAACCCGTCGAGAAATCCGCTGAGTTATAAAGCAATCGCGTGTCTTTCCGAGGTCCTCTACTCTGGGTGGAACCACCAGAAGGGGAAGCGGGGTCTAGGTGAGCGCGGGGAGGAACGATGGCACGTCACTTGCTTTGAATCTCTGTGCCGTGAGATTCGGAAGCGCGAATTGCTCATCAATCCTGGGGATGGTATACCATCGTGGGCACCTGCCATGGAATTTGGCCACCACATCATCACGGATGAGCGACGCATACCCGCCTATCCTGGCAAATTCAACGTCGACTCTCCCTACCAATTCGGCCTTGAGTTGTGGAAAGCGACGCAGCTCTTCGATGACCGACAAGCACACGGAGCGCATTTCATGCCGACTGTTCCACCGCACATCCAGCTGCCCGAGAAGCTCATCGACGGACGCGATGGACAGAGTCTCTACCTCACCAATGCGGCAAGGAATTTCAGAGGAGAAATGCCTTGGGGCGAGATCGCTGAGATCTCGGCGGCGGATGTACGAGGGGTCACACTGTATGAGATGACGCGGAGGGTCTCGGCGATGATGAGGCCGAAGTACCAGGCAAGGAGAGCGTCAGAGAAGCAGGAGGAGTTGGCTAGAAAGGCCCGGGAAGAGATAGCAGCTACGGCCGCAAGCCCCAACCAGGACGACATTCTCGCTGCTGGTGAGAAAGGGGACGAGGCTCTCACGCCCGCAGAGCACAACTCTAATGCTTCTACGAGCGATACCGAAGCCGTGCTCACGCCGATGAACAGGTCTGCTACCCCAGAAACAGCCTCTGTCACCGCTGCCGCCATGAACAAAGATGACGTTGCTGAGAGTAGTGACAGAGCCTTTGACGTCTCAGAGATCAACAAACCTACTCCTGACGCCTCCATCAACGACGGGAAGCTCCTCTTCGTGCCCGGGAAAGAAGGGTATACTACCTCCCAAGCGGTGCGAGCGATGGGTAAAACCACCCATGACATCGCCACCACGAGCGAGAACAAAACCAATAACCGTATGCCGTCCCAGCCAACCTCGCCCAAACAAAACATCGTTGTCCCCACAGAAGTGGCTACTTCCCTCGCAAAGCCAGCTCCTAGCGCATCAAACCCTTCCCGCATAAGTCCCAAGCGCAATGGACAGGGCAATTCGGCAGCCCAAAAGGCGGCGACTGCCCCCGAGAAGGAGGCAACTGCAGAGGATGCAGGTGGCTCCAGTGAAGACGATGTGGTCTTTTTGGGCTGGAATAAGGTCGCGAAGGCGGCGAAGGAGCCTCTAGAAGAAACGCTCAAAGGGAAAGGTACCGTCGGACGAGAGACACGGAGGTCGCTGAGAGGTGGGCGGGGGAGGTGGAGGTATAGGTATGGCAATTGACTTTTTTTGTTTTTTGGATGGACATGGCGTGATGGATTATGAGGAGATGTGATGTTTTATGAGCAATGAGCCAATGAGCGACGTTTTTTCTGATGTTGGTAGTCGGTCGACAGGTATATACATTATCGACAGGATCTCTCCACACGCTCCATCGAATTACGTCTTTCAGTGATATATCACCCGACCATGTACTGCATTTTCTCTTATGTACTCAGCGAAATGCAACATACACTGGTTAACCATCAGTGTCGCACTGTGATTCAATGGCATCTCACCACAATACAGACGACCCAACCTCTTTTCCCCAGCTACCTCCTCCCGATCCTCCCCTCATAAGCTTTCCAAGCAGCCTTCCTGTACCTTTCCGCCTCTCTTTCCCTATCCATAGCTCCCAGGACCCCCCTCCCCACAATCACAACATCCACCCCGTCCCTCCCTACCACCTGCTCTGGGCCCCTGTACTGTTGGCCTTTGCCATCACCCTTCACCAGCTCATCTCCCTCTCTCGGCAGTGAGACCCCAGGCGCAAACGTGAGGAACGCATCATCCGCTTCTTGATTCAGGGACCGTTGTGCAACGAATCCAAGCACGAAGTCTTGGTTCTCCCTTGCGGCTTTTATGCATGCATTGGTATACTCTGGCGTCAAGAGATTGCCCGCCGAGCTCATCTCCGCAAGCAGGAGGAGACCACGAGCGTGTGGTGGGAGCCCCAGCTCTTCCAGCGCCTTCTGCTTGGTTTGCGGCTCATCCGAGTCTTCGCCCATAGACAGGGAGTGCATCAGACTCACAGGGTGCCGCGGCGATGTAGGCTCAAAGGTCTGTGATATGGTCGTCGTAGCCGTAGTCAGACTCCCCGCTCTCCCTTTCCTCCTTGTGTGCGAAAACAGCGTCTGCGGTGGACTTGCGCTCGTGCTAGAATTAGGACTTGTGGGCGACGCGACGGGGAAGGACGGGGCGGGCGATGTAGATGTTACAGAGGTAGAAGTGAAGATGCTCGAGGGTCGGTCAGGTGAGTCTGCGGCATTGCTGCTGTCGAGAGAGAGGCGGGGCGTGCCGGCTGTTATTGTAGTGTCGACAGATTGGTTCAGGGATGTAAGACAGGAAGAGGCGGCGGAAAAGAGGAGGGGAACTATGGAAGGGCCCGGGAGGAGGTGAGCGTTTGTAAGGTGAGCCCATGTGCAGATTGCAAGGGGTCCACGTGTGTATTGACTTTGAATCGTGTCTGTGTCATTGAGAGCGTCAGCCATTGAAGGAAACATAGAGAGTAAAGCAAACGGAGGAGATAGGCGGTGTAGGGTGGGGAATTGCCTACTTCCAATGTCTCCAAGCTTCCTATCCTCAAAGAGCAGGAAATGCTTCCTTCTCGATATCTCCTCCAAGCCTCGAATGGTCTTCTCTGACCAATCGTCTATGATATCGGCATGGGTCTTGAGCACGCATATGGAGTCACCGACTTCTTCTGCCACGCTCAGTAGATCGTATGTAGTGTGGACATCTGCGGATACGCAGAGGTTGGAGCGCTTTATGGAGATGAGGCTGAGGAGATACGTCGCTAATGGGGACGTATTGGGCTGTTCGGCGCGGGTGGAGTAGGGTAGAGAGAGGATGGAATGCTTTTCGGAGGCCATCGTGCTTCGTGTTTGGGAAGAAAGCGTAGGCAACGTGTGCACCATTAGGACATTGTGAAAGATGGAGAAGTCTGAAGCTGTACTCGGTGCTCATGAGCTCTGATACTGGAAATGGAGCCGAGGAGCTTGGTAGCCAATCAGAGATCCCGGCAACTGCTTCGGCTAAGACCAATTGGAGCTGACATCAGCGCCGTTGGAAGCTTAAGTTTACCTCTCTTCTTTCCTCATCCCACCTTAGTCCCTATGGCAAAAAGAGCAACATAATATTGGGAAGTTCCTCGTTCTATGGGACTTGCTTTTGATCAATAGTACAAATACAGATAAGTATGCCCACTCATTCGATGGGTCTCTGTCGAAGCATATCGATCCACCACCTGGGTATCATTGCTTCAAATGCTCGGTGCCTTCCCTGATGACTGGTATCATGTCCACACCTCGTCCCTGATCATGCCAAATGCACCCCGGCAGTCCTCAAGGATATGTTGTCGATGTCCATCCACTCCGAGTCTTCGACCAAAAGCCTCCCTTCGCTTGTGGTCTCCTCGATGAGACCTAGCCTCTTATTATTGTTGGCATCAAGGTCACCTGTCATTTGGTGGCTGCTCCTTAAGGGATAGCGTGACTTGCGAGGTGGATCAATGCTCGGACTCCGGCCATAATTTGGCACGTATCTGTCATGTCGCCTTGCCTCTAACTGCACGCCATCGCCAGGCGTATCACCAAGATCGCCACTACTTGTAGGAGTGTCACCAGGTTTACGGTAGTTGCTTCTTAGGAGACGGGGCTTGTGAGGTTGCTCAACGCTTGGTCCATCATCCGGCACGTATCTGTCAAGTTCTCTGGGCTCTAATTCCACACCATTGGCAGTAATCTTCAGTCTCCTGTATCCTTCTCGCTTCTTTGGGTTTGTGGGGTTTGGATTCTGTCTTTCGTGCAGTTTTTGTGGATACTTGCCCTTTCCGCGCCTCTCCTTCTGTTCCATCTGCAGGCGGAGGACCCCTTTTTTCTTGTTCTTGGTCATCTCAATGCTCGGATCCAGCTCATATTGACGGAGTAGATCTCGAGTAGTCTCCCGGAAACGGCCTTTGCGGGCCAATTTTTGTGCCACCTTCTGGGCACGTCGTTGGGCGGCCTCCGTTCGTGCCCCCACCTCGCGTTGATTTTCGTTCAAATGCAGTCCGCTTAGAGCTTCTTCAAGGACTTGCGCTTCATTGGCAGGAGTGGTCTGTGCTATGCTTTGTTGGGTACGCCGTTGCCGATTGGCTTCAAGTGTTGCTGCTGAACCTCTAGGCACTGATGTCCGAGAGTTCGAATTCCAGGTTTGAGAGCTCGTCGCGCGCCATGAGTCCGCGATTGCCCGGACCTCACCGTACACCATTTCTCTTGCTGCGAGCTTCGCATCTTGCCCCCTATTGGCTGCTAGTATTGAGTCGTACTGTGTCAGACGATGTCGGATGTGGGCATTGACAGCCAGGTGGACTTTCAATTGATCTTCTAGGATTTGTGATCGTCCTACTCGACCGCTTCCTTTCTGGAAGCCATGCCCTAGGATCTCTGTGCAAGCGCCCTCGGGTATATTAGGGAAGAACTCAAGAAGCACCTTGTGAGCCTTTTCGTGGTCGCGGCTGTCTTTGGCTGCTACCGCTCTTTGGCGTTTTTCTTCTGATTGGGGACTCGGATTCAGTACTCGCTGTTCTAAGTGACAAGCTTAAAAGATTTTCTCTCATGTCCTGGCAGGGCTCTCGTTTCAGGAGCAAAGCTAGGGTCACCATCGAAAGGCGATCACCCGAATTTTGGCGAGGGTCCGGAGGAGTACGCCTGATTCCGGTGTTCTTTGCCAAGGAAGCGAGAGCCCAGTTCGCCAGGACATGGGACAGTGAGCAAGTGAGGTGTTCAGTTTCTGAAACATGTGCCGGGCTTGAGGTTCCAGCACAAGGAAGAGGGGGATGACCCTAAGATGAACGTACCAGTGCCAGCAGCGTCTTCTTTGACTGCTTCGACGATCTGCTGGAAGCAGTGGATCCCCAGTCTTTCGTTTGTTTTACGGTCCTTGCAAGCGGTAAGCTGTGGATGACGCGTGATTTTGGTGATCTTACATAGACAATCCATAGCCATCTTCCAGACACACTCGTCAGATTCCTACTGTTCAGTGTTAGACGGGGATTCGTGCAAAATTTTGAGCTTTCATACCAGTGTCGAGTGATGTAGACGTCTCCTTTGGGAACAAAGACGTAGCCTGAAGGGGGGTGGTCTGAAATATCGGATAACTGAACCATCGCAAACATTAGCTTTACATTACTAAGTACTCGCTGCTCCAAGATAGAAAAACCAGAGTTTTTTTGACGTACTCTCTCATATGCATGCTTCAATAAAGCTCTCGGCTGCGACGTCCCAACTGAGTTCATGGTTGAGTGCAGTATGGTATGGAAATACTCATGAGCCAAGTAATGCGTTCGTAATCTGTAGGACTTTAATTTGAACAGAGGACGGAGATTAAAATGCGGAGTTTAGTAGTGCCAATACCTGTATGTGCCAAGACAGGACCCTTCTTCGCCCAGAAATCCGCGAGTTCCAGATTCAAGGTCAACAGGGTCTCAAAATTGAGCACTCTCGCCCTTACCGGACCTCCACCATAGCCTGTCGACGTCACACTGAACCTCGTCGGTGCTTCCGAGCGGAGCGGAGCGGACCTACCCTGTACCGCACTTGACGAATTCGGAGAATCCTAATTCTACCGATTTATCTTCAGATGGAAGGAAATCGAGACCAAGGCGCGTCTGCTCGATGATCCTGTCCTAAGCAGAGCAGGAAAAAACGATGGCGACGCTAGCAAGTCTGGAGACGAGTCCATCGAAAGTCAACAGCATCAGGGAGCGCGAGCTCTACCGCTACTTCCAGCCTCCAGAGTCCCCCAAGCAACAAGAGACTCTCAGCGTCCATGCCGCATCCTCACCTAACACCACCCTCACGGCTCTGGCACAGTTATGTGCCCTCCGACTGCACGCGAAGAGGGCAATGATCAGGTGGGCTTTCCACGACGATTGCGGAATGTGGAGCTGATTTTCCTTAAAGCGTGATCGACCGAGAGAAGCAGTACTTCGTTGCCGAGTCTACCAAGACACTGGACCTCGTGAATAACAGCAAATCGGAAGAAGAAGGTGACGGGCTGTGGTTCGGATGTGGAACCGTCGACAAGTCGGGGAGACTATGCGAGAAGACCATTGAATTACCGCCCTCCTTGGCCTGTTCTCCATCTGTGTTAACAGTCACAGACCTCTCGAAAGACGAGCGATTCAATCGATTACCATTCGTTACCGGACCTCCATATTTCAGATTCTATGCGGGAACACCTTTGACTACGAACAAGGGGGTCAACATTGGCTCCCTGTTCATCCTCGATGATGTGGCACGGCCTCAATTAAGCAATGATCATGAGCTATTCCTCGCTACTATTGCGCAGACGGTCATTAAGCATATGGAGATTACTATGGAGGCCGACGAGCGTAAGAAGGTGATGAGGCTTTCCCTGGGTATGAACGCATTCGTGGAGGGAAAGAGCAGGCTAGTGCTAGATGACCTGACACACAAGATGGGGATGGCTCACAAAAACTGCTCTAACAGCGACGGCGGACTGACAAAAAAGAGAACTGATAGCGGGAACAAACCATTGATGAGCAACAATGGGACCCATAGTGATCAAGACTCTTCTCAAGAGGACTCGGATTTTGGCAAGACCAGTAGAAATGTGGACACGGGTCATCGGATGACATTTGCAAGGGCAGCAAACATACTTTGCGAATCTCTAGAGATCCGCGAAAGAGGAGGCGTAGTGTATTTCGATGCGACATCGCGGCATGGTACAGAGACTCGCGATTCCCATGACCGAAAATCCCAAAGACCCGCTGAGATTGTCAGCTACTCTACGCCTGAATCAGATCTATTCCTTGAGAACCAACCATCTGAGACGAAGTCCTTCAAACCCGTCGATGAGACTTTGCTGCACAGCTTGCTCGCCCGGTATCCTCGTGGGAAGTTGTGGTCCTTTGACCGAGACGGTAGCTTATCATCCTCGGAAGAGGAGCCCCTATCTCCTAGGGAGCGAACCAAGTCTGAAGGTAGCAGACAAATTCGAGCCAATAGGAAGCAGATCGAGGCCGTGCTTCTTCAGCAACATTTTCCGGGTGTTCGCCAGTTGATCTTCTCCGGTCTATGGGATGCTTCTTCAAGCCGCTGGTTTACTGGTGGCTTTGCGTGGACTACCTCTAGTCGTCAAATTTTCTCACGGGAGACGGAGCTCAGTTTCTTCATGGCTTTTGGAAACAGCGTCATGGCAGAAGTGTCTCGGCTGGCATCGATCGCGGCAGACCGTCAGAAAGCGGACTTCATAGGATCCATTTCTCATGAGTTTCGATCACCCTTAGTAAGTTATTGCTACACTCACTGTGGACGATCCGCTAAAAGTGTTCAGCATGGCATACTTGCTAGCGCAGAGTTCTTGGCCGACACCGAAGCAGATGCATTCCAAAGCAGCCTGGTCGATACAATATCCTCATGCGGCCGTACTTTGTTGGACACCATCAACCACATCCTCGATTACAGCAAAATCAATTCGTTCGAGAGGAATTGGCGCAACGTACGCAAGCCAGGGTCGAGGGCAAGAGGAGCGGCAAACCGCCGAATAGCTGACAAGGAAGCGCCTCCAATGATGAACATCTACGCGACCGTGGATGTCGCAGCAGTCACAGAAGAAGTCGTTGAAGGGGTGTACGCAGGCCAGATCTACCAGGACATTAGTTCGACTGAAGCGACCGACTTCTCTAACGGAGCTAAAGCTGAAGCTCTTGATCGGGGCATACATGTTGGCAATCAGTCCCGTGTGAACAAGGCCAGCGCGGCGAAGGCGGTAGAGGTTATACTGGACATTGCTCACGAAAACTATGTCTTCACTACGCAACCAGGGGCGTTAAAGAGGGTAGGAACACGTTGCTCCATTCTGTGCTGAAGCTAACACGTCTCAGGTTATTATGAACATTTTCGGGAACGCACTCAAGTATACGCAAAAAGGATCGATTGTTGTCAAGCTAGCTCTTGGCCCTTCGAACCATGATGCAATGGAAGACACAGAGAGGATTCTGGAAATCAAGGTGATAGACACCGGCCGCGGCATATCGTCAGAATATCTTCGGACGAGTTTGTATAATCGTGAGTGACCCAAACCCTATCCCTGGTCAGAGCTGTCTGACCTTTTGAAGCTTTCTGTCAGGAAGACGTACTAGCAAGTGGTACCGGACTCGGTTTATCCATCGTCAAGTCGATCCTCACCATGCTCCGCGGTACAATTGATGTCCAAAGCGAAGTAGGGAAGGGGACCGACATCACAATTCGCGTACCACTGTCACGCGTGCCAGGGACTGATACACCAGTCTCCACTCCAAGTACAGATGTATCGGTCGATGGGACCTCTCAGGATGACTCGATGCGTATCCTCCAAGCTGATTATCAGGCATCAACAATTGCTCTGTACGCTTTTCACTCCACAGAGTTCCCGAGTGAAATGACAGAGGTGGGCCGGACGATCAAAACTTGTATCGAAGACTGGTTTGGACTCCGGGCATGCTTATCTTTGTCTGAGTTGACGTCCAAGGATATTATAGTCGTCGACGAGAAAGATCTGGCCGAGCTTGTAACACAAAATGCTACACCCCTGCCAACTGTCGTGATATGCAGCAATTCCACCCGCTCTAAGGCTGCATCTCGTCAAAACATGCCAGCCGTCACAGAATTTGTATCAAAACCGTTCGGACCACACAAACTCGCTAAAGCTCTCCGACTGTGCTTAGACAAGGCCAGAGATTACCATCTGGGACTGACTCCAGTGATACCATTCTCAAGCGGAGGGCATGGTTCTTTGAAGTCGGAGGCAGGTACTGCAATACCACATTTAGAGCATCTGACGATTGAGACTGAAGATGACCTGCGCCCTCTCCGTGTCCAGACTAACGGTATCTTGACAGCGAGTGAGTCAGACAATGCTCAAATGGCTATTGACCACTGGAATACCGGTTCTTCAAATGACACCATTCATGGGACATTGAATGATGGTCAGAATTTCCCATTCCCTGACCAAAGTCAGCAAAATCAATCCGAAACAAATCCCATATCACCTCGGTCGCCTGTGAAAGAGAATGTCGCAATGCGCGATCGGCCTATGGGTGATCTTACGAGGCGCGAGTCAAGACGTCCTCCCCTAATATCGAGAATGACAGCACCGGCGGTGAGAACAGCTTTCCCGCATTCGCTTGATCAATCGTTCTATGACTCATCAGCTATTACCAAGCATGGTGAGACCGCAACGTTTGAAACAGAGACGCCTTTGAGTGACGCAGCAAAAGCACATGTACTGAACGGAACGACTTCTTCAAGCCTCACGGCGTCGAACATGGCTCTTCACAATGGTGAGACACCGAACAAGACGCCTAAAGCGCAGCCCCAGGAGCGAAACAAGCGTCCTCCAAGACTGCTTTTAGTAGATGACAATAAAATCAACCTGCGTTTACTGGAAACGTACATGCGGAAAAGAAAGTACAAGCTCGTCGACTCGGCTGAGAACGGTCAATTGGCTGTGCAGGCCGCCGAATCCCACGAGCATGGCTACGACATCATCTTCATGGGTAAGTCCTCGCCCCTGCCATCTTTCCAGCTCGGGGAAGTCTAAAATATGGCGACAGATATAAGCATGCCCGTGTTGAACGGATTCGAAGCCACCCGAGCCATCCGCGACATCGAGGAAGCGCGCAGCCACAACCGAAGGGACGGCCACGGGCCCTCCCCGGCCTTGATCATCGCTCTGACGGGCCTCGCGTCCAGCAGAGACCAGAGCGAAGCTTTCACCAGCGGCGTGGATCTCTTCATGACGAAGCCCGTCTCTTTCAAAGAGGTCGGGCGCTTGCTCGACAACTGGGAAGCACACGGAGGCGTCAAGCCTTCGGAAGAGGAGGCGAATGGGAATGCCACTTAGCTGCATTCTCTTTTTTTTGTTACGCGCACAGGATTTTACGAAATGTCACGTTGCATTGCATTGCATTGATACCACGGGCTTGTTTGTAGGCGGGGAGCCCGGCCTGCTCCGGAGATGGCACGGCGTGGCGTCTGGATACGGTTGGGGTGAGAGCGCTTTGCATAGGTAGACTTTGATGTCTGCGCGTGAATGGATATACGAGCGCCGCCGTTGGGCTTAGCCCTCGTAAATAGTAAGGGTTTGTTTAATGGGACTAATACTCTTGGTACGACAAGACCTTTTTGGACATCGACAACGCTTTGATGCGGTTTCGTTCATCATGGCGCCTGGATGCGATAAGGACATATTGGCTTGTTTGTCGCCTAACCGGACTAGCATACCTATATAAACGATTGACATCAAAGCTGTACATGATTCACATTGCATATCCAGCCTCGCGCATGGCGCCCTCCAAAGATGCCTTTCCTAAAGGGTATATACTAAACCAAGTGCCACCTATACAAAATCATTTCCCTGCCTCTGCTCGAAAACCAGATGAGAGACGTATACGATCCACAGCCAAGCGAGAAACTAGCCTGATATATCATCTGTATCGATGAGGCTTATGTGCCAAGGGTGAGCTTGGTGGCGCAAACGCTGCCCTTGCCGGCTCTCGTACACGTCCTCCGCGAACATTGGGGGTTGAGCCTGTGCAGAAGACACAGAGATGGACATAGGGCAGCTTGTTCGGGTCAAACCCGAGGCACGAGACATGTTGCCATCTGCGGCAGGATTCGCTGTGTAGGGTCAGTGCATTCTTGCGCTGTTGAACACGAAGACGCGAGACTCACCATTGTATCATGACCTCACCAAAGTCCTCGGTAACATGGCAAACGCAGCGGGTACTGTCGCCGCTGCCGTTGCTCTCCCGACCCGTGGTTGGGGTTGACATGTCAGGATCTGTGATTGTGGTCGGTGAGATGTTGCTGTATGGGTCCTGGTATGCATGATGACCCGGAGTGTGGGACCCAGTGGTGTAATATGGGTGTAAAGGGCCGCCTGGCAAGGGGTATGCTCGGCGCTGACCTGTAAAACCATCCCTCGACCCTGACCGTGTTGCGTGCTTGCTGACTTTCTTCTGCGACCTCGACTGGAGAACCTTCTTCAGCTCAGATTGGGCGTCACCTTTATCATCATCAGTGTCGATGATCGTTTCACCTTCGCTTTCCACTTCAATCCTGCCGGCGCCACTGTAAGCCTGAGAGCTGTGCTGTGTATGGAGATTGGAGGACGTTCGCCGCGTAGATGACGGCTGGGCTGTGCTGACCGATCCCAGCGTTGACGTGTACGACGTACGCTGCGAGTGTGATTGAGGATCATTGAAGAATCGTCCAAACTTTGGCTGCTTTTGCCTTTGAGAAGGGAAAGCGAAGGATTGGGGCTGGCTCATCACCATTTCAGCACTTGACGACGACGAGTCGCTCTCACTGTCTTCAGAATCACTGTCCACCTGTATTCCACTTTTGGACGCATGTTTGGTGTCATCTCCCACGACGGTCTTTGCCCTGCCACTGGCATCAACAGTCAGAGTGACCGAGGATCGTTTCCGTTGAGAATCACGTATGCGGCTCAGGCTTCGTCTATGTTGGAGGGATCTTGAGCCAGTATCTCGACGCTCCTTCGCATGCCCGTACGAATTTCGACTTCGGGAACGAGCAATAGCTCTAGCTTCGATGACATCGTCAATGTGATCACGCTCAACACCAGATTGGCCTGTCTGATCGTCACGTAACGTCAGGAGAGCAGCTTTTACCGCTGGCGAATCATCAACCTCAGGTGCTCGCTTTCTCTTCGGTTTTCGGGCCAGTTGCATGTCAAGCTCTATCTGTGCATCACGCATTTGATGTGCATACGGCCGAAGCACATCATCTTGTATAGCCTGGCTCACAACGGGCATAGTTGCAACGTCGGCAGCTTTACCAGGTGAGCTAAAAAGCAAGCTAGGATTGACGACATTTCCAGCAAACTTCCCTCGTGCTGAAGTGATCGTGTGACTGGGCGGTTCTGCATACGATGAACGTGGGAACGTTGCGATATCTTCGTGACTAGTATTGATAAGATTGAAGGCTGGCGAGGTTGGGAACTGCATTCCATTCGCATGATCCGATGGTGAGACGAAGGGATCCAAATTTTTTGGTAGCCCCATCCCGAAAGCAGTAAAGGTGTCGTCCATTGGAAAGTCAATGTTCATTGTGTCGCCTTGCTCAGGGTCCCAAAACAGCTTATTCTGTGGATATACAGGCGCCGTAGCTGGACCAGACATTGGAAAGCCAAAGCCATCTGGGGAGAATTGTAGGGCAGGGAACTGTTGCGGTGATTGCTCCACCTGAGAAGTTGAGCCATAAGCGCCTTCACCCTTTCCAAAGTTTGGAAATGACATCCTTCTGCCCTTTTCTGCAGATTCTTTAACCAGTTGAGCTACTTGAGCTTGTTGTGCTTTTCGTCGTGAAGCAGATGTACTCGTTGGAGGTGGAGTCTGCATTGATCCAGCCGAGTTCATAGCTGTACCAGCCGAATGGTCGAAGCCGGTCTTCAGGGGAGTTATTGAAAACTCATCCGTGTTTAAGCGACGACGCTTGGATTCTGAGGTCGAAGAAGGGTTGGGAGAGGATGATAGTTGGCGAGACGGCTCTACCGGGGGCAACGGCAGGCTGGGGTTGGGTGACAAATGATGTACATGGGAGGCTATTTCTGTCTCGAGGTCTTGGCCTGTGGAAGGTATTTTAAACTCCGAGATCTTTGTAGGGCTTTTGGTAGGTGTCGTGAAGCTCAGTTGAGTCGGTGTCTTTAGATCAGGACTCGCCACCGAGTGAAAGGCGGGACTCCAAGGGGATTGAGGACCATAGAATCTCGTACCCTGTTTTGGTGTTTGGAATGAGTTCAGGAAGAAGTTCGGAGACGTAGGCGTTTTGGTGGGTGTTGGAGGTTCACCCGCGTGGCTAAAGCTAATGACCATAAGTATGTCAGCATTTGCAAGTGCAAAGAAGCTCAGCCAAGCAGCACGCTTGTACCAAATCTGTATCCATCCGTCCCTCCCTCTGCTCTGGTGACCAGGCCAATAATCGGGCTTTCCTGTGCTAGGCCCAAAGAGCAACCAGACTAGCTAAAACAAAGGGCAAGATCACGCAGCACAGAATAAGAATGTGGAGGCGTACCTGTATTGCGGTAGTTCAAAACTCATAGCAAAGCATGGAATGGGTGTCAGAGTCGCTGTAGAAGAAGCCAACTGCAGCTGTGCAGTTGTTGTAGAGGTGACGTTGGAAGTTGAAATCGTAGCTTTCGAAGGTGTTGTATACGGACAACAGGTACGAGAGTAGAGTCGGGCGGACGAAGAAGTCTTAAGACAGCAAGAAGACTCTTATATAGAAGGTAGGCAAGCCCGTGAAAGGTCTGGCAGGCTTGAGGTAGACTTGTAGGAGCTCGGATGAATTTTGGACAAGGGTATGACGAGTTTTCGGGTTCTCTTCTTGTTCAGAGGTGCTCCGAGTAGCTCTGAGTACGCCGAGGTCGAAGACGCTGCCAGAGGAGGGTTTCTGAGTAGGGTCAGCTCAAGCCGCTTTCTTTGGAGAGACTGAGTTGGTAGGTCGGGAAGGGGGAAGTACCTAAGTCTTCGAGGCCGCGGGGACGGGACAGTTGGAAGATAGAAGACAGGTTGAAAGATAGGAGACAGGCGCAGGTTGATCAAGTGGTTCAGCTGAAGAGCAAATGGTGAAAGAAGAAGCGAAGAAGAAGTAAGCGAAGTAGTGCGGAGGAGGCCCCCAGCATTAGCACTGCCAATGCTTCCTAGAGCCGAAGGACCTTGTAGGGCACACTTTAGGTGCATGCATTCCACAGGCACAGGCCACAGATCAAGATTGAAAAAAAGAAAAAAGGCGGGACGGCATGTGAATCTCGCCTACAGTATGGCAGCTACCGGTAGTCGCTCCTCGGCCGCGTGCAAGCTTCTTCCTTCAGCTTCTGGATTCTCAGCTATCGGTGTATTACTAGTGACCCTTTCCACAGAGAAGGGAGATGGAAATCATCATGATGATGATTAAAGTATGATTGATTTGATTGCTTTTCTACAACCTTAGGAAATTGGTAAGTTACCCATACTTCAAAATACTCTATGCTACCATTCATTCCCACGCATTTTTGGCCCCTGTCCCGCGGCAATGACGCAGAAGTCGGAGAAGAGAAGCCCACCCCATTGACGTGCATAAAGCATGCAGTTAAAGCCTATCTCTGACACTATCTACCCCCCTGAGTGTCTCGGATGAACTCCTCAATAATATATACGACCTCTCCTTCTGTTCATTTAATAGGTATTCCCCAGGGTCTCGTAAATCGTAATCCTTCAGTTGGCTTAGGAGTCATATTTCTTTTGAAACTCCCACCTACCGTACCCATCGGCTCATCCGCCCCACTAGGGACCGTTTAAGCCAGTCAAAGGTCGAGATTGACTTTCGCCTGTTAAGCGCCAACGCATTGGCCAGGTTCAGGGATCCGCATAGTTTAACCGCCAGGCTGGACGTAATTGGATTTTTGGTTATATTTGGGTCCATGACGAGCTTATGACTGTATTACCAGAGTATTTTTGGTCTGGCATGCGAGGAGAATCGAGGCATCCTTTAATTTCACCCTTTCCAAAGGTCTCATTCTCGCAATGATCGAATCTGGGAGACCATCGATTTTGAGCTAGGCTTCATAGCTTCAGCTCTCAACAGGTCACGGCTTCGAAAATGAACTGCGCATCTCAGATTGGTGGATTCTTGAGCTATATACCTATCTTGATAATGACAGTGTAGAATCCTCGCGAGACTTTGCACCTGGTGCCTTAACAGTAACGGACCCTGTATTCTTCTCCCACCTATCCCGGACCATCTTCCCACTGTTCATTGCAGGCAAGTTCTTCACTCAGCATTTTCTATCTTGCGTTGCTCAAAGACCTTCAATGCCTCCTCAGCAGCTTTAACACCACTGAGTGCCATGGCACCGAAAGTAGGACCCATGCGGTTGGCGCCATCAACCTCGCTCAACTCCATGCCTCCGACGATGAGGCCCGGAACCACTTCGCGAGTGCGCTTGACGATGGCATCCTCGGCCGTGTTCATGTCCAAACCACGCATGCCTCCAAGTTTCTCGATTTGGTTCATACTGACGAGACGCTTGACGCAGAAGGCGCCGAAAGGTCCATCGTGACCAGTAGTGCTGATGACGAGCGGAGCGTTGATGGTGTTGGGGTCCATGCAGGACTGATCGTCGTGGTGCATAGTCACGAGCGTCCAGTTAGTAACCACACCAGCAATGCGGACGCTTCCGTCGCCATTGTTGGAGGGGCGAGTGATCAAATCCTCGACTGCGGTGGCGTTGAAGAGCTTGATGTTCGGGAAGGAAAGGACCTTAGATAGGAGAGTGGAGGTGAAGAGGGCGGCATGCTTGACGACAACGTAGTTACCTTCCTCTTCATAGGGAACGCCGAGGTCGGACAAGAAAGCATCGGCAGGCTTACGCATCACCATCGCGGAAAAGAGTTGACCGCCTAGCCAAGCTCCACCACCTGTAGACTATCAGATAAGATCGGGACAATGAAAATTGAGAAAGAGATGGCCACGGACCAGGAGAGACGGAAGCTTCGATGATAGCAATCTTGAGGTCGGGACGAGCTTTGCCGAGCATGTACGCAGTGCTCAGACCGCAGGATCCTGCACCGACAATGACAATGTCGCTTTCGGCGTAGGTGTCCAAGTCCTGGAAGTAGCGACGAGTCATGGCACGGGAAACCTGGCTCTCGCGGATGGTGTCGAATTTGAAGGTCTCCCATTTGTCAACCATGTCCTCGAGGGTTTTGGCTCCACTGAGCTTCATGTGTCCATCGCCATTGATGGCTTTGGTAGGCATGGAGCCTAGGGAAGACAGGGTTTCGGTTGCAACTGGGGGAGCCATTGTAATAATTCTGCTGGGCCGTTAGACATTCTGTCATTGATTGACAGGGCGGAGAAGCATGATCCTTTCGCTGGTATTATCCAGAAGAAATCAAGTTTTGACCGTCTAATTTCAGAACGACTCTGGGTCTGCGGCATTGACATCTCTTCTCACGCAATGGAAAAAGGTGGATGCCAATGGTACAGACATGAGCTCGAACACCGGTTCATGCTTTGAAGCATACGATACCTTGATTATTTGAGGAAGCCACCAGGCGATTGAGGGCCACGTTCTCCATTTTGGTGGGATAGTACCAAGTTACCTTTGGGGGAATGTTAGTAGCTGAACCTGCAGTAGGAGCGAGGGTCGGATATCACGGTTTAGATGGAATGTTCTTCAACTTCTTTCTGATATTGAAGGCTCAATTGACTGATCAATTGGAAATTTGGGAGAAAGATGGTTGGAAGTGTTGAGGTGGGGTCGCTTTCATATTTATCCTCGTGCGGGGCTTGGCGGAAAGCTCGGATCATCTAGTGCCGGACTTTGAGCGGATATTAAGGTAAGGAATTTTGTGATTATGACGCCAAGCAATCGTCGTAAGCGTAAGCGGACCTCGAGCTCAATTTCATTTGACAGCTAATAAAAATGGTCTTGATGTTCTACGGCTTCAGCTCCAGCTCTTGCTTTTCTCCATTGATACTACTTGGAAGCACTGCAGTGTCGAGGTCAACAACTCCTCTGGGACTGATTGAACCCTCCCTTAGTTTTCGCTAGTCTTTGATGCCTGCAGGTCTTATCGCAGAGCCGCCGCAATCTGTTCCTCCAGAAGAGATCTAGGCATCAGCAAACTCCCTTTCGTCTCGAATCAAACCAGCCGCAGGAAGGGTGACTACAAGTCTTCGGGCCCAAGTACGAGCCTGTTCTCGCAGCGCCCGAGCTGCTCCGACTGTTAGACTGCCCAATTACCAGTCCATGATAGTCGCTGGACACGTCCATCACTTCGTGACCTACGCCCTTGTCTCTTGAGAGTCTCTACCAGTATCTTACTCTGCGCTTCTGGAACCAGAGTAACACCCAAGATGAACGGCTCACCTAACATCCGAACTCGCAAGCAAGCAGCAGCGGCGGAGAAGCAGGCTGGCACCCCAAACGGCCGACCCAATGGTTCCGCCAACTCCAAACGCTCTTCCTTAATCCCAGAGCAACCAGAAAACATTTTCCTATTCTATCCTAACATAATCGGCTACTCGCGCATTATTCTCGCCCTCGCCTCCCTCTACTACATGCCACTCCATCCACGTACCTGTTCCCTCCTTTACAGCATATCCTGCCTCTTAGACGCTCTCGATGGCGTCGCGGCACGCTACTTTGAGCAATCTACCCAGTTTGGCGCAGTGTTAGATATGGTGACGGATAGGTGCACAACTGCGTGTTTGCTCGTGTTTTTGAGCAGTGCATGGCCGAGATGGGCGCTATTGTTCCAGGGGCTCATCAGTCTAGATTTGGCTAGCCATTACATGCATATGTATGCTACGCTAACGATGGCGGGAAAGGGAATGAGTCACAAGAAGGTCGACGAGAACCGGTCGAAGCTGCTCCACCTCTACTATACGAATAAGGTACATATTCACCTCATTAGCACAAGGTGCTGTTGCTCTCAATTAACATGCTGATTTCCACGGACGAACAGAACGTGCTTTTCACAGTTTGCGCCCTTAATGAACTCTTCTTCATAGCCCTCTACCTCCTCTCTTTCTCCTCGCCCACCCTCACTCCCTCTCTCCTCCCCAC